GACGCGATATTTTATACCTACCTAATTAGTAGATAAATTAAAGTAAATAGTATAATCTTCCGCTTATTACTATAACTTAGTTATTAAAAACCTATTTTAGAGTAGAGGTTCTTCGGACTCGGAGTCGGTACCTTCTTTAGCACTATCCTTATCTATTACTCTTTTTATAAACCAGTAGGGAAAAGCTACGCCTAGAGAGACCTAAGATAGATATTAGAATATAAAGCTTTTTGAAACTATTCTAATTATAGCGGTAACTCGGTTTTAGTACGCCGGAAATTATAGCTAGCTATTATAATATAAAGTAAAAAGCTAGTAATATATTAGATAAAGTTAAAGATAGGGTATAAACGGATAAAGAAGTTTTTAATATAGCCGAAGAGATTATACTATTATAGAGACTTTAATAAGTAAAGTGCCTATAGTTCTAAGGTAGATATATAAGAGATATACCTTTACTATATAAATAATAAGAAAAGAAAGGTACTTATAATTAAGTATATAATAAAAAAGCCGAAGGTAATAAGTAAGTAACTCTATAATACTATTCTCGGTATAGAGAGTAGGGATTATAGTAATATACTCTATAGTATTATTTTAGGTACCTATATTTTATTAATTATAATATTATTTTTAGGTCTATAGTCTAGGGTATATCGAAATTAGTTATATACTTTTATTCTACTAGATTAAGTAGAGCGTTAATCGAGTATTATAGTAAAAGATATAAGATCTTACTCGACCGCCTATCTATATACTATAGTACTTCCGGAAATTGGTATTACTACCTATACTTTTTTAATATTTCTCTATTTTTAATACTAAAATACGCTAATCTATATTAAAAGTGGCTATCGGAATATTAATATTCCTATATTTATAAATATAATTTCTAATAAGAAGTGGTTCTACTCTAATATTAAGTAATTTATATTAGATATTAATCTATATTAGTAGATCTAGATTATATAGATAGGTTCTTAAATATTATTTAATCTCTATATCTAATACTATTATTAATAAAGAAAACTATCTTCTACCTAGTAATATTATATAACCTCCGATAAAGGTTCTTAAACTCCCTACTAGGACTATTTTAGGATTTCTTTTTTTTACTATTATAAAGTAGAATACTTTATAAATACTACTATCTTAAGATAGGTAGATCTATAATCTTCTACTATATCTATCTCGATCTAGTTAAATTTTTAAGTTTAATAATAATAATAATATATCGGTTTTCTTTAATAAAATATCTAATCCGAACTCCCCTAAGACCTACCTTTAATAAGAGTAGGCCGAAAATTATTTAAAAAGAATAGTGTAGGATAAGAATTTATAAAAGGGGATATATATTATTTAAAATAAAGGGGCTAAGATTTTTATAGTAACTAAAAAAAACTACTATTATTAAATTGAATTCGATAAAATAGAGCTTCTATATAATATATACTAGAAGTATAATAATAACCTCGAACCGGTTCTTTTTAATAGCCTAGATAAGAGGTATTAAAAGTAAGGTAGATAGTTAAATCTACCCTTTATTAGAGGTATAGAACTATTAATCTTAATTCTATAGTTTAGAGAGAAGTTTAATAAATACGATATTCTTAAATTACTAAGATAGTCTTCCTATCTTCGGCGATAGAATCTAGTGTTTAATACCCCTCTCTTTTAGTTAGCTAATATAATTAATAGTTTTCTTTCCTATTTCCTCTATCTATCTTAGAGAATACTTATATCTAGCTTTTTTATAGTCTATAGTAAATATAGCGCGCTTATCCTATAATATTAAGAGTATATCTAGCTAAGTTTAATTTAATAATAATCTAACTATAATAGTGTCTTAAATTATTTAGAAATTAGTTATTCTATTCTATATCCTATAGTATATTTTTATAGTAAAATAGACGCTTATTAGCTTAGATAATCTAGAAAATAATATATATAGTTTATCTTATAAAGGGTAGGTATTTAATATATCCTATAGATAGTATTCGGTAGATAGGATAACTTTTTAGGGTTTCGAGCTTTTCTATATACGATTTATAAACTATATATCTATATAGAATTGTTATCTAGTGATTTAGTTATATATAATAGATCTTATACTCTAAAATATATCTTTCTCTTTCTCTAGAAAGATCTATTTACGCCTTTTAGTACCTCTCTTTCTCTTAGCGAAGTTTATCTTAATATATTCGGTTTTCCTTTTTTAACTATTTTATTTTATAGCGGACTTCTTTATTAAGTAGCTAGATAGTATTATCCTAGACTATTATTAGATAAGGATAAAGAAGAGAGTATAAAGAATAAGTACTAAAGTAGATAGCTTTTTCTTTTCGGTTCTTTTATATTTCCGCGATCGAGTTTTATTATCGGCTATATTAATAAATATACTCTCGGAATCTTTATAGTTATAATTATAGCGAGGGGCCCTTTAAAGTCGTAAACTATCTAGCTAGAGGTTTAGTAGTTCTTTATTATCGGCTATAATAATAGTATTAGATCGGTTTACTATTATAGCTCTATAGTTACGTTTAGAGGAAAGTTAATCTAAATAGGCGTAAGAAGAGGAAAAGAAAATATTATAGTAAATAACTAGCTAAAGAAAGAACTTTATATCTAAGACTAATAGTAATAGACTTAGCCCCTAGTATTTAATTAGATATTAGTAAGTAGTATAGTATAATTAGATATTAAGCCTATATACTTCGACTAATTAAACTCTTTAGTCTTAGATAGATATTTATCTATCGATATTATTTAATAGTAATAGGGATACGATATAGGTAGAGAACTAATCGAGAAAATATTATTTTATTATTTATAAATAGAATATAGAAATAGATAGTAAAAGGATTATAAGGAAGCCTATAGTGATTAATATATAAGTATACTAGATTAAAGAGGACTATAAAAAGATATAATCGTTTAGAAAATAAGGTAAGTCTAGCAATTTCTAAGCTAAGCTAAACTATAAAATAAGACTAAAAGTAATATATAAGGCTAGTTTATTAGAAATAATATAAAAGTAAAAAATTCGGCTTAATACTAGGCTTATAATAAGACTAAAGGAATATATAAAATTATAAGTCTTTATTATACTATACGCCTATAGTTACTTTAGCGTTATCTCCGCTATAATTCTTACGTCTTTTAAAGGGGTCTTAGGTTATATATCTTTAGTAGCCGAATCTAACGCTTAAGCTCTTTTATCTCTATCGCCGAGTCCGTTTTTATTTTATAAGTTGATTTTCGTCTCTATATAGATAACGCTAGGCTATAAACTAGTTTACTATAGTATCTTCTACTATAATTATAGCTTAACTAAATAGAGGTGTCGCTCCTATTATTATCACTTTTACTAGCTTTAAATTAATTCTTTATCTTTAATCTATATTAGTTTATATTATATATAGTCTTACTAACTTTACTATTATAATCTTTATTAATATTATCTAATCTATACTTTCTATAATAAGTACTTTTAAGCTCTTTAGCTTTTTAATAAATCACTCTATCTCTATCTAAAGTAGAGCCGGCTATAATATAATAGATAAAAGTTTGTCTTTCTAAAGTAAATAGACTATCTTTCTATTTAATAAATATCCGAGTTTATAGATATACTATATCTTTAGCGGATAGTAGTAGATTAAAAGGATTAAGCCTTTACTTATTATTATTTTCGACCTTCTAACCGATACTAATAAAGTCCTCTATATACTTTCACTAGTATTTCTAAAACTCCTTAGGAAGCCCGTTCCTAGTTCTAGTTACTTTAGCGGTACTATAAGTTTTTATAGTTAAAATATATTTAATCTAACTTAGATTATAGCTTTTATATAATCTAGTCTAAATATAATAGATCGGTATAGACCGGCTTCTATAGCGTATAAAGATCTAAAAGCCGGTACCTTTAGACTACTAATATAATACTTTAGCTAAATATAATTAGCGTTACTATTTTATAGTTCTCGCTTCTAGGGTATTAAGCCCTATAAGTTAACTACTATTAATATTAATATTAGATTTAGTATTAGATTCTTTATTAGCTAAAAGCTAGCGAGCTTAGTCTAGCTAATTATTTCTACTATTAGAAATAGAATCGGTATCTTTATTAATACTAAGATTCGGTATCTAGATTAATTATTCGGCCTACTTTTAACTAATATTCTAATACTTAATAAAATAATACTATTTATTAAAAGTCTTTAGAAAACTATATATTATATTATAAACCGCTTAGAATTTATCTAAAGAGCTTATCTTTATTATCTTATTTACTACTTACTACTAGGTCTTATATAGAGTATTATAGCTAGTCTTAGATATAGTACCTATATTAATATTATTAATATTATAATCTTTGTTAGCTCCTCGAATATATTAGTTAAGCCTTTAAAAAAAAATTAAAGATATCCTTTATAATTAGGGGTCTAGGATATAAAGAAATCCTTAACTATTTTTTCCGACTCTTTAGATATCTTACTATAAATAACATTTTTAATCTAGTAGCTTAGTAGGTCTAGCTTATACTTAATTAGAATATCTTAATTAGAAGTATCTCTAAGTTCGATATCTATTTCGTTATTTAATTTGTAGTTATCTATATTTAGGGTAAAGTTATCTAGGAGTATTAGGCTTCTAATAAATCTCGCCTTCTATTTAGGAGCTTTACCCTTCTTATTTTAACTATACTTTTACCTTAATTCTTATACGCTTAAGGATTTAGATTAATAGGATTCGGAGTCTAAACTTACTTCTATAGATACGAGTATTTAGATATTATAGGTATTTCGCTAGGCCTTTTAGGCCTTCTTTCTTAGCTTTTTAACTATATTAATTCTTAAAGCCTAGTTAACTTCCCTATATTCGGAGAAAGAAGGTATAATTTATATTTTAAGCCCGCGGTAGTGGTTATACGGATTACAAAATGGATACTATAGGCCAGAAACCATACTATAGGCCAGGAACGATGCTATAGGCCAGGAACCATGCTACAGGCCAGGAACCATGCTGCAGGCCAGGAACCATGCTGCAGGCCAGGAACCATGCTGCAGGCCAGGAACCATGCTACAGGCCAGGAACCATGCTGCAGGCCAGGAACCATGCTGCAGGCCAGGAACCATGCTGCAGGCCAGGAACCATGCTGCAGGCCAGGAACCATGCTGCAGGCCAGGAACCATGCTGCAGGTTAAGAACGATAACGTAGGAGCAAGCCCACAATTAATTCAATTTCTAGTTGGGCCTAGTTGAGTTACCAGTCAAAAATCAATTGTGGTAATATCAGCGGTACAGGATGGATCGAAATCAGTTTCACCACTTTACTCGCTTTGGTTCTTTCCCGAACCCTATTTTGAAGCCCGCTAGGCTACATTTGATTTAGCCTGTTTTGGATTATCGGAATGTATTGTAAGGGCGTATCACATGATCAATCAGTCTGTAAATTACACAAGATATCCATACAGCCGATACGTAGCACCGTCTGCTGCTCGCGTAAGCACTCTCTCTTATCAGGGCGCTCACTATGACCCTCTCCACCGACCGTCTGTAGAGTGGCGCCTGGTCTTCCCCCTCATAATTTGATATAATTCATGATGAGCCATTGAGCAAATTGCTAGCTACGTGGCGAGAACATAAACCACCTCCGTAGTTTGCGGCCATTAATCAAAACCCCCTGATAACCGTCCGATATTCCTCTGATCGAAGAGGTGTTCAACTCAAGAGATTCAGCTTCGCGGGTTTCTCAGGGAATTTCGGAGCACATCGGGATTCAATTTACTTAAGAATATAGGCAATCCCACCCTAAAAAAAAGCAGATTACGGCCTTCATCGAGGGTAAGCCGTCCGATGAGGCAGTTCGCAGCCCTGACTTCAAAGTTTCTGGCCATCCCGGCCCTTCCAAGCACCACTTTTCCTTGTTGAGTGTACGCAAGAACTTGTTTGTCTTTGCGTTGCAAGTCAAGGAGGCTTTCAAATAAATATTCCCACCGACGCACCGTTCCGTCCAAGACCTACCCTCAGAATGGTGATGTCGTGCATGTGCCGTATCTATCATAGCAGGCGTTGCCAGTAGTCCCCCCCACGAACCTGCAAGCCGATTTGGTTGTACACTGGCAAATTTTTCTACCTTCCACGTAATACTCGCAACACGTGTCTGATGGGGGGCCACAATAGGCTCTCGACAGCTGAGGTGCTACTTTAGTGCATTTCAGAATCTCCTGTGTCTCTGTCTCCTCTGCAGTCCGTCTTCTTCTGTTGCTATTTTAATCATTAATTGTATTTAGCCAGACAGATATAGCTCACTTACTCAGGGGGCGTATTTTCTCCAATGTCAAAGCAAGCACAGGAATAGTCATCTGAGGTGCACCATTTCGGACAGTCACATATCAAGGATGGATTTAGCCTTGCAGAGCAAAGCATACCTGCAGCTGCACATGCTACTTTGATAAATAGAAGAGAAATAATTAGATCCTGGCTGAGCTTCATATTTAGTGAAGTGAATAGTAAGATAGAATCCAGTTGCTAGATTGCAATAGCAAAAGTAAAAGTGAGCAGCTTAGCGAGGGGGGTTTATATTAATCTAGAGAGCCGTACTACGGCACTCTATTGCCTAGCTAGATTCTAGATTCAAGTCTAGAATCCTCGAGAGTAGGGTTCGACAATAATCTCGAACTAGAATTCCTAGATGACCTTCCTTTTACGTCATAAGTATAAGTTAATTAACTCTATACCTCACGATAGCATCGTACAAAGTCTCGAACGAAAAACCCTTTTCTAACGCCAAGCTACCGCTCCATGCACTGAGAGGGTCCAGGCTCTGCCGTTTGCAGAATGCGGACCGCCACCGTCGATCTAGACTAAATTTCCAATGAGTTTACCTAGCCATGAGATCCAGACTCTATTCAATATTGCCTGTATCAAAATGACGTATAGCCCCATAAGTTGGAGTTCCCAAGCTTATAGCAAAGCGGTGAATGTTATTAAAGTTAATGATCTCGGGTCTTTCGGACGTATTATTTCTCATTGGGCCCGTGGTAGGTCGGCCTTGGATTTCTTGTCATTTGAGTCTGTTAGAATCATAAGCGCAGAACCAGCAGACACATTTGTATACTGATAGCAACATACAGTTTGGGCTTTTCAAGGAGGTGGCCACAAAGAGGTTCAAACAATAGCGGTGTAATACTTGGTAGCCTGCCAACCCGATTTAGGGGTGCGGTGGAACTCTAATTTTAATTTAAGATTTAGCGTCCGGAGTGGATGACCGAAGCCAATTAAGGGAGCGCCACATGACTGACGCATGCCGATCATCCGTGGTTTGACAATTCGCTTGGATAGAACCCCTTCAGTATTAGAAAAGCTAATAAATAAAAGTGCGAATAATCCCTATCACTCTTAACCTAGGAGCTGTAATCTAAACAATTTTCATCATTCAAGCTTTAGTAGATGGCAGTATCCTCGCCTGACATATGTATGGCACATTACGAAATTTACACAATCAATTCGCCGCCAAACTCTTTACCCTGACGCCACCCTATCAACCAGCGTGTGAAAGTCCTCCCGAGGTCCCCGGGCCCAGGAAGGTCAACTCGTAGATCGACAGTGGGCGGTCCGTAGTCTGCAAACGGTGGAGCCTAGATCCTCTCAGCGCATTTTGGAACGATGGTCATCTTCAACATATTGAAAGGTACTACATAGCCTCCGTTTTGTCGAGATAGTTAAACTGTTTCATCAGGTCGCGTTGGGAGCGATTATTTACCGACACAGCGATCGAGGTATCGTCCGACCTTACCCTACCTTTACGGGGGATTTTCCCCTCTAACAGCCTCTCAAGCTTACCCTTCAGGATCATCGGCCAGTAAGCACTTAGGGTCAGGGCTATATCCTCTTTAGTGTCTCATGAGAGAACTTTCTTATTCACCGTAACCTTCCACTCTATGGTGTACTGGATACAGCTTGCCGGAAGCTCGTCACTTGGCATACTACCGTCCCACTGGGATGACTGGAGCAGACTGGGTCTTCCGGGTTGATGTTGGGATAAGTCTTTCATATCATGCTCGGAGTGATAGTTGGGGGAAGGGCTGAGCCCGGAGCTTGATGCAAACGTGCGACCGTGAGTGACATCCTAGAGTGGAGGCATATTGCGAATCTTGATCTCCACGTTCGAGTCCATGTAGTTGAAAGTCACGGTCATCGAGATTTGAATCAGTAGACATCGTCCTCATTTATTGGCTCTAACCGATCCAACGTTAGCATGATCACGACCAGTCAGTTCAGCAGATGCTAGGCCCCTGTTCCCCCTGTTGGAAGGCCAAACCTGTTACATGAAGCAAAGAAACGTTACCCGCTAGTACTATTTCTACACAACTCGCTCATTCGTCGTGGTCATTATAGTTAGATAGAAAGTGGTTGATGGAGTGGGATTCAAAGGAATATTCCTGCCACGTCTCCAGACGAGAAGAGCAGACACCCATCTGTTTTTCCTGTTTGGCCTGTTTGCAGGATCAACGTTCTAGAACCTAGAGACCATACAGATCTAATACAGGAGCTATTTTGTGTTGTTATTTACAGCTGTATTAGATTATTGCCAAGACAGTGGCTCAGGGGAAGAGTAACTGTAATAGGCGTAGCGTGTTTCGAAAGAGGGTTCGAGAAAGAATTTCTACGTGCAAGAGGTGAAACTAATTTCGATCCTCCCTGTATGTGAATGGGTGACTGACAAGGTAAGAGGAGATAATATTTCTAGAGGTAGGATTATAGATATTTAGACGAGCTCTGTACATATAGTAGATAAACATAAGGCCGGCGGAAATATATCCCTATTCAGACTAGTGTGATCTAAGTGGGGCCCGGGGAGTAAAAAGAGAAAGAAAGACTCGAATATTACTATACTAATTCTCACTATAGTTTAGATGTAGTGTTTTATAAGAATACTATTATTTACCCTAATATATTCGAGCACTAGAAATATTTAGTCTAATACCACTTAGTAATAGCTATCTAGTTTAATATATCCTATTAGTAAAGTTAAATAGTTATTTACGCTTTCTAGATAATTGAATTTCGGCCTTTGATTTCGGCTTCCGCTTATCTTATAGCCTCTTCGAAGCGAGATACTTTAGCTTCGGCTACCTTAAATTTCTCCTTAAGGCTAAGATTTTTAACTTATATATAAATAACTATTTTAAGATCTATCTATTTTTCGCGCTATAAGAGGTCTAGTAAGATTAAATAAATTATCTTAAATGGTCACTATATATATCTTTATAAGAACTATATAAAACTTCTAACCTACTTTATAGTAAAGTAGTATATAGACTCTTACCGAGTGTTTATTTAAATATTTCTAAAAAAGAGGCTTTAGAGATAGATTATCTATCTTCTATATATAGAGATATTCGTCTTTTATCTTTAATTATACCTTAGAAGGGTCTACTTTAAGTTTAAGTCTTTTAACTAATTAGAAGTATTAGAAAGTATAATTTCTAATATACTCTAAAGTTTATATATATACTAAATAAGTCGCGTTCGGTAAGTTAAGCGCTAAGAAGCCCGCTTTTTATTACCCTAAAGCTAAATTTATTTATTTATCTTAGCTAAAAGTTAGAGGTTAAGAATATAAAGATTAGCTTTTTTATATACTATCACTTCCTATATAACCTATTTTAGATACTATAGTTTTAGTTAGGTATATAGGTAGCTTTCCGTCTCTCTCTTTATTTCCCTACTAAAGGTATCTCTAGATATCTAGTATAGTACTACTTTCTCTTTCCTTTTAATTACTTATAAGCTTATATACTAGATTAGATAGTTCGCTAGCTTATCTTAATTTATAAAAACTTAATATAGTATACTATACTAACTCCTATCAATCTAGGTCTTTCCTCTCTTCTCCTATAGTCTTCTCTAATTTAGGTTAACTAATTTTAAAGTCTAGGTTATAGTATACCGAAATTTTTAATATATTATTTATATATATTCTTTTAGAAGGTTAGTTAGAGGGTTTATTAAACTTAGGAGATTATATATAATCTCTTATAAATAAACGATATTCCTATAGCCTAGTATTCCTAGAGTAGATAAAGGATTCTAATAACGCTTTAAGATTAGAGTCGCTATCTATATTCTATATTTTATAATATAGCTAATTTCTATCTCTAAAGTATATATATAGTACTCTCCTATCTTAGGCTTTTAAGAACTTTCTTAAGGTTAGGCCTATAAACTAATACTTTACTAGCTTAAGCTACTATAAGGAAAGTAAAAGGGATAGAGGATATAAACTCTATAAACCCCGCGCTTTCTATTAATATTAAACTCTTAATATTTAATAAAGTAGCTATTATTATGACGATCTGAGAAGGGTTCTGCCAAAGGTTTCCGCCTTGGTTGTTGTTTGCATATGATAGGACCCTACGTATAAAGGATCTCTGACCTTAAGGATCCTTTCTTTCTTTTCCTTTACTTCTTTATATTTAGTATTCTCGTTAAATACACTCTTTTTAATTAAAGATCTAGCTAGTAATATAATACTAAGTACCACTCTTATTTCTTTAATAGTACGTCTATATAGACTATTATTATAATTAGCCTCGGCTTTATTACCTCTCTACTTTCGTTCTTTAGTATTATATAGCTAAGACCTCGATCCTAATCCTAAACCGAAGTCTCTAACTAATTAAAATAGCCGGATCGAAAAGAAACCTACTAACGAACCGAGATAAGTAGCTTACTATTATATCTAAAGATAATTAAAATTATAAATAAAAGATAGTCGCTACTCTCGATTTAAATACTCTAACTCTTAATCTATAGAGACTAGTTAATATTAGTAAATATAATAAAGAAGATAAATCCCCGATCTATAAACGTTTATATTAGACCCTAAATAAGGAGCGGTTCTATAAACTCGCTTATAATTATAAGAAATTAAAAGATAAGATCTAATAATTTAAAGATAAAGTAACTATCCTTTAAGCCGAAAAAATTAAAATTAAGATTCTAATTAAAACACTTATTTAAAAGCGTAATAAAGCTACTATTTATTAGGATATTATACTTAAAAATATAGTAATCTTACCTTTTATTTTATAAGTATCTAGAATTAGATTAGTTCTAGTATACTAATAGTAGAGGCTATTACTATTTATAAGACTATAAAGATATTTAATACCCTAATATTAAACGATAAAAAGAAGATCTATTTTAAAACTTAAAAAACTATAATTCGCTAGAAACTCGAAGCTAATACCGACTATTATCTACTACCTATTTATTATAAGCTTTATATTTAGAGTCGCTATAAAAATAAAGCCTAGTTATATATTACTCCCTAAATAAATACTAACGCTAGTATCCTTTATAAAGACGCTAATAATATTATCCTTTATCTAAAGACTATCTTTATAAACCCGAATCGATATACTAAAGCTTATATTATATATTATAAGTTTAAAATAAAGCCGAAAGATAGTTTTACTAATTTCCTTATAGAATTTATATAGTTTATTAAAGAGGCGGCGGTTATAATCGAAAACTAGAAATAAGATTTATACTCTAAGCTTTCTTACTTACTTTAAAGCTAAGTTATATAAATAGTTAATTAGGAATCTATTTTATTCGATACTTTTATCTAGAATTATTAGAGTATATCCTATAAGCTTAGTCTATAATAAAAAGTAAAGTCTACTTTCTATATATAATCTATAGTAGCTATTTTAGGAGGAAATAGCGATATATCTTTAATAATAGTAAATTAGATATATACTTTTTAGATAAAATATAAAAGAAGTACTAATAATACCGGAATATCGTTTACTAAAAGAGAGATTTTAATAAAAGAAGGATAATACTTTTATTAAAAAAAGTAGGGATATATAACTTATAAATATCCGAAGAAAAAACTAACTTTTATAGCTATAGCTACTATTCCTACTACTTTTATATCTTATATTAATAAGATTATAGAACTTAAAGCTAATACTAATACCGATTTAGAAAAAGCCTATATTTAAACGAAGTCTCCCTTTTAAATAGAAGAAAGGTATTACTATATTCGCTAGATTTATAAAAATTAATTAGAGATTTTAGAGATAGTTTAGTTTTTAATATTTAGCTAATATATAATAGACGCTTATTTTCTATTTTAGTATTTAGTAATACTAGAGTAGATAGATATATTTTTATTAATTTAGTAATAATCCTATTATTAGATAAATATTTTAGAATTAGAGTAGAATAATTAAGCTATAAATATCTAGTATAAGGATTTAATAGTAAGCTAGTAGAACTAATACGCTATACTACTATTTTTATAATCTATATTAATAGAAGAATATAATAATAGATTCCTATATTAATTATAGACTTTAGACAATATAATATAATCTTAGGACGGATATAGTTTATAGAGTATAACGTTCTTTTTAATTACTAATAATATTATATAATCTAATTAGATAAAAGAATATTATTTAATAAAGTAGTAAGTAAAATCTCTATCTTAATACCGAAAGCTATTCTATAAAGATCTCTATAAAATAAAGTCTATTAGAAAGATATAGATTATTAAGATCGTTTTTTAAAATAGCTTTAATAAACTAACTAATTTTAGAATAGTATCTATCTTTATATTTATAAACGATAATATAGCTATTAGTAAATAAAGAAATAGAGAAAGATAGTCTAGAATATTAATAATAAAATCTCCGATATTTTAATCTCTTTTAAAAAAGAAGAAGATTTAAAACTACTACTATCTCCTATCGATATTAGTACTATTAGTAGAACCGGATTCTATAGACTATAATTAAAGATAAAAAGAGATTTAGAGAGCGGAGTTAAGATTTTTATAATCTTACTTTATAAGATCGATCGAATTCTTTCTATAAAATCATCTATTAAAAAAGATCTTAAGCTTAATAAAATTAAGATATTATTAAAGGAATACTATAATCTTACTAAAGTATTTTTAAAAAAGAAATTAGATAAACTACCTCTATATCGGCTAGATATAGATTATAATATTATTCTTAAAGCCGAAGTCTAACTAAGATACTATCCTTTCTATAAACTTTCTTTTAATAAATTAAAAGCTATAAAGTAGTATATTATTAAAAATCTCGATAAAGGATTTATTATTCCGAGTATTATATTATATACTTTACTAATTCTTATAGTAAAGAAGTCTAGTAGTAGTCTCTATTTTTATATAGATTTCTAGAAACTAAATATTATTATAAAAAAGGACTACTATCTTTTACCTTTAATTAATAAAGTTTTATAGCGAACTAGTAAAGCTAAATTCTTTATAAAGTTAGATATTCGATAAGGTTTCTATCGGATTTATCTAATACTAAAAATAGAAGATCTTATAACTTTCTATATAAAGTATAGATCTTTTAAATATAAGATTATACCTTTTAGTCTAACTAATAGTCCTACTACCTTCTAATAATTTATAAATAGTATTTTAAAAGAATATCTAAATAATTATATAGTTATATTTATAGATAATACTTTAATCTATAGTAAGACTTTTAAAGAGTATAGATACTAGGTTAGAGAAGTACTTTCCTATCTATAGAAAGTAGGTCTTTAGATAGTACTATTAAAGTATAAATTTACTATTATTAAGATAAAGTTTCTTAGTTTTATTATAAATACTAATAGTATTATAGTTAATCTAGAAAGGATTAGTATAATCTAGTTATAGAAGCCTCTATTAATAGTAAAAAGAGTATAGTTATTCTTAGATTTCTATAATTTCTACTAATAATTTATTTAAAGATATAGCGCTATTTCGAAGCCTTTATACTATCTAATTTAGTAAGATATTTCCTATAATTAGTCTTTATTTTATAAAATAGCTTTCTAGCTTCTAAAAGAGAAACTAATAAATATACCTATTCTTTATTATTATAATCCCGCTTATTATATTTAAATAGAAATAGATACCTTAGATAGAGTACTTAATATAGTTCTCTTTTAGTATTATAAAGATAATAATTTCTAATATCTAGTGGTATTTTTTTTCGAAAATAATATAATCTATAGAGATAAACTATAAAATATATAATAAAGAGCTTCTAGTAATTATCTATATACTATAAGAATAGCGATCTAAACTCGAAGGACTTTTTTAAAAGGATCGCTTTAAGATCTTTATAGATTATTAGTCTTTAGAATATTTTATAACTACCTAATAAATAAATTAATAATAGATAAGATAGAGTGAATTTCTCTTCTAGTTCTATTTTCTAATTAAATACTAACTTAGTAAAAAGAATATTATTATAGATATTCTATTATAGAAGGAAATACTATATACCGATAATAGTCGATAAATTATATATCGGCTTTTGTTCTGATTCGAATCTCTCGTTAATACATACTCCGAATACATACACTAGCGCCGGCGGTTCGTCTTCTTCCATAGTAAGGTATACTGCATAGTCTAGATCCTACCTAGGTTTTCGAGATCTAGATCCTAAGATGATATTTGCAGTGTTAATACCATCTGATCTATCTCTACTTGCACGTACAGGCTCTGTATACAAAAGCTCATTCTACAGCTACATCTCGCTCTCTAAGATCTCATCTTCATATTCCACCCCCCCAGTCTCAATAGACGGTATGACGGATTGTATAGCGGAGGTTGGGGCTGGTTCTAGAAGTGAGTTATCTCTCACTTTGCTCTCACTGTGTGTTCCATAGTGTCTCGCTTCTTCATCAGCAGCATGCTCAGTATCTACATCTGCAGCATCTACAGCATCTATATACAGAGATCTCGGGGTTTATGAGGCTGATTCCGGGGTATTTAGTACAGAGGATGATAAAAATGGGGTCATTTCTAATGAAAAAGGCTGATTTTGCATAGTATCTAATGCCGGCAAGGTGGGTGATAAAGGTGCAGAGAGATTTACTAGGAAGGACCCTGGTATAGAGCCTTTATTTGCTATTTTCTATATCGGTCTGATCGATGCCGGGGTAATTAGCATATTATCAGATGGTTTTAGTATAGCAATTGGGGTTTGCTATCTCCCACTTCTCTCACTTTACATCTCTCTCTCTTACATCTCTCCATCTATCAGATCTACATCCTACAATTCCGCATCTCGATGCTACATCTCTATATCTTATATACTATCTACATCTGTATGCGGATCCTGACCTTGCTATATATACTACACGTTATTATACAGCGCGATACGGGCTATAGATAACGGTATCTACATCTAGGTGCTAAGTTCAGATTAAGCTTCATCCCATATGAGTACTATCGGCCAGTTCTCTCTCTTCCCTAGTTGATTTATTAGCATACTAACTACATCTTCTGATTCCAGCTTCTTCGCTGCTATATACCGCCGTGTCTCGTCAAAAACAGTATCTCTAACAACGTCGACCCTTCCATATTGTCCCCCTCTATACGGAAACCAGATCCTATATAGATTCTTAGAGACATACCCCACTAGGAATCCGATCTCTACTCTAGGTAACATCTTATCTAACTATATACGCTTTAAATCTAGGATTCTAGTGTATACTAAATAGCTATACACTCTAAGATTTAAAAGGTTGATTCGCTGATCCTTAATCCTATCTAGTACAGCCAGTTTCATCAATTCCATCTAAGGTATAATCCATCTTCTATCTACTAGCTTTATTAGTATACGGTTTAGTATATATACTAACGTATATACCGCTTCTAGCTAAAGCGTCTTCGGTAGATCTAGATTCTTATTAATCAATACCCTCGCCATTTATATAATTACACCTCTAGATCTCTCTACTAGTCCGTTTATCTCTAGTGTTTTAGGAGATAAGTGCTCAATAATATAGCCTTCAGCTTCTATCATATTCTCAATTTTATTTCTAGCACTACGCTCATTATTATAGTGAAAAACCTTAATTTTAACATTTAGCTAGTTTCGGATCAAAGCGATAAACTTCCTCACAGCCTATTAGCAGTTATTCTTCTTAACGTAAATAAAGACAAAATAGCATCTAATACCGTTAAGATAGAAATACATTAACTAGACATATCTATTATATAAGTTGATTTTACACGAGGTTAAAGTGCACTCTACCGAGTACTCTATATGCCTAGCCTATCTTCCTCCGTGAGATCTACCTCGGTGCATTTACTAGCTAGTAAGCTTCGTATACCTAGTTCTCTAAAGATAGATCTATCTACTTCTTAGGGTTACCGCTAGCTATATACACTCCTTCCGTTATCTCAGTGAGTTTTTCAATCCTCTCTTTACTAATATAGCCTAGCCGGCGATACTAGGTTTTAATAGAGGCTTCCAAAGTAGGCTCTCTCGCTAACTTCTTTATAGCTATATTCACTAACGGCTAGTCTGATTTTATCAGCTAGGGGAGATCCTATTCCTAGTACGTAGCGTATATCGGGATATCGCCTTATTCGATCTAGTTCTTCTTAAAGTTTAAGACTACTCCTATCTTTCTAAACATTAGGCCGTGGGTAATAATATTTATATAGAAATCTAGCGAGTATCTGACGTTGAATAAATTCATTCGCCGCGGTACTTCGTTCCTAGGGCTAACTCCGATAATTATAACAGTTCCGATTCCCTCTACTATCGTCTCGGTATCTCCTACCCGAATCGAGCTATCTATCTTCCGAAACTCGATAAACAAACTGAGGTTGTTATAAATGTGGATCTGCGCTCCGGTATTAACTAGCCATCTATTAGAAATTGGCTTAGAACTGCTTTACTAGAACATCGAATGATCATGATAGATCACAGAATGATGGTAATCAATCATAGAATGTTCTCGGTCGTTTGTGGATAGCGGGGCTTCAGCTAGGAAGAAGTTTAGCTCTCCGGTCTAGAAGGTTGAGCTTGCTTACTAGCGCTGCTAAGAGCTTGCTGACGCTATTGAGAAGAAGCCTAGCTCTCTGCCCTAGAAAACTGGGTTTGCCTATGTCTCGTTACTAGCTGATTTTATCTCTACTCGCTTCTTTTCAATATAGGCCTTCTATTTAGGGTCTGCCTTTATAGCTTTGTCCTAAACCTTCTTCCTCTCTAGATTCGGAGCTAGTATATTATCTAGTCTGTCTTCGCTATATATAGCCTAGCACTTCTATGGTTTATGTCTTAATCTGCTACATAGACAATTTGTCTTCTTAACTAGAAGATTAGATGATTTCTTAGCAGATGATTTACTAACTGATTTACTAGCTGATATATCTCTAGGTTAAGCTTCCTAGTGGCCTTACCATATTGAAAATATAGCTTTTAATATACTTTTCTAAGCTACCTATCTCTTATAAGTAATAAGCTAATAGGCTTTATACCGGGTAAGTAGGTTTCTAAAATCAGCTTATCTTTCTTTCTCGCTTTTCTCACTAGTATAGGCTATTTCTACTAAGGTAATCTATAATAAATAGAATTCCGGTAAGATTATAGCTATAGCTTTAAGAAACTAGATTAAAGCCTCTCTAGCTTCTATAATTCCTACTTTTATATAGCGTTTTTATAAGGTTTACTAATTTAGTAGCCACTATTTAATATCTATTGATTTATCTAGACCTCTATCTAGATTTCTCTATACTATACGAAGGCTTACTTTATATATCGGGTTACACTCCGGTAAGAGCCGCTATCTTAGATTTCTTAGCAGCCCCTATAGTATCTCCTAGTCTATAAAGACCTAGTATTTCTTATAGATAGTCTAGCGGATTGCATTTATAACTACCTTTCTACCTTAGAGCTTCTTTTTATACGTATTATACTAACGTTTATACTATATATTCTTAACTCTGTATACGTAAAACCAGTCTCTTAGGTACTCTCTTTAAAGCTCTTCCTAATCTAGTTCAACTAGCTCTTCTAGAAGAGCTAGCTCTATATCTTTCTCTAGATTATAGAGTTCCTATACTTCGAACTGCTCCGTAACTATCTTAATCATCGAGATCTAAAGTTCCTAGTTCGATAAATCCTTTAAGGTAACGCGCGAGGATAAAAACGCGGAGAGAGTGTTATCCGATATCGTAAGGATTCGGGATACGTTCGTTTAGTGGATTTCAGATATTGTTATTGATGCTTCTTAGGGGTTATCTCGATTTAGGGGTTGTTATCTCCGTGCAGCCAATGGCTTAATGTGTGAGATTTAATAAATAGATGGAAAAGAGATCAAAAATGAAGCGATTCCGGGCTTATAACTGAGAGAAATCAATAGTATACGAGCGTATAGGGTAAAATCACAATGTATGAATTCTCTAACTAACTAAAAACAATAATGGTCCGTATTTGATAATCTGGCTGGACCATAATTAGTAAGCAATTTGCATAGTCTAAAATCACATGATCAATGGTATTGGACTCGGTAATCCAGGTAATCGGTCTGTTTTCTGACAGCATCGTCAAGATCCATACCACGGCCACAGAATTACCTTCCATTGTTTGAGTTCCAAGTGCTTCTCAATTACTTCCTGGGGGAAATTATCTCCCAAAAATAGAAAGAACAATTTGGATCGGTTCGACATAGAATCGTCCAACTGGTATGTAGTTGTGTGAACTGTTCTTGACGGTTCCCCACGGTAGGTACCTATTCACATGACCTCTGCCCCAGCGGTGTAGACCACAGGGAGTCATCGTACCACGGGAAGACCAGAAGATCACTCATTCCATTATCATACCTGCTGCGTCGCAACGCCATACCAGTCTCCTTCTTCATTGCTAATATATTAACTGTGAGCGTTGCGGTCGAGTGCTGCCCGTTCCCGGGGTCCCCAACGCACAATTACCACGGCCGAGGTCGCGTATACGGTTACATCCTAGGATTTACAGCCCTGCGCCGGGGATACTTGACAGTCAATCGGTGGGGAAGAACGCAATTCGCAAGTTGTGTGGGAACCTAATACATGATGATGCAGAGCAGGGTATCACACATGCCATCAGTCCGCAGATATAACCTCGCAACGCCCAACCCTTCTCCGTTACGAGAACCGCCTAAACGCCATGAAGCAATGCGAGAATCATCGAAGGCCTACGAACCCCTCAATAGAACTTTGTATTCGGGGGAAGTCACTCAGGTTGGTACTCTCTCTACACAATCAGTTAGTGGACGGAATGTTCAATATGGCAGCAACAGAGACTTACCAGCAGGTCTCCAAAACCCTTCACGCGCTCAATTTCGTGATCAGAGCGGGCGAGGTCTTTAGGTCCAGGGTCGGTGAAGGTCGTTGCAACATCAAAGTCAGCCCGTACCAGCCTATCGGGATTTCCACGAATAAGGAGAAGGTTCTTAGGGTAGGCGTCTCGGTGGTGGACGCCTGCCTTGTGTATCTCCTTCATGGCCTCAATCGCCTGAGGATAAAGGGCTTCCGAGTAGTTCATACAGTTCAAACTCTCTGCGTTCGGGAAGTATTCTAGCAATATTCCTTTGGTTTAATCTTGTCATGTGTGAAAACTTTGAAAAAACGGATGGAATTCGGCTGGATCCAGATCGATATAGCCATAGAATTTTGGAACGAAGCCGCGTTCGCAGACACCAGAAGTGCAGAGCTTTTCATATGCGTTGGACTCGCAGCGGAATCGGTTTAGATCACGACCGTTCTCGGCATATCCAGGGTCGCCGTTGCTGTGGAAAAGCTTTAACGCATATTTTCAACCTCAAATATTGAAGAGGCATCACAGCTCGTAATTTCCCTGGTAATATTCATTCTGGCGGGATCAATGTTTCGTAAGGTGGTTGTTGGAGCCATTGCCATCCCGTTGAGACTTATATGCCCAGAAAGGGGTTGGAGTAGGTCATCCAATAAGAATGAATGCCTAGGTAGGTAAGATTGCCCAGGTGTCCTTGGCAATAATAGTCAAGCTAGAAGAATCTGCCAGCGGGCCCGGGCTGGGGCCGCGGGGTCCAGGTCCACGGGTGACCTCGGGAGGTCCAAGCTTCCCGATCGAAGGAAGATTGCGTTGTTTTGACTTGGTAATATACCAGTCAATATGAGCAACCAGACCCTTCTACAGTATCTCTCTATTGCTCTCCCTGCAGTGCCCGTTCAACGTACTGCCCCATCGCGGAAGACAACAAACCCTAGATATGACGTCTCTTGGCCCAATTTCAATTATACAACTATCGTTCAACGATACGGAGGCATTCTAAACTCAAAGCAAATCGTATCCGATCCCTTCCCATCCCCTCCTGCTGCTATCAGAGATAAACCTCATTTTCTGTGGCGATTCGGCGACCTGCTTCAACCCCGTGTTAGGCGTGCACTTCGAGCCGGATTTGAGGAGCTCGCACCGCAGCTTCAACAACTAAATCTTGTGCCCGTCTCTTTCGACACCGGGAGTTCGGCAGCATACATCAAGCAGTTTCGACCAGACACTGCGTTCTTCAGTCTCGGTGACACCTTTGCCAACACCAAGAACCGAGCCCCAGGAGTCTTAAATGTCTCATCGAGATGGCATTCCGATTACCAGTATTCGGAGGATCCTACCCTCCAAGACGAATATAAGCAAGTCTTGTCGGAAGTGAACTGCCATATGAGCTATCACAATGCACGCCATGGCTTTATCCTTACCAACGCCGAGTTGGTTGTCGTCAGACGTCTTGACGAAAATGGCCGGCTAGCTGTCTCTAGATCGATTCCCTGGGGAGCTGGGGGACCTGGTGAGCTCACTGTACTGATGGGTCTATGGTACCTTGGCATGCTTGCAAGCGAAGAAGACAACTGGGCTCTAGTCTAGCCACGCTGTCCCCATCAATTAACCATCATTATCACATTGGAAGTTCCACATACGGATAAACGCACCTGTGAACGTGCAAAAGGCGATGGGTTTGGCGCTCTTCTGGCAGTGGCCAATCGCATATTATTGTATCCCGTGCTAAGGAAGAAGGTGGTGTTCGCGATTACAGTTAAAGGAGTAGTCGGCCGTGATCTTCTTAGTTGCCCTCTCAGGTACCGAGGTAGACTTAGTTAGTCGTTTTAGTAGTCTATTCAGCAATCCTTTTAGTGGTCTTTTGAGTAGTCTTTCTTGGGAGTCTCCCCATGTAGTCCTAATAGATGTCCAGCCAGATAAAAATTTCTCACCCTTCTCTGTTTGTTATGAAGACAGCGGAAAAGGCCCAAGAAAGGCTTAGTTCCTAAATATAGCCTTTGACAAGCGATTACAGACTCCGTAATAGATTCTTACATATATGGTGTGGGGCCTATGGTATGGAGATGCTCAGTTGAAGAATGATAATAATATCCCATTTATGAGAATACTGCTCCCAACCAAAGATAGTCTAGGAGAATGTGACGGCACCATCAAAGCTCTCCATCCAGCCCTGCTTCAAAGATTCGGTTACTGATCCCGATATACTCTCACGGTGTTTTACTACTCATCCACTACGCTGATCAACCTATCAGGCCTCTTCTCTTCCTGAATCCAAGGTCGGTCGAGCGATCCAGGGGCGCTTCAAATATTCGTTTACCGACCATATTTAACACAGTGTTGGGGCTCTCGATGTCGCGAGAGTCTGTCGAAGGGCATACTAGCTGCGCCAGCAGTCACCGTTTCGACAGTCTCGATGGCCAAGCCTCTAGGAACACGACAGCGGAAGGACTCGATAAATTTGTTGCAGTGGACATCAAGGACCTCAAGGGGGAGTCTCATGAATGGATGGGATAGCAGCCAGAGACGGTTCTAGCAGGATACTTCAGGCTTGCGACTCCCTTTGAGCTACGACAGGTAGTCATCTCTTGGCCTGTTCTACGTGTTTTGCAACAATTCATTGCCTGGCGAAAGAATTTGAAGAAGGATCGAATCTTCGTTATCCTCCAGCAGGATTCCAAGCTCGATGACGACGACGACGAAAAGCATTTGAGCATCTCCAAATCCAAAAGGAGTGGGTGGTCCGTCTGACTCAAACCCATAAGCCCGGAAAGAAAAGGAAAAACACGAAACGTACAATAGTGACGATTTGTATTATCCTATCTTCCAACATCTCAAGGATACATATGGGTTTCTGCAAGCAGCGACTCAGGACAGTGCTTGAACAATTATCCCTAGTGATTGTGGGACAGTTGGTCGGGTATAGTTCTATCGTATTTCTATTGTACCGAATTTCAGCAATTAACGAGCCATTATGAGACGATATATGTCTGTAAATAATATTGAGGCGAGGTTCCCAAAGTGGGGGGAGGGGTGTCAGATGGGGGCCGTTTTATTTGTTTCGCATTGTCCTCAATTTCCTTTCGTTTCCTGTAAGCTCGTCTCACAGCTCCCTCGTCTCATCTAACCTCTGTTTATCAACAACATGACCCTGTCCGATATCTTTCCCATTCCCGGGGTAAAACATGGAGAGCGCATTCTCGTTTCAGTCGTTGAGAACAGAGCCAGCGATGATGCAGGCAACCCGTGGGTCTCCGTCCCTGTGGATGACCAGGACTTGTCCCAGGGCTTCAAGGACATCAGTTTCCGACAGTTGAATAACTATGCCAACCATGCGGCGCAATGGTTGACTGAGAATCTCCCCCGAAACCTCCGAACCATTCCAATGTGTTGCCTATGCCGGCCCTAAGGATCTCCGCTATCCGATCCTTGCCCTTGCCGCTGCAAAGCTGCAAAAGGTGGTATGTTTGTGTGCAAGTCTCTCGAGTTTGGAAATCTGTTAATAGAATGAATTAAGTTGGTACTCCCTTCGCCACTTATTACACCCGAGGCGCAGAAGAGAATCCTTGAAGCCAAGAGCTGTGCTCTGTACCTGCGCCCGTCTTCTTTGGAAACGCATGTCGGCACCGTACTGAAGCAGGCACCTCATATCCAAGCTATCACCGTCCCCGAAATCCATGAGTTCATGAAGGAGACGGAAGCTCCCGTATATACCTACCCCAAGTCCTGGGAAGAAGGGAAAGACGATCCTTGGCTTGTCTTCCACACATCAGGGACGACAGGTTCGTCGTTCCTTCATGTACCTTGAAATCGCGTACTAACTGGTCGCGCAGGTTATCCGAAGCCACTGACATATACTCATGAAATGATGGCTGTCGCCGATATGGTAGCGGCAACTCCGGACCTCGAACAATGTTTCGCCCACCACTTTGCCAAAGAGCGATTGTACACCCCGCTGCCATCCTTACATGTGAGTTCTCACGCTTCCGTGTCTCTCAGAAATTTTTACTAACCTAAAAAACATAGCTCGTTGGAATGATTTTGGTGCTAGCTTCGACCTCGTTCGTCCATACAACCCTAGTCATTGGTCCGCCAACGATGCCAACCCCAGAGACCGTCATGGATATTCTGAGATATGGACAAGTCAAAGTTGCCCTGTTGACGCCCGCTGTTATCGAGGAGCTCTGCTTGACACCCACTGGCATCAATGCGCTGCGAAACCTAAAATCAGTCCATTACGCCGGCGCACCCTTATCAGCCAAGGCAGGGGATATGTTGATCTCTCATACCCAGGTTGTGCCTACTATCGGCAGCACAGAGTCCGGCGGATACCTTACATCAGTTCATGATAAGAAGGAGGCATGGGATTACGTTAGTTTCCAGAAGCACGCTGGAGCCGTTTTCGAGCACCGCTTTGACGATCTCTACGAACTTGTCTTTGTCCGCCAACCTGATTCTAAACTACAGTCTATTTTCCGACTGTATCCGGATCTTGATCGTTACCGGACTTCTGATCTGTGGATCGAACATCCAGAGCATAAGGGTCTGTGGAAGATCGTCGGTCGCAGTGATGACCATGTGAGCTTCTCCCACGGAGAGGGCTTGTATGCTTCGCGTCTTGAACCTGAGATTGAAGTTCATCCCGCCGTCAAGTCGGCCTTGATTGGTGGGCATGGTCATTCAGCACCGGTGCTACTTATTGAGTTATATCCTGGAGCAGTCGAGGAGGATTCGCTGGATCAATTCCTTGATTCACTGCGGCCGAACATTGAAAAGGTTAATGCTCAGGTTCACGACTGTGTGAAACTTTCTACCGATCGAATTATCATTGCGACGAAAGAAAAGCCGTTTATTCGAACGGTTAAGGGAGTGTTGGAAGGATGCAAACTTTGAACTTGTATAGAGGTGAGGTCTCTGCTCTCTTTGAGTAGATTGGACCGACGACTGTCAGAACTTGGAATGCTGGAAACTGAACCAGATATACCTTCCAAGGTTGTTTAGCAATAATATCACATAACCATATTTTATCTTGCACGCATACTTAGCCTTAGACCACGTTCACTTTCATATCTACGCCCTTGAGGTCTTCCTCTCTTGTATTTGCCACGGGCCGCCAGAGGCCGGTACCTGGCTCGCAGCCATGTATTCCACTTCAATGGATAACTTACTTATACCTTCCGTCGCGTCGCGGCTAGGCGCCGATAGTGCACCTTGAGAGCATGAAAGAAAACTATTCAAATATACGTTCAAGTTTCGTTCATATTATGCTAGGCCCTCGAAATTGCCCAAGTCTTTCAACAATGGAGAAACGATAGTGTCGAAAACACGCTCCTCGAACCTTTTCTCAAGACATAGAGCAGACCAAGACAAACAGCTATTAACCACATCGGCATAATTCGTCCCACTCTCCATGTACACCATTTTGACAAGCCATGACGCGGTCTTGAATTTGGCCACTAGTGTATCCTGATTCCCATCTTCCGTATCCAACAATGTGTGGAGAGACTTTCCAAGAGACAGCTCCACCAGCGCAAGCCCTAGTGGCAATAGACGATTATCCCCGAGGTTGGAATACTTGGTATCACTGGCAGGCCCTGGTATTGTGCTCGTGGTGGAAATAGGCCATGATAGGTATAGATTATCCAGTAGGACATTGACACCATCGTCGCTTGTAGCGGCCAGGTAGACATCGGAGATATCCCACCAGGATTTCAACCAATTACCGCAAAATTGAATCATACCACATGCTAGAGCAGTAGCAATATGAAGGCGGTCCCGTCGACTGATATGTGGCAGTGCCTCGCGGAGAGGTTTTTGGGAATGCGTTTTGGAAGTATCTTCACGGCATGCATCGTGTATTTAACAGAGGCATCTAGGTCATTCGAAATGAAACCTAGGCTTTCCCGCCGCCCAGCGTATGATTCGGCGATGCAAAGAGACGAACAAAAGTCTTGGATTGGTGGAGCAGACAGAGCCTCTCGGCGTTTTTCCGATGACTGTACCTCCTCCACGGGAGGGATATCAAACTGGACCTTGGGCTTCTTCTGGCGATAGGGCCTGGAATCGTCATTCCGGGAACGACTCTCAACTGTTACTATCTCTTCGACCTGCCAAGGCTCAAACACCACTTCTGTCCAAGTCCATAGGCACGTTAGATCCGTCTCCTTCGTGTTAGAAAAGATCATTCGGAATTGGGATGCCATGTCGAAGTCTTTGTCCGGGTATTCTTCGGTACTCTGTAAGGAGTTTGTTCGCAGCTGGAGGTGCACGCAATGGTGTGTCTTGCACTGGCAGCGCCAGTAGCTTCCTCCAATGATTGTTTTAAACAGACCCTCAGCATGCCTGCGCGCCTTTTGATACCGTTTCAGAAGATAGCTCCAGCTCTGTCGCGTCTTCTTGGTATCTTCTAAGTGAAATGACTGGTCGACCAGAGTCTTGAGGATCGTATTGGTTCCGTCAATTTTCACGAGGATATCGTCATAGACTGCTTTGCTGAGGATCTTTCGAAATTTCCATATATTCCAGGCTTCGTTGACGGGTGTCTGTTAAGAGAATAAATCGGTTAAGGACTGACCAGACGGTTATTATATATACCAACTACTGACCTTTATATCAGTTGCGCCAACGTCCAGCTTATGGGATAGTTGTTCCAGCAACTCAGAGAGACCTGCCATATTGGCCATGAATACCTCGTAATTTCGGTCCAGCTTCCAGCGTAATCGCTTTTGCAAGTCCGGGTCCTTCCATCCATCGCCCTGTGGATTGCATATGAGCTCAGAAACTTGGTCCTCATCATCCACGACCCCTTCCAAGGCTTGTTCCAGCGTGTTCAATAGAATCGCATGCTGTGTGCGGAGGCCTACTGCATAGCCTTTGAACTCCCGTCGATAGCGCCTCAGACCCTTGATTTTCTCTATGCCCCGGACGTATGCATCGATCTGGTTCACAAAGAGCGGTAGAATCGCGAGAGCGAGGCCTGCAGCCTCGATACCAGTGACCATGTCCGGGTTTGATTTTTCTTGTCCAGACTTGCGAAAAGAAAATGGGGTTTCAGCTGGTGCTGCTTACCCCCACCAATCACTCTACCCCGCACTACAGCCGCAATGGAAGATTGACGCCCTAGTAAACATTCCGCACCTCGATAATGCCATAGGCCTTGCAGCTTCAAGAATTACCACATAATGGTGGCAATATCGGAGCTGTTGCAGAGCTGTCTCGCTCAGTTCCTCTCATTAATCAACTCAGGCGCGCTGTCCGATCATATTGAGGAGGTTCCACTACAAGAGTGGACGGACGAACTGGGCCGACTTCGCGTGTGGGCAGCAAATATCGGTGCTCACCAGACCCGTCAATCTTCGCTAGATTACCGTCTTAGGGATGCTTCGCATATCAAGAGTCAGATAGTGAGGCTCTTGGAGCAATTCCAGGAACTACTCACTGACCTGAAGGATGTGCTCGAGGAGGAAAGTGATGACGAAGCCGAAGACGATAAGTCTGAAGGTTTGGGAGACTCAGACAGCGAGAATGCCACAGAGATCCAAGAAATCCACCAAGTCCTTGTTGAGACAATCAACCAACTCTATCAGATGTCCATGATCATCCGAAAGCCAGCACAGCATGATCGGCTGGTCGGGACAAAAAGACTGGATTCTGAGCCCTTCCAATTCTGGGCTAAGCAACATGCCGCCAATAAATATCCAAATGCAGATCCGCTAGCTATCGATCGTATCAGTTCCGCGATGGCGCGACAAAGGGCGATCTTAAAATACCGTGAACGACATCATGCGAAATTAAGTCAGGGCATCGATTCCGAGAGTGATAGTAAATCGGCTATACTATCAGAAACGGTTGTGACAGATGCGTTTAAGGAGATACCTGGGCAATTTAGCGACAGGGCCTCTGATGCTGGTGTATCTGAAACTTCATACGGAGGCACTCTGCTCGAGGGCACCAATGCAGATGCCCCTAAGATACCACCTATACCGAAAAATGGCATGGAACAGAGACCCTTTGAATGTCCATATTGCTTTTACATTATCACGGTTCGAGACAGGAGAGCATGGGCGCGCCATATTTTCCGCGATCTGATGCCGTACGTCTGCATCTTCCCCGGATGCTCGACGCCCAACAAGCTCTACGGGGGCCGTCGACAATGGCATCATCATATTCAGCAAGCACACGCTACGACGCCAAGCACGGACGGTACATATCACTGCCCTATCTGCAAACAGGGCTCTCTGCCCGCTGTCACATTTCAGCGACACGTGGGTCAACACTTGGAAGAGCTTGCGCTCTTTTTGCTGCCACGAACAGACTCAGGCTCAGGCGAAGACGGAGTGACGGATGAGAATGTCAGCAACGTATCTTTCGAAGGCAATTCAATGGAACAGAGTGTCGGTCAGCGCAATAACTTGGACAATACAGCAACACCAGCCTCCAACTCCAATCTCAGCGATAACAATCCATTGAGAGGGCCACGGAGTAAAAGGAAAGATTCCATATCGTCAGTCGGGGTGAGCCTGAGCGACAGAGAGTCCCCGGGGGATCTGGAATCCAACGTGGAGGACAAAATCCGCGACTCATCGTCCCCTTACAATCGAGAATCCGAACTCGCTATTAACCAGAAGCTCTTCTCCTGGTCGCCCGCTTACAATCGAGAATACGAACTCGCTATGAACCAGAAGCTCCAGGAGAAGAGCGACGTCCGGCAGAACATGGATCTCTGGGAGCATCAGCAGGAGATCGAACGGCTGCAACCGGGGCTGGAGAAGTCTTCTGGGCGCAGCGACAACGAGAGTGAGCAAATTGTTGTGAACCCGCAACCCGAGCCGCGCGAGTCTCGGCTTCCTAGGGAGGACCTAGAGTATGAGGAAAATGCTGCGGAGCGGCTACGTAAGCTGGAGCTGTTCGAGCGCAAATATCAATCTGCGGAGGTGGATGAAAAGTGGAAGGAGCTCGCAAGGATGAAGGAGGAGGCAGAGGAGAGAGAGAAGCTTGTGCGAGAGGAGAGGTGGAAAGAGCTTGCCTGGCAGAAGGAAGAAGAGGAGGGAGCGCGAAAAGCTTATTCAGGAGATTCGAGATGAGGACTCGCGAACGGCGAAGGAGAAGAAGGAGAAGAAGAAGGAGAAGAAGAAGGAGGAGGAGGAGGAGGAGGAGGAGGAGGAGCTCGCTATGAAGGCTGCTGCTGAGGAGTGGAAGCTCGAACAGGAGCGGATAAAGCAGAGACAGGCACAGGAGTTCCGCGATCACCTTCGTAGCCTTGGCCATTCCGACGAAGAGATTGATACTATCGTCAATGGGAAAAAGGAAGACGAGAAGAAGGAAGAGAAGAAGGAGGAGAAGAAGGTCATATGGATCAAGGTATGGAGTTACCATATACCTCTATATACTAGGGGGGCTTAACTGACACCATGTCAGGTCCATCGCAAGCACTTGGTGCCAGCTACCTTGATCGCCTTCAATCTTCCTTGGGACTGGGACGAGGTAAGCCTTATCCTAACCATTCCTCGATATGACCAGTTTTAACCCTACTTCCATCTACCAGTATGACGAAGACTACATCATTATCAAGCAATGGGTCGACGATGACTTGCAAGAAGAGCTCTTCGCCCACACCCGTCGCGTACGCGAGGGGCGGCTCGACAGCCATATCTCCAGCCCAACTACCGAACTCAAGGTTAATGACCGCTTTAAGGACGAAATGTATCCATCTCGTGCGGAAGAAGAAGACCCAGCCGTGAAGGGCAACTCGAAAGAACCATAAATGATGGTTTATAGAGCGGAAGTTGGGGCAGTCTGGATGTTTATCAGATTACTCCGTGGCGCAAGTGTTCTGGTGACCTCAGCAATTGGCCGTTCGTGCTAATTTTCAGGCGATAGTCATCGACTCAGTGGTTTTACAGTGTCTAGACTAGCCTAGCCAGTTTTGAATAGATTCAGTCTTTCTAGTCCATGACAAATAGTCATCGTACCCAACGATATCTCGCAAGGTCCCGCTTTTCCACTCTTTAATAAAAGTTAATCAACAAAACAAAAATAGAAAAACAAAAACATACAACAGTGAGGATTCGCTGGTGGTCACCCACCCAACTACTAACTCACCGGCGTGTGGCTTGAGTACGGCTGAGCGGACGGGAAGCCCTATTTTCCACACCCTATGGTCGTATGTACAAGACTAAGTATAGGAAAGTATTATGGAATGTAAGTAGTGAGTGAGTACAATGAAGTTCTGAAAGTGAATAGAAATGCTCAACGATATTGTGTCTGAGAACTTCGTTGTTACGTAGCCCTGGAGACTTACCTTAATCATCGAGGAAATTACCCTAACTGACGTGACCTATACTCAAGACCATAACAAGGAATCTGAAACACGGGCGCCTGGTCGAAATGGCGTGCCCGCGCCAACAGCGCTATGCTGTCCGCCCGGTTGCTGGATGTCTGAGGCATCAAAATGTGATAGAAGTCTATCTCCTTTCCTTCTCTTCCTCTCTCTGTCAGTGCGAGACAGTCAAATACATACAGTGTTTTCTCCATTTGATTCTCTATTGTATCGCACCTCTATCACTGGTAGAGTGCTTACCTATAAGATAGTTTGTTTTACGGAAGACGCATATCCACTGAATGATTGTCCGTCATTGCTTCTGGATTATGCATCTTTAAGCCTTAACCACCCATTGAGCTGTTGGGGTTTGGTTATTCACGGGCCCCTGCGTGCTCACAAGCATGGCTACGTAAAACATACACTCATAGAGACAGAGAGACCAGACCCATGGCCCTGTGAACCGGATGGTTCGTACGTATCAGTGGAATAGATCACTCGTGAGTATTCCACAATCCATTGGCCACTAGCCAGCTGAACCTGTCGGAGAAAAATGGTTTCGTCGTACGTGCTAAGGAAACCAAATCCACACTGAAGGTCGCCCATATATAGGATGGGCTGAACTAGGAGATGCCTTGGCCGTTCAGTGTGGCCATACGCGTAGCTGAGGGAATGGTGAGGAAAGATCCATGGAACCTTCTGTTCCCCTATAAGCCTCAACTCGTCTCTACCTTGAACGTCGGTACTTAATCCCACGACATCTGGAATATTCTAGTAGTCCAGGCAGGAGCATTTGAAGTCCGCAAAATGTAAGCCTCCAAGACGGCTCTGGCCTATGGCCTGTTGGAAGCGGCCATGGAGGCCATGTTCATCCCCGACACGAACGACCTCAGGGTCTGCATTGTGAGGGCCGGGGCTAACAGCAGCTGTTTAACTGCAACTGGACGCTTGGGCATTGTATATTGCTTCGACTGTGCTCTTAAAATCTGGCCACGGACTCAGAGGCCTGACATATTTCAGCTTGCGAATAGCAGGAGATGTGGTCGTATAAGTACCGATGTTCAAGGGAGGTAGTGGGGCCTGAATGATTTGTTTCGCACGGACGCGGGTTGTGGCCATGTTTTTCAACGCTCTATACCAAACTGCAAGTTAGTATGAGTTGCGTACTGCCGCACATGGGAATTTGCTTACCGTGAGAATATTGTGACGGATTGTGATTGGGGGCGATGACGGTATGGTGCACTTCATGCCAATTTCGGTGGGCGGGCCGGGGATGGTTGTGTTGACGACTCAGCCATCTTGCTGAAGAGTATGATCCAAAGTGATGGAAAAGTGAGGGATAAATGAAAGTGACGTGAGAAGTATAGCGCTCAATTAATGTCAAAAGGATGGAGGCATGCACGCCATCAGAGTTTGAGAACAATATTCACGATGAGAATCGAATATCCTGCTTTTCAGCGAAGGGGCCATACCTCGGGTATGGGATTGGTTGGAAGAAGATGTGCTAGGATAAGAGCTATGTGAGAAGGAGAGATGGACAAACCCGGGATGGCCTTGAATAGAATTCCAGGTGATATTGGTGAAAGGTAGTTGATCTGATCGAGTGATAGTGAGGATGAGGGTAAGTTGAGAAGAGAAAGGATAGTGAGAGTGAGAGTAAGTTGATGGATACGATGATTCCGAGGATGCAAAAGATGCAAAGAAATCCCTAACGTTGTATGCAGATGAGAGAGGTGTTGGAAGAAACAACTCACACCATCTGATAGTTGGCAGCCACCCTAGCATAAACTGCCAGGCAACAATCTCTATGTAGAGATAGATACTGCCTGCCACCTTTTCCAGGCTCAACAGCAACAAAGAGTTGCAAACCTGAAGCTATTCACACTACCTAAATAGTTAACTTTCCAGGATGTAAGCTTCGCTGGACCGTAGTACTTTTTGGCTGGGTCGTGCAGGCCTTGGCGCCACCCTCGTATGCCAAGTTGCGCAACACTGTGTGTATGCACAGGACCGAGTATATTGACTGATTGTAAGATGAGGGTAATGGCGAGCTCGCTAGGTTCATAACCTGTTCGAATATATAGGGTAATAAGATCATAAAAGAGGTACAATATGAGTGTATTGTGACCATCGGGACTTTGGGTTGGACATGGGTGGTTGCAATATCGGCCATAGACCAGTCTGACAAGATCCGGTATAAACCCAATATACACAAACACCTCCACATTTTCTTCTTCTATTGTGATCTCGAAGGTTTGGATACTATGGGGCTGGAAGCCACGGATGATAACGGACGAAGACGACGAGGTAGATCGATTTGACACAGACTCGGGGCATTAAATGCAGCTGAAATTTTTCTCTTCCCACTGGTATTTGCCGATGCATTTGGCGGAGACTCGGGTAGGAAGAGTGAGGAGGCATCTCATCTCTTCTTGAGTGGAAACAACCGGACCAGGAGGAAGATCTGAGTAAGGTTCAAGGATTACTTGGAAGGATATGGGAGAGGGGGTTTAAGAAGATGAATAAGATGAAATGGGGAGGAAAGATCCGAAAAGAGAATTGTCCCATTAAGAAGTCCACGGATGTGATACCTCGGAGCCGACACTTGTATTGAGTGATAGTTGTGTAAACTATACATGAGACGGGAGAAAGGTAATAAATATCTAGGAATGACCGTGCGACCATGGGAGTTTTCAACAGAAAGGGGGCCTCACAACCTGTTGAGGCTATACAACAACCGACTACTAGGGGAAAATAAGGAAGAGAAATTTGCTTTATTCAATCTATGAAGGTAGGGCCTTTTATAGAAGGGCGAGAAAGCAAACAGGCAAACCAGCAAGCACAGTCTGCCTGACAAACAAAGCATCCAGCAAAGGATGATGCTGAAGTGTCTTTTGCCTTCTCAACTGAAAATTAAGTTGCTAATATGTGAGAGTTCATTGAAGCAACTACATATATAGTCATATATATATACACAACTATATGTCAACACACCTTCACAGAGTATTTTTACGTTTTGCCTTCTTCTATGAAGCCATTGCTGCTGTATTCAATCCTGCAGCTAATTGAGAGACCGCAGAGCGGATCCTCAGAGTGACAATGCCATCTGGCCGGGTGTTAAGTCTACATTGTGTTCTGGAGAGTCATTTGAGTTCTTACTCCTAGAATTTCAGCTCACAACTTGATTGTTTCACAGCAATTATAGAGGCAATAAACTACATTTAGCATGAGGCTTAGGGCCTGTGCAGGGAAATGATGCTTTCTTATAATTTATTCGGTATCTTCCTACCCCTCGCATGTTCTGGACTAATCCACTAGAGCTTCAAACTGACGGTTAATCTCTGCAGTGTCGGGCTTGCTCACCCAAGTCGGCTTATCCCACTTAAACAGGCTATGAGATACTGAAGCCGGGTGTCTACACAACCGCTATTGACACCTAGGTGGAATATAAGTGCCTGATCGACGAGGCTGATAATTTAGACAAACACATCATTGTTACGCCTTGAATCCTTTTCCTCCGCATAACTCTATTTGTGAAATTTCATATCGGATTATTCTTCTTTTTCCCCCCAAGTTTCTTTCTTCAGCATTCTTTACCAAATTTCTTCGTCGGAATGACTTTCGGATTCTCTGAACTTTACATAGGTACAGAAGTTACCTTCACCGCGCCATCACTCCAAAAATGGGTTATCGAGGAGAAGACTCGCCGAGGATGTTCAACAAATGACGAAGTGGGAGCTTGATGGTGGCGCTGGGCCTCCTTTTGCCGTGTTCAAATATCTTTGCCACAGTGCGACAGACAGCGACAAGAAGGCATTCATGCGAATCTATTTCCAGATTCCTATCGAAGGAACTGAGTACCAACGCCCCGAGGTTCGACAACGACAGGCCGCTTCACGAAAGCATCAAGAGCTAGACGTGCTAAAGGATCTGAAACTACAACAATGTCCCGTGGTACCGAACCTACTCGCCTATAAAGAAGGAAAACAAGGCAACGATGGCCTTGTCCCAGATGGATACATTACACACGTTGTGTGGGATAAGGTCCCCGGGAAGTCACTAAATCAGGATAAAGTCTGGGATCCTAAGTCAGGTCCATTACGCAAGGCCGTGGGCGCAAAGTTCCGCGATGTCTGGGAGTATGTTATAAACCCCTCTTTGATCAGTCAAGTGTAAAACTGACAGACCTAAGAGAGTTAAGACGTTATGGATGGGAGCCAGGGATGCCTAGACTGGAGAACATCATCTACGATGAGGTTACAGAGACGATGTATGTGGCATCTTCTATACACCCAGTGCTAAACAGAATAGGCTGACTATCTTTAGGCACATTGCAGGCTTCCGAGACCCCGCCCCCCTTGAGCTCGAAAAGAGATTTACTGATATGACCTTTGTTGACTGGGGCTTGGCTATACCACCTAGTAAGGCCGGTTTGGGAAAAGGACAGCACCAAGTGGGCTTGGTGATCCGCATAAATGTCCATTGCTTTATATGACCTTGATTGCAGTGTCCTCACTATCTTCTTCAACTCGTTGCGGCTCTGAAAGGAGGAATTTGGGGGCGAACTGTAATATTCGGCGGCTTGCATCTATGAAGTTGATTAAACTAAAAGGAGACCTCGAAGAAAAGATGGACATGATTCAAGAGATACCTATGACCGCTCCTTTGATCAGCTCGGCAGTCTATAGCTAAGCAACAGCCCCACGGACTATATGCTACGGCAGTGTATAGCCGTCAGTACGCCATATCGTATTTTGCAGAACATATCATAAAACTATTATATGTGTATATTATTAACTATAGACATTGATAGAAATTGACACTATAGAAATTGAGGTATTATAGAGGTTAAGATATCAAAGGTTATATAGGAAAGTCCCCTTTTATAAATCAAGCCTTTTTAGCCCTTTTCCACTGTCTACATAATGAACTCGCGAGGGAGAGAAGATTTCTATAGAACTAAAATATCTAGAGAGACTGACGAAGCAGACTACTGAAAAGCCTACTGAAAAGACTACTGAAAAGACTACTGAAAAGACTACTGAAAAGACTACTGAAAAGACTACTGAAAAGACTACTGAAAAGACTACTGAAAAGATGCGTAAAAAGACTATCGGAGAAGACTACCTAAGGAGACCACTAAGAAGACTAGCCGTATAAGCGGCCAATTATTCTTAGTATAGGAATTGGGATATTGTAGAAATTGACACAGTAAAAGTTGATATTATAGAAATTAATCAGTAGATCCCAATTGTAGGTAATAGTAAACTGGCGGTATGACAGTCAAAATTTAATATGGAAAAATACTGCATCGCGCACTGGCGCCTATACACCGACGTACTACTGCATTAGCCGGGCACTACTGCGCCTTTGTGCTAGGCTAGCTTATTGAGTAAAATGGCCACGGTCCATATTTTAGGGCGTTCAATGTTCAAGTTCCTTAAAATAAGTCTACGAAACAACCAAGGCATCAGAGACACTATGGTTGAGCATCCCTATACAGCTAGAACTTCCAAGGTTCTCACCATCCCACTCGCCCACCGCTTGCATTTCATAATAGCTTCCCATACGTAATCTAACACATACGACCATAGGGTGTGGAAAACAGGGCTTCCCGTCCGCTCAGCCGTACTTAAGCCACACGCCGGTGAGTTAGTAGTTGGGTGGGTGACCACCAGCGAATCCTCACTGTTGTATGTTTTTGTTTCGATATTTTATCTTATATCTGTGTGTCTTGCCTACATTGTGACGAAACCTCACTGCCGCCTTGATTAGAAGGGGGGGTTTTTTTTTTTGTTGGAAGTCTCGGACGGAGGGGGAGACGCCTAGAAACAAGAACCCCATACATATGGGGACTCTATGTGCTGACAAGCTACAATATGTTTCCCATGATTTAGATCCAGTATGTTCTGAGAACAGCGTATAGCCGTCTTCAGTAAGCATATTCCGAGATATGGATACCATTGGAAGTAATCATCTAGTCATCAGGTGGGTGCACATTTTGCGTTATTGGTATATATATTGTGCCAACTTGATTGCTCTGAACTTTCTTGAGCCTAGAAAAATTTATACTAGGACGGAGGCCATGAGGTTAAGGCAAGGGGACATAGCCCACTTATATGATCGGCTGCGTTTTATACACAGTGGAGCCTCTTCCGCTTATTCTTTCTAGGCAAATATTCGAAGGCCCATGCAAGTACCACAACCTGTCCTAGGTTAACTTCCATTAACTTGTGTTATAGTTTCTCTGCCTGTTGGTAGTTACTATATTTGTGTATGTTCTCTCTGTCCGACCATCTACATGTCGTACGCTTAATTGGTGGATACCATTGTGAAGAAAGGACGGCTTTTATTTTAGATAATCCACTTCAGGTAGAGCCTGGTTTGCAATCGAGGTAAAGACATGGACATGGATTGGATTAGGAGATAACCAATCACGATAGGGGCAGCAAATGCCTTTGTCAAGAAAACATGTACACATCTCGCTCATCTAGGTAGAGTGCAATCCATATCCACAGCCTTTTATCCGCAACGAATTGATCATTTAGTTGTTCAATCATGGTCAGGTGACGTGAGAGCGCATGCCGCTGGGGACCAACGCATGAGAAGTATTGTTCTTCATTCCCTCTTGACCTCTCTTGGTCATCTTCATCTTTCAACACGTATTCTGCTGCTTCGAGGAACTCCTTTCGTCCCTTCATATGGCAAATGTAAGGATACACTTCCTGTCCGACAAATGACTGAATGAGTTGAGATAGGTAGTGGAAGTCTTGGAGAGAATCGAGATTGACTAGGCGAAAGAATGCCCAGAAAGCGTCGTTGTGCGAGAAATCAAGCGCAACCTGACCACCGAACCCTTCTTCGACTATGAAACCGTCAGCAAAGGCTTCTAGAAGAGAGGCATGTATGCCATCACGAGGGTGAGGGAGGCCGGGGCAGACAAGAAGCATTGCAGGGGGCACCGAAGATGCAAAAGCCCAGTCGATAATACACGTTATATTCAGATCGTCGTCCACAAAGATATTTTGAGTGCTTATATCAGGGTGGTATAGGGGGAAACCGTCACAATTAATCTGCCTATCTTTCTCAGACATGAAACCCACGGTGTCCCTAAGTGAGATACCGACTGAAATGTAATCAAGTCGGTTCTTCCTGCTCTCAATTTTGGAACCCACGGTGGCGTAATCGTTCCATCGATCAGTAGCGAGCCTATATTCTTCAAAGCTATCGTACTCTTGAACGATAGGCACTGGTGCATGGAAGAGGTGATGCTCCATTGGTAGTTCCGCTGAATGCGCAAGAAACGCATTTATGCAAGCCATGTAGAAAGCTTTCGACTCTGAGAAAGGCCCACGTGTGATTTCGGTGTCATCGAATTATTCCCGACCCTGCCATATAAGGCTAGGAAACAAGCACTTCCGCGGAGTGTAAGAGCTATTGCTGTCCGTAAAAAGTGACCCGATTTCACTAATCCGTATATTGGACAGTGCCGCATGTGTACCCCCCAGTTGTCTTAGAATTTTCCTTTTTTGGGAAGTTGATAAGGTCGTCTGGGGTCTGTCATCGAGACCAGGCGGGCTGGCCACGTCGTCTTCCCATTGATATGTGCTTAGAGGTACCCCGGAAGCTTTGCTCATTAAGATATATGGGACCTCGATATCATTAATTCCGGTCGCACTATTTAGGTCAACGAAATTATAAGACCCAGTAGACGTAATAAATTTACCAGTAAGAGAACACTTCTGGAACAGGAATCTTGCCCATTTCTCTGAGGTAGTTCATCGTTGCTACCTCACTCACAAGCACCTCACCAGCAGTGGTTTTCTGGAGCCCGAACGATCTCCGCGGCGACCTGAAAACCCATTCAACCCCATCATCAAAAGAGATGAAGACGACCCAATTCAGGCTACCACTACTAGGGCGCTGGGTTTCGTCACAAGAGCATTCCTTCCCGCGAATGCTCTCGGCGAGTGATAGGAGGGCTGGGACATTAAATTTTGCGTAGGTAAATATATTTGCCTTTCGTACCTTGTATGCCATTCTACCTTGATAAAGTGAAAATTTTCCACTCTGCCTGGATATTGGAGGCAGAAGTGGTTTAATAGCCTGAACGACAGATCCGGGACTATAACCAGGATGCTTCCTGAAGCAGAACGATTCACGGATCCATCAGTTGCTCCCATTGAGATCGAAGGACTCAATATCCAACAGACCATCTATGACTGGCACTCCCTATGTCGCTCACTGTTTGTCTGCTCAGCTTTTATCTTCCAAATGCTCTCATCTTCCTTTTCTCCTTACCCCTTCCTACCTCTCACATCTCTATCCAATTCGCTCTTTTTCATCGCTTTTCCATCAATTTCATCACCCCTTCATCCTGCCTGTCACAAACAATACCCCCTTCACCATGTCCCAGCCACACACACCACGGAAGCGGACCCGTCGTGAAAAGGAAAGATCGGACAATATCGCGTCTGACACGCACATCCCCTCCTGGGGCCGAGTCGAGATCGCAAGACCCCGCTCCGGTGCCGTGCGTAACACGGACCTACGCTTCCGCATCAGTCAAATCAAAGGAGTCCCCGACATCGTTGGCCCTGTTATCACCCTCCTACTTGCGGTTGAGGCCTTATTCCAAAACGTGGGCGGCTCTACCGAGCTCGCGCGGATCTCATCCCTGGATCACGCAGGCCTCATCGACTTCCGCGCCCGCTTCGTCGAGGGCGACCCCCGTGTTGTGCGCGCTATGCGGGAGGGCCCCGGTGTGTCGCTCAACCTCATCCGCGACGCCATCACGTTCGCCGAAGGCCTGCTGCTTATTGACCGTTGCATTGAAACTATAAAGGATGATACGCTGAAGCTGGAGGTAGGCCCAGAGACAATATATTTTCGTCCCGAAACTGGTGCCACCACTTCTACTCTTTCACCTTTTTTCGGACTTCGATTACTAACCTTAGCTAGTCCCCATTGGGGATTTTACTATGTATCCTCGGTATGCTGGCCTGTATTGTTTCTTACACACCTTACATACTGCTATGGGATTGTTTTTCGCTTGTACTTTATTACATCCATCACCTATTTCACACCACCTCAAAAGAGATAGACCGAAAATGTTTGCCTATGGAGTTTCCGAAAGTTGACTGATATTTTACACCATATTGCCATGGCCCCACTCAACTGGAGGCAGACAAGTATAGCTCGCTGATCATGACATGGCGATCGACTACCGAACCCCAACCCGAACCCGAATCGAAGGCTCCAATGAAACCCGCTAATCACTTCCGGGGACGCAAGTAGGCATACCAATTTTTTTATCAACAGTTACGTATCTATGACGGTGCAGTATGATTCGAGATTTTGGGATGTATCTGCGATAGTCTAGGTAGAAAGGTTTACTATACGAGCGGATAGGGCTCAACTCGCTTTGATTTGAATTCCTGGGTTTATGAAAAAGTGGGCACTTCGGGCCTCGTGCCTCGATTTGGGATTCCTTTAACACGAGTACGTAGTGGGTTAAGTCGGAAGCATCCAATCCGGGTGTTAATTAGACGGTCCCAGCCTCCTATATTAGTCACTTACCAGGCAACAAAGAGACATTCTGGAATATATAAATTCGTTTGCGACCGGCTGGTGCAAAAAAATTCCAGATATCTTCCTACGTGTGAAAAGGATACTCTACGAAAATGGCTGGCCCGAACCACACCATATCCCCCGTCGAAAGCTCAGATCTTCCCTTTCTATCAAAATTCATACACTCCGCAAAGCTTTCTCTAAGCATCAATCGTCTTCTGTATCAGCCGTGGCCCAATCATCCTGTCCAGGAAAAGCAGTACACAGGAGCTGTCGAAGGTGCATTTGCGGACTCCTCGATGGAATGTTTCAAGGCGACTGATGTTGACTCAAATGCGATCATCGGCTACATTGTCCTGGCGAGGAAGACGGCAACCAAAGGAGACTCAATGGCTCCTGCCCAGTCCACAGACAATGGGCATAATGTCCCGGAGGGAATGAACCCTGATGTCCTTGCAGAAGTATCTGCGGCGAACATAGCCATAAGCAAGGCGACGGAAAATATTGACCGTTATGGTAGGGCTTCCATGAAGCGGGTTTGAATTGTGTCTTTGCTAATACCAGAAATTTTGTCTAGAATTGGTCTACTTGTGCGTCGAGCCCTCATACCAACGACAAGGTGTAGGCTCCAGCTTACTCCAGCTTGGATTTGACCGAGCTAGAGCACAGGCCATTCCACTTGCTACCGCTGCGGAGGCACCTGCATATGGCTTTTTCGATAAACTTGGGTTCAAAGAAACAAGGCATGTAGATATTGATCTACGAAAATACGCACCGGAAAATAGCGGATTCGGGATCTTCCGGCTTACTGGTATTATTTGGAAGCCATGAATTTGGTATCAGCCAACAGAGAAACGGCCGATGGTGTTATATTAGCAATGATAGTACAATCAAGATGACTTGTGACTTGGATAGAGATGACCTGTCGATACGAGGTGGTATAGCATTTTACCACTAGAGATTGGACGATTTAGCGGCCACCTAATTCCCCATATGTTTGGTATGACAAACCGGACCAACTTGGATACTCATATTGTATAAACTTTAGCCCCTAAAGGCTAGAGACACTTCAACAGCAGTCTCTAAGATAGTTCTTCAATCAATCAATTATATTTATTGGTTCCCGCAGTATTATTCTATACGAATATCCTACGATCCGTTATGACCTTCTGTACCTTGTTTTATATAAATAAGACAGCTTTGACAATGGAACGATCCAGCTATAATCTATTCCCTAGTTAATTGGCTGTTGACTCACCTCGCTATCCTATTATGGTTTAGCCTCGTTATGGTACAAGCCGAGAAACAACACACGTGTGTCTTGAGAGGACTGTTTTCGAATTTTTCTATAGAGTAAGGGCTAGACATAGGATATTGTTGATTTAAGCACCTCAAATAAAAAAGCAATAAGGGCGAAATTGAATAAAGAGGGGGGTTATACATGTGAGCTGGCTGGCTTATACTATTTATTGTAGAGGGCTCGCTTCCTGGCACGGCGGTTCACTCATATCTTCTCTATCGTTAAACCTGCATGGCGGAGATGGCCTTTAGCGCTCTGCTGTTTTACACTAACATTATAGACGCACTGCCGAAGGAAGGCGTGGAACCCTGTTCAAAACTTGGCCAAGCTTTCTTGATATAGTAAGCCTTTAGCTCGGTAAAAAACTCCTCTATGGGATTGAAATCTGGAGAGTAAGGGGGACGTATAGCAACCTGACACCTACATCAGAGCATAACCGTTTAACTCGGTCCGAATGGTGGAAGGATGTATTGTCTATAATAAGTACGGACTTTGGCTCTAGCCACCTTCTACAGTGTTAGAGTAGCTACTTAATAAACGATTCAAATAGCACGGCATCCGTTAAGCCTTTAAAAATCCGAGATAGAAGAATCCCTTCCTAGGTATACGCTAGCAATATCTGATAGCGCTGGCCCCGATGGAATTTAGACACTTGCACCGGTGTCACACCTAATAGTGACCAACTAGTCCGCCTATATCCTACCCGTTTATCACATCCGGACTCATCAACAAAAATAAGGTGGTATGATTGGAACTTAGATAGTTTGTGTTGGTAGAAATCTCGTAGCTGAGGATTCTGCTCTTTAGGTTTTTACCGGGCTGTCTTCTTGGTCTATCCAACCCGAGAAAGCGCACGTTGGATGCCAGATGATGAGGGTAGTACGTTGAACTCGTCCCATAGGAACTTAGCCATCTCCTCGAGATAGAGGCCGGGTATCTTAGCGAGGTAGTTATAAAGGGTGTCTAGCATCACAGAACTAACGATTAGTGGCGGGCCAGGAGGGATTTTAGGAGGATCGGGACTGCCGAACAATCGCATTTTCTTGCGTATGTTAGTGATAGAACGCTCAGTACACTTTGCTAGCTTGGCCACTTGAGATGTAGTCAGTCCTTTCTTGCTGTTTATCTTATGTACAATCATCTTACGCTGCCTAGGGTTCAGGTTTCGCGCCATCTCGAGATGATGTAGGGGTTGAATGGTTGCTGGAGTTTGGGTGAGTAATGTTGGGACGACGACACCCACCCCAGGGGTTGTTATTTTTGGATCAGTATTAATACACACATTACATCGCTCGTCAGTTTGAATTTAACCGTTCCGAACCGAAACATGATCCAAAGTACGGGAATATCTCATGAAAGCCGATGTTGGGCGCTTCTGTATAGATACCGAGGTTATGGAGGTTGAAAGGGCATATCAAGCTAACATGGATATCAGCGGGACAAGCCTGCCATGTCAAGTCGGCCAGCTACGGCACAATTGAGAACTCTCTCGCCGATTAATTTCAACAGGATCGACAGTCACAATCATGATGACTTGGACATCTGTGAAGGATACCGAATAAGTTATATCACTGGGCCCAGAAAAACTGAAAGCCATCGTCATTATTTCAAGTGCAGTCACATGAACCACGCGATTTCAACATCACGGCCTCTTCTTTTTCATTTCACTAACCAAGCTCCAGAACCAACCGCTGAGTGGTGTACAGCTATGGAACTACGCAAAGCAGCCAGATGCTGCGACACCGTAGAAGTGCCCAAAATGGATATGATCCGCATCGCTTCATATCACCGGGGTGAATTAGATCGAATGGTTGCCAGTGCATATCCACCTGACCATGACCGTGTGCGCACCTCACTGCTTCGAACCATCCTTGGAACACCATCAAATCTTGGAAACCTTCAGCCGTTACCGCTTGAGGTTGTTTATGAAATATGCTCCCTGCTCGATATTCGATCCTTATTCAATTTTCGACATGTCAATCGCCGTGCGCTACAAATCGTCAGAGCAACATATGGCTACGAAGAGGTAATCCTGCATGCTTCCCTGGCCCTCTGTGTCATACTCAGAACCAACATCGCATCCTGGTTCAGAATATCCGACTTGTTTAAAACGCTTTGTACGAGGGACTGTCACCTCTGTGGCTCCTTCGGTGGGTTTATATTTCTTCCGTCATTTATGAGGTGTTGCGTCTCCTGTATCAGGCAAAATAACCTTCCCCTGTCTTACCGGCTTCTGTCGTTAAAAGACACTTCAAGTTGAGCCCGAGGCATCTATACAGCTTGGTGCCGACAGTGAAGACATTGCCTGGAACATATTCAAAGGACGGGATTGTGGAAAAGAAAAGGTTGCAAATCAAACCGACAGACTTTGTTAGCAGATTGTTCTCACGCAGGGAAGGTAAAATGACTGAAGAGCCGAGACAAACGGAGACACCACTTCTAGATTATAAGGTGACTACCTCATTACCCTACCTCGATGCTGAAAGCGGCGTAGCACAGAATGGAATATGCTGCAGTAGCTGCCGTTTTCCCTTTAAGACACCTACCGGCTCCTTTTTATCGACGACGAACCTCTGGAATCAGGAAGACAAAGTATACTCCTATGACGGATTCAAAGAACACTTCCGGGAATGTCAAGGGGCTCAAAAACTTTTGGAATTGAGCAATAAAGGGTTCGATGTCTCTGGTGTCTCGCCACGCCTCGAGGCTGGAGAGCTCTTCGTTAAATTGCCTAGGGACCTTAAAATTCTGAAATAATACGTGGACTTCTATCGTTGTTGAGTAGAAAGGGGTGGATGAATGGGTCAATCGCGCACCCTGGGAGTTTATTGTATTCGGAGTCATGTGATCCTGACAGTGAATTACCTAGCTTTTTCCGTTTCCTGTTTCCTCTTCTTTTTCCTAGTCTCGCCAAATAGGTCAACACAATTGAATTTGTCAGAATACAGACCGAGTACATGGATTACCGAGTCCAATACCATGGAATCATGTGATTTTAGACTATGTAAATTGCTTACTAATTGTGTCCGACCAGACTGTCAAAAACGGACCATTGTTGTTTTTTAGTTAGTTAGAGAACTTTACCATCGTGAATTTACCAATACGTTCGCCATATACCTGATTTCCGTCAGTTATAAGCCCGGAATCGCTTCAATTTTAATCTCTTTTCCATCCTTTTGTTAAATCTTATATATATTAAGCCTATATTTGCCTGGTTTTAGACCGGCCCCTAGCTATACGGAGATAATAACCCCTAAATTGAGACAACCCCTAAGAAGTATTAATAATAATATTGGAAATCTATTTGCGAACGTTAATCGAACCGTCACGATATCGGATTACACTCTCTCCGCGAATTCATCCTCTCGCGTCACCTTAAAGGACATATCGAACTAGGAGCTATAGCTCTCGATGATTAAAACTATTATAGAGTAGTTCGACGTCTAGGATCTATATAATCCGGAATTAGATACGGAACCCGCACTTCCGAAAGAACCGATCGAACCGAGTTAGGAGGATCTAAAGAGAGATCATCCAATAGACTAGTTTTATCTATATAGCGTACTAAATACGTAATATAAGAGAAAGCTTAGTATATATAAAAAGAAGCTCTAGGGTAGGAAGATAGTTACAAATACAATCCGCTAGAGTATCTATAAAAAATACTAGGTTTTTATAGACTAGGAGATACTATAGGGACTACTTAGGAATCTACGATAGCGGGTCTTACCGGAGTGCAACCCTATATATAGAGCAAGCCTTCGCACGGTATAGAGGAATCTAGATAGAGGTCTAGATAAAATAATAGATATTAATTAGTGGCTGCTAAATTAGCAAACCTTATAAAAACGCTATACAAAAGTAGGGATTATAGAGACTAGAGAGGCTTTAATCTAATTTCTAGAAGCTATATCAGTGATTTTACCGGAATTCTATATAGCCTAGATCGTTATAGCTAAGATAGCCTCTACTAGTAAGAGAAGCGAGGAAGAAAGATAGGCTAATTTTATAAACCTACTTACCTAGTATAAAGCCTATTAGCTTATAGCCTATAGAAAATAGGTAGTATAAAGAGGCCTATTAAAAGCTATATTTTCAATATAGTAGGGCCACTAGGAAGCTTAGCCTAGAGATTTAATAATAAGTAGTTTAGCTAGTAGATCTACTAGTAAACTAGCTAGGAAGAAACTATCTAATTTTCCTATTAAAAAGCGGTTCTATCTATATAGTAAGATAAGATATATACTATAGAGATACTAGGCTATATTCCTAGAGGATAAACCGGCTAGTATACTAGATATATACCTAGATAAAAAGAAGGTATAGTATAGAGCCATAAAGGTAGACCCTAAATAGAAAGCCTTTATTAAAAAGAAGCGAGTAGAAGAGAAAAACATATAGGCGAACCCAGTTTTCTAGCCTAGAGCACTAGGCTTCTTTATAGCTAAGAACCAGCTAGTAAACGACGTATTTAAGATCTAGAAACCTATAAAGATCGATCAGAAATATTCTAAGATCGATCACGAACATTCTACAATTGATCACGATCATTCTGCGATTAATCATAAACATTCTATAACCATTCACAATCATTCCATATTCTACTAAACTAGTTATAATCCTCTCCACAATAGATAGCTTATCGACACTAGTACACAAGTCTATATTTATAATAACCGGAGGTTATTTATCGAATTTTAGAAGACAATAAGCTCGATTCGGGTAGGAGATATAAAGATAATAGTAGAAGGAATCGGAACTATCTCAATCTATAGTGTTAGCCCTAGGAACGAAGCACCGCTATAAATAGATTTATTTAATATCAAATACTCGCCAGGTTTCTATACGAATATCATCGCCTATAGTTAGATATTTAAGATAATAAGAGCGTTCTTAAACTTTAAGAAGAACTAGATCGAATAAGACGAAATCCCACTATATACTATATACCGGGATTAAAAGCTTCCTTAGTTAGTGTAGCCGAACTAGCTATTAGTAAATATAGCTATAAAGAAGTTAGCTAGAGAACCTATATCTAAAGCCTCTATTAAAACCTAGTATCGTCGCCTAGGCTATATTAGTAAAGAGAGGATTGAAAAACTCACTAAGATAATAGAAGGTATAAAAATAACTAGTTACAACCCTAAGAAGTAAGAGGCTTCGGAGAAATAGATATACAAAGCTTACTAGTTAGTAAATACACCTAGGCAGATCTTATAGAGGAAGATAGGCTAAGCCTATAGGGTACTCAGTAGAGTACACTTTAACCTCGTATAAAATCAGCCTATATATAATAGATATATCTAGTTAACGCATTTCTATCTTAATAGGATTAGATACCACTTTATATTTACTTATATAAAGAAGAAGGACTACTAATAGGCTATTAGGAAGTTTATCGCTTTAATCCGAAACTAGCTAAATATTAGAATTAAAGTCTTCTACTATAATAATAAGCGTAGTGCTAGTAATAAGGTTAAAAACATGATTAAAGCCGAAGGCTACGTTATAGAGCACTCACCTCCTAAGACACTAGAGATAAACGGACTAGTAGAGAGATCCGGAGGTATAATCATCCAAATAGTAAGGGTATTAATCAATAAAAACCCGGATCTACCGAAGACGCTCTAGCCGGAAGCAGTATATATATCAGTATATATACTAAACCGTATACTAATAAAGCTAGTAGATAGAAGATAGATCATACTTTAGATAGAATTGATAAAACTAGCTATACTAGATAGGATAAAGGACTAGCGAATCAACCTTTCAAACCTTAGGGTATATAGCTACTTAGCGTATTCGAGAATCCTAGATTTAAAGCGTATATAGTTAGATAAGATATCACCGAGAGTAGAGATCGGATTCCTAGTAGGGTATATCTCTAAAAACCTATATAGGATCTAGTTTCCGTATAAAGGGGGATAGTATAGAAGGGTAGACGTTATTAGAGATACTATTTTCGATAAAATATAGCGGTATATAACGGCGAAGAAGCTAGAATTAGAAGATACAGTTAGTACGCTAACAAATACGCTAGAAGAGAGAGAGAACTAGCCTACGCTCCTAATATGGGATAAAGCTCAGTCTAAACTAAGTACCTAGATACAGATACCATCATCTATAGCCCGCATCGCCCTACATAATAACGTTCAGCATACACAGCAAGGGCAGGATCCGCATATAGATATAGATTTGTAAGATACAGAGATGTAAGATATAGAGATACAAAATGCAGAGATACAAGATGTAGAGATATAAGATATAGAGATACAGGATGCAGATCTAATAGATAGAGAGATATAGGATAGAGAGATGTAAAGTAAGAGAATTAGAAGATAGTAGACCCCAATTACTATACAAAAACCATCTAATAATATACCAATTACCCTAGCGTCGATCAGACCAACATAGTAAACAGCAAATAGAGGCTATATACCTAGGTCCTTCCTAACAAATCTCTCCTCACCTCCGTCACCTACTTTGCCAGCATCCCATACTATACAAAATCAGCCTTTTTCATCAGAACGGACCCCATTTTCATCATCTTCCGCACTAGATACCCCGGAATCAGCCTCATAAACCCTAAGATCTCTATATATAGACGCTATAGATATAGATCCTAAGTATACCGGTGATAACGAAGTGAGAGATACCGGAATATATAGTGAGAGTAAAGTAAGAGATACTAGAACGTATAGTGAGCCTAAAGTGAGAGATAACACACTACTAGAGCTAGTCCTAACCTCCGCTATATAGATAACCATACTATCTGTTAAGACTAGGGGGGTAGAATACGAAGATAAGATCTTAGAGAGCGAGATATAGCTATAGTAAGAGCTATTATAAACCCCGGTTTTATATATAGGAAGAGATAGATTAGATAGTATTAACACTACAAATATCATCTTAGGATCTAGATCTCGGAAACCCAGGTAGGACCCCGACTATATAGTATATCTCGCTATAGAAGAAGACGAACCACTAGCGCTAGTTCATACATTTAGAGCCTATATAAACCAGAGATTCGAAATAGATCAAAAGCCTAGGAAGCCTTATAGAGATCAGCTTCCCCTAGAGCTATAGAACTAGAATGAAGTCAAATCCTATCTTTACACTAAAGACTTTATAGTAGTAGCGGAATTCGAGATCGATACGCTACGTAGAAAGGAGACCTTCTCCTAGGTTCCGATCCCGAATATACGAACTACACAAATCCTACTATTAAAATAGGTGTTTATATATAAATTTAATACCGATAGTATACTTAATAAGTTTAAAGCTAGAATCTATATATAGGGAGATCTTTAGTAGATAATACCGGAAGAAAAGAGAGCTACTACACTTGTAGTAAAGATAGCGAGAGCGGTTTTTATATTAGTTACTACGTTTGATCTAGATATAAAGTAGCGAGATATTATAAATATATTTCTAAACTCTATCTTATAAGATAAGATTTATACTCGCTGTCCCCCCAGTTTTAAAGTATTAGGCCGATGCTAGATGCTATACCGTACGCTATATAGACTATAGATATCTCTATGTTTATAGTAGTAAGAAGCTACTAGGGTACTAGTGAAACTAGGCCTTACCCCTATACCGGAGGATCTATACATTTTTATTATAAATAGGATTATCGTTTTCTTCTATATTAATGATATTATTATTATAAACTACCTAGATTATATAAAATAGGCTGCTAATCTAGATAATTAAATGAAAAAGCACTAGAAGCTTCGTAAATTTAACGCTAGTTAGTTTCTAAATATATATATTATAAGAGATCGGACTAAAAAGAAGCTCTAGCTATACTAAGATAGCTATATTAAGAGTATAGCGGCGAGATATAGTCTAATCACTAACCGGAGGGTTAATACGCCCCTAAGTATAGAGCTATTGCTCCCCTTTAATAGCGTTACGATAGCGAGCCAGATCTATGGTTTTTAGGCTAAAGTTAGATTAGCTTAGTACGCTACCACGATCTCTAGACTAGACGCTATAAAAGTAACCAGCAAACTAGCTAAATTCCTTCTAAACCCCGGACCGAAGCATCTAGATACTATTAACAGAGTTATCTAATATCTCTACTAAACCCGCTACTATACAATTAAGTACGGAGTTTAGATGAAAGATGAGAATTCTAGCCTACAGCTTATAGCAAAATCTATTGAATTTGTAAGCGATGCATCTTTTAGAGATAATAGAGATCGGAAGAGCTTAGAGGGCTATATATATAAGCTCTATAGTGGTCCTATAGACTAGAAGGCTTTAAAATAGAAGACTGTCACTACGTCTACCACCGAAGCAGAGCTTTTAGCTCTATCCGAAGTAGGCAAAACTGTCCAATAGTGGCGCCGAGTCCTCGAGTCCCTAGGGTTTAAACCCTCTCACAAGCTGTCAATTGTATACGACAATCAGCAGACTATTGATCTGCTAATAAAGGAAGGCGCCACTATACATACAAAGCTTCGACATGTTAATATCAATAGGCTTTGGATGAAACAGGAAGTGAATGCTAGCCGCACTAACGTGTATTAGATTCCTACAGCAGAGATGCCGGCAGATAGCTTCGACATGTTAATATCAATAGGCTTTGGATGAAACAGGAAGTGAATGCTAGCCGCACTAACGTGTATTAGATTCCTACAGCAGAGATGCCGGCAGATAGCCTCACAAAGATACTACCGAGGCAGAAGCAGCAGGCTTTTAGACATCTGCTTGGGATGAGAGAAATCAGACATCTGATTATACCCCAGGAAGGTAGAATTAACAGCTCTTGAAGCATTTGTGAATAGCTTCAAAAGCTGGGGGGTGTGTCAGAATACAGACCGAGTACATGGATTACCGAGTCCAATACCATGGAATCATGTGATTTTAGACTATGCAAATTGCTTACTAATTGTGTCCGACCAGACTGTCAAAAACGGACCATTGTTGTTTTTTAGTTAGTTAGAGAACTTTACCATCGTGAATTTACCAATACGTTCGCCATACACCTGATTTCCGTCAGAATTGCTCTCTTTCTTCTTGCCTTGTGCCCCAGCTGTCCCCACATCCAGGACCCACTTTCGCGACAGCAGTCCGGATCACGTGTCCGATGATCATCAAGCCCCACACACTTTCTTTTGCCTTGCTCGTCTTTCGCATCACCCCAAATCCGACAACAAAGCAGATTCATTCCTATGCACCGAAGCGAACATGATTCGGCATCCACGAGAGAGCCAGCCTGACCGGATAACCACGGAAACAGCTCATTTCCTTGCACCACTCGTTATCTTCCCATGGGGGTGGCCATGATGTGTGGTTATCTCGAGGTCAACAATGATATTCTCGATAGCTGCCGAGATGGAAGAGCCGTAGAATGGTTTAGTGTAAACTATGGTCGAATACACGAGGAAAACTTCGGGCCTTTGGATAGACGTGTCTCGAAGCGTCTAGGTTCCGGACGAGAAATGGACGTGGACATGAGGGGGAATCCATTGGCCAAGTGACCTCTACTGGAGCGATTTTGCTTGTACAATGCGCGCTGAGGAAGCAGCCATAGAATATGATTAATGATTTATGAATATCCATGTATTTTCAAAAAGCTGCAAGCAGTTGGAAAAGCACCATATTGTGTCAAGTTATTGAATTTCTCGCACGAAGTAAACATGTTAAGCACACCATAGATCGGACCAGCGACCGCTTTCACATGCGAACTACCACGGGCCCCACAGCCCCGACTGGAACCTTAGAATTCCCATGAGCCTCATGGGCGGAGCCTCAAACCGTTCGGCCCTTGAAGTATCCTTCGGCGTTGGCATGGATCGCATGTCAGAGCTCACGTTCAATGCCCCCACAAAAGAATCGGGTAGGGCTGACATTTGAAACACAATAGACGGCCAGATATTCAAAATGACATTCGAAGACTCGTAGGAACCTTGTAAAAAGGCCCACTTAATATAACGTCTCTAATATTATGTCCAACAGTTCACTTAACATACATAACACGAATCAACTGAGAAGAATCAGTGAAGACGAAGATCTCACCCTACTAACGCAACGCTGACCGCAATAATACTACAGGAAATTCTAAACATGCCTGCACTCCTACCAGCGCAGCTCGAATATACCATTGCAACCATTGCAAGAAGCCTTGACTCATTACAAATCGACTTCGCTTTGATGGGAGGCGCAGCCGTGTGCCTCACGGCCCCAGACCCCAGCCGACAAACACAGCACGTTGACTTAGTGATACACGTCGATCAAACGGTGAGCTGCAACGAGAGCATGTCAATTACGGCCGTGCTGTGGTTTCCTGGGCCTACGGTATTCCCTGGGTCGCCGTCTCCCGTACCGGTCATATGCTAGGTGGCGGGTCACAACAATGGGGAGCGATACCAGTCAAACTAAAGGACGTTAGGGACTGGGTCTTTGGGCCTGTCATCGCGTCCCAGACAGTGCTGATTGATTGCTTCGAGCGCCAGTGGATGACACACCGCATTATCGACAACCAACTAAAAAACCGCAGATCTGCTCACCTAAAGACTATTGAATTCATTATCATCTGACTTTGGCCCAGTGAGCCAGTTCGGCCACATTATTGCGGGATACAAACTAAATTTGCCTGAAGGCGACGTACAAGGATGTCGAGGTATTCCATTTCAGAAGCTGGTCAACCCGACCTCAGTACAATCTTGAAACAGCGACACGAGTGACGAAAACCATCAATCACCGTTCGACTTCACACCAGCCATGACCATTTACGATCAACTACTCTTCCATCGGGTGGTTTTCGTCAACCTTAGAAAGATCTTTAGCCCTGGATGGCTCACTCGGCAGAAGATACTTTCGCAATACCAGCGTCGGGGCATTAAGCATGCTTCCGATATCGAAGATGTGACCCGTCCGATGCGATATTGTGTGCGCAACAAACCAGAGCTCAACTTCAACGACCAGACCAACAATTCCAACTTGCATTGTCAAGCATCCTGGAGGAAAAGCCCCGGCTACGAAGCGGCCTCCATCGAGTCGTCAAATGCAGTGAAGTATTTGGGAATTTGTAAGATTCCAGCTGTTGTATGTTTCTGGGAATGTTGCTAATGAAATCATACTTGTTGCGAAGAGCAAAGGAAAGGCTCCTACGGAATGGTTTTATCAGGTTCACCATTGATGTACTTGCCGTGCTCCTTTCTATACGTTTTATAGATACACATTTTATACCTCATCTTGCATCTCTTTTTGGCATCTTTTAGACATCTCTTTTAGACATTTCTTTGACGTCTTCTTTGACGTCTTTTTTGATATCTTTTTTGATTTCTTGAACTTAATACATCTGTATTCCTTAATTAATCCCTGTGCAACACGTCCACGCCATACTCTATGCGAAGTCGATACGAAAACATTGCCATCCAGGCCAACTGTGTCGCTTCTTCTCCTCCTCTCCCCTCTTCTACCTCTTGTCTGGTACACTCAACACTTATCATACATAGATGCACGTATCATGAATCGAACGATACGCAGTATACATACTAAGATATACCATCAGGTGAACACCATAGTTGACCTGAACCAACCAGACCCGGGTTGTCTAACGTGCCGTGATACTTGGTGTGGTCACCTAACGCAAACAGCACCCCAGGATGATCATGCCTTCGGACATCTCTGACACTAATGTCGGGATGGAAGTTTAATGCACAGATACTTTTCACAACCTGAGGCACCCATCTCTCTAAATGCCTGAGGAACCTTCCACCTTGCCTGCCAAATGTATCTTCCTCTCACTTCGGTTCCTCGTATAATTAGTAAGAATTGGTTTCAAGGATAATATTTGGTCATCCTTACACTATCTTCCCAATTGCCCAATTAATGGGATCTAGGCCGTAGACCTACGAATGTGAAGCCTTGCAATAGATATGGACTGTCGCTGAGCTACCATAATCCAAATCGCTTGGATGGCATTATTTTGGTATGCGTTTTTGAACATTGTTCTCCTATCATTGGCTACGCAAAGGAATAGATAGGGGAAAAGAGTGAAAAGAGGAGGGTTTATCTGAAGAACAACGGGTGAAGAACCCAAGTGGGGTCAGCTAAAGCCCCCAAACTCTCAAGATCCTGACGACAGATATTGTGCTGATCGTCTTCCTAAATAGTAAGCCAAGACGTTGACTTTTTAACAGTTTTGGGGGCTAAAATGACAACTCAAGCCAAACTCTCCGAAGGATCGCTGAAGGGTTTCTTCCGATCCACCTGGGCCCGCTTGGAGGAACTAGATCCCGCCGCTATATTCCCTACGCGAAGGTGGAGGGGGACCCAAGAAGATATTCAGCACACTGTCTCTGATTGAATCTAATCATAATTGGAAGGAATAAATAAAAATCACCAATTAATTAAAGGACTAGATACTCGAGGAAGACGCGCGGTTGTATAATTAAGCAGACAAGTCAGGGCTTACGTGCAGGGTTATCTAACTAAATTAGTTAATTAATATGCACTCTTGAACACATGGGCCGTGGTATGACGAAGGTTAAAATTGAGAGAAACCTCAGGATCTCACCAACTAGAATGGACTATTTCCTACACTCCATTTTCTGTCCATGTAGTGATACGCTCTGTGAGAATCAGCCTTTCATACAAAGATTAGACTTCGAAATATGCTTCATAGTTTACATATTTTTGGAAAATAGCCTGTTTTGCCTGGATAAAATGTATGAACGCTCTATGGAAAGGAAATTCCGTCAGTCCCACTGACTTGGAGATACCCCTGAAGGCGGAGGATTGATATATTCCCCAGCTTATCACGATACCAGAATTCACTCAACTTGGATAACAAGACAAGCGGTGGGGTTCACAATGCGCTAAACCCGTAGTAGAAGGAGATATATAATGCAAATATTGTGCTTCATAACTATCAATCCCGATCTCCTTACATTGGCTCCGACGCGTCTCCCCCAACGGTGCACATGCTTCATAATAGTCATCCCACTTGCATCGCATATTGCATAATGTCCGAACAATATTGTCCATTGCCTAGGTAACTTCTATTGGTCACAAATCACTATCCATCGAAACCAAGAATGAGAAGCTTGGCCTTTTCATAACAAGTTCGACGATTCCCGGCGCACGTCCTTCCGCGGTTGAAAGGGCGCCCACACACCCTTCCGTTCTCGACCAATTCAAAGATTTTATGTATACCGAACATCCGGCTACTATCGCCTTCTGGGGTTACATCAGTTGGCGTGTGATCAGTCCTTGGGCTATTATGGTAATCTCTGGATCCGCGGAAGACCCTTGATACCAAGTCACAAACCACTGGATATGGAGTAGCATACCCATCTAATGTATCTCTTGCTTGATCTGGATTGCTTTACAGGTGGGGAAAAGCATCCGACGAAACCCGCGATCCACCTTGCCACGTATGGACGTGTGTGCATGGATACAAAGCGCCCCGCACCTTCCATGCGGTGAGGGCGTCGACCAAGTGGAGCGGGATTTCTCCTATGGGGGGAAGATTTTCTTCGCATGCGATGCGAACCAGGATTCACGGGTCTGTCCCTTCTCCCGAATAACCGTTGGTTCTATCGCAGGTGGACTAGCCGATAATATGACCTATCATACCACGCCAAATTATTGAGGGAATATTCCACGTGCATACTTCAGAACCAGATTAACGTCATAAACAAAGAAAACATCTTGGCTGCTACGAAGGTTCAGACACTCGCCGGTTTTCCGTGTCCGTGCTGGATCGGTTGGATATATAAACTGTCTCCATTGTCGGGTGTTCCCTATTTACCCCAAACGAACTTGAACATGACTACGTGCGGTTATACATTTTCACACCATGGGATCGTCTCTCCTGCTGGTCGAATTAATCTTCCAATTAATATAACAGGCCATATACCCAATTATAAACGTCTCAACGATGAGCCTGTGGTTAAGACATGTGAAATCCCCCTGGGAATACGGGATGCATCTCTCCAGGTTAGCCAAACACTATCATTTTTGAAGAATTCCCGGCTGAATAAGTTCAATGTAGCTCAAGATCCCTCATTACGACATAGTCCCTCTCAATCCAGCTCCTCCATCGGCCGTCCTCTATTCACATGCTAATTTCAAGGCTTCGATCCAACCAGAGAAAGCTGGAGATACCAAAGACTTCTATGACAGGTGCTTCGCAGAAGCCGCTGCAATTAATCTGTTTTTCCCCGATGTACGATCGGAAGGGATCCGCGTATGCATGACCGCATGGCTGGCTGCAAACTGCGCGGCGGATGACATACTTGAAGCTATGCCGCCGGCTGCAGCCACACTTGCGTTGCAGGAGGCAATCTCGAAGCTGCAGGGAAAGAAGGCAAACGGTATGTAGATCAGAATCAGCTGCGTAAAGATCCCGAGTACTCATATTGATCCTTATCAATAGTCCCTCCGACAAACAAGGTCGCGTCAATCCTTTGCTTCTTCCAAGAATATTGCACCCAGCAACTTGACCTCAGTGAGAGTACCGCCCGCGAACTCAGCAATGATATATGCGATATGTGCGAGGGCTTGCTTGATGAGCTCCTATTTCGACAAGACATGTTGCCTAACAACCTGGAAACATATCTGCGATTCCGCGGTAGGACGATGGGGATACATCCATTTTTCACTCTCATCCGGACATTACACACACCAGTCGAAGTAGAATATCTCTCCCGCCTGCGAGACCTCCAGAAGAGGGTGAGTTTGGTGCTAGGGCTACAGAATGACCTCGTTGGTCTGGAGAAAGATCGTCGGAATGGCGAGACTATGAATGCAGTCTTGGTATCACTAAAGGAACAAGCGAGGACGGAAGTGGATCACATGAATATGATATTGCCAAGGACGATTCAAGAGGTGTGTGGTATCCACAATTTGTGTCTATCGGATGCAGTGGAGATGCACGCCGGACTCCGCGATTCGCTGAATGGGGATGTCCACGACGCGGTTCTTGAAACTGTGATTCTGGCCTTTGCTGACACACATCTGAAATGGTGTGCTTCGTCTAAAAGATACCAGGCCAAGGTTGAATAGGTAATTGGTTCGGGTTAGTTTAATTGGGCTGAATATAAACATGGGGTTTAAAGTATACGATTGAGTTGTCTCCACTTAGTTCATCACACTGCAGACGCCACGATGTGATAGACAGGTGCACATGCAGTGTGACCTAGTGTAATAGGTTAACCCGAATATGAATACGGGGAGGCTCGAGGAATGTGATACGCCACGCTTGAGCTGCATGTGTCCCAAAACATTGGCGGTGAGAGATGTGGCGATGGATTCGTGAATGGATGGGGCTGCGTTATTTGTAGGGATTGTCGTGGTGATAACCAGGGGTATACTCTTACATGTTGTGGTATTGTGTGGGTTGCAGATGAATCCTATAGGTCACCAAGACCTCAATATTAGATTTACTAGAAGTACTAGATAATGGGGCATTATTTGATGCTACTGCAGGTCTACTCGTAGGAGCTGTCATGTGATATAAGTTGGGAGCTTTGTACGCGGAAGACTGAGCAGGCAAAATTCACTATTGAAATGGTACTTGAGACATACATATGGTCCTGGGAATGGGTTGTGCTAGTAGAGACTATTGAGGTAGGAAGTAAGGACGGGTATGGAAGATCGGCCAAGCTTTAGGTGTGGGAGAACAAAGAAATTTGAGTTTCCTGAGCATAGGTACCTCAACATGGCTGTTTCCTCTTTGGGTTTCAACCTTGTTTTCTCTCGATGCGCACGTCCAGTTTGAGCCAGATGAGATAGCTGGGACCCTCCATGGCTGTGTCTAGACCTGGCCCTTGGATACGACACCTCTTCCCTGGAACTGATCCCGCCTCCTGTCGGTCTCTCTCACAATCAGTTCATGGCCTGTCCTCCTGTTCGCTGCACTACACCCGCGCGCGGTAGTGAAGGGGCATTTCTTTCCCCGATTAGATGGCTTTCCTAGCACTAGCCTTTATCAACTCCCAATTCCCTGTTCCACCCACAGGATGCCCCAATCAATACGGAGCACCGTAGGGAACGGTCATGTCCCACATAAAGGAAGAGCCACACCAGGCGGTATTGCTCAAATGCGTCTGCCGAGGAACTGGAAAGAGAGATCCGGAATACTAAGAGAATGATTCGCAGCATAGAGACAAAATGCCATCGAGGAAGGACGGGCCCAGAGGGCCTAAGTGTGCTCACCCTAGTCATATACGGTCCCTCCGGAAAACGGTGTCACCACCTACACTCATCGATTTATTTTTAGGCCTTGCCAAGCGGGCGAGGATAATTTCGGCTCGGGATAAATGGATCCCAGTATTGTTCCTTTCATTTATGTACGTACTGTGTAGATAGCCCTGAAGCCCGTAATTGAGTGAACGGCGCGGGGGCTGGGGGCCGCCCCCGACGGAAATAGTAAGCAAACAGGCGGGGTTGAACATGTGACTGAACATACTCACGCTTGTCAGGAAATTCCCAAACAACATTCATAAACTGCGCATAACATAAAGGCACAGCCAGGCCATATCGAAGCACGCGCCAAAAGCAGAAGTTAAAAGCTCACCTCACTCGTCATTGGAGCGGATCGAGCCCTAACCAGAAAGATGGCAAGTCAGTTTGATGAGATCGGGACGAGGTCAGCAATCAACAAAGTCATGGATACTCCAGAAATTCTGGAGATGATCCTGGCTGGGACGGATATGCGCACGCTTCTCACATCTGCTCAACGAGTCTGTCGCAACTGGGCGAGTCTGATCCGCAACTCGCGGTCAGTTCAAAAGGCCCTTTTCTTCATTCCAATCAAGGACTCCGAGTGGGGAGTAGGAGAGAAGATACCAAACCCGCTATTGACGGAGACTTTTGCTTCTTTTTTCCCTACCAAGAACAGACCGGATACCTACCAGTTCGACTTTCACGACTTGGTCATGACCAGAGACGCCTCAACCATGGCTCGATTCATAAGAGCAGATGCAAGCTGGCGCAAGATGCTAGTCCAGCAACCTCCCATCTCGAAAGTTGGACTGTTCCATACTTGCCACGGAATGGGCGGTGAAAGCGCTGAAAGCGCTAGCATCCCAGTCAGTCTCCAACCCGCACCCCGATCTGATTTCAAATCCTGGTAGCTAATATGTGGTACGTAGGCGGATAAGAAGATGCAAGAATGCGGATACGATGGTTTTCGGATGGAAAGGCTTGTTGAGCTTTTGCTTTTTAGTTGCCGGGTTGAATTTTCACCGTTTACTCGAGCACGGGTGTATTGGTCTACCGAGGAGCCGATTTCATTTGCAGGAAGCTTCCACAATATTAAAGATGCGTTTCATCGGGCGTTGAACACGTTCGGGTTGGTTGTTCACACGCGCAAGGAGGTACAGTGCTCTGTGGTGGTACAGTGCCCTATGGACATGGTTCGTCCTCTAAGTGCCGAGGAGCTCACCAGGAGAGAGATTATCAGGGCACATACAGAATGTGGTGTGGATGTTGATCTTAAGAAAAGGGATCTCGAAGACTCAATCGGTGAAAGAACTGACTTAAGGGGGGGTTGATCGCCTCAGTAGGTACGGTCTATGGTAATCGTCATGTATATCGCTGGTTTTCCTCCGTCCTCTAGTCCTCCCGTCCTAGCAAATTGCAAAAAGAGAAATTGGTCAATTTATCATTAAAGCAAATATGCAACTATATCTCAAATACTTCCGCGATCTATACAGAGTATGGAGCATATCGTAGGCAACGGTCGACTTTATATTTGCTATCGAGATAGCGGTACGCAGCGGCATAGACGCCATGCGACAAAACCTCCTTTCCCGTAATTATTAATGCCTTAATGCCTGATTCTGGCCTGGTTCTTGACCGGTTCTTACACCGCTCTATACAATGTATTGTAAAAGTCTCCAGTGTAGGTAAAATGAAGCTTTTTCTCCTATACAAATCTCTGCATCTCCAATTTTTGAGGTGGTTTCTGGTTTACATGCCTCCATATATGAAAATGAAGCCTTTTCCTCTTATACAAATGCATACATTTCCAAGTTTTGAGGCGGTTTATGTTGTACATATGGAGAGAGAGCACCTCGAAAATTGGAGATGCAAAGATTTGTATAGGAGAAAAAGCTTCATTTTCATACATCGAGACATGTAAACCGCCTTAAAACTTGAAAATGCATGCATTTGTATAAGAGAAAAAGGCTTCATTTTCATATATAGAGGCATGTAAACCACAAGCCACCTCAAAAATTGGAGATGTAGAGATTTGTATAGGAGAAAAAGCCTCATTTTACCTACACTGGAGACCGCTATTATGAAGGCAACTGTCATAGTAATTCAGGTATTTTAATTTTCTGCCGATCTTAATTCAGGCCCTAAGGCCAAAGTCAGGCATTAAGGCATTATTAATTGCGGGAAATGGGGTTTTGTCGCATGGCGTCTATGCCGCTGCGTAGCTATCGAGATAGCGGAGCTTGGTGGGGCCGCCAAGAGACACAAACACCTCGCGGGTCTTGGCGACCACACATACAACAGTGACATGGCAACGATGAGAAAAACACTGATTGATCTCAATCGGAAGTGAAGTCTATAAATTTTGGTATTGAATGAGCGAATATTAGCGTGGTTTATATTTGCCGGGTTCAGCCAGGCTAATACTAAAAAGGCTAGTGTGGCAGTTTGGCAAAGAACATGTTATAACATGCAACATATATATACAGGACCTTGCAAGGTTGCACGACCCCAGTACACTATCGTCATCACAATATCGAACCGATCGATCCAAACGAAGAAAAGTACACAGACGCCAAGGCGTAGCGGAGGCTAAATCTTGATTTCGGAAGTTAAAAACCGGAGAATTTGCAGTGTAGCCGTTGCACGACCTACAATAATAGTACATATACATGGGTGTATCAATGGTAGTTGCAATTATATTATACCATTTGGAGAAGAGTATGAAAAGTAAACACAATATTCCTTGAATTTGGACGATGATAGCCAATGACTTGTGTGGCTGAACTCCCCACCAAAATATATTAAAAATGATCTCATACCTCTACGCTCATGCCTCTGACAGGGACCCCGACCCTGAGCCAGTTTTTCTGTTATTACTGTTCTTTATGGCTTGTGAATATACAAAGTACACAACTCAGGGATAGTCGCACAAATATTCTAGGTGGTTCGTGAAATCGTCATTGAATAGAATGTTTATTGCAGGTAAATGAGTCCTATATTGTATATCAAACGCTCACGTGGAGAAACATTGAGTTCCTGGATTGTTGCACTGCTTAAGAGTTTTTATATAACTTCTGATGTAATGATGATCCGGAGTGCGGCTGGCGAACCGGGGTTTTTCTTTTTGATTTCCCTTCTCAACAGGGACAGTGACAGAAAGTGACACGTAGTGGAGGCAAATCTTATAGTGGACACCATATGTGGTCTCTGATAGATCTGTGATTTGTTTGTCCACGCCTTTCCACGTTTTGCGACAGCGTGGCTTCGGGTTGAATCCATGGAAATGTCCTGATATTGACCAATCATGTTACATCTTAGATTTCAATTGTCTGGATAATCTAGACTTTAGGTCAGGAACATGACATAGATGAATTCAATATCACAGTTCTACTCGGAGAAGATGCCATCCGTGCAACGAATCAGACATCTATACTACAAGCAGTAGGCGCGTACTATTGTACAATGTCGGTGCCTCCGAGTTGTACAGCTTAAACTCCCCTCTATGCTAAGAAACACAGCGTTCCACCTCCACTCCCCTTCTACACCCCGATTTAGCCACAGTCCCTTTAATATCCCAGTCGGGCCCTCTGATTCGTGCGCCAACCCTGCAGTACTATATGGATCAACCATTTCCCAGACGAATCCCCACTTGGCAGGTCATCTAATCGCTCCACTTCATGATGCCGATGATGCTACTAACGGCCTTACCACACGCTAGTCATACGTTGTATAGATTAACTCTATGACGATCCTCCGAACAAGGATTTCGTGCAATACTGATACTAGGGAAAAGCCGTTATGATATCAACGGACTATGACGTAGTAGGCTCTGCAGGTATTGTGCCTGGGTACTGTGCCTATATAGACAGCTGTGAGAGTAGGATTGTTCGATGATATATCACTTAACTCTTTATATAAACGCTTGAACCCGCCGATGAAATTATTCTTTTGATTATTCAAAACTATTCTATTTCAATCTATCTAGAAACTACCACCTACTCCCGAACTACACCCTGTTCCCGGGATTTGTACATTATCATTCACCAGCATACGTTTTCACGAAGTATACCTCACACCCCTTAACGAAAACAACTGCATTGTGTTCAATTTGCAATTACACAACTGGATTTTGATTCTTCATATCAACAACACACCAACCCATCTCAAGCCCACCCATCCAATCCCGAACAAAAACAACCATGTCCTCCCCCGCCGTGAGCAAAGCACCCCAAAAGTTGGGCTCCAAGGCCGGAACCCCCGCCAAAGCCCGCAAAGGCTCCGACTCCAGCGCAGCCAGCAAACCCAGCACCGCCGCCGCAAGCCCAAAAGCCACAAAGAAGTCAACCACACCCCGCAAACTCTCCCAGAAAGCCCCCGAACCACTCGACGACGACATCGAAGAGCAATCCGTCCCAGAGACACCCTCCCCAAAGTCGAAGAAGCGCACCGAGCAGCGCCGTCCCACCTCCCCACCAGACGATGCCGCTTCCCAGGCGCCTTCCGCCTCCGGCTCCGCAGCCCCCCTCGGCCGTGCCTCCGGCCTGACCGGTAAGGGCCTCGCCGGCAAGACGAAGGAGACAGCCCAGCAGGGTTCCGAGAGTGTCCAGAATGGTGCTAAAAATGCCACCGAGTCTGCCACCGATAACCTTCCTGTGCCGTTTGACCTGTCTGCATTGAAGGGTCTTGACGTCGGCGAAGGCGGGGATATCCTCGGACAGGACGGGACACCCATTGGCAAGGTTGTCGAGGGGGATGCGGAGGATCTCGTCGGACAGACTGTCGGCGATGACGGGGAGATTCTCGATGAGGAGGGCGATTTGATTGGTCGCGTCGATATCCTCCACGAGGTCGCGGACCAGGCTAAGAATTCCGCCGATGATGCTCAGCAGAACGTCGGACAGGTTAATCTGGAGAATGTTGTTACCGATATCGCTCAGCTTGAAGGGCTTCCTGTTTCTGATGGCGGTGTTATCAAGAACACTGCTGGTCAGATTGTCGGCCGGATTGTTGAGGGGGACCCTGAAGACCTTATTGGGTATACCCTCAATGAGGACGGTGAGATCGTTGATGAAGAGGGGGATGCCATTGGTCGTGTTGATTTGATTCCTGTTGAGGAGCAGAAGAAGGCCATTGAAGGGGCTTCTGGCGATGTCACTGACAAGGTCGGTGGTGCTAAGGACGATCTTGAGGATCAGTATGAAGATGCTCAGGATGGCCTTTCTACCGATCAGGGTAAGAGCGCCGTTAGTGGTGCGGCTGAGGAGGTTGAAGATGATGTCTCCGATGTCGAAGGGAATGCCGACAAGGCTAAGTCTACTGCCGAAGATGCCGTCGTCGACGCCGAAGACGCTACTGATGCCGTAGATGGCACAGTCGACGATGCTAAGGACACCGCCGAAGACCCCAATAAAGACGCCTCGGATGCCCTCAATGAGAAGGTGGGAGGTACCAAAGACACTGCCGAAGATACCACCAAAGAGGCCAAGGACACCACCGAAGACGCGGCTGAAGACGCACAGGAGACCGCCGAGGATGCTGCCGAGGATGTCGAGAAGCAGGTGCCTGGCCTCGAAACCCTCGAAGGTAAGGTCTGCAACAAGCTCGGCTACATCATCGACAAAGCTACCGGCAAGCCTGTTGGCCAATTAACCGAAGGCGACCCGAAGAAACTGTCTAAGCTCGGCGCAACACTCGACGACAAGGGCCAGTTCTGGGACAACCGCGGCAACGTGATCGGCCAAGCGAAGACGCTCCCGATCGAGGAGGACGAAGGCCAAGAAGGGCCGTTCTCCGGTCTGGAAGGCCTAGTCGTCGGTGAAGACGGGTTCGTCGAAGACGAGAACTCGAACCGCGTTGGTCGCCTGATCGAAGGTGATGCGAAGAAACTGAGCGGCCGTGGCGTTGACGAGGATGGCGAGGTCCTCGACCGTAAGGGTAACGTCATTGGGCGCGCTGAGCGCCTTGAACCCGAGGAGGAAGAGACTGGACCTGATTTCTCTGCGGTTAATGGGCTCTCATGCAACAAGGCTGGGTATGTCATCGGACCCGAGGGGTATCCGATTGCCCGTGTTGTCGAGGGAAATCCCAAGGAGCTTGCCGGTAAGAAGATCGAGGACGGCGAGATCTACGACGGGAAGAAAGTCGTTGGCCGTGTTGAGCTCATTCCCGACGATGAGATCGAGAGCAAGCCGGAGGGTCCCTTCGCCGGTATGGAGAGCCTGTTTGTGACCAAAGATGGGTTCGTCGAAGATGACGAGGGATCAATTGTTGGTAAGCTTATTGAAGGTGACTCCAAGAAGCTGCGTGGTCGAGCTGTCGACGAGGATGGCGAGATCACCGATAAGTACGGCAATGTCAAAGGTCGTGCTGAGCCCTACGAGCCTCCCCAGGAGGAAGCCCCTACCGAGGAAGACTTGTCTATCCTGGAGGGCAAGGTTGTCAACAAGGCTGGAAACGTTGTTGACCCCAGCACTGGTGCAGTGGTCGGACGCATTGTCGAAGGTGATAAGCGCCTCGCTGGATGCAAGGTCGACGGCAAGGGCCAGATCTGGGGTGACAATGGCAAGATTGTTGGACGTGCCGAGCTCATCCCTGGGGCTGAGCAGGACAAGGCTGAAGGACCATTCTACGGATTCGACAACGCTGTCGTCGGCAAGGACGGGGTCGTGCAGGACGGCGAGAAAATCGTCGGACGTCTGATTGAAGGAGACGCTAAGCGCCTCCTCGGCCGCAAGGTTGACGAGGATGGTGACGTCCTCGACAAGAACGGCAACACGATCGGTAAGGCTGAGCGCTGGGAGCCCGAGGAGAAGAAGCGTGATGTCAACCCCATGTCTGGGCGGAAGATCACCAAGGAAGGCGAAGTCCGCGATGCGGATGGCAACCTTATTGGCAAGCTGACCTCGGGTAACCTTGCCACGCTGATCGGCAAGACCGTCGACGACAATGGCTATGTTGTTGACAACGATGGTAACAAGATTGGCGAATGCACCTTGCTTGAGAACATTCCCGAGCCTGAGGCCGAGGAGGAGGAAGAGGCAGGACCCACGCCCGAAGAGCAGGAGGCTGCAGCGAAGGCCGAGTCCGACCGCCAGCTCGCGCAGAAGATGATCTCCATCCTCAGCCAGACTCTCGATCAAGTCAAGCCTGTTTGCAAACAGATCACCGAGGTAAGTTCTAACCTGATATATAGCTTTTCACGCAGTAGTACTAACACAACATCCAGGCCTGCGAGAAAGCCGATCGCACCCCGAAGGACGAACTTGACGAGGAGAAGCTTGTCCAAACGGTCAAGCCGCTCCTCGAAGAAGGAGGGCGCATTCTGCAAGAGTGCAATGGAGCCATCCGTGCACTCGACCCCGATGGACGGGTTGCCGCGACAGCTAAGGCACGCGCTGCTTCCCGTGATGCCACTCCCGAGGAATACCAGCTTGCCGACATGATTAAGGAGCTGACTGAGACGGTCATCAAGACCATTGACAACGGCAAGAGACGCATCGCTGATATGCCTCATGCTAAGAAGAAGCTCAGCCCCCTCTGGGGTCTTCTCTCTGAACCATTGTTCCAGATCATCGCTGGCGTTGGTTTGTTGCTGAACGGCGTGCTTGGACTGGTTGGTCGTCTGCTTGATGGTCTTGGTCTTGGTGGGTTGTTGAATGGTCTGCTTGGCAGCCTTGGATTGGACAAGTTGATCAATGGACTTGGTCTGGGCAGTTTGACTGATGCTCTTGGACTGGGAAAGAAATGAAAAACCGAGACGAATTTGGGGTGAACTTTTGATTTTGTCTGTTCCGTTTTTGCAAGCGTTGATTGCTTTGGTTTTGTACTCTAATTTCCTGTACTATGTTCTCTGTCAATATTAATTAACTTGATTTTGATTTTGATTTTGATCTATTCACAAATATTAATATTCTCGTAAGTACAGATATGCAGTGTAGCAGGGTGCAATTTCCATGCTTGGTTTCATCAAAATCCACCCCTCTGGGATTGGTTATATCTCTCATCAGATCAAGATAATACCACATATGTAGAAGGAATGGACATGTTCATAATTACAATGAGGTTGAACATTTAGACAATGCGCCGCTCTGGGCGCTTTTTGTGGCAACTCCAACGGGAGTTGCCCGATTGAACTAGTGTCGATCGTCGATTCTTCGATAGATGATGGCGTGGCGTATACTAAGTTAATGTGTCTTGGATGTGTCAGTCGAAGCGTGAGACTGATCGAGGTGGGACGATTCACCGAGGTTGCGATAGGCTCTGTCTCTGGCAGCACCCTTATCCTTTCGAATAGTAAGGCAGTTGATGCCGAGGAAAGTCGTGATGCGGTTGATGACGAGGACAGCCCAGTGCATGTAAATAACGAGAGCGAAAAAGAAGTACACCCAGAGATAAAGCAGTTCCAGCCATGGGGCAACGACCGGGAAGCCGATCACGGGCAGGTTGATCAGGACCGCGCCAGCAACGAGGGGAGCTTGCATGATAGTCCAGAGGGGGAAGGGCTGTCTCAGAAGATGGGCCAAAATGACCATGGTGGTCATCCGTCCGAAGACGAATGCCATAACCCAGCAGAATAAAATGAGGTGATTCCCGGAAAGAATAGTTGAATATGGCGAGAACAGCCAGGCAATGTTGGAGATGGTGAAGACAATCATAGGCACCCACTCCTTAAGCAAAGGGGTGAACGGCAGCCCCTGCTTCTTGCGGGCCTCAGCTACATTCATAACACATCCGGGAAGATGTCCGAGGAAGAAGCCTCCCAGGAGAATTGGGACCCAGAGGTCTTTAACGGAGCTGTTGCCGAAGATCTGGGGGAAGTTAAGGAACCCAACAATGGGTTGAGACCACATTCCAGGACCCCAGATTCCGGAGGCAATCATAGTTGCACAGGCAATGAGGAGGCCCTCAGTCGGGCCATTGAAGTAGCCGAGGTAGAGCGTGTGGGTGTGGAACGTCTCCCATGTCGAGAAATACATGGCCAAGCAAGGCACGATTGCAGTCCAAGCACCAATTTGTGAGGCTCCAAAGCCCATTGCGGCTGTCGAGAGCAGACTGGCCAGAGTGCAGTTCAAAGAGTCGATACCGTGACTGTACCTGATTAGTGATCCATCCATGGCTGTTCGGAGTGCGGTACAAACTCAAAAAGTTCCCCGAGTCCGCTGGACGTCCCCGTTCGGCGCGCCTGTTTACCATCCACATTGTCGAGGGTAGAGTACCTATTTTCGTGAGTCGGAATCATATAAATGGAGGGGTAGCCGGTCACTCACATCCACATGCCAAGAGCGAAGCTGTAGTAGATCCAAGCGGGGCCCTGAAATATCTGGTTAACTCGCCACTTCCAATAAAACACCGAGTAAGGAACAGGAACAAGAACTCACGGGTCCCACCATATCTGGCACGAAAATCTGAATGATGAAGATATTCCTACGATCCACATGAACCCAAGAAGGGTCACCATGTTCGGGGCCATCCACATCGGCACAAGTTCGACGAAGGCATTCCACTAAACCGAAGAAAAGTCAATCGCTTATTCCGAACGTAACTCGTACAAGGTTCGAAAGGTTGTCATACATAGTGCTTCAAAATATACCGAGAAATGAACGACTTGTCCACAGCGGAATACTTGTAAGACTTAAGGGGTAGGAGGGCATCGTCGGAAAGGGAATCTTGGGTCTCTGTAGAGGTGGACCATTCGAGTTAGCGTATGGTTGCGAATAAGTATGGTCAACAGTCTTCCTATCACTAACCTTGGACCATCCGGTAGATTGCGCTCATTTTTGGAGATTGGGCTGGGTCAGGCGCGGAATTGGAGTATAGTCGGGGGAGTAAACACCAGCACCTCTCAGTTCATAGCGAGATGGGCAAAAAAAGAGTAAAATAGACAAATGCACACCAAATCAAATCATGCCTTTAAACACAAATGTCGACTCGCAAGAATACGTGGAGGAAAAGGAGAAGTGGGAATTGTTCCAGATGGATTTTCAGGTCGGAATCACGTGCCTTGCTCCGCATCGGGAACGCGAACAAGGGAAGCTCGACTTGACCGAATCCACGCGGGATTTGCTGGTGCATTGTTCGGACTTAAGTCGCATTGCCGCAGCCAGTATTGCCCTCGAGCGCATTGATTGGGCCTCACTTGACTTTTCCCTTACTCTACAATCTACCTCAGCGCCGTGCGATAATCCATCCAGCACCATAATCGCGTAATCGCCCATCTCGCATTTCACTGTCATCTGAAGCTTTAATCTGCGCCACGCCAACTGCTTTCGATTTCTTTCCCGCCCTCGACACTACAATCACATATTGAGCCTGGTTGGATATGACGGTGGATGGTCTTCAAAGCGCTCCCCGCGCGTCTCGTTACTGAGCAATCTTATCACGATGCCGGGTGTTGTCGAACTCCCCGTTGGTGCCGCGGCACGCCCGTTTGATCTGGGATTCAGCGTGGGACATCAGAAGGTCGAACTTGACGTTGATCTAGCCTCCAAAAGTCTCAGAGGAACCACGGAAATCACAGTCCACCCTCGCCGCCGAGACCTAGGTACAATCTGGCTGAATTTTCGACAAGGCGAGGTCAAGCACTTGAGCGTGAACGGCAAGCCTGCAACAACGAAATACACTGATGAATACGATTCGCTACAACTGTACGGTGTACACTACCATGAACGATTGACACCAAAGATCCACAACCTCTTGCAAACCCCCCCAAGACCTAACCTACCCATCACTATTCCAAAGGGCGTCCGCATCGAAGAACTGGATCCATCTTCAGCCGAGGCACAGGACCAAATTGCGCTACAATCTACCGTCGAAAATGTGGATGGCCCTGCGAGTGCCAGGGCGCCAGAAGCAAACCTTCCGCGCTTCACGGCTCTGACAGTGAAAATCGGATTTGTTATTGATAATATTCGGGACGGCTTACAATTTGTCGGTGTCGAGAATGGGGATCAACGGTACCCTCATGCCTACACCACCAATTCACTCGAGTCTGGTATCGGCTGTCCTTTATTCCCATGCGTGGACGATGTGTCCTCGCGATGTACCTGGGAAGTTTCTATCACATGCCCTAGTTCTCTTGGCGATGTTTTCGACCGGAAGAACCGAGATGTGTCCGGTGCAGCGACCCCATCCCGCTCGAAAGCGACAAGCCGCCAACTTTCTGCGGACGATGAGGGCCTTGACATGTCCGTGGTGTGCTCCGGCGATTTAACCGATGACATTGTCGATCCCAAAGACCATACTCGCAAAACAGTTTCGTTCGCGTCATATTCACCATTGGGAGCCTTGCAGATTGGGTTTGCCATTGGTCCATTCGAGTATGTGAACCTGGCCGACTTCCGCGAAAGTGACCAGGATGAACAGCTTGGCCAAAATGCCATTCCTTTGCACGCATTCTGCCTCCCAGGTAGAGCCGACGAAGTTCAAAACAGCAGTTTCCCCATGGCTCAGGCGATTGACTTCTTCTCTTTGTCGTACGGGTCGTATCCATTCGGCAGCTACAAGATTTGTTTTGTCGACGATCTTCCAACTGATAGTCTCCCAACTGCGTGCATGTCAATCTGCAGCAGCCATCTGCTCTTCCCAGCCGAGATGATCGACCCCATGTATGAGTCTACTCGGGCTCAGGTGCACGGTCTGGCATGTCAGTGGACTGGAATCAACATCATTCCAGCCGAGCCCTCAGATACATGGGTGACAGTTGGTGTGGCATGGTACATTACAGATACGTTCATGAGAAAGCTGTGCGGCAACAACGAATACCGTTTCAGACTGAAGCAGATGTCTGATCAAGTCTGCGATTTGGATTTTGAGCGCCCCTCGATATACGACATGGGTAACATTCTCAAGGTTGACCCCTCCGAATATCGCTTTGTTGCATTGAAAGCGCCGTTGGTCTTGTTCATTCTGGATCGCCGACTGACCAAGGCGAGTGGTAAGGCCACGATGTCCCGCATTATCTCTCGACTTTTCTTGAACTCCCGCATGGGCGATATACCGAATGGAGCTGTTACCTCGTCCCTGTTCCAGAAGACCTGTGAACGACTGGGTCACGCGAAATTAGACGTCTTTTTCCAGCAATGGGTATACGGGGCGGGATGTCCACGATTCCAAGCGACCCAACGGTTCAACAAGAAGAAGCTGGTTGTTGAAATGATGATCAGACAGGTCCAATCTGAACCACAAACCCCTCGCGATCTCGACAAAGATTCATTCTTGCGTGACGTGAAGGAAGAGGTCCGGCACGTCTACGCGGGCGCAGTTCAGCCGGTCTTCACAGGGTCGATGACCCTTCGGATTCACGAGGCAGATGGAACCCCTTATGAGCACATCGTTGAAATCAAGGAGGGGGTGACAAAGTTCGACATTCCATACAACACAAAGTACAAAAGGCTCAAACGCAACAAAAAGCAGAGGGAAAGGGCCGTGGCCTCAGGTGATGCCGAAGTTCAAGAAGATGTTCTACTCTACTGCCTCGGAGATGTGCTTCAAACCGAAGAAGAGACGCAGGCTTGGCGCTTGGCTGACTGGACGAAGGAGGACGAGGAACGAATGGGACAGGAATCCTATGAGTGGATCCGAATGGATGCAGACTTTGAGTGGATCTGCAAACTATCTCTCGGTATGCCAGGGTACATGTATCTCTCGCAGCTTCAGCAAGATCGAGATGTTGTGGCCCAGCTCGAGGTGAGTTATATTGTTTTCAACGAGTGAAAGCACGGTGCTAACATTCCCAGTCGCTACAATACATGGCTGCCCAACGAGAGCACCCTCTGATTTCCACCATATTTGTTCGCACACTCATGGATAGTCGATACTTCCATGGAATACGTACCACAGCTGCGCGTGCCTTGGTAAAACATGCGAAAGATGAGGTTGATTGGATTGGTCTGTATCATCTCGAGAAGGCGTTCCAAGAGCTTTTCTGTCTCCCGGGATCGCCCATGACTCGCTCGAATGACTTCTCTGACCGAGCGGCCTATATCCTCCAACAAGTCATCCCTGAGGCAATTTCTAAAGTTCGCGACAACAGTGGCAAAACCCCATTAAGGGTGAAGCGATTCCTTTTCGATAAACTGAAATTCAATGACAACTCGAACAATGAGTACTCAGACAATTTCTATGTTGCGTCCTTGATGAAGTCCTTATGCCATGCCATGCTTGGTAAAAACGAGGCGCGGACGGATGAGGAATTGGATCATTTTGATATGGAACGTGTTCTCGAGGCCCAGGCCGAGGAACAACTGGACAAAGATGCCATCGCCGAGTTTGACCGTTATCGACGGATGGACGAATGGTCTAGCTCTTTCCAGAACCTTTACTCTCGAGCTGCTCTCAAATGCCAGGCGCAATTAATGCAAGCTAAGATGATCGACCTGGATTTGATGCGTTTCATCCCGTATACCCGAGCAGGAACATATGACCTTCTCCGGATCCAAGCCTTCCAATGCTTGGTTGACCTCGATATTACCCAGAACCCGGATCTTCTTCGATGGCTCATGTTCACATTGTCAGCCGATTCGTCAGCCTGGATACGCCACCAAGCTCTACGTTTGCTAGGTCAGACCCTAGCGCAGATAGCTTTCGGTCGTCCTCAAGAAGCTGAAGCCGCCCAAACGGATGGTTTGATCATCGAACAAGAATCCTCCACCCAAATCCGCCGAGATGACATCGCACGACGTCAAACCATTCCCGGCGCCATCGAAGCCCTGAAACGAGAGCTTGCTGGCGACGCATCTATGAAGGAATGCATGTGGGCAGCATGTAACTCACCGTGCATGGGCCTCTTGGAGCTGTCCGAGCTCACTGACCTTTGTCGAACGCTGTACGATCCAATCACCTCTAAACTCGTGCGGATGAAACTTCCTCGATATTGGAGTGTGCAGAATCAAGGTCATGGCAAGTTACGTTTCTACCGATCTACTAAAGCCCGCATGGGTCCGTCTTCCAAGCGCAAGCGCGAGGACCAGGGCATGCACGCACCCTCATCAACCCGTATTACGTTCAAGCAGTCCAAAACTGGCCTGGCTCCAGGAACCCCAACTCCCAACCATCTCCCCAAAATCCACATTCCCAGACCATCACCTGCGCAAAGCGCAACTCCCAAACCCTCTGCCACATCTACGCCCAAGCTGAAAATCAAGTTTGGTGGTCGACCAACATGAATATCCAACGTTGTTCCTTCGAATATCACATGTATTTTATCATTATCTCTTTTATTATTGCCTCCCTTTGCCATCGGCTCAGACGGGAGAATGGAACCAAAGCATGCTCACAGGCGCGATGTCGATTCAGCTTTATCTTCTGATTTCAATACCAGCTAGCTGTGCCTTATGTTCATCCCCCCTGTAGATTTCCAGTCTAAGTGCAGTCAGTCAGAAAGTCATTGGGATAGCCATAGTTGTCTAAATGCGCCCTGGCAAACGAGCAGAAAAAAATAGAACAGAAAAAAAGGTTTTGATTGTTCCCATAAGAGAAACCGACCCAGAAACTCCCAGTAGCATTAGATCTTTTCCCAGCACTCGGTGATGGAGTGGTGCCTATGTGCGTGCCCCTTCAGTCAAAAGAAACGTCGTAGATCGTGTGTGTAGATTTGTGGCTTATTTATCCGTAATGCGCTCAAGGGCCTCGAGCATCACGACTGAGTTACCGCGAATGACCTGATAATGAGTATTCGTTAGCGCTGTTCTTGACACTCGTCCATAGCAATTGAACCTACGATCATGCCAATGGAAACCTTCTCTCCGCCCTCCTTCTCCTCGAATGCCTCATCCAGAACAATGTTCATGAAGACCTGTGCGAAAGCATCGTTAGTTATTCCGCGCTCGTTCGGTACCGTCATCCTCCCATTGTAAACACCGAGGGAGGATATGGCCCGACACAGCAAATGCAGGGGAGGGGTGTGGACATACATCGTAGCCTCGAAGGATACCAATGACTTTGCGGTTGCCGTTCAGTTGGCAGAAGACCCGCTTCTCCATGTACTGCAGAAAACACACGACGTCAGCTGAGATCTCGGGACAAGAAAAGAGCGCACGTAGTAAGAGGTCCACTAACCTTCTTCAGTTCAGGCTGGGCTTGAGGCATATTGGGCGATTTGGTTGGGTATCTTGAGGTTTGGCAAGATTCAGGTCACCGCGATGGCTTTGGGAGTTTGGTGCAAGCTGTGCCGGGGAAATGATATTCCGGATATGAGATATGCGATAAGAGCTGCCAGCTCTCAAGTTCACTCGCTCACGCCACCAACTTGCATCACTTTGTTTCCGACTTATTTGATCGCTCGGTAGTTGCAAATATGAGCTCTAAATTTGCCAATCGCAGAAAGCCCCGCAAGATTGGTGGCGATGATGAGGAGGAGGATGGAGGCGCTGCCTCAGGTATGTGGGCCAAGATTACTTTTTTTTCTACCCTACATATTCGCCTACCAAGATCGATGCTAACATGAAGACTTTCAGAGCCAGTCGTTAAGCGCCCAGCTGCCTCGAAGCCCAAGCAGAAATCCAAATTGCAGTTATCCTTTGGCCCCGAGACGTCAATGACCGATGGAGACCAAGAGAGCGAAGTAGTCCTACCGAAGCGCCACGGTCTCAGGGCGTAAGGCAATTGAAAGGAGCGCCGGTCAAATTCCTTCAGTGTCTGCGCGACTCGGTCAGGACCAAGACCGGCCTACCTATAACCATGACTATCTGAAAGAACTTCGCGATTCTACACCTTCAACACCAAAGACAACTACCGACGATGAAACCAGCAAGGCTGTGGATGTTGCGGCTAAATTCGGGGAGGTTATGACTGTTTCGGGACAGTCACACATCCCCAGCGAAGCTGAGATCCGGGAGAAAAAGGCCCGACGCGCACGCCTGGCTATGGAACATGGTGCGGGTGAGGATGAGTTCATTTCATTGGATGCAGCCGACACTGATGACTGGGATGCGGTTGTACGAGGAGAGAAAGAAGTCAAAGAAGACACAAGACTGGTTCGGGACGATGAGGACTTACTTGAAGGGGAGGAGTTCTTCACGGAGGATGGCAAGATGGCGCTCGGGCGAAAGGCAGAGCGCGAGAAGAAGCGGAGGGAGCGTGAAGCAATGCGTGACCTGATTGAGGTTGCCGAGGGTATCTCCGATGAAGACGATTCCGACTTGGAGGAAAAGGCTGCCTATGAAGCCGCTCAGGTTCATGCTGCCATGGGTCATGGCAAGTCAGGTGGTATTGATCGTCCAAAGACTCCACCCAAAGTGACATCTCTCCCACGACTGGCTAGCAGTTTTGAAAGATTGCGCACGTCCCTGGCATCCATGGAAGTCTCGAAAACGCAGATGATCAGCCGCATGGAGGAATTGAGAAAGGAAAAGGCAGATATCGCAGTCCGTGAGGTGGAGATCCAGGCAATGATTAAAGAAGCTGGCGACAACTATGAGCGACTCAAGAAGGAAGCTGGTGTTGATTCGAAACGCAAAGCTCGACGCTGCCAATGGTGCTCTGGAAAAGTCCCGAGGATTGGAAAGCATCGGTGCTCCTGTCCCTGTCCCGGTAAGGGATTCCTCCATGTCGCATTCCTCAGATTCCAGCTTCGAGGATTCTTCATAACTCTTCCCTGGTTGCACCTGTACCTACATCCCCAGCCCGGGTGCTCAGCTTCACCTCGGTCATTACTCGATTCCCTTGCATCGTCTTCGTGGAGTCTTCCTTGTTTCTTTTGATACCCAATGAACGAGTTATGTGCTGTATTTCTACTTCCATTTGCCTACCCTTAGGTCCACTACCTTGTTGTACTCGGAGCGAGCTACAGATTAAATACTATCGAAATATTGTGGCCATCAGAGCGCCTCCAGTGATGCGAAGCCTATCGAAAGTGCTGCAACGTTGGAACGGATTTCACACCCCATTAGGTACTCCCAACATATCTGCCACCACTAGCAGTTGTCATGGGCGAATCTGCATCAACGGGAACCCGCCCCAGCACACAATACCCAAATACACATTTTCGGTCATTACAATCACTCGTCTTGATACTTTGCGGGGAATGTCATATCTAGCTCTTCAGTGCGCAAATTAACAGGGCTACTAGGCCCACTCACCCCAGTAATGAAGCCAAACACACATGGTGTTTCTAGACAGCTGGGGCCCTCTAGAAAGCGAAACTGTCCACCTTCGGTGCATGGGATGTCGACTCGTCCGGCCAAAATTAACCTCGTTGGGCACTCATGCGACCTCACCGTTATATGTGCCCTGCCGCTCTGCACACGACCAACGCTATTACAAAGCTTCCGTCTTCAAAACAGGATGACTTTGCTACACGCATTGGGGGCATTACATCTCAGGTTCCTCCTTGTGGCCCGCATACGCTTGACCTTCAACGTCTAATACCCGGCCCCTCATTGGTGAACTTCGCACCTTGCTCAATCATCCTCCAGCCAGTCAGCTCCTCTCGCAAGCCGTCTTGTGCGTCCATTCTGAAGTTGAGATGTGGACGGGTAAAGGGGGTTCTTGCATTCCCTAGGAATTGGATTCCACGGCGTCCGCTTCAATGGCCGCGTGGAGCTTATGCTGATCATCATTGGAGAAATGGTTATTCGGTCACTCGAATTGCTAAAAGACGGTGCAGCCGGCCGGGTGCACCATCTCTCCGTTTGCCTGTGGTTTCCTCCTATTCTTTGTACTTTAGGAAACTTTCACTTTACATCCCACCAGCCAAGACCCCTGGAAATCATTTTCTCCCTTGCTTTAAACTTCAAAATGTGCAATTGAGGAGAATAGAAACTTTTGGGCTCTGCTTACCCAATGCACATACCTCTAGACGGTTCAACTTCCTGGCTATATCTCGAACTTCCAATGTCCAGATGACCGTCTGCATTCGTACCGAGAACTATAATGTCGAGTAGTCTAATGTTGCCAAAGACCATTCTATTTTCAGTAGCTCACTGAGGTATTCTATTGGTGTGATCGTCGCCATCCTTGTAACCTGAATGGGCCTATACCTTCAGTTGGACCCCATAATAGCAATATGACTTGGTTAAGTTAGTGGCTTAAGTACTTGGACAACGTCAGTATTCCGATCCTCCATGGATTGACTGAGTTTGACGGGCTTTAATCTTATTCCGCAGGCGTATTGGACAACTATAAGAAGGCACTTCCGAATAGTCCGCAAGTTAGCAGAGAGACGGTTCGATGTTTTTCCTTGTATCGAGTTAAGGATGTAAATACACTTTTATCCATTTTATATATATGTCGGGATCCCTCCCTTCAATAACCATTTTCTGGCTTAGGAACACAGGCCATTTGAAAGGATCAAGCCCACGTCGACCACTCCACGCTAAGGTGTTTCCAATCGAGCTTTCTGCGTAATCATATTTCACGATTTGCTAGGTAGTTTTTGGTCCACGGTCTGGAGAACACGTCCGAGAGTCCCAAAATAAAATAAAAGTCTCAATAGTCAATAGCCCACGAATTATTTTGTAGAACTATAAGACGTCAGCCGTATTACTTTAGCTTCGGAACTGTATTTATATATTTCACAATACGGGGATATTAATACTCGACTGTTCTTCCCATCCAGGCGAACTAGGGTCTGAGAGACGTCCAAAGAGCACGGGTAGTGCTAAATTTTCCAGAAGCACTGCGATATTTTTGATTGTTATATATCCTGCAACCTCGTCGAAGGCAGGAGTGATAGTTGACTTCTTATGTCTCGTTCTCTTTTATTGTACTCTACAAGATGGAGGACTGAACCAGCAGACATCAGGGTATTCTCCATCTATGTCTGCACGTAGGTGACACATCTGTGTACAATTCCCCAACTGCTTACTGTTGTATTCTGTAGATAAAAATTCTGTAGATAATGAAGGGAGAGACTACTGTGTTTAACATCCACCAGCTTCTGGATATATGTCCAGCTAGCTAAATCTCATGTCTTTATATATTTAGAATTGTGACTAGCTTATCTGCATTTCTCATTTCAGTCTCTATTGATCTATGAAAACCAAAATAATGTAGTTTGCACCCTAGTCCTTATTGCTCCCTCTGTCGTCCCAACGTCAATTGCCTTCCACCAGCATTTTCTAGATGCCTACTCTGTATTACACTCTTTCACCTCCCCGACGAGATTGCACGCTTCGACTGTGAGACTGCGAACTGGCCATTCTGTAGCTTATCCATAGACTTGTTTCATTGACCCTACTCCTTGTTGACCGCTTGACATCCCGGGACGCAGCTGACCGACGGAAGCGGGAACGCGACGGGGAGTTCAAACGTCTGGCCTCTGCGCCGGGGATGGTGATGACTGACTCCTTCTCTACCAGCGAGTGTGCTCTCAAGGACCTCTAAGGGGTACTTGGCTCAGTAGTAGATATTATGTTATTTCATTGCCGATACCTTCGTGTGGTATTTTCCCCTGCTTGCACTCTATTAAGACGTGGGAATGGGTTAATAATTTACGCTCCTTGTCAATGTTAATTGTAAAGCAATCCTTTCATCGATTCAGAGTGTGAGAAACTAGTAACCCTATGCACCGCCCAAGGTCTGATCCTAGAATAACATCTCCCCGACACCCCATGGAGGACTAGACGAACTATTACAGGCCCTAGGCGCGATAATTTGAAATCTCCGGCTGTAAAAATCCCGCATATCTCCCGAAACCTTCGGTGGGATATAAAATTTGTGAAACAGAAACTGACATTGTGTCACAATATGTCCTTTTAACTGGGAGTTGCTAGCGCAGTAACCGCCACAGTGCATAGCTACATGCCAGCAAGTCATGAGCTGGAATATAGTAGGCTGGATGTTCCTCCCACCTCTGAATCAAGTCTTATGTCTCATCTATAAACCCAGAATCCTAGTCTGCGACAAGTAAAGTCTCTATTAGGAAGGAGTTGAGTCCCCAATTGTGGGCAGTGAAGATTCCCTAGCTTCTATGTCTCCACTTGAAAACTATCCGCTGTTGTATTTCTGTTTTTAGCCATACAAGCCAGCTTACTTTGGTCTACTCACATTTGCCAGAAATAAGAGATAGACTACGCTAAAGCACACACTAAAGTACCTACCCACAACCCCGGTATCCGGGATCCCCGAGCCCTAATTCAACCAATCAACCACCAAAAGACAACCAACAGGCTGCCGAGAGACTCCTTTCAAATTAGACAACACCAACCTCTTTTTGCTTTTTTTGACAGGTCCTTTTTCCAGCTTGTTTTGGTTCTCCACTGATCATCCCTAGGTCCACTGTTCGTATCAACATTCCTGTCTGTTTTCATCTTATTCCCCAGATTTGTTTCAGATTCTACTACTTGCTGCCTGACATACAGGATAAATTATCGGGTAATGGTATCCATAGAATAATAAATAATAAGATCCACAAATGTGATCTGCATATGCGGAACATCAAGCCTAGCGGTCGAGAGGGCAACTAGCGCGGCAACTCTGTAAACATGTAACACCAACAGAACGTTGCCTCAAAGAAAGGAAATTTCCTCGGGGTGTACCCACAGGATCAGGAGTTGAGGTTCTCCCCTTCTGAGGAGATCGGACGGAACCTTTGTGCGTTCGTGCTGCTGCAGGCTCGCTTTCGATCTTTCCGGTTTCAACGCCACCTAGGCCACCCCAGCGGTCGTTAAAGAAGCTTCTTTTGAATAAGCCCATTTCTAGGGCGGTGGAGATCCGGGGAAAGGGGGCCCGGAGGTTTTTGCTAAGGTTACGTTTACGTTTATTTATGTTTCTCTCGGCAGTTGTGGACGTTATTCGCTTATTTTATTATGGTCATTCAATCCATCCGAACATAATTTTACTCTATTAATTAACCAAACAGAAAGTCTCCTGGTTAGAACCTTGTCAATCTGCAACACTTAATCTCATAGGGCCCTTGATGAACTCATGTTGGCTCAACGAACTCCTGTGTTGGACGCTAGAGCCTCAAAGGACTAGATAGGTCACGCCTGCCGGCAAATCCTCTCCAACCAGCCTCCAACTAGGGAATTTATTCTACCGCTATCCTGTTCACTTTGCTTTTTCTCAAGCAGGTTGGATCAGGCCCGTTGCTGTGACTGGCCCGGATGCCACTTAGCCTTCCCCAGAGGCTCTCTGCGGCTACCCGCTCAGGATGGAACATTCCAAACCTGCCCGAGCCACTGCCAAGTAATGGAGCTTTAGAGAGTTTGTTGACCAGGTAGACCTGCAGACGGATGCATAGCCCTAGTTAGGGGTTGTACGTAGTGGAGATCAGCGGTGTCCGCGGCATCCTATGCTGGGACCGTTGCCAACGGGGAGGCCGTTCCGGGGCCAATTCACCCAGCCCTTAGGATGAGATAAAATGTAGATACAGAGGACGAAAAAACAAACATTGGACGGAGATATATTGGCTTGGGCTTAACGGCCGGGAGCGAAGATCTTCTTCAGGAAGCCGTCGAGAATACAACCCGTCCACTATTCGTTCCCGTTTCACATCTCTCCTAGACATACATTCGCCTCCCACAGGATCGAGGCTAAATTAAGACATAACGCTAGACAATAGGGAAAAGATCTGAAACGCTCGGTAAGTGGGTAATGGACGTACCGGGGTCCAGTTCCAGACCTTGGATTTCTGACCTGGCTAGGGTTCAGAAACCCTTGAGTACCAACCCATGTCTATATTTCTCTTTGTTTCTCCCTTTTTTTTCTAGACGCCCAGAACAGGCCGAGATCCTTCTTGCCCATCTAGCAATGGCACGGGCCTCGATTGAGATTAAACGGGCCGAGAGGTTGAAATGAGCTGGAATGAGCTGGAATGATAGACATGGTTCATGTCTGGTTCGATTAATTTATGGTGTCTATTAAAGGACCCGGATGATAGCTCTCCCTAGCCTGTGCCTTCTGCTCCATTGATATAAACTTGATGCCATTCCATCCTGTATCCTCGAGTTCCAACTTTTACACTGTCTCTCAAACAATCTCTCCGTCTTAGCAACCAGCAACCTGGAATATCAACCCGACAGCGATCTAGAGCTTCACCTCCTTTCTCTTAACGGTTCAATTGCGGACAGATCTGAGACCGCATTGCGTTCAACGGCTCGACTTACAGCCCAATCCCCACCAAAACCGATCTCCCCAAAGCCACACAACAGTGCTATTTGGAAGAATAGCTGCTGCTCGAGAGTCATTTAGGGATTGTCTACCTACTACAGTTATTCAAAGAGAATTTTGCACTGTACTTCATTGGCACAGTCGCCTTCTGGTAATCAACTTCGTGCTATCATATACACACGGTAAGTGATGCCCAACCACTCCGGACTGTTCTAGTGAAACCTCTCCATATATAACAAAGCGCTAACCTCTCATAACGGTCAGTCCTGCAGCTCTCCTCGAATTCTCCACATTATATCCGGTGTGCACTGGTCGACAAAAGAGGAAATCTCCGGGATAGCGGTCGTCCACACCCAGCGACAACCCGCGTACAACACTCGCCAGCAATTGCGGTGAAGCGTGGAAGACAATATCCCGTCTATCACTGGTGGATATAATTTTTAATATTTTTAATATTTTTTCTCTGCTTATGAGTTGGATATGGCGGACGTGCTGGCTATTCCTGGGGTGCCGAAGCCATGGATGGCACATCCCAAGGACTACACTGATGCGTCGCGTGATCTTATAACCGCCTACGCGTCGGGATTTCTGGGGATCTCAGACAATTTTGATAGACAGCTCTTCGCTTCCCACACCGACTGGTATTCACTCTTCTGCCCCTCCACCTCAGATTCCCAGCTGGACTTCCACTTGCCGCATCACCCTTCCCCAAAGACTCAAACACAACATCCTCGAAAACTTGCGACAACCATGATGAACCAGAACCGTTTGCTGGGGCAACCCATGCATCTCATGGATGACCGGGGACATTACATGCATCTCCAGGTGGAAGACGCTCGCGCGGCTGCGTATTCGCAGAGCATGTCTCCATTAACGGTACGGCTTGACCTCAACAGTACTCTTTCAAGCAGCGGAAGCACTTATTGTGAATCTGATATTGAGTCGCTTGAGCACTTCGAGGAGCCTTTCACCTCTCGGAGTGTGGAAAAGCATGCTGGGCTTGTTCATCCAACACCACTGAGCAACATGTTCGCGACAGCTAGCAATTCCTTCCTTTCGGGCACCGAGGAGACTTCTTCTCTTTCATCCTTTGAAGTACCAAATGTCTCACGGGACGGGCAGGCCTCCTCCAGCACTCAATTCAATGTGCCAAACCCAATCCCAAACCCGAACATCGCCAACTACCCTATGAACACACACCTCGGCCCTCACCCACACAACACATATCTCACGCCACCCTTCGCCGCTGCACATGCAAAGTCTGGGGTATTTGGCCAGGTTATCCAATGGGGCGCCAGCCAACCAGCCAACACGACTGATATCTGGTATCCTACTCGTGACCCCACTGACGTACCAGAGAGCAGCTGGCACAATAACGGTTACAGCGCACCTTGGCCCGTCTCGAATGCATACACTTTGGCAAGCGACTGCAACGAACGTGAGACCCAAGACTACAAACCGACTCATGGACTCCCCATTCCCCCCCTTTGGACCTGCGACTATTGATGCAGGCCTAACCGGGCCCATGAGCCACTTTTCCCCTTTGCCAACTCCGGGAACCTTCGTTGCCTCAATTGAACCACCTCAGTACCAACCCACCATGCAACCAATGTACGTTCCAAACGCACACGACACAGACTTTGCCTCCCTGGACCAGAAACCCGCAAGCAGCCTCAGTCCATCCTTCTCCTCCTCAAGCAACGAAGAGGGACGATCCCCGCAGCACAGCGGAGAAGAACAAGGCAGTATTGGATCAAGTGTGCACTACAGTGACAATCGGGACGCATTCCTCATTGACTGCAAGCGCCGCGGTCTATCGTACAAGGATATCAAGCGTGTGGGTGGGTTCAAGGAGGCGGAGTCTACACTGCGAGGCCGATACCGTACCCTCACCAAGTCGAAAGATCAGCGGGTGCGGAAGCCCAGATGGCTAGAGAAGGATGTGAGTTGAGAAATACTTCTTTGTTTACTGAGATTGTCTAGACTAACGTGATCCTTTCAATAGATTCGACTCCTTCGCCAGGCCGTCAACATTCACGCCGAAACCCCCGACAATTACAGCTCGCTGGCCAATGCCAGCATGAGCATGAGTGAGCCACCCAAAGTTTCGTGGAAGAAGGTTGCTGAACATATCTGGGCGCATGGGGGATCTTATCATTTTGGAAATGCTACTTGCAAGAAGAAATGGTGTGAGATCCACCACATCACGCTTTGATTTGGTCTTGGATCAGTACCATAAATACCCTTAAGGCTAAGGGTATATGTGTTTCTTTTACCTCTTTTCTTTTGGTACGCAATGTACTTTGGCCAATGTGTTTGGATTGTGTGTTTATTTGTGTTCAGCTGGTCTGGGTTTCTGATTGTAGCGTTGTATCTGTATTACTTTTCTTTTCTCTTGATTGTTTTCCTGGGTATTGGAGTACAATGTTTTGTCTACGTATAATTATAACTGCCTTACCATGTACTGAGTGATGTTAGATGTGATAAATTGATAGTTTCATTGGGGATCGAACTTCGTAGAACTGGAGCCTTCATGCCCGACTTCGAGGGAGCTGTGAAATAACATCGGGTTGTAGATATCCCACACCACAAAGACCAATTCAAGAACAAAACAAAGGAACACAAGGAATTGTGGGCTTTCAAGCCTCAGTGGCACGGAATGCCAGCAGTGGGAAGACTTCACGGTTCGTCTTTCCGTCCGAGCCAGTGCAAGAAACAATCACTGCTGCACCTTCAGGAGACCATTTCCTATTCCGTGGTGGACAGCCGCGCGATGGCTACGGCGGGCGAACCGTGAATATCATCGTAGGCCCTGGTTGCTTGTGGTCCCTGAATACAGCAATCTCCCTCAGGAAGTAGTAAATAACAGTGTCGAGGAGAACATCTCTCGTGAGGTCATCACTGAAGCGACAAAATACCCTGGTGTCATCGATTGCCAATTTGCTGCTGGAGGTCTCGATCCATCTCATCTGTACAGTCAAGCACAACCGCGAGCTGGGAATTTCCATCGAGAATCTCTTCAAGGTGCAGGGCGGTGTCCTGCAAGGGATGCGTGTCACTTTCGCTGGTGCTTACTGCTGTGGACTTGGGTTCCAATGAGACTAAGGCCTCCTTCTCTACGGAAGAACCATCGGTAGGAGTAGTGGGTTCTTCCGCGGGAGCACCGTTGTAGGAATCGCTGCGCAACACCTGGACAGACTTGCTCTTGGCCGGACTCAGAGGAATGGGAGGCGGCGGGGGAGACTGAGTAGAGTAGAGGTGGTAAAAGGAAGTGGAAGTTGAGGAAACATCGGTAAGACCATCTCAGTTGAAAGGCTCTCAATTGGTGGAGGTTGGAGGAGTTTTGAAAATTGGAGAGTGGGAATCTTGTTATTGGAGTAGTCGTGTGGGTCAGAAACTTCTTCGAGGTTGACCCCTTGTTGTATTGGTGATATCGAAGTGATGTAGGAAGATGCAGTCCAAGGGATGGTAGAAATAGTACTCAATGGAAGAGCATCAGAATCCGAAAGAGTACTGTCAGAACGTACTGGACAGCTTCGCCATCCACATGCCGAATCATTCGCCCAATTGAGAAAATTTCGCGATCGATCAAGGTGCAAAGTACGTCGAACGGATTGAACGGTTCGGGGCTTCGTTGATCACTGTGTGACATGCGCTGCCGGCGATTGGCCTCATCTCGGAGGTCTGATATTCTTTCCGCAATTTGGCCGGCAATCACATAGTGTGGCGACCTTGCCGGGTGATTCTGCTGTTTTCCGTATAGCTGTCCATTTTCTGCCTCAAAATTGTAGGGTTAGCGATTCGAGAATAACTCGGCAATTTGGGAAAGGGACTCAAACCAGATTATTATCCGACTAGGAAGAATGTAAGGTGGGAAAAGTAAGAAATTGTGCATCTTTGATGCCTTATCAATAAATCCAAGTGCGCTGGAGGGTGAGAGATGGAAGGGAAAGTTGAAGTAAAAGGAGGCAAAGTAAAAGAGTACGTATGTAAATATTATAATATTAGAATATGATAGAAATTGAATCTGAAGTTGATGATATCAAGTTGATAGGAAAGTGAGGTCACCTTGAAAGCCGTATGTAGCACCTTTCTACTATTAACCTCTGCTATATCTCTCACTTTGTTTCAGTTTCTTATATTAACAGCTACCTTTGTTTAGCATCTTATATTAAGAGCTATCTTTCTAATTATCTTTTTGACCAGCCAATATTGATTCAACTGCCGCCGTACCGGCAAACTGAAACTGGCATGCAAAGTAGGACGTTGCTATTGCTGACCAGGCAGTCGACCTTCCTGAGATAGGAAGTTTCAACCTCCACAAGATCACCCCACCTCTTAAGGAGCGATCCGGTCTTGACATGTAGATCGATTAGGTTGAAAAGATTCGCTGAATTTAGAGGTCAGCAAGGACCATTCACATTGACGGGGGTGCACCAAGAGAGCTGTGGATGGAGGCATGCTATGCAGCTACGTACATCATCAACCGGCTTACAAGATCTGGCGAAGACGCTCCAATCATTACCTGGGGAAAGGCTATGAATCTACGCGAAGATGAGACCGCAACAAACCTGTCATTTCTCCGAGTCTGGTACTCCAAAGCATACGTTCACCAGCCTAAAGAAACCAGGGTGCAAGCGATGAAGATGGACCCCCGTGCATGGATTGGCTTCCTCGTGGGGTACGGACAATGGTCACTGCGCCCGACTCTTTTGCTAGTAATCTCAGCTACATTGTTTCTCCATATTCTCAATCACCATTGTAGTCAAATTCCATGGCCTTTCCTCCACTCCCCTGAACGAGTGCAGCATACTCAGCGCCCAACCCTCATACTTCAGACCCCTCCATCTGGTTTTATACCACCGCAATCTAAATAAATCAGTCATCTTATTCTCGGCCCAGCAAGTTGACCAATATAAACAACAGCAGTCTTCAGCCAATCACAAACCAGAAATTCGGTGGATCGCTTACCCCACGACCTGACGATATCGCAGATCTGCAACCCCATGTCGTGAGCACGTGTAATATTGCAGGAGTCACCTTAATTCGGTATTCGTGGACGGATGACATCCTTAGGTCTCGTGGAGTTCGATTTATGTAGTCAACCTCTATGGCTTAGCTAGTCATGGGGAATCAGGTTGCCGGTCTTATGGTAGGTTGTCGATAGCTTCCCCGGTTTCCCCAGCTTCCCCAGTATTGAGCTCTCTTCTTCTCTCTCTCCAATTAGCTCCATTTATGGAATTTGCCCTCTCACTTTCTTTAGGTGGCTTTTATTCTAAGAATCCCGACGAAGTGGTTGATAATCCTTTGCTTATCTTCCTTTTGCCTGGCTTGGGCCTCTGCATTCCTTGATATGCTAGGTAGTAAATAGTTCCTAGGATCACCAACTTTACAAATACAACTCTGTTGTATCTCTTTTTGTCCATTCGCTTGGTAGACAAGAAATTTCCTTGATGAGCCCGGGGTTACGTCTCGGATTTCATTAACCGGGGCATCGATACCCGGGCGGTCGCTCAATAGCCGGGGCATAGAAAGTCCAATTGCCGCAATGAACATCGACAAGACAGTCGGAAAAGATATATTTAATTGATTCCGGCTTGCCAGCTTAGAAATAAAACTCCTGTAGCAAGTTCTATAATTTCCTTATACAATTTGCCCGTCGGCCACCATCAAATACCCCGAAAACCCAAGTCCAACCACCGATCCGATCTATACGAACCCAAAGTCCACTCAAAATGTCCAAGCCAATCGTCCTCCAACTCGGCGACGACATTCGCTGGAATCATGACCTACACAGCAAGTTCCAAGATGTCTTTGAGATCCGCCGGTCCTACAGCATGTCTCGGCCGGAGTTTATCCGAGCCCTGAAAGAGCGCCAATTCGGCGACTTCTTTGCCATCTACCGCCCGTTCTGGAATACCGGCGGCGAGATGGGAAACTGGGATGAGGAGCTTGTCTCGCTACTGCCAGATTCCTGCAAGGTTTATGCCAGTGCGGGTGCTGGATTTGATTGGGTTGATACCGCAGCTTTGGCCAAGAAGGGTATGTATACAGCGGCACGGACCAACGAGGAAACATAAATCACGGAGAAAGAAGCTAATATGATTCAATCTATCTAGGAGTCATCTACTGCAATGCTGCTGCTGCATGTACAGAATCCGTCGCCGACGCCGCAATCTGGCTCATCATCTCAACATTCCGCCAATTCTCTTGGTCACACATTGCCGCACGTACACTGGATGCCAATGCATTTGTCGATGCAAACCGTAATCTGGCAATGGTGTCCCACAACCCTAATGGGCATACACTTGGAATCATTGGCTTTGGCCAGATTGGGCGCCGCACGGCCGAGAAAGCCTTCCTAGCCATGAACATGAAGATTCACTATCATGACATTGTGCAGATGCCCGCACATCTGGAGGCCGTCTCGAAGGCAACATACCACAAGAACATGGACAGTCTTCTCGCCGTTTCGGACTGTGTCATGGTTGCCACGCCCTTTAGCGGGGAGACGCTCCTCAATGCATCTCTGCTGGCGAAGATGAAGACTGGTTCGAGACTCATTAACATTGCCCGTGGCAAGCTTCTGGATGAGAGTGCCCTTGTTGATGCTCTTCGGAGTGGTAAGCTCGCTGCTGCTGGGTTGGATGTCCACTATGATGAGCCAAACGTTAGCCCAGAGCTTGCCAGTATGAAGAACGTTGAGATGATGGCCCACAACGCGGGTGCATCCGTGGACTCACACATTGGTTTCGAGAGATTGGGTATGGAGAATATTCTTTCATTCTATCAGACTGGCAAGGCTGTCACGCCGGTTAATGCGCATCTAGTTGCCAAGGCTACGGGGTCAAAGCTATAGACTGAATAGTAACATTGTTAATTGTTCACTTTCATTGTTGCTCGTTGGACTCGACGCCCACCAGAGTCGCGGCTGCGCAGAGTGCGGCTGCGGACGGGGGAGTATAAATAGATGAGCTCTGTCAAAACGATCTTTCTTTCTTACATCCGTGTCCATCAATCAAATCCTCTCATCCCAACCGCATCATCAAGCCTCCCACCCTTTCATCCAATCTCGCGCGCTGCACATACCGCACCGCCCACCCACCTCAACCTCCTCCCACGCCGGTGTTGTACCACCGCAAGGTATGTAGACAACCCAATTGAGTCACATGCGTAACCCAGTTGACATATGCTAACATACTTTAATACATAGCATGAGCTCGCAGGCTCCCACCTCAGGCCCCGCCTCAGGTCCCGCCCCCGCCAGGGGCACCATCCTCTGCGCCTTCATTGGGGGCATCTACAACCTCAGGGCCAGCATTGAACACCGCGAGGCCCTGACAAAGTCCTCTCCCATCCCCCGGGATGAGATCGAGGCATTGAGCGAGCACATCTGGGAGACCAAGGTGGAGTTCGCACGCCAAATCCGCAACTGGTCGGAACCAGTTGGCCAGATGATCCTGGCCAACCTTTATGTGGCGTTGGTTGGGACCCTGCCCCACGAGGATGGATCAATCCCCTGAGGGGGCCATGTCTTTATGTACCGAACCCTGACCCATACAAGGTGGACCAGCCACCTTGTATGGGTCAGGGTTCATGAATGAAATTCAAGTTGCTTCGTCACGAATCCTTTCTTCATTAATGATAGTAAAGTAACATAGATCTGAGAGTAAACAGAGAGTAAACAGATGGTATCATGCTAACCAGTACACCCATTCCATATCCTTTGCTCCTTGTAACATTGTAGATCGTCATCCTAGTTCTTCATAACTGGCTGCGGCGGCTGAATTCGTCCTGGTGCTTGAGTAATTGGTCCGGGTAAATGCGGTCCGAATTGCTGTACCGGGCCTTCATGGGGATGAATAGCGACTTGTGCACCACAGTGTGTACAGAAATGGTGCGAATCGTGACACATCTCCATACAGTAAGGTAGAAATGCGCAGCAAATGCCGCCGAAGAGACAGCAGCAGACGGCAGCCATGCTGTAAAGTGAGAGGTCAGTATCATCGGAAGTGAGATAAATCAAAAAGCAAAGTGAGTATAGATCGATGCTTACGATGTGGCGCTGGTGCTCTCCTTGTTGACTCTGGTCTGAACCTCGTGGAGACAAAAGGGACAACTGATCCATCCGGGTTCTTCACCAAGTTGTGCCAATGGAATGGCTCTTTGAGAAACTGGAACTTGTGGAGCAATTGGTAAGGCTTTCTCGTTGGTTTGTGGCAATGTAACTGCCGGTGCAGGAGTCGTGATTGCGTCTTTCTCGTGCCTGTTTTCGTTAGCTTAAGCTCTTTTCTGTAGATCGGGAAGCATACTCATGGTATTGTGGGGGAGGTCCACTCTCTGTGGGTATGATCGCCATTGGCTCGGCTCCGGGGAGTGTTCTTGTAGTGGTTGTAGTTGGTTCTGGTGTCAATGTTTCTTCGGCTGCTGTGGGCGAACTCGTAGGCGGCCCTGTCGGCGATACTCGTGGCAACTCTGTAGGCGAATTTGTGCCATCCGCTGGCATTGTTTTCGGTCCAGTCGCTGGCTCTGCAGAATCCGCAATTGGTTCGGCGGCCGTAGCCGGCGCGATGGGCACTGTTGGCTTTTCGCTGTTTTCCATGGTGCAGTTCCGTCTGTAGCTTGCTTGGTAAAAAAAATCAAAGCTCAATTTGTGCAAGGCCATCCGACTTTAAGTATTAATGGAGTCAAATGTGGGGACCAAGCTCAATACGAGAAATGTGGTGGATCAAAGGCGATGTGAGGCTCAAGCACCATAAGCGACACCATAAACGACATAGCACAAGGATACAGAAGGCAATTAAAGGACGCTACGGAAATTGCACCGAGTATTCTAGCCAATCATAGCGGATTTGTAGCGAGCCCAGGTCAGTGCCCGGCCGCAGCCCCCTATGGGGTCTTCCTTGGCATGGAAAGATGAAAGGCAATGGGAGCTTGTGTATACTGAGTCATAACCTAGTCCGTATCCAGTCTATTACAGTGCCATGCATCTTCATAGCTAAGTGTTTCATACTCTCGTCTCGGAAATTATCAGCTTTATTTAGATTTGCTGTTATGGAGCCTGCTCATCAATTCCGGTTTCATACTACTAGAACCTAGAAGCCTGCCTTACGCCCAATAGCTAAACTGTAGTTACATAATAGCCAGAAGTAACGGAGACCTGGGAGTATGTTTGGTAATATCAACTCAGTTCATGGTGTATAAGGATCCATCATGTGAAGTTACGGCCCCGGGCTGCCATACATTAGGTCTAGTAAGCATGATTTGCAAGGGTAGTCGTCGGATACCATCGCCGTGACGACAGCGACGACTATGTTGATGGCGATTCACTGGTGTACATATAGCACGACCAGGACATTACCTCCCTCCTTCCACGAACAAGCCTGCATACGAGAACGTGCTTTTATCAAAACTTCTATAGACCAGCACAGACGCATCCAAACCATCATACCCAACGAGTTTACGCCCCGATGGCCAAGATGAGCGGATCCGCCAATGAAACGAGCATTTCCTCCCACGATCCGCGCGCTACAAGCCCGAAAGCTCAACGAGCATCACCGTGGCCATTCAGGCTACAAGCTATGCGCGGGATCCCGAGCTTCTACAACAAGTCACAACGTCCTACAAACCAACAAACAGGCTGCCTCGCAAGATCCAGTGGTATCATTTCAGTCAGGTCTATCTCCGGAAGAATATATCTGCTAACAGGAAGGAAAACTATCAGACTCACCTCCAGCCAGACCGCTCATTTTCCGGACTCAAAATCGCTCTATGATCAATTAAGAGACGCAATTGGGGTTTCAGGAGTCACGTGCGACAAGTTCTACACCTTCCTAGATCAGGAAGGTGTTTGTTTGGGCGGTGTCATCTTTGTTTCTGCGTGCATATCCGACCGCCTTTGGTCAGGTCCTCGCTTCGGGCGTGAAGAATATCGCTTGCCCAGGTGGATTCACGCCGTCCATCAGCAGCCCGGAATTGGGAGACGTGACACCATGGTCATCCCTTTCTCGAGGTCAATGGACAGAGACCTTACCTTTCTTCGGTTGGGTTAGCGCTATTTGGTTTCCCATTGTCTACAAGCAGTAGGCCATGGATCCATGGATTCCTACTGTCATCCAAGCCTGTCGATCAATGGACGGAACGCAAACTCCATGGGTGGGAGCCTCTCGTCCCTGTCGCTAACATAGTTTGCTCCCCAGGGCCTTGCCGGCAGATATATCCCCGCCTGTATTTCCACACCCGCTACTTACTATATCCCAAGGGAACTTCAGCAGTCTACAAGATCCTGAAGGTGGTATGTGGGCAGCAACCTAGAATATTGTCCTTCATGATAGACATTAGTCTTGTGCTTGTTACATATTCAGAATCAAGGTTCTTCCATCTTGTACATTTCGTCCATGTAGATGCAGCATATAACAACGGGGTATATTTTCTATTGGGGAATCATGGACATCTTTTAGTATCCCAAACGAGAGAACTACTAGGTAGTTATTCAATTTATACACCCCAAGCAATTCCATTCCGGGTATTTGGTTCTGGCATGCAAGTAGTCTACCACATCGACCGCGTAGCTATAAATCAACAGACAACTATTCACAGCGAAGGCCCACGAGAATCCGTACGAGGATACCCAATCGTAGCAAGGACCTGCGTCAAATACTCCGGATTCTCCCGCAAAGAATCCCACTCGCCCTCAGCCTTAACCATCAGCGTGCCAGCAAGGATAGTGCCATTCAGCGACAGCACGCCGGGGTCAACGATATCGCGCGCCGCCGCGCTATCGACGGGTACAAGCGCGGTCTCCTGTCTGCGCGGACAGATCATCATCGTCGAGCGGGTCATGGCCAGGTTATAGCTTATAGACGCCGGTCCTTGTGTGGGGAGGGGCTCGGTGTCCTGGCTTGGCGGTTGTCCGCGTGTCGCGGCGGCCGCGGCCTTGTATAGGGTGAGGTAGATTGCGTGTAGAGTTTCAGCGGAGGGATTGGGCGGGATCGGGAGGGCGAAGTGGGCGAAGGGGAGACCTGATAGGTGCTGGAACCTGGGTGTTGGGGAGGGGGAGGTGGGTTGGGAGGTGAGGAGGTCGATTAGTGGATGCCAGGATTCCGAGCCCGGTTGGCGCATTGCCTCGACGGGGAGGAATTGGAGATGGCGGTGGGGTTGGCTTGCACCGCTGTCGTCGCCGGAGTTGAAGAAGGCGAAGAGGCTCTTTGGAGATGAGCCGTTTACGGATCTCGATCCATCGCTGTCGGTGTTCCAGGCTTTTAGACACTCGTACGTAGCTTCTAGGTCTGCCTTATCGAGAAGATCCGTCTGCGCCTGCCAGTCTTTTGTCACGAGGAGGAAGTGATTCGGGATGACGGGGAATTTGTTGAGGATGAGGTTATAAGCGGGGTTCTCGGGCGGGAACTGGGCGATCAGGAGGTCTGGAGATGGATTCTCGAAGGGATCGGGCTTTGGTGTTTTCGGGACATTTTCCTTCAAGTTGGAGGGTTTCTTTGCGAGTGCAGGGCAGTAGCGAAGTTGGTACTGGATTTGCAGGTTAGAACTGCCGTGGTCGGAGTGTTGGCGTCACTCACGGATATCCCTGCGGCATTGATGATGGACAGGTGTGTTGAGGAGAACACGAGCTGCCCGGTGTCTCGAGCAGCTGTAAAGCGTCTTGCGACCAGGGTGGAGAGATATTCTGACAGTCCTAATTGCATCGTGGAGGTTGAATGGAGGTAAAACCGGGGGAGCTGGCAGAACACGGGGAGATCGGCGGACGGGGTCTTCTCTCTATTAGTCTTTCTTACTACAAGACGATACAGTTGTTGTCCAAGGAATTGAAAATATAGAATGTTTTTCTTTTTATGTTTCAAACTAGACACTCATTTTTAGTCTCCAATTAATAGTGTCCTGGTCCAGATCCCGACCAGCAGGATCTAGCATACCGGCCTAGCAGACCGGCCTGGAGAGAATAACAGAAATAAAACCCAAGTCATTCAAACATCAGTCCCAAGGTATCATCCATAATCCGTATTCAGACAAATCGCTCGTCAAGACGCCACTGCTGTACGGAAACATGAGACATGAAAAGAAAATAGACACGAATAGGCTTCCAACGGTAGGGGAGAAGGAGGATAAGGGAGGAGAGTAAGGAGTAAGGAGAAAGACAAAAGGAAGTCATTTAAGCCATTAATTCATTGATCGAAATCTCATCATCATGGGACAGTTCTGGCAATATCATCGCCGGCTGACCCATAATATGAGGCGAAGGACCGTTCAACCAAGGGCCACGCTCCTCCTCAGAGGAATTCAGCACACCCTCGGCGCGCTTCAACGTCTCGACATCCAGATCAGTGACGTAGGCATCGCGGTTGGTGCCATCGCCCGCGCCACCGGGGAGTCTCATACGGACTTCGAACTCGTTATTGAGCATCATCTCGTCTTTCCACAGACGGCGCTGACCATCAAAGACACATAGAACGCGCTTCTTGGTCTTCATGCTGCTGCTGGGACAACCCCAGGACTGGGGGTAGTTGCCGCGGTTGTTGCGGCGGCGGGTTGCGACGGCGCGAGGGGGCTTGGAGGAATTCTTCGAGATGGCATTGCCAGAGCCGATAATAGGGCGGGAGGTGGGGATATTGCTCTTTGATGATCTGGACTTAGTCTTCAGGCCGCGCCAGCTGGAAGGGTCGTGGGTATCGTCATCATCTTGATCTTCGTAATCGTCGAATTGGTCGACCGGGCCAGCCTCATCAAATAGTTGGTGCTTCTCCATGGTCTTTTTGACCTCCTCGTCTGAAGCGACCTCTGTCAGACGCTGCTGGTTGATCGCCTCAGAGGGCTCTTCTTGCTGCACGACACGGAGGACACAGTCGTCGAGATGCTCGTAGAAGTCTTGCGCGTTGCTGAATGTTGATGAACAGGTTGAACACTTTCCTGTCGCGTCCGGGCTATAGTTGGTGCCCTTCTTTCCCAGGCCGGGACTGCGCTTCCGGCAGTTTGGCGGGGTCTGTTCCACGCCGTGGACGGAGGTCAGGTGGCGCTTGAAGACATCGGCGCGGTTGAAGCTCTTTTCCGCGGGCGAGCCGGATCCCGGGCAGAAGCCGCATACCATTGTCCCTTTGTAGTGGGTCAGGGTGTGACGGTTCTTATCATACTTGCGAGCGAAGCCCTTTAGGTGGTACTCGCAATTCAGGATCGGGCACTTCTCTGGCCGCTCCGACTGGTGAGTCAACATGTGGGCTTTCAAGTCTTTGAAGACTCGGCCACAATCGGGGTGTGGGCAGCGCCCTTTTTCTTTAGTGTCTTCATCTGGTTCAATGCTGCTCAGCGCCGGGCTGTGTTGCGAGCGTCGGGAATGAATTGAGGAAATAGACGATCGTCGATCATAGATCGAGAGTGGTCGTGAATGTGACCTGTGTGGGACCATGAGGGGAGATTGCCCAGTGTGTTGTATTGGGTGTGAGCGGGGCGAGGTGTGGTGCTCTGCAATGTCATTATATGGGAGAGGTGATGGGGCGGGAGAGTGGGAGATGTAATTGGGGGGCACGGTTGAGTAGGAAGAGGTTGGTTGGTCGGGATATGAGATAGTCGGAGTAATTCCAGGACCTTGTTGCGCCGGTTGAATCAATGAGGGGTCTATTATGTATGTTAGTATACTAGATAGCTTTTGCGATTGGTATCGAAACATACCGACAAAAGGGTCCGGGAACTTTTCTTCATATGACATATCCATGTCGAAGGCATTTCCCATGTACTCGTGAGAGAAATGGTCGTTCATCACTGCAGCTGGTAGACCCAATCCGTGGTTTGTATTCACCCAGTTCTCCTGGAACGCCTGCGCGGTTCCTGAGTATGGTGAACCCATGGCCGAAGAAGATGCGCTAGCAATGGACTGCCCTGAAGCAGCAGACCCGGTGGGTATATATGGCTCTGCAGAGTGACAGGCGGAGACGGAAGGGGGTGTGGCGGGTATAGAAGAGAAATATGTGGGATTTTGCAGATCTGCAGACTCCAACAAAGGGTGGGTATCGTAATAGGAATTGGAAGCACGGGGCATATCGGGACCCTGTGTGTAGTTGGGGAGACTCTCAAGGGGAAAAGAGAGCATAGAGGAATCCATGGTCATGGGATCGAAGTATGGGGGTTGTTTGGACCTGGCAGCTTCGACAGCCATCTTGGACCGGGCGTGGAAGGGAAAAAGAGTAAAATCGGGATTTGATTCAAAAGTCGTCATTTCCTTGGTTGGGAAATGCAATGTGCAATGGCGATCCTAAACAAAGAAAAACTGTCAGTACATGCGGTCTCAAAGGGTTCCAGGTCTATATGGCGCATGGGCATACCGGTGATAAGGTTTCTGGGTAAGATCGCGGCCCGTTCGGGAATCCAAAAGATGCCAAAAATGAGGCAACGTGCGCAATTGACAGAATAAATTCTCATGCAAGGAGGTATACAATATATCGCAGGGCAGGAAGGTCACATCCAAGTTGTAACTCCACAGGCACGGGTAGGGAAACAATGTCGATCGACAAAGAGTCGAGGAATGTTAATCAAGCGTTTTCCCGAAATGATCGAAGAGCTGGATCGTGAGTCAGGTCAATGACATAGATTCATGACAGACTTGGGGGAGGGAGGAGAGGATATTATAGCATGTCAAAGAGGAGGAAGCATTGTTAAATGGTGACGATGGGCCCTACAGTAGTTAGTTATAGTCTTGTGTCTAGAATTATATTTTTTTTTTTTAAGAAAAAGGGAAAAAGGGAAAAGGAAAATTGAATTGAATTGAATTTAAAAATAAAATCCAAAGACAACTCCATAGTAAAAAAAAAGCAAATACATAAAATAATAATAATAATAATAATAATAATAATAATAATAAAATAATCCAGTAAACCATTACATACCGTATTTTTGGATTGAACGTGTTGGGGCTGTGAACAGGGACAGGGAAACTTAGCGCCCATGCAGATATATTTGGCATCTATTATTATGTTGTATTTATCTGGGAAAATCCTCGAACATGGGTCTCTCTACTCCGTATACAGTCTAATATTATTATCGAGTAATTATTGTCAATTAGTAATATCTACTTCCAAGGTTACCTCGTACTTAGCCTCTGAACCCTAGACATTTGAAATCAGGGTACTGAGAGAAGACTTGTATACACACTATCTTCCACTATAGCATGCACGGTACTTGTCGAGCCCATCAGCTCAGCCTTCGTCAGGCGCCCAGTGTCTGCTATCCTGTCGATAGTCAATATAACCCACTATACGGTAGTATTATAGGAGTTGGGTTCTGACAGCTCGCGTACCTTTATCCACTTCTGGCTCTGCCCTACGAGATATGTACGATCCCCGAATATTTATCGCGGGGGTATTTCCGGTAGAAGCAAATATTGGTTTTCCCAAAGTACCTGCGTCGAGGAGATACATCGTCCATCGTACTCATCGGAACCGAATACGGAGTACGGAATAGGTGGATGGAACATATTCAGATGAAAGCAATTATAGTGCATAGTTGCTAGTCCTTTTGCTTTGTAACCCCTGCAACACAAATTAGATTTTTGACGGGGATCAGGAGAAGCCTCCTGTCAGGATGTCAACCGTTGCACGAGAATGAATTACATACAAAATATATGTGATTAATTGTTATTTTCTCATCGGCACCTCCGTTCTGCATTGCCAGGGCATTCCCGTCGGCATGGCGCCATGACCCCCTTTTCCCCCAGAAAGACCACTTTAGCCTCGTCTCCTCGGCACATACGCATGTACTTGTGAACTAGCTTATCAAGGTGCACAACAATGGAACTCAACTCAACATATTAGAAAATTTCTGTCTCGTATGTTGTACTCTTCAAAAATGGTTTATCCCGCTAGTCCGGGTCAGACTACTCCATATCCGTCCAACCCTCTTTGTACCAAATCATGATGAGAGGAACATAAAGTAAGACAAGAAGAAAGTATAATAGACCCAGATCTGGGGATGTGCCCTTCTCCTGGGAGGACCTTGGAACTTGCAAAAAAAGGAAAAAGACCAATGTAAGGCATGTTAGTAAGGATAAAAAGCTTACCAATACGCAATACGGAGTACTCCGTGCATAAAATACACAAAAACAAATACAAATCGAAATTCCAAGAGTTTGGTCGATCTGTGACGGGACCCATCTATTTAGCATCCCCTCCATAACTCGGCAGACCAACCGCGTGCCCGGAAGGGTGATTGGCCCATGTGTCACAGCCCGACAAAAAAATTAAAATGAGGGAGTCAAACTCCCCCCCCAATTAGGGCCCTGAAAGCCCTTCCAAGGGCTCGGTGGGCAGTCCTTAGGGCGGCTGGGTGGGTTCGTGTCTGTTTCGCCCGCTATTCCTTCTTGGTAACTATGACGGGCGATCGGTATAGCATATTGTATCCAAATTTTCTTGTCCGATTGTCCTCGGATTTCCTCGGCTGTCGTCCAAGAGCCGCATTCCTTTTGGTGATCACGATTAGGCCTGCTTCTCTTAGTTGCCTTTTCGCCGTTTCCTAATTGGGAAATTGGGGAAGCAGTACTCCCCTCCTTGTTGAATTTACAACTCACGAAATACTGTCTATATGTCTACGGCATATGTTGCATTTCTGTATTTGTACTCTGTACTCAGTACTGATAATCGGATATCCCTTGATCACTGGGGCTTGCATATCCGAAAGCCAATGGTGGGTCTACCTAAAATGAATGAATAAATGTCAATCTATTTTTTTTTTCCGGGTGCACGGCGATAAAGTGACATTTCTCATTTTTTAGTCGGGAAGTCGATTGCAGATTAATATGCTTATTAAGATCCCGTCCCTTAATATGGATGTTTATATTGTAGACACCGAATAGCTCCGTGGTGATCAAATATTAGGAGAAGAAACCAGATACAACGTAGGCTCCATAATCACCCTGCAGTTCCCATTTATCACATTCATTTGTATTATCTAGATTATCTACACTAATTACGCCATATAGCCCTAGCCGGTACGAAGTGCAGGGGAGAGTGCAAGCTGTCATTCGGAGTGTCCGTGTTTGGGGGCCGATACACCAAAAGACAACTAGCGCCACATATGCCTAAGCCACAATATCCCCACTTTGGTCTGTCCCAATCATACGCGAATAAAAGGCGTTCTTGGAATTCGTCACGTAGCCAAACAAAATAGGGAATAGTTGGTCCACATCCCTGGAATCATGGCGTAGCTGATAAATTACACCGCTGACTGGGTAGTTCGTATTTATCGGCGATCCCGGTGGTCGAACCCCATGCATTAAATGGGTCTATTCCAATACTAGTCAACAGGCATGGATGCACAGTCTAAATTTTAGACTGTGCTAAACTGGGGGAATGAAGTCATATCCGGCCCGTGTGTTGGGTTTGACCGATTCTTTTGCCCTGGTTTTGCGGGTTTGGTAGTCTTGGCCTAGTTAAACTGGCGGTCGGCATGCGGGCCTTTGCCTTTTGCCCAGGTTTGACATCTGTCCCTACCCGGGCAATATGTTAATGATTGCATGCTTACGGAAAGTTACTTCCATTAGCCATAATTACTCTAATGGTGAATGGCTGCAAAGATATATCATATTTAACATATAACTGTTGGACTGGATTTTCAACGTCCACGTCAAACTTACACCAAAAACGTCCTCAAGCGCATTAGCCAGTCAGCACCTAGAAGTGGTCGTTGACTGAGATTGCCTGTTCTTCACACGTGTGATGGAGATATTCCACTTGACCCAATCGTTCGCTTCATTTGCGGTCTTGCTTTTGGCCCCCAAATTGTTGTATATTACCATCAAAATACTATAACATACGTATACCTATGCATTTCAATCTGACATTCCGTCTTCTCTACTTTCGAGGATGATTAGGGTAGCCAAGAATTCTCCACTCCGTCCGTCACCACGGCATCGGGATGGCCGTATGCCCGCTTGGTGACTTCGGATTTGGCCATATCTACGACTGAGATAACGTACATGCCAAATGGAGGTTGATCCGGCGACCCCGAAGACTCCTTCCCCTCTGGGCCCGCCATATCGAAATTATATTAAAAATACGGCGATCAAGGAGGCTCTTAATTATCCTTGATGCTACCCCTCCAAAGTATTTGGGAAATGAGGTGAAGCCAAACAGCAAAATCAAAACAAAAATACCCAGTCCGGGTACCGTCGATCCATGGTTGATTCGAACAGAACCATGGAACTCCCGACTTTTATCTACACCTTATATTATACTTCCAACTTCAACTTCAATATTTACTAATATTTACTTTTGATGTCGTTCGTGCTCGGATCACCCACGGGCCAGGGAGAATCTCCAGAGTGGCAAATAATATCCCCAGACCTTGGTATTCCCCAGTTTTGCAATTTATTACCGAACCCCAAAACAGGTCCAGGAATAAACCAACCTTAAAGGAAGCGGCAAGACATCCCACGTGCAGTAAAAAACCGAAAAAAAGGCACATCTAGATTCTGACTCAGCCCGTGGTTGACGCTGGGCCTACTCGAACAACTGCCGATCCCAACACTTGAGCCTCTCGTGCTATTCGTAGCAGGAGATACCAACTTAGGCCCTAAGCCCTATAGGAGCAGAGGCCAGGATGGGGTGGGGGAAGCATACAAGGTTTAATCCCTGCCAACCCGCGTGGTGTTTCTAAAAACAGAAGCGAAACAATCCAGTTCTTTTAAACAGCCGGAGAAACTCAACGTCGACAAGCGATCGCATATGCATACACAGCCCAGTCTGGTAGTCTCGTCTGGGGATCCCGGATAGGGCAGGTATTTTTTTAGGCACACATGAAAGTACACTGCATAAGGACTAAGCTAATTAGGTGCATGTTTATTATTCTCATCCATATGGTTACATCTCTAGAGTTGGCCAAGTGGTCGGCGAAGACATGGTTCATGGTTCCTTTGGTCCCCGCTGATGTCGCCATACCACATCTACACTTAGTCCCATTTGGTCCTTCCTAAGTTGGTTTAGAATGTTTATCGTTTCGATATGAACGTTTCAGACCCCAAATCTTGGCCATGTGTGTGGCGGACAGGGTTGGCGCCCCCTATGAACGCCACCGGTGTTCCATTTGATTGTAATAAGCGCTTGATAAGGATTCGTATTGTTGTGTTTCTTCCAGCAACTTTGTACAAGGATGCTCATCTGGCATTTAGCGCTGTTGTTTCGCGATGATCGAAAGACAACATTCCTGCCGATCGTCCAGTGCATGGTTAACATTTACAATTTCCAACAAATTCCAACTTGTTAGACTTTGCAAGCTTAGATCTGTATGGTTGGTTCGGCGTGCATTTGCCGGCGTTTCATGAAGCGACATTTGTGTCTCCCAACGGCGCGCCACAAAATAACCAGGATTATTATATGCAAGGTCATTCCCTGTCCTGTCCAAACAACAAAGGGCTTCTAGAATAGCGCCAGGAATCCCTCTTAAGTTGCACAGCAGAATGGCCTCGACTGCGCCATGTCAGATCAAAATCAAAACAGTATATCACAACAAACTCGATGTCTCCGAAACAATTCTTTTATTTCCCCAATTACAAGAATGTTCGCAGTAAATGCAGCTTCCAACAGTGAACCCGGCGATCCCAAAATCTAGACCTACCTACTGCTTCTCCTTCGGATATTCCGACCCAACTGTGGGCCAGGATATCTCCCTGGGCTCAATTTGCGACCATACCACTCCAACATCCTCCCTCCCCAGATCACAAAAGTACAACAAGGCGCAAACTAACGGCCACCCCGGCCCGCCTCGCTACCATGCCAACACTGTCATCACTCTCGCCTAAGCGGAGATACCAAGTGGCGGCCCAGGGCACGGTGAGCCTCATTTCCCCTGTCATTGTCCCGCGTTGTTCGGTCCCCCGAACAAATACGGAAGCGGGGCCGTTCCCAAGCCTCGTATAGGTACATAGCCCCGTCTAGCCGACTTGCTTGGCGGGCTTAGACTGATTATGTCCCCACGCTCTCCAATATTGCGCTACGACAATACTAAAGCGCACAATTTAGGTGCCCGGTAGTTATTTCCCTGGGTCTTAACTGGACTTTTCCGAGCGGAAACGGACCGGAAGGTGGAGTGTTTCCACCGGGGAAGGTCCCCGGTGGATACTGTATTTGTTCACGTGGCAAGGCGAGGATATGGGATATCTCTGCTATCGCTAATTTTGTATTTAATTTGGACCATAGTGGCCCTGGAGCTATACAATATAGGGCAATTAATCACCAGTCTGCAGTCCCCGCAGAGTAAAATATTATCCATGCCGGCTACTCCGGTATACGTACTCCGCACTATGTACAGATTTTAGTGGGGAAGGCTAGTTATACTATTGACAGCGAGACTACAGGTCATGGCGCTGGAAGAACCTGATGTGTTTGCCGAAGTAAACGGAACCTGAGTCTTAGATACTCCTTACTCGAGCATTTACGCCGGTAGTCCTGGTTTCAGTTGGCTAATGTTATCGTGGTACCTGCTCCGCATAGTAGATCTCTGTCAGGGGTTTCGAATGACGAAACGGCATATTAATATACCAACTTCATATTGGGCCTACGCCCACTGCATGTAAATAATATATCTGACCCAATATCTTGCTTGTCTCTTCTATCGGATGATAACCTACCTATCAGTGCTGCGGTAGGTGCGTCGGGGGTCACACGGCGACACCCCTGCATAGGGACTTGAGAACTGGTAACATGCGCGATTCAGCGTATCTACATCCGTAACACAGTACGTATCTTATCTTCTATTGACCAGGATGTCCCTGTCTGTCTCACCACCGCAGGATGCACCTGAAATCCTGATATTCAGACCGTGCTATTGGTCCCATCCACAGGCGAGGCAAGACAAGGTAAGCTGCCGTGCTGTGGGCGCGGTCCGATCCTCTTGCTCCACGGTTCCACATGGTTGGGACCGGATCATCTGTCTGTGGGACTGCAGCATTAAATTTTATGAAGTGAAGAACAAATACAAACATGCTTGAGTATTGTAAACAGTTCACCCAAAGTCTATAGATTCCAAATCATGATGTTTTATTAAGTTTATCGCTAAACAAGGTTAAATGCGGGTAGGACAGGGATGTTGATCCTCCTAATCTCAGTAACTGCATCGTGAGGCGAGTCTCTTGATTCAAAACAGTTCTATACGTAATAGTGCGGCTCTTGCTCTTTGCGTTAGAGTCATTCGTCCTACGTTTGTCTTTTCCTAACTCCTTGCTCCTTTCCAGATGCGACCTCAGTAGAGTCACCCGGGCTCTGATCTACGTGTTCATGTGTTTTAGGGTGTTCGCCCGAGAGGGGTAAAACACGCCCAATCACCCGTCTACGTGCCCTCCACTGACGGCACGATCAATGCAAGATTAACTTTGAGAAAGAGGGGTCAAGTTATTTATCCCTGTCGGATGCAGAGTCAGTCACCCACTAGCCAAACACAGTCCTGATTCAGTGCCTAGCAGCTACTTTTCTGTTATTGATTCACGTAGATCAATCAATCTGGCTTTTCGCTATTTTTCCATTTGGGCTTGCTTTTACGCCGTACATCATATGCAATCACTTCTCCTGGGTCATGCGATGTCCGTCACGTCCTCGGTTTGAATTTCTCCCAGTTAACTGGACTACAACGTACCCACAGACTCGAATATGGGATGGTTCTTTAGATTAGAGCTAGGATCTAATCATCTGATCTATAGTATCAAATATGTATCACAGCCGACCGGAGAGAGAAGATTGGATATCTTCCAACCCCGTGATAAGCTCGAGGGAAGGCGTTACACTGTGCCACCTGTGGCCGAGGCAGACGTATTTTTGAGAAATGTATGTTGTAGGCAGGTCCGAGGGCAGATGGATAGCACGTCTCGCATATAGTGACCTAAAGCTTACTAGGGAGTCCCCGAGGTGATATTCCCTGCATGTCGGACGTGTGTTGTTCATCTGTACCTAGGATCACTCTATGCTCCCGTTTTGAGCATCATGCGTAGCCAAACAATATATTGTATACAAGAAAGCCAAAGGTGAAATGACTTGTCAAGCCACAATACGCCAATCAGTCCCAGCTGTCAAATTCGACATGGACATAATAGGCAGGAGGGTCGTGCTGCACATGCACGATGGAGATCGAGTATAACAATGCATCGTCAAATCAGTTGTGATCTTTCCCTCCAAGTCCCTAATGATCGACAACACTGCACGGGAACCCGGGAACTAGATTGTATCGATTCGGGATACACATCCCTAATCCTCGATCGGGGGATCTTTTGATTGGATATATTGGATATATCACACACACATCCACCATTTTGATCTGTCACTTTGGATCTGACTTGGCATGTCGATCCGAAGAATTTGTGACTACATATGTACTCCGTATGCTCCACTTCTTTCCTATTGTAGATATCGCATCCTAATGCGAATACTCACTAGCGACAATAGTTATGTGGATCGCTTCTCCACCGAAAAGTGCACTTTTCCTAATTGTGCTTTTACATGGCTTTACAAGTCTTACATTACCAAATTTGTGACTGTGCCGACTGTGCCACAAAGAAGCAAAAAGAAGCCCAAAGAAGGAAATGTTCCATCCCGCTAACCTCCCCACCCTCACTAGCCACTCTTCTTCAGCCTATGGGGAAGCCCTTCGCTCTCCCCGAGATGACGCAAATCAACTCCACTCATTGAGGCGGTGTTACGATCGTCTTTTTCAAGTGACGTTGGGTAACACGGAATAAAGATGCCGTAGTCCACAATTAATTTTTGTTTCAATCGGGAAATCGGGCGCTCCGATGCAATTGGGAAATTGTCTCAAACCCGTACCTTTGCCTTTTCACATCTGCGCCCGGGTGTGCATACGCATACGCATCTGCATCTGCATTGCCTGGGGGGAGAAAACAAGGACAGAGAGAAACCCGGGTAGAATTGACCTGAGCACGCAGGACAGCACGCGGAAGGTGGGTGTGCTAGCACGAGTCCCTCTAGTTGGTGATCTGGTAAGGTTAGACTTACCCGGGTATCCATTGTGCATCGTACTATACTGTCGATCAGGTTTTTGGTGATTAGGTTCTATAGTTTGGCGATCAGATAGCTCGGCAAATGCAGACGCACCTGGGGTGATGGAGCTGCAGGGTCTGGCGCTTTCCTTTTGCCCAGTAGAGTGGCTGGGTAGGAGGGTGTATGGTGATCACCCCTATGATAACCCTGACATCGAGACTTGTGGCGTACACCGAGCAGGTACGTCTCCTCTGGAGCGTAAGCCGTGGGTTGTTTTGTGGGGGATCTTCACGGTCTGCGCTCGGTCCGCTGCTTATGTCTGGTCTATACGAGTGTTGTATGCTTGGACAGCGCACACACATCGCCATGCTCTTCTGGCTCGTGGCAAGCGAGTTTCATAACTATCGAGGATCAAGGAATTAGTGCGTAGTATGTAATAGGCCCCTATCTTCTCCTTCGGCTTATCTTGTGCCGGCATCCCGATTTGGTATCTCAAACACGTCTGCGACATATCCAGACTCGAAGTTGCGAGATACCATTCGCTGAAACCAGACAATATGGACGTGTCTAGAACGCATGTACGTCCAACAACAAGGTCGGCTTCTAGAAGGATTTCCATGCAAATGTTGACACAGCCCCTGCGAGCCTTACTAGCGATACATACGCACGTCAGAATCGACCAGGATATATCATGAAACACCCACACACACCAAGGGATGACCATGTAGACATAAATGCCGCAAATCCTCCGCAGGCCCGTCGAGAATACAGTTCCAGATTCGTCGCCCTAAACACGAGACCTTCTATTTCTCGTGGCCCACACCCGCGACCAGACTATACCTGGTTCTTGGTGTTAATGCTGTGTAACGAATAACCAAGACGAGATGAGGTAGGAGTCAGAGTAAGATTAAGACCTATTAGCAATTTGCCATGGCATCCAACGAATGAAGTTATGTTTTTGGCAATGTCGATATATATTTTCCACCATCTCGGGTCGATATATATTGCCAAGGAGTAACCTCAAACCAAGCTCGACCTCAACGTCCCAGTCACTAATACCGTATGATATACCAGACATGCATTATACGAACCCGCACCATCGCATGAAACATAAGCCAAGAATATATATTAGGGAAAGGACCCCGATCCACGTTGAAACACGACTGTGATACAGAAACCCATTTCACCCTCCAAGCGCCAGGTAAGACGTAAACCATAAATGAAAGTCAAAGGTAGGAGATATACTTACCGAAAACTAAAATACCACATAGAAGACGAAGTACTAGGCTGAACTATACCAAGCACCCATTCCCAGAATAGAAGCTTATCCCAAACCATCCATCTTAAACGAACACCAAATCCAATAACTTAGACAACCGGTTACGCAGAACGACCGCGTGCTTGTACAACCCTCCGTGTACAAGTATGCGAGATCAGTTCCCGATCTACTCGCCGCACCGGAAATCGAAGCGTCTGTACTTAGTATTGACACATGATATATAGCAGCTAGGGTTGTACCCGAATACCTCCGGGGAAGAATGGACATAGATACACGGAAAGAAGAATTCAAATTCAAGTCCCAGGGAGGTGGAGGTGTAAAGCAGATGATACATCCTCCTTGGAATACGCATTGACAACTCTTATCTCAAACATATAAATCAAACAAGGACCTCGCCAGTGACAGATTATCACAAATTCCCACGTGAATGACAAACCCCAGACAGTATACCTAATTAAATATAAACATCCCTAACGAGAATTAACACCCAACCACTCGCATGTTTCCCAATTCGTCAATTTGTCATTCCCTGCATCCTGTGCAACATATCTCCCCTATGCATGTACGTGTACACGTGAGCAACACCCAAACCCCAGCTCAGCCCAGTCTGAATCCGTAGACTGGATTTCGAGCATGGATGTCTGAATGGGCTGGTTTGCTCCGATGCGGTATGGGCTTGTATATATGACATGGAACTACACACATATACACAAATAGACATACAATAACGAGTTAACAAGATTCGCTTTGTACCTAGGTATATACATGTATATGTACATATATTGCATGTCTAATTCCGTACCATGTGGTATGTACCGAAGAATAATACTGATACATAGCGTAGGTGCCGACCTGCATGCAACACTACGTACTGCGTACTCGAACATTACATAGTACATACATATATCTCCTACTACATGTGTACGGCGTACTCCGTACTACATGCATAGTGCATACAGCAAGCCCGGCCCGAAGGCCATCTAAGTTCGGGACGGGACCGAAGGGCGAGTTCTAAGACGGAGAGTTGCACGGCAGTTTTGATTTGGGGTTTGGTTTGTGGAGGTGGACTGGGTGGGTTGGGAAGGGGAGGGTCTGTGGGGTTTTGGGTGTGGATGGTCTTGTGATCTTTTGGGGGGGATGGCTTTGTTTAGATTAAGGTGATTTTGGATTAGGTATGGATATGTGGAGAGGGGAGGTTGGGGTCGGGGGTTGATATTGATTTGGACTGGGAAGGGGGTTTGTGCCTGATTGGATTGCGACTGGGTATGAAGTAGATATGTATAAAGGAAGTGTTGTGGTAGATGTAGGGTGTTGATTGGGTTAGATAAATTCGTGTTGCTGAAGGTTGAATGTCGACGTGAAATTATATACTGATCAGGGACATGTATCCTGGAAGAAATTCCAATGGAATTGGGTATCGAAGATAGAATAAGTATATACAGACGATCAGGCAGTTGTAAGGCTCACTAGCAGTCCAGCCCAACCACAATCAAGACATTACAGTCTGGTTTTTATAGAGGTCGCAAGCATGAGGGTGCTGCAGACAATACTTCGGCACAAGAGCAGTAGCCATCACACCATTGGCAACGAGGTATTCACGGAAGTTCAGAATACGCTGAGTAAAGCTGGTGGTACGCTTTCTACCCGCAGCGTCACGGTTACCAGACCAGACAAGCTCACCCAGAGCAGCAGCGCGAGGCCAGAATACGCTGGAGACGGTCACATCGTCGACCTGCTCCGACCACAAAGGAGCCTCGGCGCCGATAATGTGCTTTGCTTCGGAGGCAGTAAGATTCGTGAGGAAGTCATAGTCGTAGATACGCTGCCAGGTCTTGTAGGGGGCGCACCAGGAGCCACCGTTGCCACCGTAGTTGAAGTTCACTCCACCGTCGGTGTTGCTCTGCACGTCGTAGCGGGCGTCGTTGGTGACATAGCCGCCGCGGCCGCAGTCGAGGTAGAGGAAATCGGAGGTCGAAACGACAACGTCGTAGCCGGCCGAGGTGAGTTTCTTGATGTTACCATCCCCCTCGCCGCTGTTCCAGGTCTGCATGATGACGTCTTTGGGCACGTCGTGGGCGCTTTCAGTCGCAACAGCTATGTCCTCCCACATCATAAGACGGCGGTGGTCGCCGACACTACGGAAGATGGGCATGGAGTGGTCAACCCAGTACTGAGCAAGGTCGTTGTAGGTGCGCGAGGGATCCTCGGCAAACCACTTAGTGATATGGGAGCTATAGTTGTAGCAGTTGGGCTGGATCTCGTCTGCACCAACGTGGAACACGTTGTCGCTGAAGATGCGAGACAATTCCTGGTAGACATTGTTGACAACTTCGTAGGTCTTGGGGTAGATAATGTCGAGCTGGCCAGGGTTCGGCTGGACCGCGGTGTGCTCGCCCAAACGTCGTTTGACCACCAGGATTCGGCACATGCCACGATCTCCGGGTCGATCTGCTGCCAGCCCGAGGCAGAGTGGGCGGGCATGTCGACCTCGGGGATGACGCGGACACCTCGCGCGCGGGCGTGGGCAATCACAGTGCGCATGTCGTGCTCGGTGTAGACTTCACGAGGCGAGTAGGCATCTTTGGTCATCTCAGGGTAGGAGCCCATTTGCACGGGCCACGACTGAGAATCGTCTAGGTGCCAGTGGAGAACATTGAGCTTGGACAGGGCCATACCGTCGATCTGCTCGAGGAGCTTGCGAACGCTAATGAAGTTGCGCCCGGTGTCCATCATGATACCACGATGGGGGTACAGCGGGGCATCCTTGATCTCGACGGGCTGTTCGATGATCAAACCGCCCTTCCCATCCGAGATGATAATCTGCTGCAGGGTGGTGAATGCGTGCAACACACCCCAGACCGTCTGAGCATTGATCCTGATGCCATCATTGCCCACTACCAGTGTATAGGATTCATCCACACCGTGTTGGAGATCGGCATCGTTGTCCACCACATGAACATCGACGTTGTGGATTGCGGAGGGCGCGCGTTTGGCCTTGGGGGCAGGGGTGGAGACAGGGGGCACGGTGGGGAAGGCCGGATAGGAGGCGATTGGGGATTCAACAGCAGCAGGAACCCATTGCAGGGTAGTGATGGTTTCCCATGTTCGCTCCCAAGCTTGAGTGAGCAGAGGAGAATGACGACCGTTCAGATTCAAGGAGTTGACTTGGATTGGACCGGAGGATCCCCAGGCGATGTTACGGGGGGCGGGAAGTGGATTCACTTGGACGGCGGATGCAGCCGTCAGGGCCCCGAGCACATTCAACACAGAGGCGAACTTCATGTTGATAAGGTGAGCGAGGATGAAAAATAGAGAAACGGTGGCCAGGAGATAGCCAGAACTATTTATGTTTAGCGGCATTGTCAATCTCTCATCGGAATGGGGAATGGGCCTGGATGCAACCTGGGGAAGGGTAAAAACAAACAGCTCCCTTGTTACATTGCATATCCAAGCTAACACACACCTTGGCAGTCTTCAAATGATTCAAGGAAAAAGAGAAAGTGCAACCTCTACATGCAACTTCAACTCCCATTATAACAATAAATATAAAAAGATAAAATAGGGGGAAAAGCTACGGAATCCTCCGGATCTACTGGCAAATGACACTGTCTCACCCGGTCTGTCGATCTATGAGGCATCCTGAAACACTCGGAAGCACCTGGAAAGGAACAGAACTCTCCACATCGGATCTCAGGTATCATGATTTAATCCTACTTCATATCCATTAGGACTCCAACGACTTCTCCAACTCCATTCCCTCCCGGAACTCCGCCTGGATGGCTGCCGCATCCTTAGCAGAAGGCACGACACAAGGCCGCCGAGGAAGACCACCGTAACCGTGGTAGGCTTGGAGGCCAGTCTTAACAGCAATAAAGCCACCATGAATAGCAGCCCAGTCAGCACGCGCAACAATAGCCTGCACCTTCTGCGCCTCCTGAACCTTCCCAGCACGATACAACTCCATCAGACGGACACACGAGCGAGGAATCATATTAGCCACGCCACCAATAATCCCCGCCCCACCAACAACCAGCGTCTGCAGCGTGAAATCGGCCGAGCCACCAAAAGTCAAGAAATCCGGCTTCGCCGCCGCAACACGAGCCAACTTACCCGTGTTACCGCACGTGAGCTTGCACCCGATGATATTGGGGTGTTCGGCGAGAGTCAGGATATCATCTGAACTGAGATCGAGGCCGGACTGCACGCCGGGGAAGTTGTAGATGAGAACAGGGACGGGCGAGGCATCGGCCACAGCCCGGAAGTGGGCGTGCATGGACTCGGTGCTCACGAGGGACTTGTAGTAGCTGGGTGGGAGCACGAGGACGGCGTCGGCGCCTGCTGCACCGGAGTCCTGGCATAATTGGATGGTCTCGCGGGTTGAGGCGGCGCCACAGCCGGCAATCACCGGCATGTTGCCGTAGCCGGCTGCGTCCACGGCGCGGCGTGTGGCGGCTGTGATGGCCTTGCGCTCTTCACGATCTAGGTGGACGGCTTCGCCATTGCTACCCTGGGTTACTAGGCCGGTTACCCCGCTGCGGGCGAGATAGGCGGCGTGCTTCTCGACTGTTGCGAGATCGACTTCCTCGTCGGGCTTGAAGAATGCTACGGTGGGGACGTAGACACCGTGAGGGAGGGAATTGCGCTTGGTTCCGGTCATTTTGGCGGAGAGGACTTCAATCTATTGGTTCTGTTAGTGTCTGTAAGTTTCTTGGAATCTTTCTGTTCATACCGAATGTCACCGGAGGGTAAATGAGGGGGATGAATATTGGCGGACTTACAGCTATTTAGCTAGGCATTTTCCCCACGTCCACCCCACTGAGTTTCGATTTAACCGAATGATCCTGCAGTCCAAAAGTCTGGTGGGAGAGGCATTTGGTGTTTTTCGTTTCATTCGGACATCATTTCCCCCCACGCCTTATGCGGGGTTGACTCCCGAGGTATAGGATGGCCTGGTGGTATAGGATGTATTCCATGTATGCTGTTGCTATACCTATTCACTTGATGTGAGTATGTCTCTCTCTCTCTCTCTTTTGGGGTCACAAAATGGGAGAAATCTCATTGTATTAGGCCTTGCGGTAAGATCTGATATAGTCCTAAATCCGGAGTTATATGGTCTATTACTGCGCAGATGATACTGTCTATTACCAGATATACTCTGTCCGATGTCCAATGAAGTCCATAGACTCCTCCATCCCCTCACAGATGGGAATTTATTGGAATCCCGACACTGGCAATGGTTGAATTGCCGTCCCCCACATTGGGGCCGTGGGGGTATGTCCTTTTCCGAGATACTAAGGATATCCGGGATATTAGGGATATTTATGGTATTTATGATACTTTGGATGTTTTTATATTTCTATTAGAGCAGACTTAGCAGAAGGAATCTTGCTGAATCGACTGTAGAAGCATAATAGAGAGGTTTACATACATTGTAGGTCGTTGCCTATATGAATGTCTCTAAACGAGAATTATATTAATTCAGAATAGAACAATAGGACACGAATACAGAGCATTGTGAATGAATAGAATCATGAAACAATAGACATTTGATACCTTGCAGAGTTCACCACCTTAACCTCCATATCCGCCAAGAACTTCTCTGCTATCTCATCCCCAAGTCCCTCGAGTCCCTCAAGTCCCTGTAAAACCTCGGGGAATCCAACCACACAATGAACTGATCTTCCTCAACAATGGCCCCCCTGTCGCGGTCCTCACTCCGCTCTGTGCGACAGGCGCCTGGAGAACCCGCCGACGGTCTGGCACCGCCGACAAAGAAACCGCGCATCGAAAATGCCGACCGCAAGAGCTCTCCCGATTGTCTCGACAAAGATCCTACCCCGAAGAATCGTCCCAACTCATTGAAACCCACGCGCCCGCGCACCTCCAATCGCACTCGTCGCGACTCCTCTTCCTCCGTTGACACAGTCGCCTCCTCCGTCGGGCAATTGGCGACTCCGGCGACACGTACAAACGGAAATGGGAGCTTCAAGACCCCACGCGCCCGCCGTGACCAAGGTACCCCCTCCGGCGCGGATTTGTTGCGCGGTGTTCATGAGTCGCCAGACCCGTTAGACACAATCTCTCCAGCGCCGTCGGTCGCGAAGCAGCGCACCCCGGCGAATGTGGCCTCAAATGTTAAACCGCCCGTTTCACCTGTGACCCGGACGACTCGTCGCAATGACAATCGATCGCTGGCAGACACCGATGAGAACGCGATCAAGAAAGAGGGTGCTGTGGAGGGTGCGACTCCGACGCAAGATAGCAAGAGCGAGGTGACTGGCGGCGAGCAGCCTACGGTAGACACACGGTCGGGGAGACGGTCGTTGCGTTCGACAGATACCGGGTTACGGTGCAAGAGCGAGCTTGCGCAGTATTTCCACAACTATGAACAGATCATCAGTCTCGATGTCCCCGAACCTGGTAGGTTACTCGTCCCTGAGATTGGCTTGAGCGCATGGCTGATATTGGATATTATACAGAGTTCCTCGCCGCTAAGACTACCATCACTCTCGTGGACGATCTATCGCGACCACTACCTTTCTGCTCCAACCCCGACCCTACACCCTTCGGCAACCCGCTACTAAACCTCCACGACTGTGAAAAGATCACCCTCCCCAAGCCCGCATCGAGGACACCCGCAATCGACCCATTGAGCGAAGAGACCTATTTCCGCGCGCACCGCAAGTTCGAACGACAAGAGAAACAACTCCGCAACATCGAGCGCAACCGCGCCCAGCACGAACAGCAAGTCCTAGAGCGCCTCTTAGACGAGCTACGCGGCCATGACTGGCTACGCATGATGGGCCTGACGGGAGTCCACGAAAGCGACAAGAAGCTCTACGAGCCGAAGCGCGACATCCTAATCCAAGAACTAGTCACTCTGGTCAACAAGTTCCAAGCATGGAAAGACGAAGAGCGTCGCCGCAAGCTGGAAAAGGAAAAAGCACACCCGGTGCCAGGCACCGAGGCAGCACCGAATGCCCCATCCCGCCAGCACTCGCGCAGACGATCCCGTCCCGCTGAAGACGTGGACAGCTCCCCAGCACCGGGGACTGATCTACGAAGCACGCCAGACGTAGACGCAGACCCAGATCTAGACCCAAGCGACGTCGACGCCTTGGCTGCGCGTCAGCTTCATCAAGAAGCTCGCTCCGCAAGCGCTGCTAAGACGCGCAAGACAGCACCTGCTTCTCGGAAGTCTATTTCGAAATCCGCTCCCAATACCAACACTACCATCACCAGTACCAATGACGCCGAACCAAAACCCAGCCCCAAACGCAAAAAGCCCAACCCATCACCCACCAAACCTCACCCACAACCCCCAGCCCCAACAACCCAAAAACCCGCACCCCGACCCCTCCAACAAGCCTCCCTCACCCACTTCTGGAACCCCGCACCAAGAGAAGGCCCATTCACATCCTTCTTCCGCCAACGACACGTGCGCGAAGCCGCCATCGCCGCAACAAAAGGCATCCGCCGCGGCGGGTCCCGCTCAACCCTCGCATTCGGGTATCCGGTGCCTGATCAGACAGAGCAGGAATTCGAGCTGCCGCCGGATATTCTGAATGACGATTCCATTCAGCAGTCGCAGCGGAAAAGGCGCAGACTTAAGCGGCGGAGTTTGGGGGGTTGATGGGGTTTACAACATGGTGCATGAAATAGGAATGGTTGGTGGGGTTTTTTGTATGATAGCATTTTACTAGCATGGTGTTCTGCGTTTTGCTTTGCTTTTTATCTTCTAGACTGGAAAGTCTGCTGGCGTTTGTGTTGGTGTTGGTGTTGGTGGATGGATTCGTCAGGGGCTGGCTGGGCCCCTTTTTTTTGCTTTTTATCTGTACAGATAAATCAGCTAGGCTGTGTCAATCATACCGATTGAATACAAGTTATTATCTTGAAATTGGTGTTACTGGTGTAAGTACGTGTTTTTGGTTGTGTGCAGGTAGGGATATCATAACCGCTGTTGGTGTTGAGGATGCATGAACTCGCATAAGACTATTCCAATATGGTGGCTACTCAGCCGCCGGAATGATCCTCCACTGCACTAGCAGTGACAGCATTTGTATTGTGTATTCCCAACGCAAGTCAAGACTGGATTAGTTTGGTCTGTAATAGGCTTGTCAGTTCTAGTTCATGGGTTTGCACCATTCAACCATCAGCCATATCGGGTCAATAAATGTTGAGCTTCCTGACAGCGGCGGGAGACCTTCCGCTGACATGGTGTATCTGTTTTAAGATGGATACTTTGCTCCGGTGTCTCGATAATGTAGGTTTCCAGTTTAAGGCATGGCTAGACGATAATGTTGGCGAGGAAGGAAACCTGATAGTAGATACAATCTTGAATGGTAGAACAGGTGGGTTTACTCTACTATGAATTAAAGACAAAAAGGCATATAGTATCTGCATAGTTAGGAGTTTCTTTCGGCGCCATGTCTAAGATCTCCTAGAGATGGACGGTTTGCCTAAATAGGAAATATTTGGCCTACCTAGTCGGGACTCTCTGCATGAAATATTGTCTTTAGAAGATATTCTGTTAACACTAATTTACTATTACCTCCTTCGTTCAAGATCTAGTAAGTTCGACAATATCAACTTCTATAGGGCCAATTGCTACAATATCTTAATTCCTATAACAAGAATAGTCGGCTGTATAAGCCCGTAGTTTCTCACGGAGTCTTTTCTAATCGTCTTTTTATATGTCTCTTCAGTGGTCTTTTTTTAGAAATCTCGTTAGGTAGTCTTTTAGATGTCTAGTCATTTAGATAATTTCCCCCCTGTCTTAGGTTTTTACCAGGTATATAACCTTTGATATCCCAACTTCTACAACATCTCAACTCCTATAGTTCATAAGTGTAGCGACCGTCGTCCTTTTTAATGTCGAACACCCAGCGGAGGGTGAAGGGTTTTTCTTGGGTGTGCTCCTATCGACGATCTTCCAGGTTCCGTTTTGAATATGAGATTCCAATTCTTTTTGAGCTGCGATAAGCCATTTGTCCTTTTCTTTACAATCCCTGGCGTCAACCCGTCCATTGGGTATGTAACATCGTCTGAGATGAATGAAATGTTCTGCTGGCAAAATACAATGAACAGCGCCTCATCCACACCATCCTTTCGACTGACAGGTTGGATGACTGACATCATGCTTTCGATGGTCGTGATCTGCCATTTCCATCGGCCGTGCTCGGTCTCTACGTCGTGGCCACCGTAGTAAGTTGGAGGACTGCCGTCGTAGTTGAGCCACGCGCGACGCACACAGTCGTATGGCCAAAAGAGAAACGGAGAGGGTAAAAAAAAGAGATGGGAAATAAGATCAACATTGTAGTCCTTCTGGTTCCGTCGTGGACGTCGAAAGAGGCGTCACATTTGGGACCTCCTAGTAATGACTGGTTAGAATGAAGCCCAAACTAGGATATTGTATAACGTACTGTGACAGCATGGTCGTAAGGCCGTTCGTGGGTCTCGTGAATAGCCAGTCGCAGGGTTCGCGATACTCGCTCCTAGTAAGGTCCAGTTAATACGAAATTTGTTTTTGTTAAGTTTGGAATGACAAGGAGTAAACCTACCAGCTATCCGGTTCGGTTTCCCTAGTGCTAAACCAGTTGTCGCCACTTGGCCACGCAGAATTAATGGCTGGAATGGGATGCTGTCGGTCGATCGTTTTGTCTCGATTGACCGGAAGTAACCGATGGCTTCTGTGCTCATTGGGAGCTTTGGAGGAGCCCATGCGCTTTCTTTCCTGCGACCTTTCCGGTCAAAGTAATGGTTCAGCTAGTCGAAGCTAAGAGCCATGTATAGCCACCGGCTACCATCAGATGTCAGCTCCGTCTGTTTGCTGTTTCCTTAAATATGGATGTTTTATAATCACCCTTCATCTTGGCATCTGACTCGAAATGGGAGGTTTCCTCTCGTGGGCATCATCCTATAGTGCAATTTCCTGTTAGTGGAACTCAATGCTAGCATATTTACGGGATACCGGCCACTTACGGTGAGTTTTGCATCGATCCATGCTCACTAGTGGCCTTCTGGGAGACTTCGCGTGGAGCCGCTAACTGATTGTAGGATACAGCCATGAACCGTGCCCTCGTTGCCTCATCTGAAGTTTTCCTCGGCCCTACCCCACGAAAGAAGACTGAAGTCGATGATTCTGATGCTCCAGTATTGTGCATAGTCCACGACATCCTTAGCTCGGCGGAAATTATGAGAAGTGCTCCTCGTGTAGCCTCTTTAACAGAGACTCGGAAAGGCATTCTGGCGGTTCCTAGGGATGAGAAAAATATTAGCGAGATGATCACAATATAAGACCGATTCGGAATCGACTCACCCGATGGACACGAACCCCATCTAGATAATGGTGATGGCGATCTCCTTTCACCAAGCTATCAACAGGTCCTGTATCGCCGATGAGCTTGCCTATCGCCTCTGCAGCGCCTGCGACAAGGTGCCAAAGCTTATTGGACCAGTTTTTGAGAACCACCGGGAGTGTGCATGTGTTTCGGCAGAAGAAGTGATGGAATTTGATGTCCTTGTCGGTCTCAGGCGCTTGTATAGTGGCTCTAATCGATAGGTGACCTCTTCAGGCAAGCACCCTTCATGACCATGACGTGTTTAGGTCTCCCTAGGATGAAGCGGTGGAGGAACCTTTTTATATATAGGAAGCCACCCAACAGCAGCCTGGAACATTCTTTCCAGGCCATTCGAACAAGCCATCCCGCCGGTGCATTGTCTCATGCACCAGTTATCTCCCTTTGAAAAATTGCTGGCATCTTTTCGATGACTTCTCGAAGTCTCGTACCACCTCCGTAGCTTTTCCCGCAAGGATAAGCTCGAACGCCAATGATATGGAGCCCGCAATGGTTCGTTTGTTTCTCTTCCCTCATGATATTGCTTGTCGTGGCTGTGGCCGAGGAATTGCGGTCCTTCTTCCCATTCCCGCTGTAGGAGGAGGTAAAGAGCGTTCATTTCGTAGTCCGATGCGTCAGCCTCACGTTTGGTCTAGTTGGTACTTGAAGTCCTAGCATGAAAGGTCCTTTCTGCAATGGCTGGTGGGACATTTGTGAAACGTAGGTATTTCACCACGTCGGTAGGAAGCTCCTGTCCTTCCCTAGAGGTGCGGTTAGGGTTGGCCGACGAACCGATGGCTTCAAATGCATCCGGAACTCGGTCACTTTTGCGGGGAGCCATTTCTATTTCCTCGCTGTTTGATCGAGGACCTCATTCTCTTTTCGAGGTCTTCACAACTGCCTCGAACAACTCGCGATCAGGGGAAGGAGAGGGTGTTTGTCACCCTTAGGCGGCTTTTGTAGTGATTCCCCCTCACTTTAACTACCCTTTCCAGGATAGGTTTCAAAGCAGGAAGAACCGCCTTTTCCCAATGTACCCTAACGGGTATCTTGGATGGCAAGCCTGGCAAGGGCGAGGCAGGAAGTAGATGCCATAATGTTGGAACTCAAATGGCTGCCATAGAAGCGGCTTATTGGAAGCCATATGAGTGGGATGGTATGAAAGAATAAATGAGTAGGTGAATGTCCAAGATAGATGAGCTTGCGGGTTATAAAGAGAAGGTGAGATGTGAGAGACTGAAATACTCTTATGTGAGCTTCTGACAATACCTCACTGGGCTTTCCTTTTATGCTACTTAGTATTCTTTGTTGTTCCTAGACTCTACTACATGATATATATATCTTTGACAGACAAATCCTCTCCTGCTTTAATTAGACGCCTTCCCACTACATTGGCAGATAACTTTTCCCTATCAGCATCATCCCTCACTTCTCCTTGTATCTCACTTGTCTTACTTCTCACTTGCCTCATCGCTAAAGTACGCCGTGACCTAGACATATGGGTCCACCTGGAAGAGGGAATATCAGATTGCGCTGACAATGAAAGTGAATCACAGAATACCCGTGACCGAAGTCGCAAAATAGAATGAGATTCGACGAACTAGAAATCAGCGGACTCAAGCATTATCATGAATAGAAGTGAACCTGGCTCAGCGCATCCACGAAACAGAAAGTCAAGCCATTGAATCAGAACGGCTTCAAGACCGCACCGGACACATATCACGACCGCCAGCGCCTTTTCTTTTCTTTTCTTTCTTTCTTTTTTTTTCTGAGCAATACACCCGATTCTGCAAGTTGGCAAGAGGCGGGGTACTATGTCAACAGGGCAAAAGTGCCAGCCGAACTTACTCTGCCACAGTGCAGAACTTGCAGAACTAGAGGACTTTCTCAGAGACGTCGAGACCTTCTAGGCAGAGAAGCGTGGGTCTTTCGGACCCGTGTGTGCTGCTTCGTGCTGCCTCGGAATTTGGCTGATAGCTTCAGCTACCGGGAAGGTACCATCCAAATAATCTGGATTGGCGTTATTGAGATTTCGCATAATCGGGGGGTGGGAAACATAGTAAGATCTTTGACATGGTTCTGCCTAGCACGAATATTAATATCACCTCTATCATTAGACACCCGATGGGCCCGTTCCGAAACGCCTAACCTCGAGGTCGCTGAGACTACGACATTCTCACAGATCCCAGGACATGTGAGTATTTTTGGTCTTAATTATGGAACTAGCTAACGAGATCTACTTATATCCATCACAATTGCATGAGTGTCGCTCAAAGTCTTCCTGCGGACGATCCTCCGAGGTTTCACATCGCTCTGCCCCAGCGGTAACGGGATAACGGAAGATCCTCCTGCCATCTGTGTGGACATTAAACACAATTGCACGCCTTGTCAAGGTTCAGCCCTTTTGAGCCAACACCGTACGTGGTAATCAGTACTTTCAACGCGTTACCGGGTTTGTTGACATCGTTGATCAATGAATCTCAACCTTGCTGATCTACACCAGAACAGAAAGTCTTGGTTTCGACCAGTGCAGCACGTAGCACTGTCTCAATGAACCATGCGTTGAGGGGATATAAACCCACAAGGAGGAGCTTCTGATTGTAGCGGTACCTAGCCTTATCGACAGGCTCAATATACTGCCAGTGCAAAAGCTCTTTGAACACCAGGCAGAAGGTGGGGAGACCACTCGACTAGGAACTTCAGTCTCTTGTGCCTACCTAGGCGCTATGATACGTGTTAGTCAATACAAGCTTATTTAAATCTTAAAATGTGATAAACGTACTTGGCGTGCCCATGCCATGGAAGGTCTGGTGAATTTGTCGCTCCTTCGCGAGCAGTTCTGTTCGGACGTGGATCTGCTTGAACATTCCCTTCAGTGGGATCCCACGCCCGTTTGATCGAGCGATCGTGGATCCCTGTGACCTCTGAATCGCGAGTAGGTCAACCACCAAGCCAAAGTAATTAGCCACAAGCAGGCTCTGCTTTGTCTTGCCGAAACAAGAACCCAAACTTTCTGGAGGGTATCCACAGCACCGCAAGCTTTGTTGATCTGGGATTCCGTATAAGCACCTGTAGTCGCTTCACACAATTTGTCCACATCAATGGAGCCCAGCAGCTTGAGGACCAAACCAACAGCACCTGTGATTTGGCGGGCAAAGAAATGGCTTTTCGTATGCCCCTTGAGGAGTAGTGATTGAAGCGTCCATCTTCTAACTCTTGACAAACGAGAAGGCCGATGCGAAAAGACATGGTCTTGTTCTGCTGTTTGTCCCTGCGAATGCGCACTGCAGAGTAGAGTAGTGTTTTTCGGCCTACAGAAATAATGTTAGCGTACCCGTAAACACCATTTAGTCGACGTGCTGATAGGGCTGTCTTACATTATGGGTAATCTGGTCCTCACCATCTCACTGAGCTTGCGTCAGAGCCTCCTTTGAGATTGTCCTTTTCGGACTTGGTGGCACTTAGCAATCTGGGATTTCCACGGGCAAGGCTTCCCGTTTGTCGGACCCCGCAAGGAGCTTGGGTACCAACTGCATCTGCCACTGCTGGCGTCCCAACTCGGTCGTGTACCGCAGTTGTTGCTGCGCTGGGAAGTCAAATTTTCTGGGTGTGACAGTTTCATCCTTTTCGTGGAATCACGAGATAGTGGAGATTCAAATGGAGAAACAATATATGTTTATGTCTAAGGAAAGGGACGGAGAGTGAAGGAAGGAGAAAGAGAGAAGTGAGAGTGAAGTAAGAGATATCTTACTAACCAGGTTCGGTCCCATATGCTATTTGCCTAGCAGTTCAGGCATTAAACATCTTTTGGGATAATGCCGGTTATGGGGTGACAGTTTTGTCGAGACCGTGAACGTCTGACTCGTAATGCCGTCGCTAACAAGGTCGCTCCCAAAGATTCTAAGCTGTTGAGACCACCCCGTGAATTCCTTAGTGATAAACAGACTGAGCCTCTTGATTGCCAGATTGCTAGTTTGTTTGCTAGGCCTTCTATAAAAGGCTCTCTGTTTAAAGATTGAAGCAGATTTCTCTTCTTGACTCTTCCCAGTTGTCTAGTAGCCTTAACAGGAGGTATATTCTATGCACCCTAGAGATAGCAATTGACAATATCGCACGAGTGCCGTTCAAAATCCCCCCTGTGGGCAATCTTCCGAGGTCGAGAAGTACCTCTGAATTCATCAGTGATCACATCGTCTTTTACAATATTCATCCGCACGATTTCCAAGATCTAGCTAACCCAAAGATACCCGCGCAAAGTTTTCAAGGTACGATTCGAGCCACTATCCCCACGCTCAAAATGAGGTCTCGCATGCATTCGGGGGGCCTCGGAATTCGATCAAATAGTGACGCCGTGAAAAGCTTCCGTGGAGATGCAAGGTGATATTTACAGCGCTGGCGACGTTGACAACCGCTGGTGTTCGAAAACCAAAGCTCCCGATGCACCCTGTATTCCCAGACGGGACAGCTTCCCGCTGCTCAGTGTGCCGTCTAGTGCCTCCATGCTCTGCCCGCTGCGTTTACGGAGAAAACCACAATCATCAAGACACAACCGAGGGTATCTCAATCAACTGATGAGGTTGTTTATGATCTTTCTGGGGACTCTGGAGAAGCGGATGTTCTCTCATCATTGCCAGACCCTGCGTCCGGTCCCTTATTGAGGATACCCTACAGAGGATTGGTATCCCTTGGGGGAAGGACATCTGCGGTTGAACTTGGCGTTACAACAAAGGTGTCAACGGGATGTCCCCTGTGTTCACTGGGCCAACGATGACTTTGGATCCCAACGGACCCCCACCTTCACCCCGTCTGAGATGGAGATATTCACTTTTTCAGCATCATTGGCAAAAGTGAACTTCAAGAAGGTGGAGCTTAGCACAAACTCCGCAAGAGCATGCAACGGACAGGTCGACGCGAAGGGTTTCGACATACCGGACACTCTGCTGGAACAGTTATTCTCCCCTGAACAAATCGACGCGTTCCAGCGATTTCAGGTAATGCGTTCAGAGAATGTCTGTCTCCGTGTCGTGACTCGAATTCAACGAGAAGAGATTGAGCAAAACTGGTGTGGGATGCCTGCTATGCCCAGTCCCACATTGCTTCCCCAACCCCTTCTATGCCTGCCGCTATGTTGTAGAGGCAGAACTGTTCACAATGATGAAGGCAATCCCTCCGGTAACGGACCACACGATCCAACTGCACCATTGTGAGATGATGACTGGATCTCACAAGCACAGGACGATGATGAAAGACAGTAGAGAAAGCCTTCATATCCAATTCAACCGGTTTTCTGAATGCTCCGGTGGCCAACTCGGCGGTTATAGCTGCTATTGGCGCTACATATTCAACAGTAAAAGGGGAAGCCTGCCAAATAAGGAGGAGATAGATAAAGGATGGGACGTCGACGGCACCTGGGTGCCACCACCGAAACGCGTTCGTCTGTCTGACGAGCTGACATACGTTGCCGCCAAGTGCCTCCAACAAACAGCTTATGTGAAAGGTTTCTCCTCGATTTCGATGGCAACGGTCTAATTCGACCTCAAGCACTCCCCGAGATCCTGCACCGTCAGTTAGGGCACACGGCTTGCCGTTTGTCGTCGTTGCAAGGAACACCGTCGTGCTTACAGAATAACTGGTGTTCGTTGACAGGCACGCCATGGAGCAAGCGATTTGAGCAACCGATCTGTCGGATCCCTCGGGCTGGTTCCGAAAGGGTTGAGTACGGTGTCTGGAACCATCCTTACCTGGCTATTCCCTGTCGAGGATGGCTATGCCGTCATACCGGGTAAGCTGGACAGAAAAGCTTCTCCGACCTACACACCTACCACTGTCCGCCTGGAGAACGCTGGGCCAAGAAGTCCCTGATTGTGCAATGTAAGAGGAAAGTATTGGAAGCGTGAGGCTCGACCTGGGATGGAGGAGGTTGCCAACCTCAGGGTTCGTCTTTAAGATGGCAGGTGATCCAAACTCCTAGACCACCAAGAAGCAACCTTGTCTTGCTCTCTCTACACCGAGAATGAATACATTGCAGAAGCATTAACAGTACGGGAAGCCTTTTGGCTAACCCGGCTGTTATCCCACGAAGGCACTTTAGCTAAAGTAAGATCGCAAAAGTGTCAAAGCCGTGCATGCACTAGTCGTCAACAGAAAACCCCCCCGAACAGAAAACCCCCCCGAACAGAAAGACCACTAAGCCCAACCGGCGACGTCTGGCTCCAGCTTTGGTTTCAAGAGTTGTTCTCGAAGCTTGTGCGGTTGAACTGGATGGCAAAATTGGCTGAACACCAAAAGGAAGGCAATACCACTCGCTCGTTATTTCGGATTCAGGAAAGTGGAAGGTCTGCAACGGCTAATACTTACCTGGCCAATCCCTTCTCTCGCTTTCACTTCACTCTTTATTCACTGCCCCTCTCTCTCCCACTGCCGCTCGCTAGAGCTATACCAAGCTTCAGTTGCCTTTTCTCAAGACTCATCCTTCGAAGACTCCCGCATTTATCAAATATACCTCCGGCGGAGTTCCTTTCTCACGTTCCCGACACATAGGAGCAGTGGGACCGCGCAGTCAGGGGACCAAACCTAAATAGCGACGCACACGTATAGCAACAGTGGAATTCAGCGTCGATGCTGACAAAGGAAGAATACTTGCTTCTTAGGTATGTTGCTTGTAAACTCATAATAAAAGAAAAGTCGCCGGCAAGATGGTGAAAACTGTCAAATTGGGCTAATACTACAAACAGGCTCAATATTGGCTTTAGAACCCACTCCCTTACCTTCCAAGCTTGCGGCAAGTGACAGCCGGATCCTCAACTGCCAAGTCCGATCCATCTACCAGTGGCCGGGGTCCGTGGGAGCCGGTAGCTTGAGACGCTGGCGCTCGAGCGAACCAGGACTCACACGGCGCTTCTGTTTTGGCTTGTTTAGAAGAAAATACAACCAAAATGCCGAAGAAAAGTGCATTTCGACTGGCCCATGAATGCTGGGATAGCGTTATCAGAATTGCATCGACCACGCATGAGACTCTGGCCACTCCAACAGACGCCGGTGAGGATATCGCAGAAGGACAGAGACAGCTATGCGCTTCATGGTGTTACCTTTGGCTGATGGTGTGCTACACCTACAACTCGCAATCTTTAGCTTGGATTTTCCAAGAGAGCGGGTCCAAGGGAACTTGTTACAAGCCATATCCGACCAGCCTAATATTAACAAGGATAGAGGTGTCGATGCCTCTCAACCATGACGATAGTAGTCATGATGCTGGATCGTCTAAAAATTCCGATTCATATTGGTTGGTGGCGCGGCCATGTTGCTTCTGGGAAGCCAACGACCAACCAGCGATGTCGACATCCTTGTTCCAAACAGCGAAGATCTTGCCGCTCTGCTTTCTTTGATCTCTACAGACGAAGCTTTCTCTAATGAAAACGGCCAGCTCGGATTTAAGCATTCCGCCTTCTTACCTTCACTCGACATGCTTACTATTGCCATTCAGAGGATCACTTTTGAACAAGCCAACCCACATTGCTTCACCCCCAAGGAAGCTAAGATCCGGAAACCTGGTTACAGCGTTGCTATGAAGGTCCAGTGCTTCTATCTACGGGAAGACGACGAAAACGGTTACAAGAAAAGAGAGAGCGACATCACAGATATTCGATTTCTCTGCAATCAGATGCTTCAAAAATCGGAGTTTGTAAGTGACGACTGTGCGAACAAGTTCAAGTTCGGACATTACCATCTTCTTGCAATGAGATTCCCATGACCATGATGCTCCCTACCTATAGCACATATTGATACCGAGTTAGAATACACACTAACATATTATGTAGCCGTACCGATTTCACTGTCTCTTCAACACAGTCTGCCTCTTGTCTCGAGTGTCCATCCCAAGTGTCTCGCGAGACGGGGTACTTAGGTCCTTTCGGTTAACGCGCTGCTACAACCTCCTTGTCTTTTCGTGGCCAGGAGGGTAATTCCTCAGATGTGGAATAGCTTGATGGCGTTCTGTGCTGTATGGCGCTCGGATACGTCTGAGATCTTGCTTCTCTTTTCTTTTCCCATTCATCCCTCCTCCTTTCTTCGACATCTTTCTCAAACACTATCCCAACATCACTTATCTCAATATCACCTATCTCAATATCACCATCCCAACCTCACCTATCTCAACTTCATCCCTGAGAGCGTTCTACGACTTATTTCGCACAATGAAACATTGTACTTTGGAAACAATCTTCCTTCGAAAGGCCGACATCGGTCGAGCATGGGGACTGGAGTATTCTCCAGTAATTTACCATGAAGACAGAGGAAGCACATCGGGCAGGACAGTGTCCATTTTGTCAGAGTCTTTACATGTTGGATTATTGGCCCTAGCAGACTCCGATTTCAACGCTAGCACAGGCATGCGGAACCAGAAGTGGACGGTTTTCGTGTATGAGGCTACCATCTTATCAGCCATTTGTATATAATATTCCCATGATAAATGGAACGTTCGCCACGTCTACTCACATAAATGTGCTATTATTTCCTAGCATAGCATAGCATAGCATAGCATAGCATAGAAAAATCAATAAGAGGTCGAACGAACAATTCGGCTTTCTCCTCAACTACCATTCCCAGCGTGAAGTATCTTTATCCCAGTCATCATCTCCTCATCTCACTGAAGGGACCGGTTTGGCGAGCTCGGAAGTTGCTATCCACTCGGCAAAATCGACCGGACGTTTGCCCTTGCCGGTCTTGCTAAAGCTACAGTACATCAGTAAGCAAGAAAAACTGGTCGAGATGACGTGGCAATGACATGCAGTGTTTCAGTGTCCCGGTGCCAAACTAGACTTCTTGCCCTGGACACAGTAGGGAACCACCCGTTCTCTACTAGCTTCCTAGACCGTCGATAATAGTTAAATTCAGTGATAGAGTAGGAATATCAACTTACAGAAGAGCCATAACAAACGCTCTACGGACTCGCTCTCTTTCGTCGCTTTCAATAGCCCAAAATTGACCAGCGCCATTGCTATCTCCGAGGCGTTGCCCCAGAACGATTTCCCACACAAGCGAGATAATAAACCCACCCGGAACTAGCCCTGACCGATCCTGGGTACCGTCTTGTATTCAATGAGCTTGGGTGCGTTGCTTGAGTGCTTTTGGGTGAGGTCCTGATAGGCGGCTGGCGGTGTGAATGTTGTTGCTTGTTGGCCTCTGGTATCCGCATCATCCATTTCAGTTTTTCGATGTGGAACTTGGATGTACATTCTCATGAAGGCTTTCTTTGAACATTGGTTGGGATCACAGCATTGGAATTTGGCCGAGGCGAAAGAACAGAAGCCATAGTCATTGTTTTCTTGCTTGTTGACCTGAAACTCATGCTCGTTCAGTTTCTCGACACACTGGGAAGAGAAAGGTTGATTTAGAGTGATAACAGTTCCGGGGTCGATGCCCTTAAGGAACGAAGTCGAGAATGAGGATGACATTAGAGCTGCTTCAGAGTATGGGACTTTTGGGTGGTGGAGGTTTATAGGTCGAGGCGGAGAACGCTATGAGGCTCTTATGTGGGCCAGCTGTAGGCCCTGGCGCTAGTCGTATTTGGCGTTGGATACCTGATATCAGTCAAAGGTACATATGTATGTACCTAAGAAGACCATCTCAAAAAGACCACTGAAAAGACATATGAAATGACTACTAGATCAGACTACCTGAGAAGACCATTAAGAACCTTCCAAGGTTGGACGACTACGGCCGCTTATGTATTCTTGTGGCAGTATGTTCAGAAGGGAGGCGGTATATAGGGCGGTATACCCGAGTACAAAAGCTGTAGGTAGGTAGGTAGGTACATACAGGGTAGAACGCCGTCAAGCTATAGCTATATGCAAATTAGAATAGAAACAAGAATATTCACAAAGCTATGCCTATGAGATCATATAAGTCATCAAAGAACCTTGGAAACCGGAACTAGCGACCCAACTCCGACCGATCTGCATCCGAACGCCTCCTGAATTTAGGGCAGAGATGCAAGCACGACATCCTGCAAGTCCATCGCTAATAGGCTAGCCTGACAGAAATTAAGCTTATAAGTTAAAGTTCCCCCTAAATCTGCAGGCGGGCCGTAATAATCGCCTCAATCATTTAGAGCTTTCATGAAAAATCTTCATCCCAGACGTGAATTCCTGTAGAATAGGCAGATTTCAATTTCTATATAGGAGGCCGGCATCGGAGCGAAGTTTTCCTTTTCCCCAGTTTTGCCCAGCAGATTTGCCCATTTGGCTCCAGCGGACCAACTCCTTTTCGGCCTTTCCATTACGTCCCGATGAGCTGATTCGTCGATTCGGTCCGTAGGTCGGAGATCCACATCTGTTTCGGGGTGGCGGATTCTTTATTCTTCAATTTACGAAGTTGGTGGGTGCTTTTTTTTGTCAATTCGAGTTTTTAATACTATTTTCCATTCGTGAAGACCTCTATCTCTCGTTCGATTTGTTGTGTCGAGCGATTTGCTTTCGTTCTCCGCTTTTGAGGTCGATTTCCGCCGTGATATCTACTTCCCGGGTATACTCTGGTTTTGATATCTTCGCTATGAGCTCCTCACCTGCTGGTTTGGATGTCGGTTCCAACGAGAAGAGTCCCTATATCAATCCCGCCGACTTGCAGTCTGATCCGGAGAAGTTTGTTGAGGTCCCGAAAGTCAGACAAGATGCCTTTGGCGACGAGGAGTTCGCTGAGGTCAAGTACAAAGTACTCAAGTGGTGGTATGTTTGCATAGCTCGAAAAGCGAAATAGCTCTGTGACTAACTTGTTTCCTGTTTAGGCAATGTGGTCTGCGTATGTGATAACATGCTATATCAAAATCAACCTCCAATCTAACATTCTATTAGTGATGGTCGCCGAAACAGTATCACTGGGTGTGCTGTCACTGCCCGCCGCTGTGGCAGGTCTGGGACTGGTTCCGTAAGCTTACCGTCTGACTCACTGTGCAGGAATTGGAGCTAATGTTATCCTCAGCGCGATCATCGTCTTGATTCTCCTGGGTTCACTGGCCACATACACCGGCTACGTGATGGGGCAGATGAAATGGAAATATCCTCACATCTCCACGATGGCAGATGCCGGTGAAGTGGTAGCAGGGAAATGGGGTCGAGAATTCATCGGCGCGGCACAGATCATTTTCTTCATCTTCATCATGGCTAGCCACCTGTTGACCTTCACCGTTGCCATGAACACCATCACAAACCACGGCACCTGCTCCATCGTCTTCGGCATCGTCGGCATGATCATCTCCTTCCTCTGCTCATTACCTCGCACTCTTGAAAAGATGTCATGGTTATCTATAGTTTGTGCGTTTGCATCCTCCATCCCTTCAATCCCAAAAAGCAAACCCACTAACCAACCGCAGCATTCGCAAGCATCATGACATCAGTCATAATCGTCATGATCGCCGTCGGCATCACAAAACCCGGACAAGACGTCGTCGCAGTCGTCGACACGAACCTCTTCCACGGCTTCTCAGCAGTCTGCAACATCGTCTTCGCCTTCTGCGGCCACGCCGCCTTCTTCGGCCTCATGGCCGAACTCAAGAACCCAAAGGACTTCACGAAATCCCTCCTCCTGCTGCAAGGCATCGACATGGGCCTGTACATCACCGCCGCGCTAGTGATCTACCGGTACGCCGGTAGCGGTGTGACCTCTCCAGCTCTGGGTTCCGCCTCGCCCATGGTCGCGAAAGTCGCGTACGGCATCTCGCTGCCGACCATCATCATCGCAGGTGTGATCAACGGTCACGTCGCGTTCAAGTACGTCTACTTGCGTATTTTCCAGGGAACAGACCGCATGCACAAGCGCGACTGGATCGCGACGGGATCGTGGATCGGTATTGCCCTCGCGCTGTGGATTATGGCGTGGATTATTTCCTCCGCGATTCCGGTGTTCAGTAACCTGCTCAGCTTGATCACCGCCCTCTTCGCTAGTTGGTTTACGTACGGCTTCAGTGGCATCTTTTGGTTGTATATGAACAAGGGTCTGTGGTTCTCGTCGCCGAAGAAGATTGCGCTCACGTTACTGAATCTCTTTGCTATTACTGTTGGCGTCACGCTGTGCGGTCTTGGTCTTTGGGTCTCCGGGAAAGCACTTCATGATAACCCCAGCAGTGCAAGCTTTTCTTGTGCGAATAATGCTTAACTGCATTTGCGCTTTTGCATTTCTGTTGCTGGGTTAGCTTGGCTTGTATAAAACTGTATCTGGAATGGGGTTTTGTGGCGTTATATTTCGCATTTGGGGGCATTTGTTTTGATACTTTCGATACCTTGTTTAGATCTCGAGTGCTGCTTGAGTTGGCTTTGTCTTGCATATACATACTGCAGCGGTGTTTGGAAATAGACCTGTACGAATATAATAATATGGTGAATCCCTGACTGTCTGCTTTCCCATCGGTCTTAGAGATGTTATAAGGTTTAGTTCGTGCATGAAACCAACCAGGGCCATGTTGTGCGTGGTAGGCTACAGTCAAACACCTGTTTGAGAATATGTGGTGTGAATGCAGTCATACGTAGGAGTAGAAGGATGCGGTTGAAGCTAATAACAGAATATATCTCCACAAGCTCGATTGTTGGGGGTACAACATAGAGAGATCCAGCATGGGATCATTTCAGGTGCGAAGTTCGTCTCAGTGGAGGAGAGAAAAGCCTGCGGTGACAAGACGCTGGCTTTGATGAAGCTAGTTTGGTTCCTGGGGTGGGCCGTGGCTGCGAGCACTCTCGGCCAAGAAATACATTGGGAAAATTGCATAATATGGTAGCTCAGTCAAAAATTTACTTTATTCGATTTGGTGTTGATGATCGGATAAGCCGAAAGTCGGGTGTTATGCTCATTGCAAACAGTCACCAATTCAAGGAACTGTAAGGACATATGATCACGATTGCTCAAAGTCGTGACTCCAACGGTTCTGATATCGATCTTCGACGAATACAAAAGAGAGAGCCCGCGAAGCCGGGTGATGGGATCTTCTGGTTGTCACGTACTCCAACAACGGTGAAATTGTGGCCCTGGGCGACCGCGGATTTCAGATGTGGGTTAGCTGCGCCGGTGGAAACTGGCAAGATCGGCCGGTCGCTCTTGTTTTGGGTAGAATCGTCAAGACCAGGAAATCCTTTCGTCAAGCGACGCACTAGCTCCAAGGCCAGTAGAATCCGTTTCATCATTATCTCGTTCGGGGTATCCAGCGATAGGACGGGACTGCTGGGGGCGTTCTTGTGGGAGTGGTAGGCTGGGTGCCCTTTTCACGGATGCGAGAAGTGACAAGCTTTCATCAGAAAACCGGACGTGAAGGAAGGAAACTGATAAGCTGTTAGAATCGCAACTAAACATGTGTGCATGTGATTGAAAGGTATGATGAAGGAGCCCTCAGAGAGAAGATTAAGGTCGTCAATGCCTTACACATCCGCAGATGGTATGGCTTTCCGGCTAAGGATGATACATGTATTCATCATGAACGGGCGAGAGTGTAGTGGGATAGAATGTGGATAACTTACCGCTTGGTTAGTTCCGTGAGGAGGGTAGCCTTGGCCTTGTCCATTGGATCAGAGATAGGGGTTTCTGGCCAGGTACTCGACCTTGGGGTGGGGAATTGACTCGAACATCGCGCATATCAGGTCGATTAGTTCAATCATCGTAGGAGATAATCCTGCGACCTTGGTGTGACACCGGTGGCCTTGCCGTTTGTGTTTGATCAGAGTCGTCCCCGTAGTCGAGGAGTTTAGAGGGCTTGTCTTCTGGAATGTGTTTCCTAGACCCCTTCCGTGAATGCGAGCGCTTCCGATCTCCACCTTGTGTTTGAGGCTCTGCGTCTAGAGGCCGCTTCTCCGGTGCAGAGGGTCCCTCTGATCCATCATCTGGAGATGACTGCATCCGAGCTTGGTATTGCGCCTCATCAGCCTGGAGCTGCCTCTCTCGCAGCAGGGCATGGATTTCGCTGTGTCTGAAAATGCGAATCTGCTCATCTGTGAGTGTGCGCTTCACCCCGTCTGGGTAGTACCCGAGATCCTCGTCTGTGGTCTCGTCATTCTCTTGGGAAAACGCGGCCAGCTGTTGGCCAGGGAAGTGCTTAGATTGGAAAGCTTGGAGGTCTTCCTAGATAAGGCATAGAGGTTAGAGGGCATCTTGGTCACTGGTGATGGGGAGACTCACCAGAGTTACAGTTGGGACCTGCATGGTGGCCCGGTGTTGATGGAGGAAGATGGGAGTTGATCGCGGGAAGACGCGATCATGCGGGTAATATTACAGTAATTACTGATACCAGCTTAGAGGCATCCACCCACGAGGAGGTAATTATCACGAGTTCCTTTCGCTTTGGATGAGTTATGAGAGTATCTGAAGAACTGAGACAAGTTGAATATGTAATCAACCTCGAGTTTTGGATGTTCTTGAAACTATGGGCTCGGGAGACAACGTCCAATTTGTTGGAAGAACACGCCATCTTATGGGCTTTTTTCTAATGGTATACTACCGACAATATTCCCAATCTTCGCTTTGACGCTATCGAATCCAACCCGAATTTCCCTCAAATCTCGGAAATCTATCCCGGCAACCCGTTCACGTTCCTTTGGGCTAGGCTCTGACAGACACCAAGCAAGTGAGATATGGAAGCATTTCGAGAAGTCCTCGCCGGTCAGACTGCTGCTCCTATCATGGAGAGATACACTAGTATGCTGCCCATTAGTCGAGGAGGTTGCGTAAAGTGGCGGCTGGCCAAAGCGAGCAAGAGTGTCATTTGACAGCTTCAATAGGCGGTTTAAACCATCATTGCTCGGTCTCTGCACGCCCAGGACGAGGAACCAGCGTGTCTTTTCATAGTTCGATGACCAATATAAAGAATCCGGCTGCACGTGAAATCTAGTTTAAGAATTAGACGATGGTTAAGAAAACCTTTGGTTCAGGACGTACGATGAAACATGCGAGTCGTCAATAGCCTTTTGCAGCGCCTCGGTAAATGAGGCTCGCTGTTCGGTGCGAAGAACCACGGGTCGAGACAGGCTGATATGAAGGGGTAGCTGGGCACCCAGATCGCTATGGAGAAGACTGTGCACTACGGGTGTTTTTTCATCTGGCACATTGCCAGACTGAGAGATGACATCTGCAAGGAGCGATAGCTCGTCTTTCCCCGGGTACCCTGTCAAAGTTAGCTTCTTGTACGGGTGGAATGACGCCAAGACCTGGCACTCACATTCGAGGTAAAGATGTGTTGGCCAGTTTCCTTCCACATGGGGAATTATGCGTTTGCGGCCGCCATGGAGGCTGGGGTTATCTTGCACGCTCACACGTGTACTTGAGGCATAGAGATTGTGGAATGATGCAGGTAGGGGCGGCAGAGATGGACCTGGGTTGACGTTGTGGCGAGGTTTCTTTGTCGGGCGGAGAGAAGATCTTGATTCTGAGTCGGATTCCGAATCAGAATATTGTACTAGGGGCATCTCATCCGATGAGGGGAGTTGTTGTGTTGATGGAGTTCTGGTTTCTCAGATGTGGAGCAAGTTAAAGTCGGGAAACCAATCATCGTCTTCAGTTTCATCTATAAATTTATGCGTTGATATTGGCTTATGTCGATCGACAATGTTTTTAGTTCCCTTGTACGGTACAAGGCTCCAGGGAAAGGCTATCATAAGAAGCCTGTTGATTATGACACGAAATGGCAAAGGGGAAATAATGATCGATGATCTCCCCCCCAAGATAATTATCACTTGGCATCTCACCCTATACGGTATACAACAGTGCAATACCCCTATCGATCGCCCGTTTCTCCTAGGCTCTATTCTGAGGCTGAGTCGCACGGAAGAAGGGACTCCTCCTCTTGTCTCCACTATCCCTATCTCAACGAGTATCTCGACTAAGGTATTGTCAAATCACGCGACAATTGTCTTTCCTGATATTTAACGTGTCCCAGACTTTTCGTCCAAAATCATTTCACCTACTTAGGAAGCAGATGGCTTTCCTTTCCATCATACTTCGGTCTCGAGTTCTGATCAGATGGTCAACCTACTTGTAATTGCCCCTTCTGTTTGGTTTAACTGTAGAAAAGTTGTTCAAGACACCCTATAGACGATACAAGACTAATGCAGGCGTTATTGATATGCTGTTAGAGGCTCCTTGGCTCTCGTGTTTACAACTATAGATAGGTCGTGTTGGTTTACATCACGATATCTGCCGGGTCGGCCCGAGTGTTTCGGTGCTTGATCCCATCCCTTTTTTGATGTGAATCTACAAAGAAGTACAAAGGACTAAGGGAGCCGAAAAAGAAATCTTCCATTTGTAAACTTCCAATTGTGAAAATAAATTGATTAACATGAAAGTGGTAAATTGGTCATGCTCTGAACTGCTCGATAATAGACACCTTCCTTTGGCCCAAGCTAAATTGCCAAGACGTCATCCGACCTACTGTCTCCTGCATTCACCCTCAACGGGGCCTTACAATGAACAGATAAGTGGTAAGTTTCCTTTATCCTATGCTTCCGAAGTAACGTATCTTGTGCTCGGAGGGCGTCACATTGCGACGCACTTGATTTCATCCTCTTATATATCCTTTTACTAATTTCTTCTCTTGATCAACTCCATACAGAGCATTGGAACATTATGTTTGATCCATCAAAATTTGAACGCCCGGATTGAAAACCAAGAGCGCACGCACTCCTTTAGCGTCTGGGCAGCTGCAGACCCTGCAAATCAAAATCCATGTCTCTTTGCGTGGGCAAATCAGCACAGCTGGGATCTACTAGTCTCCCTTGGGAGTCATCGCAGCCTTCTGGTTCTTCCGTCGACGACGGAGTAGGGCTGCAGCTGGCCTGGGCCCTACAGAAGCGTTTGCCCCGTCGTTGCAGAAAAACGGGACACCAGAGCAAGCGGCAACTGTGCCTATGACTAGGGAGCAGGGGCCTCCGCAGGAGTTAGCAACAAGCAAGGTGCGGCCGCAGCTTGAGCTACAGTAGAATGAGCATTGCTTAAGTAGTTTGTTAAGGCTGGGCTTCATATCGTCTTGTTGGAAATCAAGCTTTGTCTATAATGAAGGTGGACAATAGCTTCAGTGACAGCCAATGTAGCCAGGTGATTATTGGGCTACAGTATCAAGCAAGCAACGAATGTGCGGCAATTTGAAAGCGCGTCGAGATCGAACATGAATTCAAGTTGTAGCTAGGCCCCTTCATATATGTTGAGGGCTACGATACTAGCATGGGGAAAATCAGGAAGAAGAAACTGATCATAAATCTATGGAAAGCAGGCTGTATATAAAGCGTGCATGAACACAGAGAATGAAAAACTAGCAAAGCCTCACTCTGCACACAAAGACCTCCCATGCATGTCAACAATATACGCACCACGATGTACACTCTAGGAAAATGTGTTCCGACAGAACCCTTGTCTACAGAACCTTCAAACTGGAACATTATTTGCATTGATCGGTCTTACAGTGTTGAATTTTTATCATTCCACGAATGAGTAGACCTGAAGATGACGGCTTGTACCATACTATGTAGGTGAATACTAGGAATATACAATTCTAATCATTGGGTCATAGGGCGGGTTTGAAGTAATTGTATGAGCCTCGCGTTATTTTCAGTTGCACAACATCGAAGTACAAGCAGAGCATAGGCGCATAGCTGCGAACATAAGATCACCGTTTAATCAGCTTCAATCACTTTCGGCTCTGCCTCGGCGGGCGCGGCCAGAGTAGTATGAACTTCCTTTACGAAAGTAACGGTGGAGGCAAGCCTGCTTCGCAGAAATCCTTTTCGCGGGGTCGTACTGGAGAAGAGCCTCTAGTAGATCGCAGCCAGCACTCTCCAGGCCTGGCACCAGAGGGGTCCGAGGCCGCTTCCATTGAGGAAACGTAGCTTTGTAGTCGGGCAAGGTAGTGACATCGGGCCAGGTCTCTTCGTTAGGAGTCCCAAGGAGGCTATCGAATTGAGAACGTCAATCCCAATTACAATATAGAAATAAGAATGTTAGTGTTTACCGGAATATGGTGAAGATTTCCTCAATTTCTGAGTCGGCAGGGAAGAGTGGCTTGCGAGTGCACATCTCAGCAAAAATAGCTCCCACAGACCACATATCGATGCCAGTGGAGTAAAGGCGACCACCGAGAAGAATTTCAGGGGCACGATACCATAGGGTCACAACCTTAGTAGGGGAATACACGTTAGTATCCAACAGCTTTAATGGTTTTTCTTCGAGTTGGGGTATTACCTCGTGGGTATATCTCCGTAGCGGAATACGGAAAGCCCTAGCAAGGCCGAAGTCACCTAGCTTCAGGGTACCCTCCCGGTCAATAAGCAAGTTCTGCGGCTTCAAATCACGATGCAGAATGCGATGACTGTGGCAATAACGGACACCCTCAAGAAGTTGTGCCATGAACTTTTTCACCATCGCTTCGTCAAGACCTAGGCTCATTCTCGATCCTTTGGGGAGAGGTCTGCCGCGGCCACCTTCGCTGACAGGCAGGGCATCCATATATCTCTTCAGATCCAAGTCTAGGAACTCCATGACGAGATATAGGGTGTAGCTATCGACGTGTACAATATTCAGCAACTGGACAATATTTTCGTCCTTCATTTCCTTGAGGAGGGAGATCTCTCGCATGGCTGTGCTAGGGACGCCCTCATCGGCTTCGAGTCGGACCTTCTTTAAAGCAACGATGCGGTTGGGGTAGTTTAGCTCTCGAGCCTTGTAGACGACACCGTATGCTCCTGTGATAAACAAGACGTCCGTCAGCTAGGGTCCGGGGTAACCATGCCAAACAGACGCTGCAAAAACGCCACCTTCACCGGCTTTCTCAATTTTCTGATAATTCTCCATGATGAAAGTGACTCTTCATCGGGTTTTCTCTCAATCAAATGAAAATTGGAAAGGTCCGAGGTAACGGAAGAGATGCAGCAGGAATTGGAAAAAGGTGAGCAGGGGAAAACCCGGGGAAAGCGACCGAGTTTATAAACCTACGTACCAGGAACAATTACTCGGCGTGTTGCCATGGTGAATATGCTACTATATCTACAATTTCGTGAGACACATTTTTGGTAATGTAATTTACCTGCCAGCTGCCCACAGCAGCGGGCGCCGCACCCCCTTGGATAGTATTTAAAGACATGTGGTTTAACCCTAACCAATTAATTAGCAAAAGATACGAGATATACCTACTTGGATATTTATCTCTATTATGGCCCTCATTTCCACAGGCTCTGCCCCCTTGGCAATTCTCATTCTTTGTTCGCCGCTGTAAAGTAAACCTCATTGGCACGGGGACTTCCCGGTTGGCACAGCGATCTACCCGTTGGCACAGCGATTTCCCGTTGGTATAGAGATTTCCCTGTTGGCACAGCAATAAAAATTCCTTCAGGGAAGTTCAATTTTGGCAGTCAGTTTAGTCAGTTTTCAATAAGAGCGTCATTATCTATAGTATTGCCACGTTTAAAAACACAGAGTCCATCTGGCCTAGTCGTTGAGCGGAAACTGGGAAGATACATGTATAGCCCAAGAGTAAAATGCTACATTTACTACAGGACTACCTGTCCTGCTATAACTAGTAGTCATAACTTATTCGAGTCACTTTTTTATTTGTCTAAATAACCTTTCTTCTTCTACCGAATCCTAGCTTTTGACTAGGTTGGTACCTTCTAGGAAGGAAGTGTCGCATAGATAATCTATTCCTCCTTGAACAACTCGTAGTGTGGCTAAAGCTCGATTGAGACATTTTACCTACATACGTAGTTGCTCTTAGATTATATTTGCTGCGTGCATATGTCGTAATGCTGCTTTTTATATAATGATTGATACTGTAGTCCACCTTCGCTGCCAGCTCCAATTGGGAATAGTAGCAGTCCTATCTCTGACTGTAATTCTCTGCTCTGTGGCGACATATTGCCCCCTCCATATGCAATCTTAGAATCGTCAATTACATACCGGAAAATCCATACACGCGATAGATTATTGTGCTTTTTACTACAGCGAAGAGAAATATCCGCTGATTGATGAGCTGCCTTCTTATCAATATCGACGAGGCAAATGCTTGTTCTGCGATGAGAAATGATGTTGGTTTGCCCGAGAAAACTAATGTCAAGAGCAAAAGTTCCAATTGGGTACATTACATATGTTACATATGCGTGTAGCTATACTTGAGACATCTGATCCAGATTGTATGTATGTATGTAGGACGACGAGAGAAGATATACGTAAATAGTAAGGAGTAAAAAGCGGTGAAAATAGAAGAAATTTGGAATTAGCCAAGGTAAAGTCTAGTAAAGTCTAGATCTCGACCAGGCCAGGGGTAGTACTGAGATATTCCCTAGCGATAAGCTTAATCCATGAGCGAGTCATCGCCCGGAAACTCCGGGAATAGATATCCGGCGGCTTTTTGCTTATTAAGTAAATTGACTTAAGGTTTATTGCCTGGATTAGCAGGATGATTAAAAAAATAAAATAAAAGAACCAGAAAGAAATAATATGTGGAGTTCATGTAGGGATATCGTCATAGGAGTCGATCAGTACGTGGACTGCGTGGAAGTCTCGGATGTGAGATGCAACATGGGCCTCGCATGGGTTTTAGTCTTTATGCATGGTGAATCATGGGACATTTTCAAGCAAAATAGCGATAGAATTTGAATCTACGTTAATTAAGTTGTCCCTTGTCTGTAATAGGGAAAGTAGATGAAGTTATTGAATGGTCCCTATGTAACAACCCATGATATCACCGACTCCATCCTTCGTAGACGTTCCGGGAGTCGGCAGCCTCAAGTACTAAGCCCTACATGTCGACCCACATGATCTTTTATTCCAAGTGATAATTGGTACATGCAATTAGTGAAAATGTTAATCAAGTACTAAACCCACATTGGAGGACTAGGCCATGTATAGCCACGGAGATCGTTAGGCGTGGACTACAACGCAAGTCATCACGTCACGCCCGCGGCTTCCTTTGATATAAGCTCTCCTTGACTCACTCGACCTTTTCCCATCTACATCTACTCAGCTTCATCTATTTCTCTCTTCCACTTTTACAATCAACATCTTCAGCTGCTGTACGAGCTACCCTGCATCACTGCTCAGCCTCACCTGTTCTAAATAAAGTACTCTTACTTATAACACCGGGTACTCTTTGCGCGTTGCGCCTTTCACCCTGGATACCTTTTCATCTTACAAGAACAGCACTTCAAACAACATCGAAATGGCAGTCGACTGCATCCACATGGCCTCCGGCCACCATCCCCACCACCCCTTCAACCAAGTCGGTCAAGATCGACACCAAAACGTGGGGAGACGCATGGACAGCAACAATCCATATGCCCGCTACATTTCACCCTCACCCTCTGCCTACTCTCGGTCGCGTTCTGAGTCTGTGAACTCCGCGCCTTCTATCTGGTATTCCGGCACACCCGAACATTATCCGGTTGAGCCGAGACGCAAACGCGAGCACTCTGCTCCTCGTCGCAGCCGCACCAACAAGTACCCCCGGTACCAGCTTGTGCAACCCGATATCATCGACAGACTGGACGATGTCACCAATTTCTCCTACCACCACGAGGGTCCGTACGACGCAGCCCGCCCTGAACGAAACTGCTTCAGTCAGTCCAGCCCGCTGGAAGCTGTCAAGGAGTCAAATGCCGAGGCCCTCCGGGCTACCCCCCCACCACAAGATCGCCGACGCCCTGAACAGTCACCGTCCACTGGATGGCGTCGCCTTCTACCCTCCTGGAACCACGGATCGCGACGGCCAGGAGTACTCCTACGAAGAAGGCTCCAATATGATGAACGACTTTTCTGGTAACTTTATGCGCCTTCCTGGCACGGTATGTCTCTCTTCCGATTTTATTGTGTCACCGTCACTAACTCCGTTCCAGAAATTCACCGATGAGGACTTCAAGAACGATCCATTCTACAACCGTCCTTATGTGAACCCGTTCTCTGAACTACGAAAGAAGATCAGTCTTCGTCTCAAGAAACGACGCAACACTCATTAAATGCGTCTTCCAACTCCGACAACTTCACGACATGACGAAAGACTATTTGAGGATTACTACGGATTGATGATACCTGGATGAACGGTTTGGGAATCGGAGTTTGGGTTCAATTTTGGGATATGGAATCGGTCATGTGTTATCCTTTTGTCTCTGGGAGTTTATGGTTATATGGTGTGAGAGCTTTCCTCTTTTGGTTTCTTTAATGGGTAATCGTGGCATGCCCCGGGGCCCCTGAACACCATACCTGGTGTTTTTGGGGGTGTGCCACGCTTACGCGGATATTTCTCCTGTATATCGATAAATCATGTTACTTCAAATGGAAGGCCAAGGCCGATTTCAAGTTTCCCCTCGTGTTCCTCGGTCAACGTCCTCCACATTGATATTTCAATAAAATGATCCCACCTGTCCGTCCTAGGTAACACTTGCTTGCTGTACTCCGTATATGATCTAGCGCTATGAATTGTCCTTCACCCTAATCTCACACTAAGGCTACAATATAGATTTATCTAAAATCACCAAGATCCCCCACTGCCGATCCAGGAATGTCACCTGTTACACAGCCCTGGAGTGTCGATCGGGCTCACGCCGCGCCCCCTCGCAGATGCAGGTGCAGATCACGAGTTCCCCATTCCATCCCTAGGCAGCGACAATAATGACATGGATTTTGGAGCTCGAAGATAAACAGATTGATTCGCTACCTCATGATAGCATCTGAGGTTAATCCATAGATACGTAATACCATCTCAGGCCCAGGTCCGTTTCCTAAACAGGTAATTATGTACCTCACTCTACTAGTAAAGAACAAACAAATTTTATCCCACTCCCATCACCCCGCACTACTATGCAGTAAGATGCATCGATAAATCTTAAAGTGCATTTTTGGCTTGTCTTCAGTCCTTGGCAATGTGATTTGGAAGATACATGCGAGGGTGAGTGCGTTTACACGAGGTTGGATTCATTCTTGGGACTACAATATTGAATACATGTACGTATATGTGGAGATGCATCATTGCCCGAAGGCATCAGAGATATATCGTAGCTATAGGATAGATAAATTGTGCGCCAAGACCGCTTTGGGCACTGAGAGGTGCCCAGGTGTGGCTGTGGCTGCAAGAAAACAGTGTTGTATCGGGTGACGTCATCACCTCACCATGAACTGCCTTTTTGAACTTGTAACCATCATCCATCTGTCCTTGTATATTGTATGTCTAGGTCTTGAGTATTATGCCTTCTAATATACTGTTCGATCAAGTTCCAGCCAATTCCATCCAATATTCAAGAACTGATTTCAAATATATATCTCAACGCCTATTCAACACTGGTACCAATGAGCAGTGAATATAAGAGTAGACCGACACTTTGATTCCTCGTGTCAAAGCGAACGCACCATTGGTTTTCACATGGCCGCTTAGCCGTCTTTATCAATTCTCAGTTGACGCACCAAAGAATTTATTAACCATGAAGCCACTTGCCGCGTCAAAGAGCTCCGCATGCGACGGTCCATGAGGAAACCAGCCGAAGTTATCCTCCAAACCAATAGAAGGATAATTATGTAGGGCTTCAGCGCCACTCTCTGTGCTTCCGCCCAAGGAAAGTTCAATGGACGCGGGGCGCCAGTAGGTGGTTCAGAAGCTAAATCGGGCCCATGTCCTTGCCCTAGTCAAAGTTAACCACTAGAGATTTGTGGGAGGAGAAAATATAAAAAGCAAATATGTAACCTTACCAAGTATCTTCCGTAGGATACTCCGTGCACGAAGTGCGATTTCGTGGGAAGTTCCCAGACCTTCCAGACAGGCAACGGCTTGCCACAGAGATACATTCCAACCGGGCCCTAGGGAGTGGGTGGTATAGATCAGACATGTTGCTTGTACGAAGCCGGCGGTGATTAGCTAGTATGTCGCGTACCATGCAAAGCCGCGCTTCCTATGGTTGGTAGACTTCATAAATTCGCAGATTGAAAGAACGCATTCGTCTGCAGCTATGAGACACGAATGGATCGGGCCTGGACATAAGCTGATCTCTGCATTTGTCGCGATGGCTTCGAATAGAAATGGGCGGTTGAGAACGATGCGCAGATGGAAGGATCGCTATAAAAGAACCCTCTTGGGTAACTCCAGGTGCGGTTCCACGGAGATATTCTGGTCGAAGTATGGAGGCAGGTCTTTCAACCAGAGGCTGATGTCTTCTTCGAGTTTAATAGCATTCTCGTAGATAGGTCGATGGCGTGAGAAGCTCCGCCTGGACAGAGCTGGAAATCTTTGTAAGTTTGATTTGAGCAATAAGGCAGGATGTTATTGTAGGTGTCGATTTAGACGAAGGCAGCTCCTCCATGTCAACGGCAAGATCTTGATCGTCCAGGTTCGCTGGCAGTTGAAGATTCACGCCAACCAAAGAGACAGCGGGCCGTCCCAGTGTTAGTTGAGAGCCCGAAACGAAGACATACAGAGTCCACCAAACACATCGACGAATCTCCATGACGAAAGGTGATGTGCTAGGCATGTCGAACTCGCGATGCAAGCCAATCGCAAGCGCCATGATAAACCCAATGCCAATTAAGATTAATCCTGCATTGGGCTTGTTTCGCTCTTGAAGATAGTTGGAGAACAAGATAATAGCCTGCACATAGTTCAGAGGGAGACACAGTATACGCCACTGCTTCCGTTACCTTCTTTTTCCTCTATCACTTTCCTCTATCACGTCGCTTTCGGAATGGGTATGCTGGGGGTACCCTGGCTATACCCGACTGAGATCAACTCCCTATGACAACGAAGGGTGTGGCGGTTTCCACTGCGACTAACTGGTAAGTAGTCGAGGATACATTCACACTCGAACGGACTATTTTTGATCAAGCTTCTAATTTTACAGGATCACTAATTTCGCCATTGTCGGAACTACGCCTCTTGGTATTCAAAGTATCGGATGGAAATTCTGGATCGTGTGGACAATCCTCAATGCGGTCTTCCTGCCAATTATTTACTTTCTATACCCAAAAACGGGTAATTATATTCCTACAGTCCCTGCTGCTGTAGTTAACAAGCTGTTTCTTTTTAGCGAATCGAACTCTGGAAGAGATGGATGCGTACTACCGCTCCAACCCACCGCTCATCGTTACCGGCGACGCAGATGTCATTTCGACCAAAAGACCGCTTCACTTCGTCTATCACGAAGACGAGGAAGTTCAGAAAAATGCAAAGGAGGCTATCTATGGGGATGCAGGGTAATGCGAAGCATGTGAACTGAGGATGTGATTAATTTGTGATGAAATGTCGAGGAGTAGATTGCACAGAAAGCCGTCCAATTTATTCGCATTATTCGCATTATTCGCATTATTCGCATTTCTAGAGTCATATTTATTATAACCAAAGGATAGCAAGAACCTACCGTCAAAAATGCCATATCAAATTGATTTAATCCAAGTTGTGTCTTTTATGAAATATAGGCAACAGAATTAACGTCGTATGTGGTGCGACGCTACGCAACTCATTCACTAAAAGGACTACATGTACCTCGATATTGAACTCTTGCCCCACCACATTCGTACTTAATAAGATAGCATGAACATGCAATACTTCAAATGGACATAGGGCCGACGCTACTAGTGCCTGGATATCGGACTCCGGCGGAGTAAAATGGGCAATTCAACTCGTCATGCAGGTTGTTCCTGACGACGTTGCAATCGCGACAGATCCCGCTTGACCAGCAACCAATGTCAACCTCCCAGTGGGTCTCATCCCAACTAGCCACCATCGCTATTGGCAAAGCTTGGTAGTACGCTAATATCAATATCCACGCGGAGCAAAAATCGCTCCGGTTAGCTCGCCTCATAAAAAAAAAGAACAATGGAATTATAAAAGCAGACCCCGTGCCCCCTCGGTTCCAAATTAGGTTCTCTAAGTTCGAGGATTATCCCACAATGTTGGTTTTGGCACCCCTTACCATCTTGGTGGCTGCGGTCGCGGCGTTACAAAATCCGCATCGGAAGGCCGCGTCTTTCAAACAGCCTGCGAACGGTCTGCGCAAAAGAGAGGTCTCCTCTTCTCCGGTTGATCACAAGTATTTGAATGAGAAGACAGAAAGTAAGTGTTAAGCCTTGCCATTGGTAGGATCGAACATGTCTACTTACAATTCATTTCTGTTAGAATTCCAAGTGAACGGAACTCACTTCCCACAAGTTCCTTTTGACATCGGTGAAAGCTATGCCGGTCTCTTATCGAATAAACCTCACGGAGAGCCGTCGGGTAAGCATAATGGAGAATCAAGCTTGTTCTTCTGGTTCTTCCCATCCACCAACCCAGCTGCGGAAAAGGAGGTACGTTGATTTCAACCTGTCGCATAGCTTCATCTAACTTTTTCCTTTCCTAAAGATTACCATCTGGCTGAATGGAGGCCCTGGATGCAGCTCGCTTGACGGCCTGTTGCAGGAGAACGGTCCTTTCCTGTGGCAATCTGGAGTATACGAGCCTGTGCGCAACCCCTACTCATGGACCAACTTGACAAATCTCGTCTACATCGACCAGCCTGCTAGCACCGGCTTCTCTCCCGGACCATCCACTGTTGAAAATGAGATCGATGTCTCCAATCAGTTCAATGATTTCTGGGTGCGCTTCATTGAAACCTTCAGTATGCAAGGCTACAAGATCTATATCACCGGTGAGAGCTATGCTGGTCAATACATTCCGTATCTGGCCGATGGGATGTTAAACCGCAAGGACACCACGTACTTCAACCTCAAGGGTATCCAGATTAACGACCCGTCCATTAACGAGGATAATGTTATGATCTATGGTCAGTTCTTGTTCTACCCGATCTAAATTCCCATGCTAACCAAGTCCGATAGCCCCGGCAGTCGCAGCGCTGAATTACTACTCCCCCATTTTCGCCCTGAACGACACCTTCATGACAGAGATCAACCACCGCGCCGACGAATGCGGGTACACCAAATTCTTAGACACAGCCCTGACCTACCCCCCACCAAAACATTTCCCAGCAGCACCAGACATCAACCAGCCCGGTTGCGCCCTCTGGGACGAAATCGTCAAAGCAGCAACCTACGTCAACCCCTGCTTCAACATGTACCACCTAACAGACTTCTGCCCCTTCCTCTGGGACGAAATGGGCTTCCCATCATTAGCCGGCGGACCCAACAACTACTTCAACAGCTCCGCCGTGCAAGCAGCCCTCAACATCCCGCCAACAATCTACGAAGTCTGCGGCGGCCACGTCTTCCCCCACGGCGATGGTTCCGTTCCCAGCGCGCTCGGCCCGCTACCCAGCGTTATCGAGCGTACTAACAACGTTCTCATTGGCCATGGTTGGTACGATTACCTGCTCTTCGCGAACGGAACCCTCGCTACGATTCAGAATATGACTTGGAATGGAGCACAGGGGTTCCAGAAACCACCCACCGAGCCCCTATTCGTGCCGTATACGACTGCTCTAGATCGTCTTGCTAATGGGGAGACGAGTATTCCTTGGAATGCTGATTCCGGCGCCGGTATCCTTGGAACGGCGCATACTGAGCGTGGTCTTACGTTCAGTTCGGTCTATAACGCTGGCCATGAGATTCCGCAGTACACCCCCGGTGCGGCTTATAGGCAGTTGGAGTTCTTGCTTGGGAGGATTAAGGATCTTCAGCAGAAGGGGCCTTTCACTGCGTAAATATCATCCAGGGATTCTTCCTTGTAGCTGTATATAAATAATCTAGTCGATCAGGTCGGTTTTCCGTTTCGGTATTTTATGAAAGGTCTTTCAGAGTCTGTCACACACTAAGTACCCTCGTAATATCTAGGATTCAGCACTCTATTCTCAACATCTCCTTTCCCCTACCTCTCCGAGCACAATTACTATTTTCCACAACATGACTCTCAAACGCCCACCACCACCTCTGAAACAATAACTGTCCAATCTCCCATTCCTGTGGCTTAAACGGATCCTGCCCATTCACCTTCATACCCTCCCCGCTCGAATCCTCCATATCATACACAAGCCGTACAACACCCATAGGGTCCTGCGCCGTTTGCGGACGCATATTGACAGGGAGGTTGAATACTTGAATAAGTTTGTCCCGCGTACTCGGCCAGGGGAGTAGATCCAGAACGGGGTGATGCGGGATCAAACGCTGGGTAGGAGTTGGCTGAAGGTGGGAAGGCAGCTCGTCGAAGAATGGCATATGGTATGACGGAGATGTTCTTGACGAGGGCCCTGATGTCGGGGAAGATGTCAAAGAAGGTGGGTCTGCCATTGATGACTGAGATGATTTGTGTTCGAAGAACGGGCTGACTGCTGACATGTCCCAGATCAAATCTGCGATATTTAATCGTTGGGCGATTTTCATGGCGGCGTTTAGGAGTGTTAGCGATGGGACTTCCAGGATGCGATCGTCCGGGAAGCTGAAGGAGGTGGTGTCATAATTTTGTAGTTCTGCGGTGATATTGCTGGGGAAATTTGAAATATCTGGTAATTGGTGTGCAAGCAGGTCTTCATGCTCGTTGAAATCGAATGGTTCGGCGTTCATCTCGGGCCATTCTCCTGTTGGGGAGCACGGGAAGCTCCATGCCAGTAGTGATAGGCCCTGTGGTAGTGACTGGGTCGGTTTGGATGTTAATACTGAGGACGTTTCTCTTGGAGACACTGTATGAGTCGCCAACGATTCATGCGCAGTGGGTAATGCGCAAGGTGGCTGGTTGGGCGGAGGGATTGCGGTTGACGACTCATTCTTTTCAGCCCGAGATTGTAGCGCTTGAATTCTCTCTTTGTTTCTTTTCCCTGGTAATTGGTATCAGTACAATGCTTTTTTCGTTGGGAAAAGGGAGGACTTGCGGTATCTTCGTTGAGCTAGAACGTTGAGTACGCGCTTCCGCTCCAGCGCATCCGGGTCCAGCGTGGGCACCCCGTCCTTCCTCGTAGCCCTCGGCATATGGGATTAAATATTCTGAAAATTCCGAGAAAGGGACGATATTCAGGTAACAATTCGTAACGATCCCCAAGGAGCAAAGGACGATGTTGCAGATCGGAAAGATGGAAGCTACGTGGTCCCCTGACCTCGTATTTCGGGTGACGCTGACATATTGCGGGTTTTTGCGGAATGTATGGCCAATTTAGAGATTTGATCAAGGAACTGAATACAGAATGATATTATAGAAAGAATCCGAGATTTGTGGCTATTGGTCCTTTTCATCGTCGACATCGAATGGTCTAGGGAATGAGATCTACATGGTTCCAACACCACTCCAAGGTCTCTCTATTAATATAATTAAATAAGATGTATAGAACAGTGTAGTAGCATCAGCATATTCCCAATTAATCCATTAATTATATATATACCAATCCTGTCCTATCTAACAGCGATATTCCGTCTGAAATTGATCAAGATTAATACGCAATCGTATGTTCCGAAACACCCCAAGTTAAGATGCTGATGTTTCTTCATTCAAAATTGACCTTTTAGATCTTCTTGGCAGCAGAGGTAGCCAAGCTAGAGGGGGAGGGAGTAGCAGCCAAGGGACCAATTCTGAGCGGGCCACAAGGGCTAGTCGGGGCAGTGAGACAGCCACCAAGATACTCGCCGAGGCTACCAGTCTCGTTACGGGTGGACAAGATCTGGACGGGGCCATAAGCTGCGACAAGAGAGGTAGAGTTCTGGGCAAAGTAGCTCGCGTTGACGCGGCTACCAATCAAGGAAGAGTGTTCGCTGTGCTCGGCAGCCAGACGAGCCATGAGGAAGGCGACCTCGGGAGACTCGGTGTAGCCGGCAAGACCGATGAAGGCACCGGTGACGGTAGCCTCGAAGCGGTAGGCCCACTGGGCCCAGCTCTGGGTGCTGTTGACCTCGGGGATCTTGTAGTCGCACTCGGGCTTGGAGAAGCCGGGGGCCTTGGCGCCGACCTTCTCGATGGCTTGGCTGGATAGAGTGTTGCCCTTCTCGAGGCCGAAGAGGATCTTCTGGTATGCTTTGATGGTGGCGTTGTTGGATTCACCGAAGGTGCTGTTCACGGTCTCGTTGTAGAAGGTGCCGATGAAGTTGGAGACACCGAGGGCGAATTGGAGGACCTTTGCGTCAGAAGCTGAGGGCGAGCAGGTTGAGGCTGCGCTTGCTCCGGAGGTGGTGGTGGCTGCGGAGGTGGCAGTGACTCCGGGCCAGGAGGAGGGTGATGATGTTGAAACGCATAGCTCTTGGAGTGATCTCGGAAGAGTTATCGTGTAGGGTAATTGAGAGAGATTTTGTTAGGATGCAGAAGAATTGCTACGGCCAGAGGTAGTTAAATACCTTTTCAGCCCATAAAACAGGGCAATATTCCAAGTCATCTCGAGTCATCATCACCGCAGTGACGCATGCGGTAGGATTCGAGTTCATTATACCAGGTAAACTCTCCAAGTAACCGGTAGTCTCCTCTACATTGGCGTCATGAACCACAGTATAAGCCATTGAGTTTGGTGTCGTGGAATCAACTTTGCCATGCCCTGTTGGAATGACGTCGACCACTTGATAACTCCAAGCTTGAGCCAAGCTCGAACTTAAACTTGATATAAAAATCTGTCGAAATTAAGCTTTGAAGGTTCATCCAAGATTAAGTGGGTTCGGGACCGTCGGGATATCCGGTAGACGCCGATGACTTGGATCAAGGCGTCGTGGATGTGAAAAGTTTATTTGAACGTTGCATAGAAAAGAGATGCTTGCACTATTGGATTTTATCAGCACTCCAATATACGACATAATACTACTCAGCGACTGTAACAATTTGAATGTAAGTATCCAAGTTAGTGGTGGTCGAGTAGGATAATATATTTCCGCGGACTCGGAAGCTGCCGGATCGCCAAGTAGAAATTATGGAATTTTTCTTTTTACAGTAAACCGCCGAGTGTGTCAACGACATTTTTACTAATCGAATGCATAAACTAAAAGTAGAGTTGACTATAAACGGGTATGTGCTCGAAAGGAACAGAAATAATTGGCACACCGTGAAGTACGGGCCTATCAGATTGAAAAAAAAAGCATATGTAGCGACCTGAACTATCCTTTATCCCACCAAAAAGCAGACGTTAATCATCAGCATAACTGTGCAAATACACTCGCCTATATACATTTCGTATGATGCGCGACTATACACACTCCGCTCAACAAGCAGCTAAGCCCCGTACACAAGATGATAAGCCCATATCCACTACCATATCCCGCTACAGCAGAGCCCTTCCACGAGTCTACACTGACTATAGCCTCACTCAAGGGACCGCTAACAACATTTCCAATTCCTCGCCCAAAAGCAATGACCGAGAAGATCATAGTTGCGTCGGCAGACGGATCGACGCGTCGGACCTCGTGAGTGATCCCCGCCCACGTCGCCGAGTAACAGCCTGCAAATAGTCCGTATGCGATAGAAAAGACGAACAACGTCGGCAAGGTTGATGCAAATCCCCAGAGGAAAAACACGGCCAGTGTACTGCCGACAGTCGAGATGGTAATGCATGTGATGGCATGGTATCGGTCTGCCAAATGGCCCATAGTAACACTCCCAAACACCGATGCCAGGTTCAAAAGCGTGACGGTCAAAGAGGAGAGAAAATCCGTAGCGCCAATACTTCGGGCATAGGTTGGTAGATAAATACCGGGCAAGAAAAACCCCAGTGCCTCAATGATGTTGCCGAGTTGATAGACGCAAAATATCCTAGTCATAAGGAAGCGGAAGTTCAGACGTTGATAGTCGACTGTTTTTCTGACAGGGAGCCGGGGTTTGTGGAAGTATATGAAAGGCGCAGCGAGGACGAACACCACCACCGAGATGACCCTGAGAGTAGTTTCGAATCCGAAGCGATTCAATAGCTTCTCTAGGCCAATCGGGAATATTATCCCGGATACCCTGACCCAGCCCAAGTTATCCCGAACGCGAGTCCTCGTCGGTGGACGAACCATTCGTCCATGTACAAGATGGATGGACTGTATGCTATACAACCGCCGATTCCGAAGCCGACACCTTGGGAAAGGACGAGGTGTGTGATGTTGGAAGAGAATGAGCCCAATGCTAGGGAAAGACACATTATGATCAGACCAAAAGATGAGAACCAGCGTCCCCATTGAGGAAGGAGGATCATAGCAGCGATGACGAGTGGACAGCTAAGATAGGATATTCCCTATGGCTGGTGTTAGAAATGGACCGTTGTAAGCGAAGAGACAGATCTCACCGTAGCACATGTCCCAATAACAGCTACCATATTAGAGTCTTGGAAGGGTTCATGTGCGTGATAGTATTTCTGGAAGACTCCGAACGCGAAAGCAAATCCTGCTCAAAGTTAGCCTTATGGCTGTCGTCTTGCAGTCGTGCAGCTGACCTACCCCATATCAAAGCCTCGATCATTACACAAGCTGCCAAAAACATCCATGCTTGGAATCCTCCGTCGACGGGTGGTAACCTCTGTACATCGTTGTCGGATGATTCGTCGAATTTCTCGGGACACAAGCGTATCTGTGCTTCACTGCGAGGTAGTGAGTTGCTGCATGAAGGACGTCTCATTTCCATATTGGTGATGTTGAATTCTGTGGGTCTGGGTAGACAGGGACATTAGAGACAAAAGCAAGTTCCAAGGTGAATGTGTCCATTTTAACTGCATCTATATTAAGCCATACGAAATTTTGGTCACATTGTTTGATCATGTCAAGGAGGTCGAGCGTTCGAAGGGATGGCGAGAACTCTTGGTAAAGATCAGCCAGGTGACGGAAGGAATTTCCGTACGTATACGATTAGGGCTGGCATGCAACTTTTCAACGGCCGAGCGGGATATCATGCACTTGTGCATCCACTTTAGATATGAGTGGTAGCGCAAGAGTAACCGTGTCGCTGATTCCGCAATCCGCTTGGAATCATCAGATTCAGATCTAAGATATATGTGAATTGACGAGATGACTTTGACGAATGTGTTGTGCCGGAGTATGACCTTGAGCCCCTTATTGGAAGCTTCAGGGAAAACAACGTTTGTAAAAGGCCGAAACTGACGTGCTTTGCGTGGGGAATAGAGAGCTCTCTCGGTCTGTGACGGGGGATTGTAAGCTGGGACAGTACAAAAGCCGGTTAGGAACGGACGTGCGAAGGGATTGGAATGTAGAGCATGATCATCGCCAAGTGAGGATGGAGACGTCGGAGACTTGTGCCGATGTATGTCCTATGATATCACTTATAAAGCTCCGAGCTGCAGATCACTAAACAGCCCCTTGTTGGGTATAACTCCGCGTTAGGGCCACGTTAGACTGAGGATGAGCGAGGCGGCTTGAATCATAGAATCAAGGGGCTGTGAAAGCGCCAATCATGTCGTGTCTGATGTGACATAGCACGCAATATGGCGTAGATAATAGCATGCCAATATATAATGCTCGTGAGCCCTGACTATGTTCCGTGGCAATCTGTATCGCTCAAGTGTTGCTTTGTCATATTCCTGGGGGATCGTGGGACATTTGACTGGCGCAAGATTCTGAATGACATGTGGTATCGAAATAGCATGGGCTTGAATACATATTTGCGAAAACTCTGAGTCCATGTGACAAATCAAAACTTAGTGCAGGCTACCTAAGTAAAAGATAACAGGATCGTTTTGTCTCATTGTTTGCTTTCGAGTTGGAGTTGATTCGCCATGCCGACTCTGTGGGCACCATTTTCAAGTATTCTTTCTACGTGCATGTACTAGCAGGTCAAACAGTGAGTTCTAGAAAACCGAATAATGTCCCCGTATCTTTAGTTGCAAAGAGTAATCCTGAAAATGAGTGGAAGGTCAGTTCCCTACCCAAATGATGCCTTTCAGCTAACGAGGGAAGGATTTTGGTCTATGTCATAGCCAAACCGAATATATGAGCCTAAGAAGTATGTCTCTAAGTACAGTTTATGCGTAGTTCATATCCCCGACGCAGTATTCACTACCACGACCGATATGAGCAATGCGCGACAGGCCGGTACTGCACCGCATGCTCGTGAACCTCACAGGATAGAAATGTATTACTACTCACCGTGTAGGACATTCCAAAACCGTGCAGTCCTAGTCAAAAACTCATAGCAACTGGCGGTGTCTGTATATTGCAGGTTCGGACCCATGCAGTGCCGTTCTAGCAACATAGGCGACGGACTGGTCGGGTTCAGTCGCGTGTATTTTTGTTGCAACTCCTTCGATAAGATAGTCCAGTATGTATTCAAACTAATGAAAAGTTGCCTCGGATTCTGGGTTCTTGCCGTCGGTGTTGGACTCGATCTATGTCTCGATGGTACTGGAATAGGGACGCCGAAACTGGTTGGTTTGAAGGGTGACGAACGTTGTCACGGAGGATATTGCCATTAGCAGCAAACTGAGTGACGTTGTACGCGATGGGATACCGATGAGACTGACGTGCTCTGGATCTGTGAATAGGTTGAACATGTATTCCTGGTCGAGCTTGTCCAGTGAAGATGCGGGTGATGTCGAACCGGCCTTCTATCTGCATTGCGATATCATTAGGACAGTTGAGATAACCTGCGATGACTGAGGGTAGAGAAGACTTGGTCCTTGTACGTGAAAGACCCTGTTATGAGGAATCCTACTAATGACATTCCACCGATAAGAAGTTCAAAATATCCCGAATATCCATTAGCATTACTAAAAGTTCAATAGTCCATAAGTTTCTAATAATAACACATTATATCCAGGTATTAGAAATTATTCCAATAAGGTATCTAGTCAAGTCCAAATTAGCTTGGTGGTTTTCGCTGTCGCATACTTGTATTGGGCTGGTATAAACCACTCCCAGCCTCCTTGCACATGGTTACAACCTCTCATTCCAAGATTTTGAAAGGGAATTAGAAATAAACCCCGTAATACAACCAAACTATTGTTTAAACATCCCGTGAATCTCATGTAGTAATTATAAGAAGCGAAATATGGGGATAACTAGCAATATGCTGGATCGAGCAGCGAGTTATGCAGAATGATCGTGAGTTATCAACTAACAGCTGGACGAAACTCTTCTCTACGGTAATTCTATTGGTATCATTCCATTTATTTATTTCCCAGTTATATTGCTGCAAGTACTCCAAAATAGCCAAGTAAGCCACTAAAGCCATGAAAACATCTTCTAAATTGGTAAATGCGACTAAAATATACCAAAACCTATATAGAATCGAGCAAATCCTGAAGCTGCCAAGCAACAGAGCGCTCACTGTGCGGATCGTGGATAACAGTTCTACTAAGCTCAATCAAAGTGTTCTCGATGAAATCACATAGTCGAGGGAAAGTAGTCTGGAAGAAACCAGGACGTCTGTGAGCGACGAATGGATGATCCGGAAAATACACCGAGATATCAGACGCCAGTATCTTAATCTTGCGCAATGATTTAGCAGTCATGGTGAGTCTCTGGCTGACTATGTGCTGATGGCCCGGGTGGTTAACTAGAATATCAATCTCGCCCTCGAGTTCTATTCGGAACCTATAGATCTCTTGTGCGTAGGTAGGTACGAGGTTGTAGACCCAGCCTGATGCGGAGCTGTCCCACCAAGCCATTGTTCCTGGGAAATAAATGGACAAATAGATTTTTTCAAGGGACGGGAGAGATTGATATAATAGTTGCCGAAGATGTATCCAGGAATTGAATATCAAGTATGATGGTTTGCTACTTCGAGATGGATGGGCTCGGGTTTTATATATCACTGTGGGGTACAATATGCATGGATATGTTGGAATAACTAAGCCGACACCATGATCATTAACACTCAAAGAAAAAGTAGTTACAAAGCCCTTCTTCGTGTTCTTTGTTATTCTCCTGGCTCTTGTCTCGAGTGACAGAACCTTGTCTTGTGTACAAGGCCTTTGTGGATAAAGACATCAATTTCAACAGAGGCAAGTGTGGACGTAGAACCTGCCAATTGAGCCTTGAATTTATGTCATGTTCTCAGACAAAAGTTCGGCTTGAGACAAGCCGTTTCGAAACAAGAGGTATATACACGCCAAAGATAGGGGTAATAGTACTAAGCGACAGTAAACTTTCCGTCCCCGCGAATATCCCGACTGGAGGCTCCAACATAGATAGTGAAGGTACCACTGGGCACAACCCACTTCTGTGTCTGCACATTCCAGTAGCTCAGATCACGCCGAGTAAGCGCGAAAGTAGCCGTCCCCTGTTCTCCCGGTTGGAGATTCAACTTCTGGAACCCTCGCAGCTGCTTGGGCGGAGTGCTTGGGGCAGAGTCTGGAAGGCCAAGATAGAGCTGAGCAACTTCAGCACCAGCTACGTCTCCAGTATTCTCGACAATGACAGAGACAGTGCCGACCGACTGGAAAAGTTCCTCAGCCCCGCCAGGGACAATGGGTCCATTTGATGGCCCAGCCGTGGCAGAAACGCTAACCGCGAGTCCACTGTAATTGAAAGTCGTATACGACAAGCCATAGCCAAACTCGTAGCGCGGGGCGATGCCGTTCTTATCGAAGTGGCGGTAATCAATGAACAGGTCTTCAGCGAAATTGTCGACAAGCGCACTGTTCCAGCCGGCACCGTAATCTGAGGGCTGCTTGGCAATCGTGTAGGGGAGTTTGCCGCTCGGGGATGTGCTGCCATACATCACGTCAACCAAGGCGTTTCCGCTTTCTTGACCCGGTAGTCCGGCCCAGACAATTGCCTTCACTGAGGGCTGTGCCAGGATAGTCTCTAGGATAATGGGCCCCACGCTGTGCACGACTACGATGACATTTTTGTTCGCCGCTGCGACGGACTTGACGAGCTCGTTTCCGTTGTGCCAGGGGTCGAGGTTGTTTCTGTCGCCAACGTTGCCCTCCACTGTAAGGTAACTGGGCAGGGTGTTAGTGTTGCCGATATATTATAGGTGCGGTGACGCAAGTCAGACTCACCCTTCGCCGGCGTCTGCGTTAATGAAGACCACGGCAGTCTCTGCCGCTGCGGCAGCAGAGGCAGCAGCTGTGGTGCTGTCAGTCGTACTCTCGACAATTTTCGTACCGTCCTTTTGGGCCTGGACCCTGATTGCATCAAAGAGGAGCAATGAGGTACTAGAGTGACATTGTCAGTTCATCGGACTTGCGGTGGATCTGCTGGAATTGGCTTGCTTACCGGGAACTCTGCTGTACCACTGCCCCACCCCATAGCCAGTGTGCCAGTGTTGCAGCCGCGGTCTACACATGCATTGGGGCCATCGGGGTTGACGATGGCATCCTGTCCAATGATAGCCAGGCTCTTGGGTTTCCTAAGAGGTAGAGCATGCTCCTGATTCTTCAACAGGACAATGGAATCACGGGCGACCGTGCGGACGACACTCGCATGGTCTGCTGTCACGTCGACAGTGGCTTTGCCGCCATTCCAAGAACTGAAAGTGACCTCAGGGTAGCCTTGGTCCTGACCAAGAAGATACCAAGCTGCCAGGATACGTGTTGCCATATCATCCAGGCGGGATTGAGGAACCGAGCCATTAGTAACAGCCTCCACGAGGTTTGGTCCCCAGAATATGCTTCCAGGTGGCTTATTGAAGTCACTGCCGGGCATCGTCATGTCGAGTCCAGCCAAGGCACTATTGACACCCGTGTGCTGCGCGTTCCAGTCGCTCATAACGTAGCCAGGGAAACCAAGCTCGTTCTTCAATAGCTCGTTCAAGACAGCGTCACTCTCACAGGCCCAAGTCCCGTTCAATTTGTTATAGGAGCACATAACAGATGCTACATTTGCCTTGACTGCGTTCATAAACGGCCATAAATACAGCTCATGCGTGGCGCGGTCGCCGATGTTAGAGCTCATGGTTTCGCGGTTGTGCTCTTGCTCGTTTCCAAGCCAGTGCTTGAACATGGTCAGGGCGGACGAGAACATCAGCAGAGTGGAAGTGAGCGTACCTTGGCACAGGCCTGAACGCCCGAATCTTGCATACCATGGATTGTCTCTTCCATACCAACCCCACTAAGATATGGGTCGACTGAAAACCCTTCCCAGTTCCTACCGCCATCGGGATTCTTTCCTAGAGGTCCAGCAGCTGGTCCTAGCTGGACATGTACGCCTAGACCTTTGGCTTCCTCGCCCATTGCGGCACCGCGCGCGTACAAGAGACTACGATCCCACGTTGCTCCGGCGTTGATACCCGCAGGAACGCTGTGACAGGATTCGCGTAGCGAATTCCCAAGGGCGAGTCCTGTAGGCATAAAGAAGGGTAGTCGAGTGAGCTTGGGGCATAGGTGTTGCCCACGCAGGGCCCTCCTTGCCAGCCGACGCCAGTGGCAATGCCAACCTTTTCGGTCTGATTTAGCTTGAGAAGGGCTGCTTGGGCCTTTGAGTAAGCCGCATCCCAGCCGGCAGCTCCTGCGCCATAGGCATCGGCCGCGGCACTGAGTGCCAGAGCCGAGAGAAGAAGGTTCTGCATAATGCCGTTTGCCGTGGGTGGTCACTCGGTAAATTTTCCCCTGGTCTGGCGGCGGAGGGGTACCATTTATAACCCCCCGCGCATGGGATAACTTGGCTTAAATTCCCACGGCCAGAAATTCCCCCCTGGTCCGTGATGCTGGTCTAGGCGCAGATTTGAAACCCATGACCAGAATGAAGGGGGTTTTCCTTGGCCAAGAAAGCACGAGGTCAACTCCACATGTAAAGCGACACACGGGTGGTTGTAGGTCACAATGAAACATGCAGGTGAATAGGGTTAGTCCACCGATGGCCTCGGGCCACCGGGAAGCCCCCTTTGATTGGCGAGTGAGACACGGAATGTGGAAAAAGTGGCTGGCTATTGTGAAATAAATAGCCTAAACCTCTTGTTTTCGACAATGGCCAGACTAGGCACATAATTTGAAAGCTTTCGACGCAGATCAGTACTACCTGGGGAAATGTCCGTTAATACTTGCTGCGGGTTGCCGGACTATTCCCCGTGTACTACGGGGTAGGCAGTACCCCCGCCCTCCACCATCCTGTGGAGTAGATCACAATAGCTAGGAATTGAGCCAGAAGAGTCAGTGTTCTATGCTAAGCTGATGGAATGAGAAGGACAAAACAACGGAAGAGCCAAGACTCTCCCAACCCCTGCCCAGACACAGATGTCGTTGCACGGCATGTCCTGGTGTGGTATCGCAAGATACGTGGAAATAGATGATAAGGAGAGACTCATTACACAGTGAAAGGAAAGAAAGAAAAAGCAAAATGAAGATGTTTCGAGTAAGAGAGGTTAGCAAATATAGCAACGGTCGAGATGTATTGTTGACATCCGGGGCATCGCGTGGCCGGTATAATACCGTATGCCGAAAACCAATCTTCATGTTATTTGTAGTGATGGACCAGTAATATTACCGTATTATGTTTTCTCTGGCCCAATCCCTTCAATGTTACTATCGTATACTTCCATTGAATTCAAGTTAGCTCTTATTACCCAAATTACCCAAAAAGAAGAATACGACTTCGATACATCACAGTACCTCGGTAGTTATCCAGGGATGTATGTACCGTGTGCCCAGGTACCTAAGTAGACCTGAATCTTCCCCACACGATCGGTTCCCCGCATTTCCACAGATCAACCATCTCGACATGTCGCACTCCAGCAGAAAAGACACAGAAATGACGATGGGAGAAGGAGAATATATTGCGACGAAAATGAGCCCGTCAAACCTGCGAGGCCTGTAAGGGCCGCAAAACCAAGGTAAGAATTAATAACACAAGGAAAAAGAAAACGGCTAACCATCTAGTGTGTCGGGGTCGAGAATGGCGACTGAACTGAACTCAACCTCAAAGCCCGAAAACGACCGTCCTGCGGGGTATCCGAGGAAGCTTATGATTGTCTGATCAAGCTGCCACCACGGTTCGTTCCTGAGGAGGAGCTGCCCGAGAGTGGAAAGCATAAGTGGCTACCTGGAGCGAATGAAGAATGATCCTCCTGCACATATCTCGCCCGATGGTCATGACAGAGATGCACACCCAACGACACTGTGTCAGCTCTGAATCCCCGTGATAATAATGATCCGCAAGAGCTGACAGTGCCTGAGGATAATTCACTCTTCCAAGAAGAACTCGAATGCATGACCCTAGGGTACTTCGGGGAAATACAGTAAGCCTACTCCTTATTTATGGCCGTGGCCATTGGATACTTACTGAACCATAGGATATGTTGGCACGAGTTCCTCACTACGGTGGTATCACGCTGCGCGCATGGTCAGTGAGCGGGCCATACCTTCAGATCCACGCGTCCTTATCCCATTGAAGACCGGCTTGCTTACACCAACCACACCCGAAAGCGTCACTGGTTAGCACCGAGTCGAGCACTACTTACCGTGCCATCAGCTATGTATGGAATACACGGCACGATTCATTGCACAAGCCCATTCGATGCGTTGTTTCTATTCGCTTGAGCAGTTCTACGCAATACTTGACCACACTTGGAAAGTCGGGTGAAAACCTCGAGTTCTTCTTGGATATGCTCGCTTTACTCTATATTCGCGATCGGGTCAATACAGCCCAAGGTCCCGTCAACATCGCCGGACAAAACACTTCCCGAGGATCTTACAACACCAGCAGGGTATGTTACGCTGGCAAAGGAATTGGTCCCTCTTCTGGTAGGAAGCTTTGATCTTAATCATAAAGCAACAATATCCATAGGGAAACAGGAACGACCCTACCATCTCTGGAGGGTAGGCATCTATAAGGAGAGCTGAGGCAGTAAAGCTGTCAATCTTAATGTCCGGCCCGGAGGTAATCCAACCTCGCTCGAAAGCCTGCTCGCATACACCGAACAGGACCTTGTCAAGGTACTACCTATCGGTCATACGTACGAATGGCTTTTGTCTTCGCCCGTACCATACTTCTCAGTTTCAAGCCAGATGAGAACAGTGAAATGCTGATCAAGTGCATTGAGACGGCCCGCGCCATTGCCGAAAATTCCAAAGACACAGTTGCCTACGGCGTGCTTGACAGTTTCCAACAAGAACTGAAAGCCAGCGAAGCAGAATTTCAGAAATAAGCCGAGGCAAGGGACGCTGATGATGTTCCCTACAGTGTGCTAAAGCCAAGGTATAACGCAGTGTCGATTTTGATTTAGCCTTTGCACGTCAAGAACTTCGCCTACTGTTAGAGGCCAGGATTCCCGACTGAAAACTGTTTGGTTTTAGAGGGAAATTCCACTGATTTGGCGACTTTAACTCAGGGGAAACTTTTCAAATGCTTAATTATCAAGCTCATCTTTATTTTTATCCCCTGACAGCTTGGGAACAGGTCCGGACTAGGATAATATACTGAAAGATAATACTCTAATCAATTGGATATTCCAATTCAGTTTCGCCATATATTTTGCACAGTCCCAAATATTGTCTCCGGGAAAGATCGACCGCCGATTATATTGAGCACAAAGACGCAGTTATGCAGAACTGACATTCTCTGGAAGTTGCAACAGCTGATATGGCCCCTTTGTTGCGATTTGGTCCTCCGTCACTGGTTGCTAATCTCGTCACAGGTATAAGAGCGGTACTTTTAATGGGAGGATCATGGATGTATGGCCGGGGTTACTAAACCACTTCATGGAATTTTTTTTTCATGGAACCACATCTCCAGAACTTTGAGATTAATACCTCACTGCTAACAGATTTGCGAACGTTGGAAAGGGGATTTCCCTGCTTGAGAAGCAGAAAGGCCAGTAGCTGTAGAAGATAGAGCATGGTGGAGTAGCGAACAATTTGAGCTTCCTGTGTCCACTAGCTTCATTCGACTAATCGACCTTTCAATGTGACATTGGAATGTCGTAATGACCCAGCTAGCGGCCTTGTTGACAATAATGAGCTTCGCAATTTTACTGGCGCGCCCGAGGATTATTAAGCATCTTCCATTTCCAAGATTAGCCGCGTGGCGGAAGTAGTCAGAGTGACATCGGTACTGATCGGGAAAGACAAGTCTAGTCTCCAAGCCTGCTGTTCACGTTTATCAGTCAAGATTTTTAGAGGCGCCTCCCTTTGGTTGCTGTTCGGTTCCGAACCCACAGCTAGGCAGGTATATATACAAGGCCAATGACGCGCATTGGCGTCATGTGTATTGCACGTTAGATGTATATAAAAGACACCCACAACTGTGCAGACTAGCTGGGAATCGGAGCATTCGAAGACAGCAAAATTAAACATAAGAATCAGCTCCTAACCATGTCACGTCACGTTTGCGTTACTGCCGCGGAAGGTCACACCGGCCACGCTATCATAGAGCTGCTATTGACACACGAGGACTTCAAGAATGCTGTTGATTCGGTCACTGCCCTGTCTCTCCAGCCCCACGGAGACACTTGCAAAGAGCTATCCAAGCTCGGGGCTAAGGTTGTCACTCACGAGCCGGGCCGACTGAGCAAGATGGTGGACTCCCTTAAGGCGGTCGGCGCAGACACATTGTGTCTCATTCCTCCTGCACGCCAGGATAAGCTCGACCTGACCATAGAACTGATCGATGCTGCGAAGAAGGCGAATGTACCTAATGTTTGCTTCATTAGCTCTGCTGGCTGCGACCTTGCGGAACGTGATAAGCAGCCAAGACTGCGAGAATTTATCGACCTGGAGACAAGAATCTTGGCCAGCAAGGGTGATCCATCCACGGCCACTGGCCATTCTCCGGTTGTGATTAGGTAGGGCGGTATTGTCCAGTGAAGTTGAAGTTTGCTAACTTGGAATCCTAGGGCCGGATTTTACGCCGAGAACCTCCTTCTGTATTCCCAGCAGGCGCAAGAAGAAGGAGTACTTCCTATCCCGCTTGGACCTAACCATAAGTTTGCGCCAATTGCATTAGGGGTACCTTTTCCACAACATGCCCAGACGGACATCAACTGACAAAGTCACTAGGATGTTGCGCAGGTTGCGGCACACGTCCTCTCCGGAAAGGGGAAGCATGGGTTTAGCGATAAGCACCGCGGCCAATTAATCGTGTTGACAGGTAAAGTAGCCTGCCCGTACAAACTGTTTTTCGGCGCTAATACCACCCAGGGCCAATGCTGGCGACTGGCGATGAACTTGCTTCTGCTGCCAGCAAAGCCTTAGGACACGAGCTGAAATTCGAAGATATTTCAGAGTACGTAAAAAAAGAAACTCTCTCTTCTATCAAACCATAAATACAAAGTATGGGCTAACGATAGTTGCAACTGTCAGGTCAGAAGCGAAGAGAGTACTTCAGTCCCAGTCGGCTAGTGATAACTCGGAGCTGCAGTATTTATTGGAGTACTATTCTCTAGTTCGTGAAGGAAAGACGAACTACATCTCGACTAACGCTTTTCATGATATCACTAATTCGCACCCACAAGAGCCAGAGGACTTCTTCAAAGTTTATGCGGAAGAGTTTCGCGTGAAAAAACAGCCAAAGAAACGCAGAACTAGTGGTGGGAAAGGTTGAGTGTCCCTACTTTTCAGGAAACTGCATCAGAACATACCGCGGTTTTAAAATGGAGCCATATAGCTACAGTTTAATCCTTTCGGTGAGGTTACTGATGGAGCTTTTATCCATCCATTATGAACTACGTGTTTCTTAGTTGACAATATCTGACCCACACGGTCAGCCCAGTGTGGTTGTTGAATGTCAACGGAAGAAATTGTTCTATTAAAAGTGTTTTTGTATAATGAGGTCTTCTGTGCATTATGAGTTTTGATTGAACACGGTATGATGATGTGGCTTTCTTCAACTATTTCAACCAGGCACTCTTTTAGCTCTGGCAATTGCGCATTGTCCAATAAGAAATATAAAGGTCGAGCGGTCTCGTCATTAGTTGGGCCTTCCAAGGTGTGGAAGAACCGCACCTGCTGTCGATGACTCACGAATATCCTATACAACAAGTTTGAAAACAAAAGCATCACCATCTAAAACTCTCACTGGTGATTATGGAAATTGGTGGAAATTGGTCCGTACGACCACGACCACAAATCGCGAAGCGATCGAGCAGTTTAGGCCGGGCCGACCCTTAATGCGGCTGTGTCAGTGTGCAAACGTTGCAAACTTCCTCTGTGTACATCATCATCCCCATGGCTTTGCCCAGCGAATTTCGTCCTCTTTCCAACACAATGCCTAGCATATGATATTGGTACGAACGGTCGATGCGGTTCTCTATTTGTCATTTTGCCTGAAATATTTCCGAGCTATTCCTCCGACCATTTAGGCGCCTACTTGTGATGTTTGCTTCGGCACCTGATAGAAAATGTCGGGATTCAAATGATAAAGAATACTTACAATCTGTGAGTGGAAGTCCTCAGTGACTCCCCCTAATCTTACACTTTAGGTCGAGACCTAGTCCGGAAATATGCCACCTACCATCCCACTTCAACCACCTCCCACGGTCACTATTCGACCGGCCTCTGAACGCAAGATAACGAGAAACTCTTGACAATTGGAATTTGCGCCGAAGTATAACTTGTGGACGATCATGTTATTAGGGAAATTCCGCGGAGATAGAGTGAAGAAGATCTACAACCTATACTACAGGAGGCTCTGGTTTACGACACTCTTGGAAATCGTCCACGAATTGCCGAATGACTCTCGAGATTAAATACTACCCTCGTGGTGACCTTGTGCAATATTTGGATAGGAACTCAATTACCCCCGAGCTTCGATCGAAATGGTACCAACAGATCTTAGAAGCTCTTGTTTCCATCCATAGCTGTGGTGTTATCCACGACTCGGCGATTTTAACTCTTCACCTGGCTATGTAGCGCTTGGCTATGAGAAAGCTACACACTGCTTACCGCGAGATTATGCCCTTCATAACACGGAAGCCTCCGACATCTTTGCCCTAGGATCGACGCTTTCTGAGCCAGTTGCTGGCGAAGCCCCATTTAGCGAACTTTATGGTCTAAAATCTGATAATCTGGATGTCGTCGAAGCTCGACGCCAACGACAGCATGTGGTAGACTATGAGATTGAAACACGCTACAAAAATGGAAATTTTCCTGATGTTGCTGATGTATTCTGAGGAGAGATCATATTCGGTTGTTGGAGAGGCGAGATTTCCACTGCCCAAAAAGCACTTTATTTGTACTTGCATGACCGACTTAAGCCGCATTTCTGAACTGAGAGCATCCTCTACTGTCAACCAGATTGCGGCGCTCTCGAATACTGGGGTTCTTGAAGGATTCAGGTATCTCGAATTCGAAGTCCTATGCAAGAGCAACGGGCCCTACCCACTTCTCCACTTCTGTACCTCTTCATATCCCACCTCAGTCTTTGTAGTGGGATTTTGGCTCCATTCCTGATCGTACGCATGATCTCTCTCGATGAGATATTTAGCTCAGTTGGCCTATTGGTCCATACAGCAGCCGAGACCATGGATCTGTTACGTTCCTGATACTGTCAGGGCATCGTTTGCCACTACAGGATATTCTGCCATTGAGTCAAAGACGACTAAATTCGGTATTGCCACCTATGTAGTGGGTTTTAATTGACGAATAATAGTTTAATAGGATGCTCAGAATAGGGATAATCTAGGGAAACAGTGAATAAACATGGTCCATCATGGTAGAGTTTGCTGTTTCGCCTCCTTCAAAGACGTGCTGACATCTCATGCGGGGCGAATTAATTTTGTCTCTCACCGCCACGAAGGGCCTATATCTCCTCAGATGCCCCGCATCTTTTAATTCTCTTCATCAACACCTCGTGACTCCCACTTTCTTTCAAAATGTCTAAGATCTACGTCGGGTATGTCAAATTCCTTCATTTTGGCATGTGTGAACGCGTTATACTGACAATCATACTAGAAACCTCTCATGGCACACCAGCGACGAGTCGCTCCGTCAGGCCTTCGGCGAGTTCGGCCAGATTGTCGACTCTGTACGTGAAAAATTTCCAAAATTTCCCAATTTGCCTCTAAGAAAAGACACTAATCTTTCATCTCTTCTAGATCGTCATGGTTGACCGTGAGACTGGTCGCTCCCGTGGATTCGGCTTCGTCACCTACTCTTCCGCTGAGGAGGCCGAGGCTGCCATCAACGCTCTGAACGAGCAGGAGTATGTTTTTCATCCCTACCGAATACAATCTCAGTCTCAGTTGCTAACCCTAAGCTAGCCTCGATGGTCGTCGCATTCGCGTTAACCTCGCCAACGCCCGCCCCACCGGTGGCTTCGGCGGCGGTGCTGGCGGTGCCGGCGGTGGCCGCTGGTAAATGTGATCAGTGACATGAAAAAGTGCGCGATGGTTATGCGGAGCGAGAAAAACGTGATATATTGACGCTTAGCGTTGGTAAGTGTATTGTTGCGTCTCTGAGAGATCACAGTCACAAGGCAGTTACTAGAGTTACTCAAGAAGTAGATAGTATTTTCACTCGGTGTTTCATATACCTCAGGACATTAGGAATTTCATTTCAGAGCCGATCGATTCGTGCACTGATTTACACCTCATTTTGGTCTTTTTTTTTCCTTGTAAATTTTCAAATTTTTATCGGGCCCAATTTAATGCAAGGCTGCCATGAGGCTGGAGTTCTGTTAAACTATTGGTTGCCATGTAGTATCTCGTACATATATCACAAGTGGTGTCACCAGCAGGCAATAGAATAGGGGGAATATCCGTTTGTATGCGTGTCCTCTCGCAGAAAATTTCTGCTCCGCTCTGAAAATTTCGCCAGGGCGCATGTTGATATCGCCGACTTCCTTTCCTTGAAGGTCGTACACTAAAATAACCCTTCGCTGTTTGATCTACAACATAATATGTCTTTCTGAATATCTAAGTCTGTAGCCAGTGATTTCTGAGATAAATCAGACACAGATGAAGCCACCGTATGATTAAAATATGTCTTCTAACATGGCATCATGGCAGTTCAAAGGCATATTGCGCGAACCCTTTCCCCTAGCACCTTCCATAACTTTGAGCCTCATATAAACAATACAACATGACGCTGTCGTCCTGACTAAAAATAGTATGAAATTACCGACGTCATTGGCCAATTGCTCCCAAAAGGGATGCCCCGCGGCTCTGGACCCACCGCCACATGCCTGTTCACTTTATCAGCATCACTTCCACTTATATTACACGCAGCACACACATCACAATATAACCGCAAACATGGCACCCCACGAAGGCCTCGTCCACCCAAAAGAATACGATATCAAAGACAGCAACGTGGAGCTAATCGGCAGCGACCTCGACCACCGCGTGAAGTACAATTCCGCCCAGACCGAACCCGCCTGGCAAAACATCCCCCAAGAACCCGGCCTCACAATATGGCGCATCGAAAACTTCCAAGTAATCCCCTGGCCGAAAGAAAAAACCGGCCAATTCTACGACGGCGACAGCTTCATCGTGCTCCACACCTACAAAGTCGGCGACCAGCTCGCCCACGACATCTTCTTCTGGCTGGGCAGCAAAACAACACAAGACGAAGCCGGCGTCGCAGCTTACAAGACCGTCGAGCTGGACGAGTTCCTGCACGGCGCGGCAACACAGCACCGCGAGGTCCAGCAACACCCCTCTGACGAGTTCCTCGCCCTGTTCCGGAACTACGCCGTCCGGTCTGGTGGTGTGCGCTCCGGGTTCACGCATGTTGAGCCCGAAGAGCGTAAGGAGGTTCTTACCCTCTTGCGTATCTTCAAACACCCCGGTATTGCGCGTCTTGACTCGCTTATCGTGCATGAGGTCGAGCCTACGTGGAAGAGTCTCGATGAGGGTGATGTCTTTGTTTTGGATAAGGGGAATAAGATCTGGGTTTGGCAGGGGAAGAAGTGTAGCCCGATGGAGAAGGCCAAGGCCGCGCAGGTGGTGAATGACATGACGCTGGCGAAACATGTTGATGTTGAGGTTCTGTCGCAGCTTGAATCCAGGTCTAAGATCTTCGTTGACTTGCTCGGTGGGAGGGATGTCGCTCCTTCTACCTTGGAGGCGCCGAGACCTGGGCGGTTTGCGAAGAGGGGTCCTGATGAGGGTGCTCGCTCACGCAAGCTTTTCAGACTCAGTGATGCGTCTGGAAACTTGTCGTTCGATCTTGTCAAAGATGGGGACCGATTCGATCGGTCTGATTTGGATGGTAACGACGTTTTCCTTTATGATACTGGCAACAGAATCTGGGTTTGGCAGGGGTCTGGAGCAAGTGCGGGTGAGAAGGCGATGTGGCTCAAGGTTGCCCAATTCTATGTTCGGAAGATCCAGGAGAGCCAGGAATCTTCTGAGGCGTATCTCACGCCGATTTCGAAGGTTGCGCAGGGCCATGAGAGCCCAGCATTCTTGAAGGCTTTGGCGGTCTAAAGTTGTACATGTATCATTACTGCGATATATAAATGAAATAATTGACACATAATCTACAAGTAATCGTTTTTCCACCGAAAAACAATCTAATATCTATTTTCATTCCCTTAGATCAGACCGGTATCATTGTTTCCCATATCCAAAGCATCAGCCTGCTTCCGCAGCACGTCAGCCCGGAATCTCCTAAACGCAGTCTCAATTCTCTTCTTGCTCTCGGGATCCGCGGAGATACTCCTCGTCCCTTTCGCCACACCACCAGCAAAGCCTACACAACGCAATGTTAGCACAATGCCCCCAACACGCAATCACAACACCAAATATAATCTTACCAAGCTCTCCACCCAAGAACAATCCACCGGCCGTCGCAAAGAAATAAGTCGCGATGTCACCCAAAGTAGTCGGTTTTAACAGCGGCGTGAGGTCAGGAATGGACTCTAAACACACAATTAACCACACCATTCTTTTCTCTCCCTTTTTCAAGAATCTCCAAAATTGCAAAGAAATAACATACCAGTCCTCCCATCCTCAAAAATAACCTTTGTCGGCCTCTCCTGCGCCCGAATAGCAGAGAAGAACGCCTTCCGCGTACTGCGCAGTCGGATGGCGGCTAGAAGACCAAGACTGACTCCAACCGCAGAGCCAACTGTTGTCCACAGGGAGATTGAAGATGCCGCTGCTTTCAGCTTGTCGCGGTCTCCCGATTGAAGGTCGTGTTGCATGTGCTCGTCGGCGAGCTTGGCTAGCTCGTCGGAGCGGCGTCGGCGGAGGATGGCGAAGGATTCGGACATCTTGGATTAGGACGAGGAATAGAAGAAGAGGTGATTTTGGGGGTCTGTAAACAGGAGACTTTGAAGAAATACAAGGGGTATAGCAGCTTGAAATAATCAAGGTCTCGGAGCTTCCAAGTAGATCAGGTGATGACGTCATGGTTTCCCAGGTCGGAAACCAGCTTGGAAGTTCAACTGGGCAGTTCAACTTGTCAAGAGAAAGAAGAGAAGATGATTGAATTCCCTTCTTCACCTCAGTCGCCCTTGTGTTTATCGGGGTTAACCCACACGTGGAGCCCTCAGGGTTTACCCAAAGGTTGCTGTCACTCATCAGTCGCATCACCAGTCAAGTCAGAATATCTACAAGTGACCTCCCATAACCCACCGTTCCGACCCATTTGTCTGACCCAAAATACGAGCTACGCAAAAGGTTCTCCTGCGATCAATGCGCCTAGGCATTTATAGAAAGAACAGATATCCACCTTACCCAGCTGACGTCAGATTCGGCCACGACCTTCAATATATCTAGAAGGTCGAGTCCTCCAACCCTATAAACAACCCACGATACCAAAGCTCCCAAGCAGATCCATTCTCTCAGGAAACCAGAAACCAAAACCACCCAAGATGGTCCGCTTCCTCACCGACAACCGCATAGCCCCAACGCCAACCTCCAACACCCAGCACAAACAAGAGCTCCTCGTAATCGGCGCCGGCCTTCCGCGCACAGCAACATCCTCCCTCCAAGCCGCACTAGAAGAACTAAACATAACACCATGTCTCCACATGGCACAAATAATCCCCCATACCTCACGCCAAGAACTCCTCATCGCAGCCACACACTCCACCGACACCGCAACACGACAAAAACAGCTCAACGCCCTAGTCTCCGGCTACGCCGCAGTCTGCGATATGCCCGCTGTATTCTTCCTCGCTGATCTGATGGACATGTACCCGAGGCACGGGTGATCCTAACCACGCGACCCAGCGCGGAGACGTGGGCGGAGAGTTGTCGCGAGAGCCTGGGGTTCTTTTTTAGCGGTTCTTTTGGCGTTCTTGGGTTCCTTTGGGGAACGGAGAGGTTGTGGTTTAGGCTTAACATGAGGATTCTCGAGTGGGCTAAGGAGAAGGTTGGGGAGGGGGATATCTTTTCTGCGGAGTTTTATGAGAGATATAATGAGCTTGTTAGGGGTGTTGCTAGGGAGCGTGGGCGGGAGGTTCTGGAGTTCAAGGCTGAGGATGGGTGGGGGCCGCTTTGTGCTTTTCTTGGGAGGGATGTTCCTGTTGGCCCTTTTCCGAGGGTCAATGAGAGGAAGACTTTTGTTTTTATTAAACGGGTTTTGGTTGTGAAGGGGGTTGTTAGTTGGATGGCGCTTGGGGGTTTGGTTTGGTTGGTGTGGAGGTATTGCATGGCTTTATTTGTATACTTGCCGCTTTTTGCTCACTGAGTACAACTGAGCACGCCCCTGAGTCTGATCCGCTCACTGAGCATTACCAGGTGGGCAGATCTGAGTGCTCTGCAAGGATTCAGGCTGTTTATCGCACTTCTACGCATTTACAAGTGATGGGCATGCATGTTGCATGCTGGGTGCATACGTAGATACCTGTTCCACTGGATCTTAATCGTCTTTTAATATATTGTGTCTAAATGCCCGGAAGGAAGTCTGACATACACCGGGATGGAGACATGCAGTAGGCCCGTTTCAGCCACTTCGCGGTCTCTGCAAGGTGCTATTCTTGGCCTTTAGACTAGCGCGTTGCATAGGATCCGCTCTCAATGTCGTCCAGAATAGCGAGACCCCGTGGCTCCCAACCAAGCTTTTCTTTTGCTTTCTGGCCCGACGCCCGGTTCTCCGCACTGAGAAAGCTTGCTACAAAATTTCCCATGCGGTTGGTGACTTCATCAAAGGAGAGCGACTTCAGTGGAAGATTGGCTGTGCGAGCAATGGCTGTAGCTAGTTCCCGGGCCGTCACTGTGGTACAGGAAACCGCGTTGAACACGTCCCCTGGTTGAGCCTTGTCCGCCGCCAGGAAATATAACTGGGCGGCGTCATCTACATGCACCACGGAAGTAGGTGCTGCTCCCCCGTCGATGTAGAATACCTCACCCATGCCTGTGAACATGGTCATGAAAAGCCGAATCCCACTGCCGCCACGACCGTAGACCCATGGCGCCAGCCTAATAGCGCTGACATTGATACCCTGGTCCCGCAGTTCTAGCGCATGTTGCTCAGATCGAATGCGATCATTCATTGGCTGCTCTGAAAGAGCCGAGTTCTCATCGGTTTCGAGGCCGTCGGGATGTGCCCCAACGACGAGAGTGCCTGACGTGACCACCAGTGGCTTGGAAGTGCCCTTTAGGCCTGCCCCGATGGCATCCACAGCACCTCCGTCGATGCGCACAACTTCAGCATAATCCATCTTGCCGAAATTACCGGCCCATGCGTCTGCGAGATGGAATACGACGTCAGCCTGGGCACTTTGCTCCTGCAGAACGGAGTGAGATTCCAGGCCGCCGCGTACTGGAGTAGCGCCCAGGGTTCGAATCTTTTCGTCACTTGCTTCAGTTCGTGATAGGGCGGTAACATGATTGCCTTGCTGGATGGCTTGCTCCACAACCACGCCGCCGATGTAGCCGGAGGCACCAGTCATGAAGATTCGTTTTCCGATCATGTTGTTCGAGCTCTGCCGTCCTCGGTGTAATATGATATCGCTTTCGAAGCCTTGTGGGATTGAATAGGATATCCCGACAGGAACAATGATGCCCTGTTAATAAAGGAAGGATGTGATGATCAGGAACAGGGGTGTTTCATTCCGTCTGGAGTTAAGAAGCTAACCGACGAGGTCCAACGTAAAGTCCGTGTTAAAGTCCGTGTTAAAGTCCGTGGCAAAGTCCGTCCATGTTTATCTCTGCACGAGATAGGAATACTCCGAATAGCAACAGCTGCTCGGAGAGTTCGGGTGATTGTGTTCATTCGGCTACAGGTACTTGACCGAAATGCATAGAAGCTATACCACTGCGTGTCTTCCCGCAACTTAACGTTTAGCCCCAATTTAGAGTAACGGGAGTGTGGTTCTTGAAGTCGCCGGTCCTGTCAATTCTCACGCAAAGGGTCGCCTTCGTAAACGGCGCTTTAGTACCAAATGTGGTGCCTTTCCAACTCATTGGTCAAATCTTTTAGAGGGAAACCGTGTTGAGCGAAATTGTTGTCGATTTTCCTTTTTCACATAATGTGATGCATGACATGACTTTGGCAACTGTTGTAAATGGTGGAACGGAGTTTATAACAGCTGAATATGTTACAAGTGCAACTATATATGGACCAGCGGTTATTGAGGTAGCATAGCGCTGGTAAGCATGCATTGAAAAGAGAATAGTAGATGCTGAACATTTCACGCCAGCTCAAACTTTGCGGAATCAGTTTCAATCGAACGTTAGATCGAATATCTTTCATATATTACACGCTCAAGCCTTTGTATTCGATCACCTAGAAACAAGGAAGCGCAGTACTTATCTTTTATCGACGAGCCCATTATCCGGCCAATTTCCAGCTTCTCAAGAAGTTCTAATCTTATCCACTTACTGGGCCTTATTATATTCCAAAGCCCGAGTAGCTTCTGTTATAATCGTGTGATTGAATGAATGGGTTTGGAATGAATGATGATTTAGTGAATTTTAGATTGTTTTTGACTATTTTTCACGCTTTATTTAAGGCTTTGTGGTATCATACATAAGAGAAACCAATGCACACTAGATAAGGTTAGTCTTGCCCAAGACATCACGGAAAGAATGGGCAACGTACTCATAATTATCTGGGATGCAACAGCCCACAGATGCCATGGCCGGGGTCGGGGCGAGTCGTTAGTACTTTTTATTGTGGGCTGAGACGGGGCCGTGTATGCAGGCAGACTCGGATCAGCGGTGCTATCATCTCAGGTCCTTTTCACGGGCCTTGCTGATAGTGGCATTATTGGTGGAAGTGGTCTTTGGCGCTTTGAGAAAGCCTTCTTTCTCCGCTTGTTGAATGGCCGCCCACCACACCGATGCCATTTTCTCATAGCCAGCGGCTGTCGGGTGGACCTTATCCACGAGTTGCTTCCACTGGATGAAGCTGCTCATATCAGCTACGACGAGGCTTTCACCTTGTGCTCGACGTTTCGCTGCGAGTTCTAGGTATTGCTTGTTGATCTCTGTGCTCAGCAGAGGCTCCTCTCCGTTGAATGTGAGGGTTGATAGGATGATGGTTGTGTTGGGGATGTTGTCGAAGAGGTATGTTAGGAGGGAGTCCATCCGCTTGCCAGCAGTGGCTACTTTGTATTTTTGTAGAGCATCATTTGTACCAGCGCTGCGGGGAATATGTTAGCGTGCGAAGAGATGCTGCGCCGATTGGAGACCCACTTGATAAGGATTACGTTAGGTTGTTGTGGAATGATCTCCTTGGCATGAGAGGCTATTTGATCAATTCTCCAGCCGATGTGTCCATCGTGGTCCTGGGAAGAGTCAAAATATGTCCTTCAAAAATGGGATGGAGCAAGAATCGAGTAACTCACATTATCATGCATGGTACCACTTTTCGTGGTGCCAACCATGTCAACATCCCAGCCAGCATAGCGCAATTGCTGTCGAAGCCATTTCCGATATCCATTCCCATCTGCTGATTTGTACCCCATGGTAATTGAGGCACCGAGCGGTAGAACCCGAAGCGGAAACGGCTTTGTGTCACGCGACTGAAGCGCAGAGACATCGTCTGAAGACAGCAGATTATCATGAGAAATGGCAGTAGGTGATGCCAAAACCAATGTCAGCCATATTAGACAAGCCTGGACAACCCAGAGAATGGGCGTCGACTGTCTCATGGTGACTGGTGGCTGGTGACTGTGTAGAGGGAGTGTTGTGGGAATATCAAACCGGGAATCACCATTTTCTTATATTTACCGTCTGAACGAATTTTAACGTCAGATCCGGGCGATCAGATGTGCTTTCTCAGCCTCTTGATTTGCCAGTAGACTTTGTGTGAGCTAATTCAGATCCACTGGGGGGGCTGGGTACGGAGTACGCTCAGGGGCGATCTCACTATCTAAGCCTCCCTCTGATAAGCCAAACCTGTTGTTATGCCCGTGGTCCCTGAGACGAGTCAGACTTCTTTCTTTGATATTTTCTCCCCCAGTTACTAGTGCTGACTTGGAGTTTTATTAACTGATCAGGATTGGGCAGATTGGATGTTTCAGTGGAGGCTGGTCTCACATCAACACTATTCCCGTTTAGGTATAGTCTGGGAAAAACATCCTGAGTGTTTCTCCGATTCCACGTTGCGACTCGCATAATTTCCATTCGCACATTCTCTTATCTACCTAGGTAGCCTGGTTTAGCCTTACCAACATGGCTATACGGTGTACTTGCATTGCATGTCCAAAAGCCAGGACTTATCTCGGGCTCGTATAGGCCTGTCGCGAATCAACACCGAGAGCTCATTCAGGTTACTCTGGGCGCCCGCGGAAATGGTACATGATACACCGGGGCGTCGAGTCATGACACACATTGATCCAAGCGAAGTCCAGATATAGCGCATCTTCCGGTGACTCCGGACGTTCTGTCGGGTACGGAGTAGTATTGCTGCACGTATTCTTTTACCGTGAGGCTATGCAACTCATGTCTCGTATCGTGGTGGACAAGATGCGCCCCTTCGCTTAGGGGAAAAGAAGGGCTTGTCCTAATAACCTTCGCTTCCAGAAGAGGCACGGAGGCTCTTACAAAGGAAGTGGGGGCTAATTTCTCGGTTTGAGTCAAGCGAATCATACAAACTATCCGTGAAACACTACCTAAAGCATCCCTGGCTAGTGATTTTGCTGGATTCTTTAGAAGTGGATGCTTCGATCAGATGATCCGTTATGCGAGTACAGAGTTACAAGCTTGACCAATATGAAGTCAGAGATCCCGTGCTCCTTTTGCTATGTCGAGGTTACATTCGATTCATACAGCGAGGTACTCGATCCTGCAGTAATCTGGAGGTAATAGACACCGCCACGGCTATCTTTAGAATAGATATAGTAATCGCGGATCTAACAGAGAAAAACCGTCGAAAGGAAACAGTGAGTTTATCTCACAGCTTCTAGTTACCCTGCGTGAGAAACATATCCATCCCTATTGGTGCGCCACGATGCATTATACCGCTCTATAAAAAAAGAAGTCGAATCATATGGCCCGGGCCGTAGCGGCATCTTTCGAAACTTTCCGAAATTTTTGTGCGTTGAGGCTCTTACAATTATGTGATGGCAACGCTATGGACCAATGCGGTCGATCGCGCATTTTCCGTCGGACCCCGTGAGCTAGTGTGGCTTGGTCTTGTTTGGAAAGGCACTTTTGGTTCCTCGACAATGTTTGGGTAGGCTCTCATTGGGTCAAATACGTCCAGATGTTTCCCGGAAGACGGCGCAATCCATAACTAATATTGAAAGGACTCTGAGGCGACTACGGAGTAAGGAGTACAAACAATGTCGCTTGGTAAAGAATTTATGCCCCATAAGAACTAGACTTGTAGCACAAATTTCGCTGGAGGGTGGCTGTGCTCAGACAGAACCAACCTATCCCGCAGTGGGTTCCAGACTAAGCGCAACGAATCGTCACACTTTCACTTTGACAGAAGTTGTGTTGTTCCATCCTAAAGTCTTCTATGGGCGCTTTATCAAGAAGAATTTAAGAAATAGGTCTCTTCGAGCGATGGGCCCCAGGCGGAACGGACCGTGACAGTCTAAAGGAGCCATGTGGCCCCACGCACGGGGTAACAGTACACTTCGAAGAACTACCCCACGGTATGGCCCTAATATACATACATTAGTATCAACTTCTGTCCGCAGTGGCTCCCATCTACGTTATCTGAAAGTACCTTGGCAGCCAATTTTTATAGGGTTCTCCAAAGTCCCCGTTATGTAGGAAATGACACAGTCACCTCTCTTGGACCCGGCCATATAATCCAGGACCACTTTCCTGATAAGAATTCTGCCATTGGCCGGACAGCGCATTTGCGCGTACTGAAGGTCCAAGCTCGTATATTGAGCTTGTATTGCCACAAGTCAACAGCGGTCAGAGACTGACCGCACCCGAAACAGGCGATTCTTGGTAAAAGCCCGGGTGAAAAGAAAATTACCTGATTAGGGAATTCTTGGCATGTGTGCTGTCAGAGTTTTGGTGTACGTTGTGTACGTCACTTTACCAGATGGTAGTATTTAAATCTTGGGTGTGCTCCGTGTAGAGAAGATGGTTATTCTATAGAAAAAATTTATCATTCCAAAGTTCAGACGTTTTACGTTCGCGGACGCCTCAACTATCTGACTAGCGTTGGAGTCAAGTTTTTGCACTTGTCACTTTTATCTATTGCGAAGGTTCACAATGTCTTTCGGTGGTACCGGTGGCCGCGATTGCCGCACTGGTTTTGTGACCTGCTTGGAGTGTAATAAGCACGAGGTTACAGGGTTTGAGTTGCTTTGTGGCAGTCAAGAATCCGACACACCTGGCCGTGATGCTTGGAAATGTCCGGCTTGTTCCAATTTGTCTTACACCGATAGCATGTTGAAGAACATGCGTTTTGTGGAGATTGCTGCCAATGGTGGCCCCCGTGGTGATGACACGGATGATGGCGAAGAGCCCTCCACAGATGGTTTGCGTGAAGATGAAGTGGAGTTGGAGGTTCCAAAGCAAGGAATTTCGAGAGTGGCGTTGGATACCCCAAAGTCTGGCGGTTCAAATAGCTCTGCTCTAGAGAACCCCGTCGTTTTTGAAGGGAGACGTGTCAACGCCATCCTCAATGACTTGGTAGAGTGTGAGGACCAAGTCAGTGCCATACGGCACCGCTTGGTGAGGCTGATCCGTGATGTGCAGGATTTCTATTTCGAAAATAGTAAGTTTCTTGACACCTGGCCAACTCCATAATTAACGTTACCTAGACGGCGGGGACGATGAAGGGATGTCCCTTCTAGCGAGGAAAGCCATGCAAAAGATCCATGGCCGATTTATCCTCAATCGCGAAGCACACTATCTCTTGGAACGGGAAATGGAGTTCCAGAGAATGTTGGAAATGTATCGTAAAGAAGGTGCACACGATGTCGCGATTGTCAATTCCGTGCCGAAGTAACTACAAATTTTAGCCGAATACAACCCCACTATAGCAGTACAGTACATGCTGCCTGTAAACATCATTATAGGCACTTGCCTAGGACATACGGACAATTTCCTAACGTAAATTAACCAAGTACTCATTAGAAATTACTATCAGAGAAAATAATCGAAGTAAAGGGATGGCACCGGTTTCAAGGACACACTATATAGAAATGTGATCTACAAGAAATACTCATACAATTGCCAAACAAGCTAATAATCTCAGGCCAAGCCATACTAATCATGACACATATAAGATCTATGTGCAGTATAGCTCAATCCATAGAAATACAACAACGCCATGAAATGTCGGTAGAGCCAGCTATACCGTACAGTAAAACAGATATTAAGTCCATTGCGCACAATTGAGAGTTTATTTAGTGGTCAGGTCAAGACGTGCTTTGATTTAATCATAGCAGTCATTCGTTTAAAAAGCGACGAGCAGTCCCAATTCGAATCCCGCGCTAGCCAAAGAAGCCGGAGTCTCCTCGAGGATCATCCCAAGATCTGGGCGATTATCTAGAATCACCTGGCAAATAGTACCGAAATTAGCTACGTACGCCTCCATAGTGGTGCGAGGCCCTAGCCGTTTATAGTATTCTCTCACAGCTAATTCATGAGGTCCGGTAATCATCAGCCGCTCCTTCGATAAAGGATTTGGTAGAGACGAAGTAATCACGGGCGTACCATTTTGTGCTAGTAAAACATTGCTAGGGTGCAAAATAGTGATGGTACTGGACGGTGGACGGTGAAGCGCCGGCTCGCCCTCCAAAGTTACGGGTGGAAAGACGGCCGTTTCTGGCGCCAAAAGTGGTCATTTTCGGCGTCATTTTCACAAGTCCTCATGTTCTAGTTGTAATTCTAGGTTTATGTAGGAGGTATTCTAGCTGTAAGGTAGCCATACTAGTGATGAGATGGGTGATGAAAAATGCGGATAAAACTTTTTTAAAAAAAAAAATTTGGCAGGTTATAATATATACGTGAACCAGAACCGGAATATCAATTCAATATACGGTCAATAACTGACTCGGCCATATCATAATCATTTAGCTTTGAAGTTCTTCTGTGCTGCCGTAACTTGGTAAATCATGACGAGGTCAAGCCGAGCTCATACAAATAAACTTTCCGGACAGTCAACCCCAGATATATCCATTGATGTCATCGCCCAAATACCATAAATTCAACCTCAGATTAGCATTCGGAGTCAACGTCCTAGCATGAAAAATATATAACTCACAATGATTACCTGGCGTTCGATCGCCCGCACCTTCCAACGTGTTCGTACAGTCTAGAGGTGTGATATAGAACGATATATTAACCATCGTGCAGCACCATGCGCCTCTCAGAGCCCAAGTACGGCAGCTGAGTCTGCTTGAGCATCACTCACACAATCTACTCAAAGAAGTAAGAACTCCCTTCACACAACCCAACAGCAATGCTTATACAACCCAGTTCAAAATACCAGTTCCACCGGGATTCGTAGTCACAACCCCAGAGAAAGCCAAGGAGGTTGTGTCCGTGCTAAGTAAGTCCACACCATCCACTTCACATCCCCGTACAGAAAACCAACATGCCACAGATGGACCATCAATGATAAAAGCCCAAGTCCTCGCAGGCGGCCGCGGTAAAGGCAAATTCAACAGCGACGGCGAAAGCGGCGTCCGACTAGTCGAGTCGTGAGTTCCCCTCAAATCAACATCCCAACGTTGGATACATCACCGGACCCAATCTAACACACCCAGACCAAACGAAGCATTCAGGAACGCCACCAACATGCTCGGGTACTACCTAACAACAGCACAAACTCCACAAGATGGACTCCGCGTCGACAAACTCTACATCTACAAGGCCGTCTCCATCGCACAGGAATTCTATTTCGCAATGACATTCGACAGACAGCGTGCCGCACCTGTGCTACTGATCTCGTCGGCGGGAGGAACGAACATCGAAGCGAATATGGACAACCTCCACAAACTCTACTTCGGTCTCTCGACCGGTATCACCGATGAGATCGACGCGTATATCCAAGCAGAGCTGGGATTCTCGGATACTGAGATGAAGGATATACACCGGATCCTGGTGCAGATGCTTAAGTTGTTTAAGGAAAAGGATGCGACGTTGCTTGAGTTGAATCCGCTAGTGCGCTCGGATGAGGGGGAGTTTATTTGTCTGGATGCGAAGTTTGGATTTGATGATTCGGCGAGGTATAGACAGAAGGAGCTTTTTGGGTTGGAGGAACGATCACCTGAACAGGAGGAGGAGCATCAGTTGGCGGAACTGGGGCTTAATTATGTTCGGCTTGAGGGGAATATTGGGAATATTGTTAATGGGGCTGGGTTGGCCATGGCAACTAATGATCTTATTAGTTTGCATGGCGGAAAATGTGCTAACTTTTTGGATGTTGGGGGGAGCACAACGAAGGAGGCTTTGTCGAGGGCTTTTAGGATTCTGAAGAACGATCAGAGGATTAAGAGCATCTTGATTAATATTTACGGTGGTGAGTATACATTTAAACAATGTGGAATTGAAATAGCTGATCGGTGATAGGTATTGTGCGATGCGATATGATTGCCGAGGCCATAGTTGCCGCTGCTGCTGAGATGGGTGGTTTCAAATGCCCGGTTGTGGTTCGCTTGCAGGGTACTAATTCCGAAAAGGGATTGAAGCTGGTCAGTACGCCCGTTCACCTGTTCATTTGATATAGCGTGGCTAATTGCAATTCTAGATCGAACAATCCGAGTTGGATAACTTGGTTGTAGAACCTGAGTTTGAGAAAGCTGCCCAGAGGGTCGTGAAGGAAACGCCCAGGGTTGAATAATAAATTGACACAGAAATCGCAAGTCAGTGGTGCGTCTTTACCATATACGTAAAAAAGACATGTCATAGCCTGTGGTGGACATACCCAACAGGACTCGCTATTGCAAAAGGCCACACCATAATCGCAGAAATACAAGTTGTCCGATCAAGACAGCATGGCTAATTTAAACATCAGGCTCGGTCTTGATTGCCAAATTAGCCATTTCCTCCTCCACCGTAGGCTTCCTAGCCCAGACTCGACGACTAAACACGATCAGCAAACCACAACCTCTCAGTACTACTCATACTCATATCAAACTTACCAAAGTTCATAAGCATGTGTGCGAGGATTCCTCAGCTCAGCCCGAACATTTGACAAATACAGCTGAACCTCCTCCTTACTCCAAGGAGAGGGCGCACCAAACTTGGTGAGCAGCCACATAGCCCAACCCTCCAACGCAGCAAGCCAGTGAGCGTATTGAAGCTGCCCAACCTCCTTAAGGACCTTATCTTTTGGCCACGGCCCCAGAGGAATCTTGTATAGCTTTTCTTGCACGTCGACAAAACCAGCCTTCTCCATCGCGCCTCGCATCGTCTCTTGTGTTAGGAGGGAGCGGCCGGCTCGCTCGGAGCAGCCGATGAAATTATCTCCCCATGTGGCTAGAGTGCTGTCTTCTTTTAGGCTGCCGTCGTCGCTGTATACCCGCACGTCTAGTTCGACCTGTTCGATCCAGCCGCCTGGGGTAAGAGCGCTGGATGGTGTGGTGGTTAGATACTGTTGTTCGTTGTAAGTGTGGATATGGGACTCACTCGTAGCACTGCTTGTATAGTTGATCCCATCCCTCGGGTGTGAATGATCCCAGCATTAGACGCATGTGGATGAAGTCGAATGGTTCTCTCCAGGTCCACTCGCGGAGGATATCGTCCACTTCAAATAGGCAGTTGGGTGGCATCCATGTCACGGGTGGGGGGGAAGATGTCGACGCCACGGACAGTTGCTGAAGTTGTTAGAGTGAGATAATAGGGACAAGGATAATTTGGGTTTTGTACCAGACGAATACATATCCGCCATATCACTGGGTCAATGTAAGCAAGATTCCACTGGAGGAAATGGGTGAGGACTCACATAGCCCATGTCCCTTTGCCAGTCCCAATGTCCAGAATATGCTGGAGTTCAGACTTAGCACGAGTTAAGTATCCAAACTTTAGATCGCTGTCTCACCTGGGGAGATTTGCCTATGGGAGCGTGGTGCAGAGGGTTTTCTCTCTCATGGTCTAACACCATAAACATCATATGACTGAATATCACCGATAAGCTGTTTTGGACAGGCCAAATTAAGAAAAGCATGAGTATTTACCCAATCTCAAAAGCCTCGAATTGCTGTTCATCGGAAGGACTCCTGTATAACATGATTAGCCTCGAGTCTCCCAAATTTAAGCGTCGCGACCGACCAATAGTCATCTTCCTTCATAGCCTGGTACCTGCCCATACTATTAGCAAGGGCGGATGTCTTCACTGCTTCAGATAGTTCAATTACCGTCTGCCATTTTCCAGCCGACCCTTCGCGATTGACGAGGAGATAGAAGTAGTTTCCCTGATATGGTTAACAGACAAAACGCCATGGGAAATCATGCAACTCACGACTGAAAGTCTTCAGGTTCCCAGTCCTGGGTCAGAGTGTAGTAGTTGGCATCCTGGAAGTGTGAGATATAATATCAGCAATTGTAAAACTTGATAACTCACAACAACAATTTTTTCCGCCATGATTTCGGTTGGACTAAAAGAGAGAAAAACGTGGCAAGTGGGAATAACAATGGGATTGTCGGGCGCATCCGGCCAATCTAAATGAAACTTATATTCAAACGGCTCAACGGCGTACTTTTGTTAGCGTCAGGGATATTAATGTACATAATATATATCATAGTGGATCTCCTTCCAAATTGGGAAGGGTATGGGCCAAGTGCCAAGTCAAGGGGGATCATCACCCTTGGCAGGTTGCGATAAACAAATGTCACATCTCCTCAACCAATGTTGCATCGCTGATTTTCATAATTCCATTGAAAAGCAACCAAGATCCCATACAAATGAATCGTCGCACCAATCACCACTGAGATGTGGAATATCTGGTGAGATGACCCCCAAATGTCAAAGCTTCCGGGTCTCCACGACTCGGGGGAATGTGTCTGCCTCCAATCAGCATGATCCTGCACCCTCTCGTTTTAGGAAATTGACGCACCGCATAAAATAAAACTCCGATCACGATGACAAGTCCTTCAAGATAGTAATATCGCAATCCGGCTTGTTGATCCAGCTGCTGATAAGGGAAGATGCTAGCAGCGTGGATGATAGGAGCAAATGCCGAAAGTCCCGTTGCCACGAATGTTGATAACCGCAATAATCTCCACCTTTGGCTTTGAAGGCGGGGATGCACCACGACAAATCCGGTCAAGAAGCCCAAAGTGCCAATCTAATAACGTTAGTTCGATGAGGCGACGCAAGGGGGAAGATGACAAACCATGGACCAATAAAGCTTTTGTAGGTGTGGTTCACAATAGAATCCAATGTATATCCCCGAGACGAACGAACCAAGGATCTGGAATACAATAGCAACGTAGTCCAAGCGAACCCATACATCTGCGACATGGACCGAATGGCAAAGAAAGGTATGATATGCAGATGAGATACCGAAACAAAGGACCGAGGTTGTCAAGTAGATATGAAAAACGAGCCGATCGGTCCAGGTAGCGTTCGGAAAGGAAGTCAAGAAATAACCATAGAGAAGCCCGTTGCCCAGGAAAGCTATGGTGGCCGGGACGAGGTGGGAGAAGACATTCACCGTTTCGTTGTGAAGGTAGAGTAGGCTGCTAAGACATCGAGGAATCGATGGCGTCACGGGCCTATAACCTGATCGGATATATGGGTTCTGAGCATACCACGAGGGAACTTCGTCGCGGTTCAGCAGGCGTGGCCCTGAGGGACTTAGTTCCTTGAGGGGTGGGCTGTCACTGCGGTCCGTGCCGCTGGGCGCCCGCTCGGCAGGCGACAACCGTTTGACCGGTGCCATTTCTGAGCATTCGCTTTTACTTTGATGATATCCTGGGGAAATGGAAATTCGCAGGTATAAGACACGATTCTTTTGTGTGATGGTAGAGATCTCTAACCGCTGAACTGGGAAACAACAAGGGCGTTTATACTACACACTAGTCCATATAAAGTCTAGCGCATCACAACACAAGGTGGATGTATGAGATGCAGGTTATGCAGATCACAATATAGTATACATATACAAAACCTTAACAAGACAGATCATCTAATGGGTACTCGAGCGACTACCCTGCCATCTAGCCGAATGTTCATCCTCATCATCAATAACAATAACCATCCACACACCAATTTGACCATTATTCGCCAGCAAAGGCGTACAATGGATCCAGCGATAACGGCCCTGGTTGTTAAACCTGGTCATCCACTTAATACGGGCTGTGACGCTCCGCCCGGCCATCATGGCGTTGACGATATTATCGCGTTTCGCGCCTGTTTCGCCAATGCGGTTTAGGAATGAGGATTGGAGCATGCCTGGGATTCGGAGGGAGGGGGATGTGAAGAGGATGCGGAGGGGGGGGTACGGGCGGACGAGGAGGTACTTTCGGGATTTATGTTACTCTTCTGATACGTAATGGAGTATGGGAAGTTAAACATACTCTTTTGTAGACACCGCTCAAGGATAGACTGGGAGCCGGGCCTGGAGTGGGGTTCTGTGGCCCCCGGGACGGGATGTGGACCTCGCTCTCGGTGTCGGAGTCTTGGAGGAATAGACGGTGGTTGGGATATTTGTTGACGATCGGCTCGAAAAGGGTTCCGCCGTGCTCGCGCACGTTCTGCAGCTCCTGTGGACTGAGGAGTTCGCTAAGTTGTTGGAACTCGCTCTTTGATTCTTTGATTGCTTGGCCCGTCTCTGGATTTCCTTTCTGCATTGGGATATTTTGGAGGGATTCCATATGTGCACCTTCCATTACGAGTCGAGAGACGTCGATCTGGGCGCCGATGAAATAGCGGAGCTTGCCGCGGTTGTCGCATAGCGGATATATTTCAAGGAGGTTCATGAACGGTGAGCCATCGCGGCGGCTGTTTTCCAAGATTAGTTCTGTAATGAAACGAGTTGGGGGCACCTACTAGTTCAGTAAAAGCTCAGAGTGGTATGTCCCGGCTTTGAGGGCTTCCCGAATTCGTCGAACGCTGTTGGGATTCGTTTTCGGACCTTGCAAGAACCGACAGTTTCGTCCTAGGACGTAGTCCATACCATACTGTGTATTGCGGTGGAATTCTAAATGGTGGGTTAGCCAAGCTTGGATCAACAGGTCGAAACAACTGAGACATACCCTCGGAAGCAAAGATAATAGGATTATCTGGCCGCGACGGATCGGTCAGACAGAATACCTCAGCTAGCGCCTCTGCCGTTCCCTGGAACTTATCGGGCAAGGTTCCGCGTACACGCTCCTCGACTAACTTGCCGGCAATGTTGATATAGGTCGAGGTGATGAAAGCAGGTAGTTCCTCAGCAGTCAAAGCGTCCAGCGCTGCCTGCACGCGTTGTTCAAGGGCCGTATTTACAGTCGGGCCAACGGGGTGCTCTGCTGTTTCAATACCGGATGTAGGAACATCAACAGACGAACGCACGAGTGCATTGGCATATTGAATTGCTTTGAGGGATTTGGAAGCGTTTAGGTAGTAGGTCAGTGTTGGCAATGACCCCGGACGTTCCTGGGCGATAAACTCGCGGAAGCGCGCAAAGTAGCGCGGATTGCTCAGAATCGCTAGCATATGCTCTGAGGAGAACATGAGGTCCGCTTGTTGTTCCAGGGTACGCGAGACTCGGTCGCCATCATAGGGAGGGACCAGATCAAAAGATTCTTCCTCATGTTCTTCAATAATAGGATTGAATTGCTCAGAGCCCTCGTCAGTATTCGTCTGCCCAAGAACCGGCAGGTCGTTGGTAAGGATGTTGCGTTGTAACGACCTGTTGGATGCAGACCAGTGGACATCTCTGGGTGAAGTAGGTGATCTGCATAATTAGCGAGGATTTTGGTGATCGGGACTCTTCAGTCTTACGGGAGATAGCCTCCAGGTAGTGCATCTGTAGAGTAGTAGCCTAGTGGCTGGGTTCCAATAGACTGTTGGTCTAGAGATATGGTGCTGAGAGATCGCTGGTCAAAGCTTTGATAGCCTGTTGAGGTTGAGGACTGCCTTCTGTGCCGTGGCAGTGGCTGGCCGGTGGTGTGGTAGCCCAGATCTAGAGTAGCAACTGAGTCTGTGACTGACTCTTGGTCGATGGAAGGCTTGCGACCAAACTTCTCGCCATTATAGATGCTATTAGGGATGCCATTGGTACTGAGTCTGGACATTGACCGCCCTTGCGGCCGCATAGGTGGTCTTCCAATAGCCGGTTGGCCAAACGCAAGTGGTTCATATGCTTGCCCTGGGGAATGCGAGCGTGAGTGATGATGGGCTGAGGCTTTGAATTGCGCGACAAAGTCATCCGGATCAACAATATTGGGCGTAGAAGACATGGCGAAATGTCTCTTGTGAGCACGATTATCTGGAATTGATGGTGGTTCCATGTTGGCTTCACGCTATTTCGGGTCTTTTAAAGAAGGCAGTGAGATCATTTCATGATTAGATACCCCTCGATGCCAGGTGGTTTTTTTCCTCGACACTCGTCCATGGTTCTGGTGAAACGAGGGGACAAATGCCATGCCTCAATCCATAGCAATCGGGAAATGATCGGCGACTTTACAATTTCCAAGTTCAACCTGATTGGTCGATCTGAAGGTCCCTTCCAAGGTTGGCTCTGTAAGATCGCAGTTTCAAAAGAGCTCAATGATGTGACAACCCCTGGATTGGAGATTTGAATCCAATTCTAAAGGAGATCTACACATCCGTCCATGGATGATGTATCTTTCGAGGGGCTCCAAGGTTGTTCCTTTTTTGTGTCGTTGGGGATGCTTTGGAGAATTATGGGGCTGAGTTTGGTCTCACCAATCAGCGCTTGTGAATTGGTTTCTTGTCTTCAAGGAACCCGAACCGGAGATCACGGGGAACTATAATTTCCTGAGGAAACTGGGACTGTCTTATCGTCGATGATATTTTTGATGCTCTCTACAGGGCAAATAGCCTAAGCGAAAACCTATGGATTCATTGTTGGCTAGTTCCCCCTACCTGACAATCTGTCGGGATATTGATGTAGTGTTCAACGAGACTATATCTTAGTGTCTCGTATGAAAGGGTTAACGCAGTATTGCTACTTGTATAATCCGAAGATATAGATTTTAATACATGCACCTCGATATGCAGTTTGCTGACCTGGGCTGGAACACCTATTTCTTCAATCCCTCTCCAGGAAGTCCCCAACGCGAAGGTTGCTAGCAACGACAACCGATGGGCTTCTGTGATGAATATGGACAGCAACTGGAGAGGGAAAATTGTACTGCAATTGCAAAATATATAAGTGTGCTTCGCATGGAATTCCCTGTTATCATACTTCACATATTCTCTTTCTATAGTTCACTTTCGTGTATTCGAACAATATTCTTATATATAGTTGCATAGCACCCAGGTGCAAAACAAATCCCATTCGTTCGCCCCAGAATATTAAATCCTATCTATACCATAAATGTACTATATGCAAACCGAGGAGTCACATTTATGACCTTACAGTCATTTCTCGCGTATTATTCGCTTGGGAGCTGCATCAGTCGTCGATTCTGTCGTTGTCGGGATATGTCGCTGCAGTCTTCTACCAGGGCCTTTTCCGAGGTCCGAACCGGGCAAAATCTCCAAACATGGATAAGACCATCCATTAAGACAAGCATGTCACATCAAGCCCTTAGCGCAAGCTTATACTTTGCCAAGAACAGCCCGGGTCGCAATTGCCTGTGCATAAAGCAGACACGAGAGCAGCTTCCCGCCATCCCCACGTTTTGCACCGGCGAAACTCGCTATCGCCGGTGGGGCGCAACGCGCCTTGGCGGATTCTGCGCGCTGATACGTCGCCTTCCCGGCTATCTTGTCGGTGAACCCGGTGATGCCTTCAGCTTTCCCCGGCTGCGATAAGAGCTGGAAGGTCAACATGCGGAGATAGCATGATCGTACTTATTTAAGACGCCGCGCATATTTATTGCTCGCATGCGCCCCTTTTCTCTTCCTTTTCGTTGACTCTCACTTACTACGGTGAGCACTGTACGATCTTGTGCGCATTATGAGCGACCCGGAAATTATATCTGCCTCTGCGCCGGTCGGGAGTCTTGGGGATCGGAAAAGAACCGAGGTTATCAAGGTGCAGAATGAGGACGAGCTGCGGTTGGCCCAGATGGGTAGGTTTCCGATTCCGTGCGATTGTGAGGTGCAATATTGACCGCAGCACAGGGCATAAACAGGAGTTGGAGCGACATTTCTCGCTTTGGAGTTTGATTGGACTGGCGGCGAATTGTACTATTTCATGGACTGGTCAGTTGAGATCATCCAATTGACCAGCACTCGACTCATCAATTCACAGGTCTCGGCTTGGGCTTAATAACTGCAATTAATGCAGGCGGTCCCGGCGCCCGTGAGTTTTCATTCCATAACGATCGCAAGGAAGCCAGCAAATGACCGGGCTCTAGTGATATATGGCTTCATCCTCGTTTTCATCCTTCAATCTTTCGTCGGCGCTTCACTCGCAGAATTTGTATCCGCATACCCCACGGAAGGAGGAATGTACCATTGGATTGCCGCCATTGCTCCGAAACGATATAACAGCTTGCTCAGCTTTGCCACTGGGTGGTGCACTGTATTCGGATGTGGGTTGCCCCAACCATGAAGAGACTTGATATGAAGCTGATGAAGCCTAGGGATCTTTACAACTGCATCGACCAATTTGATTTATGCCACGGCGGCCATGGCCCTAATTGCCCTTTACCATGATGGACTGGTAGTTCAGCCATGGATGACCTTCGTCGCATATCAGATCCTCAATATCGTGACTGCAGGCGTGGTAATGTTCGGCAATCGGTTTATTCCTATAATCAATAAGTTTTCATGTAGGTCAGCTCATCTTCCTGTGGTTCAATAATTGACAAGTGTCAGTGGTCTACCTGCAATTGGCCTGGTTTATTACCATGGTTGTCGTGGCCGCCAAAGCCCCGGTTCATAATGACAGCAAGTTCGTGTTTCGCACCTGGATCAATAACACTGGCTGGGACAACAACGTTATCTGCTTTATCACCGGATTAGTCAATCCAATGTACTCACTTGGAGGTTTGGATGGGATTTCGGTAAGTTGTACCCATTGTCAAAGTGCCCGGTGAATGGAGCCGCTGACCGTACGATAGCACATCACAGAAGAAATGCCCAATGTAGGTTGAGATATATCATGCACAAAATTCCTGTGTACTATGCTAACCAATCTCCTATAGCCCGGGAGGAATGCCCCTTTGGGTCTAGGTTAGTTAGGTGGTAGTGTTGATTGCCTCGATAACCCGGCTAACTGTATACATTAATAGCTATCACCCTGTCAATTGCGTTCGTGACCGGCCTATCATATCTGCTCAGCCTGATGTTTTCAGTCCAAGACTATGGCAGCTTGGCTGACACGCATACTGGACTTCCTCTTGCCGAGCTCTTCTGGCAGACAACCTCTACGAGAGGTGGAGCCTTCGGGCTGGTGTTCATGGTGTGGGTTGCCCTTGGGCCCTGCGTCATCGGTTCGCAGCTGAGTAAGTTGTGTGTGTTGGTCCTCAAGGTAAACCCGGTTCTGACTTCAATAGGTACTGGGCGAGTATTCTGGGCCTTTGCCCGTGACGAAGGTCTTCCTTTGTCGAAGATATGGGCTCGGGTCAACCCTAAGCTGGGCTCGCCATTCAATGCCCAACTCTGTGTTGCCGTGATTGTCGGACTTCTTGGATGTATATATTTGGGATCTAGCACGGCGTTCAATGCAATGATGAGCTCTGCGGTGTAGGTACTCCACGTACTCCGAACTTGACAAAGGGTTAATACTGACATGGATATAGGACAATCAACAACTTTGCCTACCTTGTGCCCATTCTGACAAATGTCCTCTTATTCCGTCGGACCATGCACCGTGGCCCATTCTTCATGGGTCAGACGGTTGGAATGAGTGTGAACATCATCGCTGTGGCGTGGCTGGTGTTCGCCATTGTATTCTTCTCGTTCCCATATCAGATGCCTGTGACTGGTATGTGCTACAATTTTCATGATTTTTTAGTATTTTGCCGAACGTATGTGTTAACCATCATGCAGTATCAAATATGAACTATACCTGTGTTGTTGTAGGCGGATTCTTGACCATTGAGCTTGCTTGGTGGCTTTTTGCTGGAAAGAGATATTCTGCGACTGTACAGCGAGCCAGGGAAGAAGGAACCAGTGAGACAGTAGTTATTGCTGATGGGAAATCCGATGAGTGAAGTTTGAATGTAGTAAGCGAGTGTCGAGTCAGGTGTCACTTCCTGAGATCGTCCTTTAATACATCGCGTCTTCCACTCAGATAATTTATCACATTTTCTTATGTTTCCTTTCATGCGTATCATCCTTTGATTCAAACGCCATCATGTTTCTCTTTCATCATATCTTAAACTCTAGCCATTGCCTGGTTAGACAATCACTCGCGATCATCGATGCGCCTAAAGAGGGCCAGCCGTTCATCTAAAGAGCAGGAGTGGAGTCAAGAACGTGCGTCACGCACGCATTCGAGTCGATTGTTGGAACTTTCCATTCCACGGCGAAGACAAGCAGACGAACTTCCACCATTCAAATACATTGCTAGCACAATGCTAAGAAGTTGACCCAAAGTTGGGACCTCAAATGCTGGAAACCTGATATCCAAGTCATCCCCAGAAATCTCATCCAGCTCGCTGTCACTAGTCACCATTTTCCACAACTCACCGCAGACCACGTCTACTACGAAAACTGGTTGATGCATCCATGAGCTCAAGGCGGAGATGCCATACTTGTGTCACCACAACAACTATCAGGTTGGGGACACCCATGCTACAGTTGGCATAATGACATACAATGAGTTTGGTGCTATCGTGGATTATATCCCTGATACCCTCCACAAATCGAATACAGGTGGCCCGCTACCCTACATTCGCCTCTCCACATCTTCGCTTCTGATTTCATTTACTCTGGACTGAGTGAGGGAAACCTCTTCTGAACCTTTCGGTATGTGTTATTCTCACTTTGGATTTACTCTCTTCTTACTTTAAATGCCTGAGGGTTTCTGTGCGGGACTGGACTGAAGCTAGTCTTGCCTCTCTTGAGCTTTTTGTTGCTCAATGCTTTGCTGAAACGTACGACGGCAAGAATTGTCAACATTGCAACAATTTGCACAACCCCTGTGAAACGGTACGTTTCCAAGACCTCTTCTGTCCCTTTTTGTTGGTGATTCGTACTAACGACACTTAGGTTCCTGAGGGAATCGAAGGAAATCGTTATGAGCTCCTCGCTTGCTTTTCCTGGGCCCGTGAATTCTGGGCCAACTCTGACAATGGTTATGGCCTTATCCCTGGGGCTAGTGTAGCAGGTCGGCTCTACGTCATACTATCACGAGCGGTTTTTCCTTGGTGCATCATTCACAGAATACAATACTAGACCTCCCCTGAGCGGGAAATGGGGGCTACTATTAAAGAAACCCCGCTACAAACTACTGGCTTGGGAAACATCTAAGAGGGTGGTCTTTCAAGAGGACCCGAATCCATGAGGACCACCGAACGAAAACAACCATTTGGCAACTGCTTCAAAGTATCTCCATCCGTTCACTTACTACAGCAAGTTGAATTATCCTTGACGGGTTCCTTAACCCTCGCTAACACCAGATTTCATTACAGATACGGCGGCAGTAACACAGACATTCCCCAAGACCTATATTAATACCTCAACACGATCCGAACAAACCCCACTTGATGTGGTCCTAAGGCACGTTCCATTTACTTGGGTTCGAAAGGCCTCTACATACATGATTCCCACCTCCACCACCAAGAGAAGGAGAAGGGGATGGACGCAGAGTGGACACGGTATCCCAGCCAAGAAAAACGCGAAAACGGGATTCTAGCGTTTTTCTAGATGGGCGAAAGAAGAATCGCTATCTCCAGGAATGGGTTTGACAAGTAAACCAAGTCAAAACAAGCCCACAGGACATCTCTTACAAGGATATAATGGGAAGGCGAGTATATGTATCGTGATAGCTCTGATATCACCGAGGAGGAGTGAGTGAACTACCATGGTGTGCTTGATTCATACCGTAGTCGCCGCCTTCGTGTGGACCAGGAGAAGGCCACTGTTTGGTTCGCGGGAGAAATGAAGCAGTGTTCTTCTAACTCTCATCCACACCTACATTGATTGAATTCCACGCGTAATTGCTGTTTTAACTCCATGTCTCTTATCTAGTCGTATATGGGCGTAGTACCTGTCTTTATTCTTGTCTTGCAACGTCGATTCGATTCCGAGCTAGGCAAGGGGATAGGGTTTGCCATGGTGATCTAGCCGTGACATGGAGAAGCTACGCCAACCACCCGGGCATGTTCCATTCATTTGTAATGTCTGAGAGAATTGCCTAGCCTGGTCCTTGAATACGAACATTCACTCTTCATCTCTGTCCAAGGTGTTTAGGTTGTCATTGATTCAGATAATGCTCACTGACTCCAAGTCAATTACCATCCGTTTGCTCAGGCATTGTCCATTGAAGATACACAGTATCAATCCTAGAAAAGGCTATCAGCTGGACAAATCCATCAGTCAAAATATATAACAAGCGACTCACCAATGACCCATCTTTCGCCCAACGTTCTCCAATTGCCCTTTCTCGACAAATCCCCATTTCATGTACCATTTCCTCAGTCTCTCCCCGTCAGTTGGAGCCTCAGTGTCATAAGGTATGATCGCAATGATATTCTGAACAAGAGAAGTCTTCATGACACCCATAGAGCTACCAAATCCAATCCGTGGGATATCGCCCACTCTTTCCTCGCAGCGGTGCTCAACTTCACCCTCCTGCACCAAACGCAAGAGCTTTCTAAGAATAATGGTTCCATAGCCAAACTGCTGCTGGTCATAGCGCATGAAGATTGACAGCTCCACAGTCGGTGCATAGGACAGCAGATGACCACGGAAAGGGGACAAATAAGCGTAGCCAAGAATTAAATCTGCTCCGTCTGGTGTCTTCCGCGTGTCAGACACAATGACATAGAATGGGAGGTTTCTTCTCATCAGATCCCGAAGGATGTCTTCATAGTGGGATATCGGTGGTGGGGTAGTCGCGAAAGTGGAACAGCTGTTAACAATGTACCAGTGGTTGATATCCCGAACTTGTGGGATATCAGCCAGGGTGGCGGGGCGGTTTGTGATCATTTTGCTTTTTATTGTAAAAATACAGGAATATAAACAGTGAAGGTGAATGTTCGAAAAGAAGGGACGTCAGCCTAGCGTGAGTGGGCAGACATGTCGAAACCAATGCGGGATGTCAATTTCCTAAATGGGGTTAGTGCATAAATGGGTACGCTAGCCGTTCTCAGTTTAGCGTTAAAGCGAACACGCCAATCAGGAGTATAGGAACAATAAAGGGAAACATCGTCTCCCAACAGAGGTGACAACCCATCTTAGCTTTGTAAATACCGGGGAAAAGGGTATGATGCGATGAATATGCGTCCCTGGGGTCTCGCTGCCCCTCGGCGTTTGCCTCGTTTGATTGAGTCCCCGTATTTTCAAGTCGCGCTTTTGTTGCGCTCCTCCTTCCTCGTCGTTCTTCTTCCTCGTCGCTCATTTCTGAACCTGCAATTTGCTCAGGTCGCTGTTTACCATCATGGCTGACAACCGTGCTACTCCTGAGCCTGAAGGCAATGGCCTAAATGGCAACAAAGAAAATGGGGATAACAGCCCTCCCTATGCTCCCCTGGAGACCCTCGCTGCGATCGCCGTGGCTGCCGCCGGTCCCTCTACCGCACCCGCCGCCGCGCCCACTATCGAGACCGACGAACCCACTGTTGAGATGGTGGAGGACATAGGTGCCACCACTGCCGGAAACACTGGCGGCAACACTGGCGAGTCCGTCCAACCTGCGCCTCCCCACGCCTCCGCGTCAGGCCACGGACCACCAACCAGCGCTGCACTAGCCTATCTTCAACGCGACCTCATTCGCTCCCGTATGACCCATCGCCTGTCACCTTACCTGGCCGAGACTCCGAACCAGTTTCTTGGACAAGTTTGGATCAACCACATTGTCAGTACTGAACGTCTGTTCCTATACATACTGACATGCTAATGAGATTTAGGATTCCCTTCTAGGCGTGCGCACCCAGAATCAAACTGACGAGATGCGGTATTGCGTTGAGCAGGCCGACAGGGTCGTCCACTTGGCCAACGATATCTTGCGCCAGCAGAGGGAACTTTTGGCGGAAGTGAGACGTATTGTTACTGGGGGATATCACAGTGGAGATGAGTCCAACGAGCACAGTGAGGTCGATGAGTTTGGCGATGAGGCTGAGGGTGATGGTGACGGTGATGGAACTGCTGCCAACGGACGCAGTGCCGCAAATGAGTAGTCTCCTTTGCCCCCTTCTGTGTTTCTCTGGCCAACTTTATCAGGTTTTGAGATGATATCTTATCATTGAATGCTTGTGCCATCAAGACATACTTTGCGCTTTTATGTACGGCCCATTTTCAGGCCTTGAACTTGACAATACCCAGCATTTGTTCTTGAACTGACTCCATTTTTATTTCGTATTGTCTATGATTCAGTTAGGGACATTTAGCGAGCTTCCATTGTTTGTATATTGGTAATCAGAGAAAGTTTTCTGTATTCCTGGATATACCAACATCTTGTTTGTTTCCTGGGTGTGTGATATTATCACTGATATGTCCTGTAGATGAATTCAGCCTAAGGTGAGGGGTGAAGGCAGAAGAGGGTGATGAACTTTTGATTAAAGTGCAACACAAATAAGCACGTGCCTTTCTTCATAGGCCATGTAGGGTAAAACAATACCAGTATCAATCATCTTCTCTTCTGTTCACCTCTCCGCTTCAAGCTTTCCTGTGGCGTCAAAAGTTTCCATCATAGCATTGTGATAGGAAGAACCAAGGACCTACAGGGCTGAGATCAGCCCATTCCTGCATGGCGATTGGTGAAATCGATCTATACCCCTGGGTACAGGACCAGGTAACATTGGAGCCTACCAAAGTGTGAAAATGCCTCTGCCTAATAGGGTTGTACCTGCTGGAAGTACACCCGCGGTGCCCGCGGGCACCGCCAGGCAAGTGCAATGTCATACTTCGCTGGTTCTCGCTGTTTTCGATTTCCCCAACGAATCTGTCATGGTTTACTCCATGCAGACGTGTTTGTTTGTTTTTGTTCTGATTCTTGTTTCTCATCTATCCTGCTCCTTCATTAGATTGCCAATACCGAACACGTCTCTATCATCATCATGACCGCAGCTACGGAATCCCACGAGTCAACCGCAACATCTAAAAAGAAGCGATCACGCTGCGGACGCAAAGGGAGCACACCGGGTCCTGTCGAATTGAAACCGAAGAAGACCTTGTTTGTGGATGAGATTGGAGGTTCCTTGATTGATCAGTACTATGAGACGGCCAAGCGCAATGGGGATGACGCCAATTCTGGTATCTCGTCGGTTTCCCTCATGGATCACTTGCGCAGCAACGCAGCACATGCCGCCTCTTCCTGTTCGAGTTCAGCAAGTTTCCATACCATACCCAATTCCAGCCCGGCGACGAGCGTGAACAGTCATGAACCCGTTGTTGCTCACCCACAAGTACTAGCCAAAACCAATGTCCTCCACCCAGCCACCGATTCCTTCGACGCGAAAACAGAAGGCCGTGACCCAGACGCTGTATTCAGACTCGATGATTTCAAAACAATGACGTCCATTCATCAAATAGCTGCCCTTCATGGCAAAGTCGCTCACATGGGAATCCTTGATCACAGCTACCGATTCTTCGTGAACGAATCAAGAACAGCAGCCTTATCATTTAAGGTCCAGAATGGGGTTGCAGTCATCGGTGGAGATCCATTATGCAACAAGGACGAAATTTCCGAGCTCCTGTCTGAATTTGCCGCGTACCGACAACGGCATCACTTGAGCATAGCATTCATGGGTGCCAGCGAGTCCTTCCTCAAAGACTACGCCAAACCAAACAGCTGGACAACGATCCGATTTGCCACAGAGCGGGTGCTCAACCCCCAGACAAATGATGTGGTACTCGAGAACAACGGTAGACGCATCTTGACCAAGAGCCGTCAGCTCACGAACAAAAGCAAAGGCGGCATCACCATGGGGGTCTACGCCCCTACCGTGCACGGCATAAACCAGGAACTACAAACCAACCTAATCACCATCTACGATGCTTGGCGCGCCGAGCGCAACGCCTCGGCTAGCCCACAAGCGTTCATAACCGTCTACGACCCCTTTGCTGTCCCTGACCTGATGACATTCATATACACTCGCACCCCCGACGGAACAATCAACGGTTTCGCAGCTCTTCGTCGCCTGGGCTCCGGCGGCTACCATGTCGACCCATGCATCGCAGCCCCAGGCAGCGTGAATGGAATTAGCGACCTTCTTCTCATCATGGCAATGGCGCTCCTTCGACGCGCCGGTGTCTCATACCTCGGCCTCGGCGTCGAACCGCTCCAATCACTCACCCGTGAGGATGTCAGTGGTATGCCGTGGCCCTGTAAGAAACTTACACGCGGCTTGTACGGCCATACATTCCACCGTCTGCCTATCGGCGGCAAGAAGGCGTACCATGACAAATTCCATCCGGACCCCACTCAAGACTCGGGTCTTTATCTTGTTTTCCCATCTGGCGTACCCAGTCCCCGACATGTCCTTGCTATGACGCACATGGCTAATATCAGTTTGCGGAAGATATTCCGGGCTGATATTGAGGCTTTCGTGTTGGCTCGCAAGTTGAAAGCTGGTGGTAAGAAGGGAGGTTCCGCTGATCAGACCCCTAAGGGTAAGAGGCTTGAGGAGGAGGTTCTTGTATTTCTATTCGCCCTGTGTGCGTTAAGACATTTCTTTCCGAGGTTTTCTTTTGTTGCTATTTCAGCGATCCTGAACACTACATCATACTCGAGGCGTTCTGTTCCAACTGCTTGGCCTGGTGTTTTGCTGGGATCTTTGTACCGTAGTGGCGTCATTGTTTGGTTCTCTTGAAAAATCACATGTGCGATTATATGTGGACCTTTCTCCTGGATTATATTAAACCAGTCCCTCGTATCTGGCGTTTGCTGGGTAGGTCGCCATGGTTATGTAGATTGTGTTCTTTTCTGTATGGCAAAGTCTCACTTGATGAATTGGAATAGTCGAAAGAGACATCTCCAGTGTTGAGGAATTGTAGGACCTCATATTCGAGTTTGTTTTCAACCACAGTATCATTTCAAAATGTAAATCATGATGTACAAGACAATGCAAAATGCGATTCCTAGACGCCCAGCCATATAACCAATCCCACATCACCCGGTAAAGAAAATTCAATTAGCAGACTCGACCGAAGAGGAAGTCTTTGACAATAGGAGAGCCCGAGAACTCCGGGTTCAAAAGGACACAGCTGGAGGATGTGAGCAATAGGTCAAGACAATTAATCAGAGAGGCGTGATGGGATACTGACTTCAGGAAATACTCCAACCCCACACGCCTTGATTCCAGGAACTTTGGTCGGAATTTGTCTGTCATGATAATGGACATTAGCTACTTGCATGGCAATATAGAAGGGAAGCACAAAAACATACAGATAACACTCTTCGGCGGCAACGCAGGCAACGCATTCCTTGCATGCGGGAACGAATCAACCAGCCGCTGGCGCAGGTCATCGAACTCGGAGTATCTATAGCAAGTCCAAGAATCAGCCAAACATCCTCTGGAGCCAAGACAGGGACGGGAAAAGGGAAATAAGCAACACACCTCATCCGAACAACAATCGGTCCACCCTATATAGAAACAACCAAAATTAGAAAAGCCATTCCAACCGCATTCCCTCCAAGATCCAAAACTCACATCAAGCGTCTGAACCGTACAATTCCACACAACATACGACCCAACCCCCGTCATACCGCGCACAATAACATGATCATCAATAGCAACGCTACTAGCCCAGAGCCCACGACTCGTCTCCGAGTTCGGGTCGGCAGTATGATCTTCCAGGGTGATACGAGCAGCGCCACGCAGCGACGACTGCGAGACGTGCGAGGGATTGCGCTCGTGTCGGCGCCAGTAAGGGGGCACTACAGCGGAGACGGGCCGGGATGTCGTCGAGGTTGAGGATGCGGAGCTCTGAGGCACGCCATGGTGGTTGTGGTTGTTTGTGGTGGAATTGTCATGGACGTCATCGGTCTCAGGTCGGAGTGCGGGGGTGGGCTGGATATCTGGGTGTGGGGAGGAGGGTTGGTGCGGCTTAGATGCCGGTCCGGCCTCCTCGGGTGCTGGCTCCATCCATTAGATACTCAAGGGATGGCGGGTGTTGGCCTATTTGGTGGGGGATTGGGTTTGTTAGCTTTGCTGTTGAGGTTCATTGTGTTTGGGTGTGGCTCGGTTCGGGCATGCCCCGAGGAGGTCTTCCCCCCATTATGCGGGGTGGCAAGTATAAGTGCTAGGTGCAGGATATCGAGCTATTTTGGACATTGGAGTCGACGCAAGGATGCGGGCTTGGGCGGGGTTGTACAAGCGATCCGAGGTGAGACAGACTAACCTTGGGAAGTGTATGTGGCGAGATAGGGAGAGTGGGAAGTGTGTAGTGTTAGTAGTGTTAGACTTGATAGGGAAATCCAGTTGGAGTCGATTTGAGCGGTCACGGGGCTGGTTCGGGGTTAGTGGCTTAGCTAAGGCTATCTTGGCTACCACCTGGGCAGATATGGATATGCCAGGAAAATGCCCAATAATCGTGTTTTGATTAACATTTTCTTGTATTTCTACATTGAGATCATAGATATGACGGTGAATTTCAAATTTGTCCGCTTTTCCACTTGAACTTGACTCACTCAGAATCTCATCAGACTACTCAAAGCCAAGAAACACACTAATCCAAATACAGTAAGCGTTGCTTGATCGTCCTCTAATCTTTAATTCTCTCCAACTCGGGCTGAGACATGCCACTTTCCTATCTTTGAAAAGCACGATGTCTTTGTGGAGACCGGGTACCGGACAGATGTGACACACAGTGCCCACCTACGACAAACGTCGCTACAATCCGAGACCATCGAGATATTCCCGGATCGACACATCTGAAAGGCAAAACCCCTATAGCGGACCCTTCATCAATAAATCCACACTCACTTTCAAAGCAACGGTCTCGCTACTGAACTCACTTGACAGAGAGTACCTTGACCGTGCCAGAAAATAAAAAATAAAAAATCATTCGATGTAGTAGAACCCCAAGGGTGGCACTAGTGTGTGCCACCATGCAAACCAACTAGTACATTCTATACATAGGCTGTTATAGTCCTGTGATTGCTTTTTTCCCCTTTATGAGCTCCCCAGTCCTCCCTTGCTGGCTACTTTTTCTTTCCTCCTCGAGCTACTTGCACTCCTACGCTACATCTTCGGGAAACAGCCTCTTACTATTGGCTTTAGATCATCGTCTAGCATATCCCTCATTCCTTGTCTTGTTCTCGAAAGAATCTAGGACTTGAAGCTCGTAGGTTCTAAGACATCTCCTAGTTCTATTACACCTTCCCCCTTCATTCCACCTACCCGAGGTAGCTATCACCATCTCTATATCTGGACTCTAGAGCGTGTATCAGACTTCACTTGCATTCTTCAAGGCTAACACTAAAATTTAGTACCTTCCCGCTGCCAATTTCTGACCTCATTCTCAGTAATCACCAAGAGCAACTGACACGATGCTATCCAAGACCATCTTCATCCTCGCTTCGGCTGCCACTCTAGTCAACAGCCAATTCGATCCGACATCAGTTCCCTACGCTACAAGACGTTAGTTGATATCTTATATTCTCCTTCCTATGTGTAGAATCGTCATACTAACATATCTTCCCTCCCTCAGAGGCCTGGTGTAACTCCCAAACATCCGCATGTCCAATCCTCTGCCTACAACTACCAGGAGCCTCGGGCACACCAAAATCAAACACCTGCTCAGCCGTAAGCATTCCTTTAAGGAAAATCAAAGTCCCAACTAACCTCAAATTCCTAGGACACCCTACTCTACGACTGCATATGCAACAATAATGTTATCCCCAATGCCAGCGAATATTCCCAGACAATCCCCTACTACACCTGCACAGAAACCAACAACCAATGTGTCAAAAAATGCAATGGTGACTCCACTTGCCAGAATGACTGCAGAGTAAAGAACCCCTGTGGAGCCCAGGATCCCAAGCGTGTTAATATTACTACTACCGCCAAGCCTACCCCTACTGCATCTGAGACCCCTGTGAATACCCTTGTCGATGGAGCTACTGGCGCTGGTCCGCGCATGGCCTCTGTTAATATGAGCCATGTCTATGGGCTTTGTGTTTTGGTTGGTGGTTTTGTTGCTGGCTTTGCTACTCTCTTGTAGAGTGCAAGGGTATAGGTTTTGGTTGGCTTGCCCTGGGGGTATGATCAAAGGGTTGAGCTGGTTACTCAGATAATGAACCCTGGAGTTGTGGTTGTTCTTGCTTGAGTCGTTACTAATATTGGCTAGTTCTTTGCTTCTTTGTGGGTTTGCATTTTCCGGCTGCATTAGCATTGAGCGTCTGTTTTTCCTTTTTTTTCTTTTCTTAATCGTGAGTTTATGGAGTAATCTATTGCTGGCTGCTCATTCATTACGTCTTGGTTTCGCATTGCCTACATTGGTAGTGAATCTTTCTATGGCATTACTCAATTTTATTTAATTGCATACATAGGTTATTTACGTTCTCGAGTTCCCGGGTACTATATCAAACCCTATTTCTTGGGTTCAATGAGCCACAGGTTCAATTGAGCTCTCATGCTCAAAAAAGCTATATCTTTGCCCGCACCTTTGCACTATCCATGCGCTGCCCTTCATCATCCTGCTCTGCAACCTCCAAAACTGGGAACTTGGCCGGCATAATCCGCCGTGGTGTCGATCCTGGGTTTACAGAGTATTTGGAAAAGTCCGACACTCCACACTTCTCCCGGAGGAAGTCCTCATCTGTATCCAGAAGTCCGTTCACTACTTGGTGCGGGGCACGAAGCATAGCCAGGACAGCCTCTGAGAATATTGTCTATTGCAGCTTGTCAGTATCGAAAAGCCCGGGAAAGGTTGGTAGTATAATATATCATGAAATGGACATACCGGCTTTCTCAAATCCTTTTTGTAGGATGTGTCGGATCCCTTATTATGCTCCGTGGCTGCTGATTCAATCGACTAAAAATTAATGCAGTCAGCAATCCCCTCACAGAAACCAGATCTGGATAAAATCAAGACGCAGGCACATACAGACGCAGGCCAGATACTCGTCACCGCCATTTCATTTCGGCCTTGACGGACAAAGTCCATGGCCAGACCTTTGACCAGGACACTCATTCCAACTTTGCCTACATATAACACATCATCAGCACATATAGTCAAGCACACTATATATCGACTCCAGCCTCCAAAAGCCGCAGCTGAAACATATAAACTCACCCATCGCATAAGCAGTCTTCCCCCTAAAGAACCTCGAATAAATAGGCGGCGAAACAACAATGATGCGCCCTTTCCAGCCCCCCTTCTCAAAGAACGGCAAAGCAGCCTGAACAGTCGCATACAGTCCCTCGGGGTTCACCTGCTGCATAAGCTTAAACCGCTTGAGGGGTATATTCTCCACAGACGACCACCAGATCGCGCCGGAGTTGTACACGAGCACATCAAGCTTCCCGAAGACGCGCACCGTCTCCTCGACAGCATGCTGGATCTGCGCGGCATCGCGCACGTCAACGGCTACCGTTGCCGCGTGCCCGCCCGCTTCGCGGATCTCGCGCTCTACTGTGTTGATGGTGGACTGTGGTGAGTTCGGGTCTGGCGGGAATGGAGTCACTGTTGATGCGTCGGATGTTGTTTTTGCGGATAGCATTACTGGGTTCGGGATTAGTATTTGCAGTCTATACAGGATTGCATGTGGCCGTACCGGCGTAACCGTTCTTTGCTAGGTCGATGGCGATCTGGCGCCCGATCCCGCGTGATGCACCTATTATTAGGGCGACTTGCTGTTTTTGGGACATCCTAAGGGCTTTGGTGAGTCTGTGGTTTGGTTGTGTTGGTGAATGTCGAGTGGGGGTGTCGATTGACGTCCTGGATTAGTGTCGTTATATATTTCGGTTTTTGTGATTACTGGAATGCCGAGCTCTAGCGATTATATATCTGTTTATGCGGCAAACTCAAGGATTATAATCAAGGTGTTCGGGTCGCGGGCAGCTTCTATATAGCCGATAGATTAATTTGATGCTTAATTTCCTGATTACTCAAGTTCCGAGGTACATTTATAGTGCAGGTCCACTCTCTCGGGCTTCGCGGACTTGGTGCCTCAGGCACCGGCATCCATATCTAAGCCCATGATCTTTCTGTAGTCTTCAATGGCTCGATGCTTCCATTACATGCTTCCTAGCGACAAAAAGACTTTACCGGTCGCATATCGAAACTGTCAAGGCGCCCCATTGATATCTACTGTGACAATTTGAGCGATATTTCCGGTTCCCAGGTCGTCTTTTGGCCTGTTGGTTCTTCAGGGGGCTATAGAAGAAGGCATACCAGGCTAAAGTTGTGGGATACTCTCGGTGAATCACAGTTTCTTCTTATCATATTTTCATGCATGTAGGTCTTCATCTTCATCCATCGTTCACCTAGGAATTCTAGATGGCGGTGTGGTAGGCGGTCAGATTCTGCCAGGTAATCAATCACCCATCACAATGATCGATCGACTGACTTGTCATCCACCTCATATTCTTTGCTCTAAACAGCATATTGTTCTTAGCGTTCAAATTGGTTGCTATCTTCCGTCATTAAAACAATCTAGCCTGTTGTTCAAGCTCCAGCCCGTCGAGAATATTTGCCAGTTCCAATTCTGCCCGCAACGCATCATCTGAACAGCCGGGCAAGATGGACACCACGCTTCCAGACGCTTCTGGTCCGTCCCGGGCAGATATGGATACTGCAGCTCTGAAGGCTACTGCAGCTATCACTACCCCCAGAGCAAGGGTACCAGTGAAAGTGGAAGGTATGTTAACCCCCGCGCGGGGCTATCTCCGCATGTTGCTGCTGTGCCCAGATGACGCTGACATGGTTAATGAGGCAGAGCCCCCCAAATTCGATCTTGATACTTACATTGCAAATTACACTGGTGGGTGATGTTCCTTATTTGCATATAGACTTCTTATTCTAATGCATAGCCAGGGCGCACTCGCTACGACCGTCTTTACCTCATCGGCACATGCTCCCCGTTGCTCTCGACAGACGCCCTCAAGGCAGCCATCGCTGAAGCCAAAACCAGCAAAGACGTTTCGAGATATGAGAGGGCGGTGCGCGCGCTGGCGGATGTAGCTCCGACCGATCCTGACGCTACTCTTGACGCTGCCTGGGTGCAGGAAACCAATCGATACGTACAGACTCAGACTGAGCGATTGGAACACGAACTACGGGGATACAAAAACAATTTGATTAAAGAGAGCATCCGGGTAAGGAGTGATAACATACTGTCGAGAAATACGTCACACTAACCTCCGTAGATGGGTCATGAAGATTTGGGCAACCATCATTACGAGACTGGTGACCTGGCTGCTGCGTCCAAGGCTTACTCTCGTATGAGAGACTACTGCACCACCCCGAGCCACATCACTTCCATGCTCTTCAAGATGGTCAACGTCGCTACTGAACGCGGTGACTGGATGTCTGTGCAGTCGAACGTGCACAGACTGCGCAACTCTCAGTCAAAGCCAGAGGACGCAGCCAAAAACCTATCTAAAATCTCAGCCGCTTCAGCTCTGTCACAGATGCACCAAGGCTCATACCTCGAAGCAGCAAACTCTTTCTTGTCCGTCCCACCGGACCTGGGTGACACTTACAATGAAGTCATCACCCCCAACGATGTCGCCGTCTACGGTGGTCTATGTGCTCTCGCCTCTATGAACCGTGACGAGCTGCAGAAAAATGTGCTCGACAGCCAGACTTTCCGCAATTTCCTCGAACTCGAGCCTCATATCCGCCGTGCCATTGCTTTCTTCTGCAACTTCAAATTCCGCCAGTGCCTTGACATTCTCGAAGCTTATCGCCCTGACTACCTACTCGATATTCACCTTCAGCGTCACATCCCCCAATTGTACAAACGTATCCGCACCAAGTCCATTGAGCAGTACATGATTCCTTTCAGCCGTGTCACACTCGACTCCATGGCGAAGATATTTGCCCCCACTGTCGTTGGCGGCGAAGCACATCCCACGGACATTTCCTCGCCGTTTGTGCAAGAGCTGGTCGGTCTTATTCAGGATGGTGTGCTAAACGCTCGGATCGACCTCGAGAAGGGGTTGCTGGTGTCGAACCAGATCGACCTGCGGGCAGAGGTGCAGCGTACCACACTGGAGAGCCTACGCGAATTCAATGAAGAGGCCCATTTGCGGATTCTGCATGCCGCTGTCCTCCAAGCAGGATTAGAGGTGAAGCCGGAAAAGGGAGAAGGACCTGGACTAGGAAAGGGTGGACGGTTTCCTCGAGGCCCGGGTAGGGATTAATTGATGGGGACAAAGCCGACACCTTGACTCCAGCGATCCGGGCGCATGAATGATGACGAATGAGATAATACCCCGATGCTCCAGCTGCGATTGCAACTGCAATGCAGATACTATGTGGCTTACAGAAATCAATTCAACTCTCAATGAGGTATTCCTGCACGTACTCGATGTCTACTTTTAGGCAACCAACATTAGTAAGACCGATGAACAACATGAAACATCGCACAAATTGCGCTCTTTGGAATGGTCACGGGTAGCTGAAAACATATTGTTCTCACCTTGTCCGACCCTCGACAGGATACCAATCCCACCGATTCAATCCGGTTATTAGTCCTCCGTGCAACACGATGACCGGGCCAGTGTGACGCTTCAAGTAAGAAATAAACAGAGCACTTGTGCTAGAGGTCATCCCGTAATACTACAGCTTGTCGATAGAGGTAAAAGCATTCGGAGAAAAGATATAAAGATCAACTAGGGTTCGGCCTCCTGCATGGATAATCTCCTCAAGGGGGAATCGTATGACCGCCTCATCTACCGCCTTACGATATAGAAGGGGTTTGGTTGTCTCTCTTTGTCTCTTTGGCCTACAAATAGTCATTTTTCGTGATATCAACCCTCTACTCTTCATCCTTCATCATCATTCCCACCATCGAGATCCCATATTTATATATATAGTTATCATTAATGACTGGGTTTGTCTAATGGGTAAATCAACTTCAAAACAGCCAACATTCCGGCTTGGACAATCGCCTCCAAAGGAAAATGCCCAAGGCTACTCGCTCAATCCCACGGGTTGTCTCATAACCTGCCGCCCGTGTTGACAACCCGTTGTGCTTAGCACCGCATCCGAAGCTACCTCGTCTGGGCCCATAAACACGAGCTTCGAGATTGCTGAGATGAAAAAAGTTGACCGGTGATGTATCCCCTAATGGGGAGCGAAACGACGGACCGGCATCAGGGTATGTGCATGGTTTTACCGCTCAAAGATGCGAACCAACATCCAACATGCATACAGGGCCTAACTAGTATACCACTTTAGGGATCCACCATGCTCAGTCAACCCACGCTCCTGGACATTGAATGGTGGGGGCATACCTGCTCTGTGCCACGATTGTACTTGCGTGTACGAATCCGAAGGTCTTGAGTACTGCTTTGACCTCTGTAGGGGGAATCAGGCTGTGGCGAGATACCTGGTCTTGTTATACAAATACCCTTTCCATCTCCAATGAAACGGAAACCGTGGAATTATTCATTTAAACGTTGACAGTAATTTTCTGCTGGCAAAAAGCCCGTAATGTGTCGCATCCCCTGTAGATATTAGAATTGGCCATATACTCCGGCACTTTTCCTTTTTGATATTCCTCGTGATACCCTGGAGAAACAGACAATTTCGTGAGAAGTCAAGTTCTTTTGTTTAAATCGACTCTCTATTTAGTCATTTCTTCCCCAATACCTTCCCAAGTAGTTCATTGCACGCTTGGTCAAATATCGTTTACTATACAAATTGGCTCCCCAGGGCTACCTCTTCCCGAAATGATTGACTTCCTTTGTATCTACCCCATATGCTTGGACGACCGGCGACGCAACACGAGAATTGAACTAGGTACCGATATATTGTCCTCTCACACGTACCCGGCTTCGACAGGGAATCCCGATTCTTCCCCAATCTTGTCGAAGTCTGACGACGCGCCAAATTCCACGAAAATGAGTCCAGACATTCCACTTCCGGAGCCTGAGTCAGTGCCTATTCCTTGTATCCCATTAAAACGGACTTTCGATCAAATGGAGTCGGCAATGGAAGAATTTTCCGAGTCCACCAGGCGATTGTCGCCCACTTCTTCAATTCCAGCGCCTATAATTCGTGCCTCTGGAATGCCGGATATACCTGAGCTTCCATTGCTGGACTCTGCGCTTGAAACCGATATCAATCATCAAGAAAGTATACTCCCATCGCCCGGACTAGCCCCAATTCCAGAGGAAAGCTCCGAGGACAGTGACGGCGAGGCCCTAAACCTATTGATACCTGGATCAACAACCTCATTCACCGAAATTGAATCGTCAACTTCACCGCGGGACCTGTCAACACCGCATTCTTTGCCCCCTGATCTAACGAACCCAATAAGCATGTCTGTTGAAGTGGGTCACGATGGTCCTACCCGATCATCCACGGCATCCCTACCTGTAAACTCTTTATCCCCAGACAACGAGGACGATAATGGAGACACATCATCCGCAGCATCAACAACCGATGATTCAGACTCAGTCTTCGATGATGGACAATCGGAAAACACGTCCAGCTATACAGCTTCATTGCTATCCGATGTGAAAAACTACGCTTACGAAAATGGAAGACGCTATCACTCATATCGTGAAGGCCACTATGTCCTTCCCAACGACGAACCAGAACAAGATCGACAAGATCTCCTCCATCACGTCCGGAACCTCGTGCTCAACGGCTGCCTCTTCCGAGCCCCATTGGACAATAATATCCAGCGCGCTCTCGACATTGGTACCGGCACCGGAATCTGGGCCATCGATTTTGCAGACAGCTTCCCCAGTACCGAGGTAACAGGCACCGATCTAAGTCCCATCCAGCCGTCATGGGTCCCACCCAACCTTCGCTTCGTAGTGGACGACGCCGAATCGCAATGGCTGTACAGCCCAAGTCGGCCCTTTGACTTCATCCATGCCCGCGATCTGGGCGGTGCTATTGCCGACTGGCCGCGGCTGATGCGACAGAGCTACGAGCACCTGCGTCCCGGTGGCTGGATTGAGTTGCAGGAGTTTGAGGTCATGCTCAGGTCGGACGATGATTCAATGCGTTTTGCGCCGGCGTTGTGCGAGTTCCTTGACCGACTGACTCAGGCTAGCGAGGCATTTCAGCGACCTATGAATATCGCCGAAGGCCATCGGCAGCGGCTGGTTGAGGCTGGTTTTGAAGATGTGCGAGATGAGGTGTACAAGGTGCGACCATTCCCCTCACCCCGGTATTCTGATTGGGCTTTGCTTTTTGTTTGCCTCTTTCGTCATAACTGACTGTTATGTCTTTTCCAGGTTCCTTCGAGTGTTTGGGCTAGGGATCCCGTGCAAAAGGAGATTGGTCGGTACAACCAATGTTCCCTTCTCATGGCGGTTGAATCCTACTCGCTAGCTCTTTTCACTCGTGTGCTGGGGTGGCCGAACAATGATACTCAGGTTTTCCTAGCGGGTGTGCGCAAAGATCTCAAGAATCCCGCGGTGCATACGTACTGCAAGCTGCATGTCGTCTACGGTCGGAAGCCGTCTTAGTCTCAGTCGAATCGGCAATTTGACTAGGGATCTTTCCGAGGATCCTCGGAGTCAAAAAAAAATATTGTAGATAGATTTGATATGGCTCTATGTCTCTGGGTGCGGGCGTAATGAGATGTCCCGTTTGTACTCCTTCCGCCTGGCCCGGATGGGATCCCTCACCTTTACGTCGACCATTCGACTGGTACAACTCAGCGTTTCTTTGCACTTTTCTCTTTCTTTGAGTCTCAGTTCAGTGTCCAATCACTATTTCAAATCTAGAAAAAGGAGAATATTTACCAAATCCCATTCCTATCCGGAAAAGAAAGCCAAATGACCCCGAACTAAATATGGCTTCAGGGCAGTGCATGACCCTGTGGACCTCTATGACCTCTTTCGCTTCAAATCTCACCATGGCTTGGGCAACCTCAGGTCCTGGGTTCTGGGGCGCGACTGCAGGAGGCCTGGTAAGTTGCATTCCCTGTACTCCCAACCCTCGTTTGTTTCATGCAAGAACAGAACCCGAGAGTAGAACCAGTCCTTCCCAAGATATCTCCCGGGGAAAACACAACAGCTCTGAGCAATGCAATATAGCTAGCCCTTTTTCTCTGACTGGCATTTGCAGAGAAATTCGCGCTAATCAGCATGCAATTAACAGTTCTTACTCTGGGTTACCTACAGCATCATCTACACGTTTTGCTGGTCGCCCCTGCGCCACTTCCCCGGTCCGAAGCTGTGGGCGATATCTCGCATCCCGTCGAATGTCTCCGTTCTCCGTGGCCATAACCACCTGGACATTCTGGCGCTGCACAAACAGTACGGTCCCATCCTGCGCATTGGACCCAATGAACTCGCCTTCAACACACCACAGGCCTTTCGCGATATCTACGGCGCCAGACCTGGAGGTTGCTTCCCCAAGAATCGGAGCCACTATGTAGCCCCGGCGAACGGGGTCGATCATTTGGTCTGTGCGGTCGATAATGCGACCCACGCAAGACAGAGACGGCTGCTATCCCATGCCTTCTCTGAGAAGGCATTGAGAGATCAAGAGGGTCTTATCACAGGCTATGTCGATACCTTGGTTATCAAACTGCGGTCTCAAGTTCGGCAGGGATCGTCCATTGTCGATATCAAAAGTTGGATGAACTTTACCACTTTTGATATCACCGGTGACCTGATGTTTGGCGAGTCCTTCGACTGTCTGAAGGACAGCCAGCTTCACCCATGGATTAAGTTGATCTTCAACTCCATCAAAGCTATTGCCTTCATCGGAGCTGCGAATCAGTTCCCCATGCTCAAAGGCTTCCTGGACTTATTCATCCCACGAGAAGTCAAACGCGTCGGCCAGGAACACTTTGATCTGAGTGCGCAGAAGGTCGACCGACGCTTGGAGTCGAATATGGCCCGTCCGGACTTCATGTCTGCTATTCTCCAGCATGGGCTTAGCGAGGAGAAGGGCCAGTATCGCGAGAGCGAGCGTATTATGACCCGGGCTGAGATTCATTCTAATGGTTTTATGTGGGTGGTTGTTTTCGTTGTTTTCGAATACTTTCTCCCTTTCTTCTATTTTTCGTTTTCTTTCCAGAGGAATTGATATAGCACGCTAATGCTAAGCAATAACAGTCTGATCGTGGCAGGTAGCGAAACATCCGCAACGTTACTATCCGGCTGTATCTTCTACCTCTGCACAGCTCCACACGTCATGAGCCGACTCGTCGCCGAGATCCGCTCGACTTTCAAACAGGACAGTGACATGACCTTCCGCGCCGTGGAAGACCTGAAGTACATGAATGCTGTCATCGAGGAGTCGCTGCGGATCTACCCGCCCTTCGTGACGAGTCTGTCGCGCGTTGTACCGCAAGGCGGGGCATTCGTGAACGGTCATTTCCTCCCTGAGGATGTATGTATATGTGCTCCACTGTATGTCACATTTTTAACCTGCGTACTAATCCTAACCAGACAACTGTGGCATGTCACCACTACGCCTCCTACCACTCAGAATCCAACTTTGCCTTCCCAGATAAGTTCATGCCAGAGCGCTGGCTGGGATCCGACCCGGTCTTCGACGGAGATAAGAAGGATGTCTTGCAGCCATTCAGTCTCGGCCCACGTGTCTGCCTTGGAAAGCAGTGCGTTCCTTATCTTTTCCCCTTTACCCACGTTGCACCCCAATCAATACTAACATATTCTCCCCTGTTATAGTCTAGCAAACTGCGAAATCCGCCTCATCCTCTGCAAACTCCTCTATCACTTCGACATATCCCTACGTCCAGAGAGCACCAACTGGGCTGACCAGAAAGCATATTTCCTTTGGGATAAGCCGGCTCTCATGGTCACGCTGAAAGACCGTTTTCCGGACGCGGGTGTGTCAAGCTCCCAGGAGCCCGTGACTCCGTTCCCAAAGTGACGGGGATGGGTTATGGTTTGATGTTCGCAGATCGTTTACGTCTGCATTCGGGTCGTACTCGGCATAGACGGTGTTTTGCGGGGTGGAGCTTATGAGATCCACGACTTTCGTTTCTTTGCTTTCAAGTCGGCTTTTTCTCTTTTCTTTCGGATGGTTGTTTAGTACTAATCGTTTACTGGATTGGGTCATTCGGTGCTTTTTGCATTGTGACTTGCGGCGGCGGCTGGACTCGGATCTGGAGTTTGGGTTTAGTGGAGGTTGCGTTGCTTTTCATTTCCATAAGACATTCGTTTTCTTTAGAGGTCTACGGGTGGGCTCCGTCGCTTGATAATTGCAGAATAATAGGCCTCTTCGGTCTTCTGAATTGTGTTATTGGAATGTCTAGGCTAGAAGTCATGGTACAGTACGTCGGCTCGCACTCAGTTCCTCACACCCGTCTGAGAAAGCTTGAAGCCGCCGGGCACTCTGGTTTGAAAAACTCCACTAGGGTCGTACTTGGCCATGGCCTCTCGCATTTCTCTGATGCTCGCTTCACCGTAAGTTTGGAAAGGGTCTTGTGAGCCATCGCAGTAATTCAAATAGAGGAATCCAACATCGCCATCCACGGATTTTGCATATAGCTCGATCTTGCTAATCGCTGCCCTGAGCTTGGGGTAAGCAATCTTAGTCGATATTTCAGGCGTCTCGACTTCAACTGCAGCCACTAGGAGGACGCAGTCTTTCTGTAGCTTCTCAATTCCAAGGAGGTTGCCGCCCCGGGCCATGGATTGCTTTGCAAATGATCGAGGCAGCGGTTGTAAGACCATCGAGATATAGAATTTGCCGTCCGGGATTAATATTTTCAGGTCTTCTACCAGGACTTCGAAGACATCGGCTGCTTTTTTCATTATTCTGGCATCGAGGTTGAAGGTGAGTGTGAGCCAGGTGTCTCTAAGGAAACGAGTCAGAACATGTTTTGCATTCAGCATGGGGCAGGCTTGAGTATTTCAATGTTGTGCCTTCTACCGGCTTTGTTGGGACAGGGCAAACAAAACTTATCGACCTACTGTTTTCCTGAAGGGACCACAAAATCCACCAACTTTTTAGCCACGGTCGTTGTTTTCATGTTCTTCTGACCGGGGAGGGCGAGGAATTTCTGCAGAGACTTTGCATTCTCAACACCGTCGAGATTAGTCAAGACCATGTTTATAAAATGGTCTTTTGTCTGAGGCAGGTATGTCCACATCGCAAGAATATGATCGTCGGGCGCTTCATTAAGTTTCTGTTCAAAGTCGACAAAGGCCTCAATGATATCACCCGTAGCTGTTTTCGGGAGGACAATATTCCCATCCCAGATGTTAGTTGCTTCGAATGTCACCATATCGAAGCGCGTGACAATGCCAAAGTTGTTAGAACCACCTTTCAATACTGAGAAGAGGTCCGAGTTTGTGGTCTTATTGGCTTGGACGATACTGCCATCTGCGAGAACAACCTCGTAGTTGATAACCTGGTCTGGTGGTCGAGGGTAAGCAACAGTAGAAGCAAGGAAAAGGAGACCAGGTACTTACCACAGGCGAATCCGTAGCGGCAGCTATGAAAGGCAATGCCGCCTCCAAGAAGTAGACCACCGATTCCAACCAGCCCCTCGCGGCCTCCGGCAACCATCACTCCATCTGTGAAGGTCTGAGTTATAGTCGAAGACGTAGGTACCTTAGACTGCAAAGCTACTTACATTTCTCAAGCTCAGAATAAACTTGTGCCCATGTGCCACCGGGTTGCAAAGATGCAACTTTCGTATCAGGATTGTATGTCGTAGTTGTCATGAGCCCAAGATCAATAGTCACGCCAGTCTCGATGTTGTTGGCGCCAGCCCAGGCCATGTGCCCGCCACTATCCCGATGAAATGTGTCAGAGATTTTTCTTATTTTTATGAATATGATCTTATAGTTCCAAATATATTATCGCGAAAGAGAAAGCAAGAGAGAGCTTTGGATTGCGCAAGTGTCTTTGAAATAACTGCTATACTCACCTGCGGATCGCAAATTTACAACCAGGTGTGCTAACCAAAGCCTTCAAGGTCTCGGAAACCTCCTGAGTCGTCCTTGGTTGAACAATAGCCCAAGGGCGTAGTTGCGCGGTGAGAGACCAGTAAGAACTGACTCGGTCCTCATAAGATTGCTGACCTGGGAGATACGTGATTTCGCTCAACCCAGCATGTTTCAAGTTTGCAAGTGCGGACTGTTCAATAGCCATGTCGACAAGAAATTATTATCAGGTGTGAAATGTTTTATACTTCCCAGACTGCGGTCAAACGTCAAATCCGAGAGTCGGGGCTCAAGTGGTTTAAAGCTGGTGAGGGGGAGGTGAGGGGCTATACGATTCATTACTGGCCCTCAGTGTATATGCATTACCCAAGAGTGGCAGTCGGAACGAAGATCTTCTGTTAGTACTATTCTTCGAATTTTCATTCGGGTAAGCTGGTTAAACACTGCATTGACAATGATTGGCTATAGCTTTCCTAATACCCCAGCATGTAAACTGGAGTATAACTATTTAAATGATGTACTGTTATCTTCCTAAGTACTAAGTCCAATCTGCTTGGTTCCTGGATTACCAGGCTTCCACTAGCTATTTAGTCAGCTTCTGTTTGTTCATAGAAACGCAATCCTCCTTCTCTCTCCTCTCCTTGCTCTCTCGTCAATTTTTTCGTAGGCGATAGAATGTGGTTGATGTATTTATATACATATATATTAGACAAGGGAATCGCCTGCAGTGAGTGGATAGAAAGCCTTGGGAATACGAACGGTACTGATTCTCCGCCATCAAAGCTAACCGCCTGATCGAGGCCAATTTTGTACGAGCCACCTCTAGATCTTCTGGGCGATTTTTTTCGAACACCGCCATAACACCTCAACGGGGCGAGGTCCCATGGGATGACTTCCTGGATTTGGTGGGCCTGATGACCGTGAGGCTTGGTGGCTCTGTCTGATAGTCCCGGCCGACTAGCCTAGATGTTCAAAAAAAAACTTCCAATTCCAGGAGCCCGAAATGCTGTCAGAATCGCCCGATCGTGTGGCCGTATGCTTAACAAAGTCTATGATTGGTCTGGATGGGTGTTCCCTGGCCGAGAAGTGAGACAGTGAACCACCTAATGAGAAATAATTGCCATCGAATCAGTTAAGGGGTGGCTTGAAACAATATGGAAAAAGATACAAGGAGATCATCAAAACATCAAAAATACACCAAAGGAAATTTATTGAGACGCTCCTAAAAAGGACTAAGAATGCCAAGGCATCAGGGGCAGTTGAGAAAGCTCACTTCTGAAGTACTGCGAAGCCTGTAACTGGCAGCAATGTGTCGGTGAGTCCTACATTGGAATATCCCAATCCCAAGAATGCCTTACTGATACAAGCGAGTTGACAGTGAGAATTCGAATTCGCTTGCAACATGTCACATACCCACGATATGAAGAGGGAGTTATTTATATTTAATGATACGCTCATGACATGTCCAGGATAGGATACTCAATCAGAGCTTGGTCTATGTGTCTGTCATGTCCTAGTAGGCGGTTTCTCTAGGCCATATTTGTGAGATCCTTAGTCTAGAAATTAGCTTCTCTGGCTACTCAGAATCTATCTCACATTCACCGTTGAAAGGCCGGAGGACAGGTACTTAAACTTACATAGTTATGTACATAGTTCACTACTCATCTCGATATAAACTTGTGGGTCTCAGGTACGGGCCGAGAACCACATCGGGAGTGTTTCCAAAATCTACTATAAATATAACTAGAGAGCTTCATTCATTTCCCACTTGTAGACCAATTATCACAGGTTCCAAGGTACGGCTGATAGCATATCTTTATTTTGGGCATTCGTCTGGTTGTAGAGAGAATGAGGTAAGTCGCGAAGAGCCAAACCTGCTGTTTCTGCAGTTCGGGTTCCGCAAAGAGTTTTTGCCAACCATACAATGAGGTATAGGGAATGTGGAGGAAGTGCCTATTCACCACCAGAGCTGTTTGTTGATACATCACCTCGCTTACCTGCTTGCATAAGAATGGAGGGATTTCATAGAAAAGGAGGGGCTGGACCCCCTTAGGAGGACGAACGATTAGTCTGAATATTATCAACCCTATATCAGGCATATCTCACATTCCTCGCTTGTGTCCATATCGCACCAGGACACCCTGAGGGGACTGTTTTAATAATAAAGGAGCAATGTGTCGGCAATAATTGATTCTCTTGCTATCAAAAAACGAAGACGAGGGAGAAAAAGGAAGAAAGGGAAAACATTCTTTCACAATCTCTAGCGCCCCTGTAACAAATACTCGCTGATTACTGGATGCTCCTCACGGTTTGATCAAGCGCCCACGCAAACCTTTTAACGTTATGGTCGTTCAATCCAGCGACAGATACCCGCGAGGTCTCTACCATGTATACATGGAAATTCTCTGTTGATATCCGGGTTAATTAAACGGGCGAATGATATTATATGGGGCATGTACTGACCTTCGAGGTGTTTGACTTGAGTCTTGCTGATGCCCAGATATGCAAACATTCCCGTTTGCCGAACAATGTGAGACCAGTCACCCGGTGTTTGAAGAAGCTGCAACTCCTTGTATACTCGCTTGCGCATTTTTCGAATGCGACTTGACATTACGACAAGATCCTTTGACCATTGCTCCCTAATCGAAGATGTACGCAGAACAGCCGCAGCCACGCGGGCCCCGTACGCTGGAGGAGCAGTAATTGTAGCCCGCTGCACATTTTGAAGAACCGACTGCGCGACTTTGGCCGCTGATGAAGAGGAGAGTGCGCACGTAACAAGACCAATTCTCTCTCCGTAAAGACCCATATTCTTCGCCATTGACAGGCAGACAGCGAGCTCAACATTCAAGTGCTCCAAGAAATATCGGATTGGCCAAGCATCCTCACTAAAGGACCCGGAATTAAACCCAAGGTAAGCAGAGTCGAAAATTGGAAATAACCCTCTTTCTTCGATGATGGAGCCAATAGTCATCCATTGGTCTCTTGTGGGGTCACAGCCGGTAGGGTTGTGTGCACATGTGTGAAGCAGAATTGGTGACCCTGGGATAGCGGTTTTCAAAGTACTGATATATGAATCGAAGTCAAAGCCGCCGTTTTTGAAGTAAGGAATTTGCTCAACCTTAAATCCGATCGTCGTGAACATCAAATGGTGGTTCACCCATGAAGGATCGGTGATATAGATGGTATCAGGAGCGGCACTAAGCTTTTTCAAAGTCAGGCCAATAAGCATGAGGGCTCCTGTTCCAGAAAGGGATTGGCATGAGGCGACCTAAATAGATTTGGCCTCTTAGTAAAGATGATATCTGATGATCAGGGGAAATAATACCCTTTCTTCAGCAAGAGCCTCAGTGCCATCAAACAAAAGCTTAGTCGCTTCAATCACAAATGGCTGGAATCCAGCAATAGGGAGATATTCGTGATTGATGTCTCCCAAAGAACTCTTCGCCATTTGGACGGATGGAAGCACCCAAGGCAATCCATTTTCATCTCTGTATGCCCCCTGGCCCAAATTGATCTTGTCCTCGTTAGGATCAGCAAGAAATCTTCTAGTGACGTCAAACTGAATGTCAGGAGTAACAATATCGATGGGCTGGAAGGTCGACGATGGTCGTGACGCTGTCGACATGATGCGAGATTCAAATTTTATACCACTTTGAATTCCACTCCGAAGACGAAATCTGGAATAAAATATAGGCAGGGTTGACATTGTACTTAACTTTTGTCGAAATATGCGTGACTTACACATTTTCCACTGTCATTTCTTGCCCAATGGTGTTCCACTACGGCCTGAAAGTCAATAAAAAATAAAACATAAGCTTGGTTCTCGCAGTACCCCCGCAAGTCGAAAGGATTACCGAGGTGAACCCGGCAATTGATCGAAAATTGAATCTTATGCGAATCAAATAACCCAGTAAAACCTGAACCCACTCCCGGAGGCCGCGTAGCTCAGTGCTAACTTACTATCGTGTCGTTTCGGTAAAATGATAGTTACACCGGCGGCACGTTTCCGAGAAGGAGGGAGGAGGGAGCCGAGGGGGAGAGAGTCCCCGCTCGTTGGCTGCGTTTGGCAACGTGCCGCAACATCCGGCTCCACGCTGACCTATGCCCGGGACCTAAGCACTCCGCCGAACGGCTACCCTCCTGAAATCCATTTCATTTTATTTTTCATCGTAGCTACGTAGTTGTAATTTATCTCCATCGATGTGCAATTGCCACAATATATCAACATGTGACTGTCGCCTCGAATCCTCCAGCATGTCCCGTAGTCGACGTCAATGTGTTGCTATCAACTATCTATTTTCCTGCACTCTAGGATCTTTGTCAAGCGTAGACAGGCAGACTTACTCAAATTCCATACATTTAAGCGATCAGTCCCTCGATTTTAGCTAAGCAAGAGTCTGCTGTGCAGCGAAGGGTAGTTCTCGTCGAAATGTACAGTGAGGCTGCTGCTCAAGTCAATGATCCGGCTGGTGGTATACGTTCTTAATAATGAGAAGATGTGAGGATGGCAAAGCTGTGGTTAAAACAAGGTCCTGAAGCTTTTCTGGGTTCCCCTACTAAAGTTAGTACTACAGAAAAGTTGTTACGAATATCTCTTCAATACTTTGAGTCTTTAATCCATTTGCCTGATCTAGCTGAGTCGAATTATATTCTCATCATGAACAAAGATTCGTGCAAAATATGACACATATATGTTTGATAGTTTGAATATAATATCCACAGAGCGGCAAATCACTTCGAATTCTGGGCGGCGAAGCGATGTTGAGCCTCAAAGACGGCAGCAGGTGATTTCCCAACCAGAGACTCGTAGATCTCAGGGTCGGTTGCGCCCTCCAGGCCGAAAATAACGACTTGACTCTTCTCATCCAATCCCAGTTTCTCACGAAGGCTCGGATCTGAGCCAGATCCTAGCATGACACCCATACTGGCAGCCGACGACTCACCACACACCACAGGAACATCACCCTCGTGGCCATTAGCCAATGCCTTCATGCCCTCGACTGCAACGGAATCGGGCACAGCAATGAAGTCACTGGTTAACCAAGTAAGGATCTTCCACGCGGCTGGAGATGGTGCGCGACAAGCCAGACCAGCCATCAATGTACGCAGCGTACCTTCAGACTGACGAAGCTCGCCATTCTTCGCACTCTGCAGGAGACAGTCCGCCTCGGAAGGTTCAACAACAACAAAGCGGGGCACTTCAGCAGGCGTCTTTCGGTTTCCACGGAGATGAGTGTAAAAGCCTTGGAAAATAGCAGCGGCGATACTACCCACACCACCGCATACAAAGACATGGCTGATCCGGTCGAGTCGAGGAATTAACGCGACCGCCTCCTCGAGGACGACCATGTAGGCGTTCATCACGTGCTGAGGGACGTCGTTATCAAAGTCAGACCAGGAGGTGCTGCTAACGAAGTACCAGCCATTCATGCGAGCATCTTCCTTAGCCCGACCGACTGAAGCCTCGTATTCGCCGTCAACGCGAATCACAATCGCACCCAAGTCCATCATACGCTTTGCACGACCGTCGCTGACATGATCGTGAATGTAGTCAACGCAGCGACAACCGAAAATCTTAGCACCATACGCTAGCCCACGGCCTTGGTTGCCGTCCGTTGCGACGCAGACAGTGATGTGCTGCGTAATATCACGATACTTCTCAGTGCGGAGTTCGGCTGCTGAGGGCCAGACACCCTTCTTCGCGTTCACCTCCTCCGCTAAGATCCTATAAACCGAGTAGGGCGCACCAAGCGCCTTGAAGGAGCCAAGTTCGGGCCCAAAGCGTCTGCTCTCATCCTTGACGAATATTTCCTGGACTCCGAGTTTGTGCGCGAGGTTGGGGAGGGCACGTAGAGGTTGTCCGGTGTACTCTGGCCAGGTGCGAATTTCATTGACGGCGGGCATCCAGTTGGAAAGATTTTGCATACAAACGGCCGCGCTGACCTCCGCTTCGATGGACAGGCGGTCTCCATTGGAGTGATGAGAGTACTCCATCTTGACTGGTTGGAAGGTTGGGTGTTCAGGACTCGTTTGGTCAATTCATGTTCATGCCAGCGGTGTCTATCTCTTATCTTGCTCTGCCACTTGCCTTAGGCGACCGTCCATCTCCATATTTAATCCCGGTTCCATTATGTCCTCTCTTTCAACGCCTCAAATCATTCTCGTCCCCGTAGTTTCGGCGCATTCGCCGGGGTGCCGAGCGGCGTTCAACTTGCCACGCCTTTCTGCAAGACCCACCGTTACCCTGACCTTCGTGTGGAGTTCGGCGATTCCTGCGTGCTCCCGAAAACTTGGTTCCATCTAACTCTGATCATGAGTACACCACGCCCTTGTGGGTGGTTATTCCAATCGAGGAGGTCTGATATCAATTGATGTGGCTTGAAAGTTTGCAGAAGAATATCAAATACAGGGCGTAGTGGTGCGACACTTCCTAGGTTCCGCACCGGTTTTGCAGAGAGGGTGCGCCCTGCCGATTGAATAATTGAATAACGTATTTCACATGGGAGCTGGACACCCCAAAGCAATATTCTACGCTGATATCTCAATAAGCACGGTTTTATTTTAATTTATTATTTGCCAATAGCTGTTGGTAAGGCTTTTTATCATCATATATTAAATTTGTACATATGTAGAGATCTAAAACCTACAATGCTGCGGTATCGAAAATTACGTTGCTAGGAGTTAGAAATATATATATCTCGATCATTGAGGGATAGAAACCCATTAAACCCTTCTTAGAGACTAGATACCACGTTAAAAGTATGTATTCTTTTATAAGGATAAGCCCCTATGACCTATGATTGTTGTGATACTAGGTTGTAATTTATCGCATTTACTATGATGTTTTGGGTTGTCCAGCTCGCACGTGAAATACGTTAACCTTCGTCCGCAATATAATTATGTAACGTAACAACGTAGAACAGCCTATGATTGCAATTAATTCGACCTCACGATGTTGAACACGTGCAAGTTTACCACAGCGCAATAAAAACCAGCCAATACCTGCTAGCTTCCGCTCGGAGACCATATAACCCTTAGGTTCGAGTCGCTCCCTTGTAGGTGAAAGGGCAGAGTCACGGGTAACGCCGTCTAGGATAGTGCTGTCGAGGGGAGGAGTAATAAGTTCCTTCTTACGAGTCTCCTTATCCTCTAAGACAACTGTTGGAGTGAATCCTATACATGCTCCCATACATACGATGCATGTTTGACAGATTGAGCCTTTTGTTTATGTTTGTCATTGAACCCTTTGCTTAATGTTTGACAAACTAATTCTTTGTTTAAACAGAGCATGTAAACCCTGGAATTATAGTTCTAATGAATAATGATTCTTCCTCTGCTGTCTCCCTTATATAGTAGTAGCTCACATAGTAGTAGCTCGTCCTCCAACAACAACTAATTGGTTCATAGTACCTGCCTCAGTGATATACTCTATACACTTCCTCGCTAAAACGCCAGAGATTCTGCTGGAATCCGCGCCATACAGCCTTAAGCTGAGGCAGGATATAAGGAGCGTAATTGGCTCTAAGCTTAATATCACCCATACCACCTGGCCAGGGTACTGCATAAATCGGTGGCCTCGAGGGAGATAGCCTTAAGGCCTATAGGGTAATGAGGGCCGATAGGGCTGACAATCAAGAATAGAAGAGCTGATCTAGAGGGTCTAATGCCTAGGGTCTTCTGGGTACGTATTATAGTAGGTCGTAGATATAGAGAGTAGCCACGTTGACTATTCCCGTTAGTGACCTAGTAAAGTAAAGTGCTCTCCCTAAGGTGAGAGTGGACGCTCACTTTATACACTTTGTAATAAACTGGCTTTCGGCCTTCACAAATTTCATAAGAAGCTTTGTTAATGCGTCGCCATCCACAGCAGGCAGGACGATACGCGATGCCGATTTGTTCAGGCGTGCCACATTCTTATCCGGAAGGAACAAACGGATGCCACCTTTCCCGTCTTTATATGCTTTCATTCCTTCAAAGTATTCGAATGCGTAATGAAAAACATATGTTGCTGGGTCTAGGCTCAGGTTTTCGTAGGGAGTAATAGGCGGCGAATCCCTTCCGTCGATTACATTCTACTCTACAGTGAGCATGTGATTTTGAATAGGAATTAGTGAGTGGTTGAAACCTTCGGAACTCGGTGATGTAGACTTACCAGTGAAGTTCCTGCCAAATACGAGATCTATAGAATCTGATAGGTCCTTAGGCTTGATGGTCTGAGTGACAGTCAATTCCGAAGGGTCAAGACCCCGAAGCAGGGATGAGATTGCTCTGCAAGCACTGAAAGTTCCTTCGCATCGCAGATCGAAGGCATAACTGTGCCGTGAAAGCCGCAGGGTATAATGGATGCGATCTTTTTATATCAGTGTAAAGATACGAAAAGCCGCCATTCACCCAACCAAATCATATTTGCCCCTTCAAAGAAACTGAGCGAAGACAGGCTGGACAGCCAAGCACTACTGAGTCAGTCACATAACTCAGCTCTGTCAAAGTAGTGCCAACCTTGCTAGATTGACAGGAGTTTCTCGGCAATCTCTCCCAGCGGCACCGTGACTGTGGCGCCGATATACTTGGTTGTTATTGCCCCTATACCCATCCATTTATCTGGCCCACATTCTGACTCCCTAGGCTATTTGGCGGCTTGGGGTAGGAGCTACTTTTCAAAGTTGATGCCAAACCAATCCACTCGGTCTAGTACCAACCAAACAAGCTAAGCACCCCAGTTGCTCAGATTGGAGCGTCCTGATATCAAAAGGACGGATTGGAATGGTTGAGCCTTGGCTCAGTAGACTTTTCGGCTTTTGCTTCCTATACACCGGTAGCTAATCATCGAGAGAAATCACCAGAGCTTCTGTGTCCAAGCCTATCCCCGCCTTTTCCCCGCATATATTTCGCTATGATCAGCAGACTAGACGAGGCTTTGAGTTCTTAGGCTCTATATAGATTTACTTATAATCTCTGTGGCATACTCACGAAATGTATTAGAACCATCATTGATGTTCTGTTTCATTCTCATAATCTAGCATATATCTTTAAACTACGTCCAGAAAAGCATTCCCCTGCTCAATGTCTAGCTCACGATGGTACGCTTTGCGTGTTGGCTTATTTGCTTCAATAGGCACATTTCTCTATGTATGTATAACCCGCCTTCTCCAGTCTGAATTATCGTACTAAACTTGAAGGGGTTTGACACTGGCATCGCTACAACAAGTAGGTATCATTTGAAGTTACGGAGTTCTGCAATTCACAAGTTCCTGACGACCTCTTGCAGCCATCGCTCATCAAAGCTGGATCGACTACATGCACCATCCGACGCATGCTCTGACTGGTGCGGTAGGCTTTCCCAGCCTTCCAAGTGTTCTATTTATTATTGACATTGCCAGGTCGTCGCAATTTACATCGCAGGAGAAGCAGTTGGTGCGCTGACACAGACTGTCATCGGTGACCGCCTGGGACGGATTCGATTTATGCAACTGATGTGTACAATCGTGACGGTGGGAGCAGCGATACAGACAGCGTCTATCAACATTGGAATGTTTCTAGTAGGGCGTGCTCTAGCTGGAATAGCCGTCGGGTAAGAGCTCCTGCAGTGCAGGACTTTGTTTTCTTCTTCTAGGCTGACTCTTCTCTCCAGAGGAATGCTTTGCGGGGTACCAATCTACCTTAGCGAAATTTCGCCTCCTAAACATCGTGGCCTAATCGGAAGCGTTTCCGGCCTTGGTGTTTCTTTTGGGACAATGACATCCAACTGGGTTGGGTTGGCATGTAGCTATGCGTCGTATGGGCCAAAACAATGGCGTCTACCGCTGGGCCTACAAATTCCCTGGGGCGTCATCCTTTTCATTGGCCTCGCGACATTTATGCCCAACTCCCCGCGTCACTTGGTGCGGCAGGGTAAGATCGCAGAAGCTCATCACGCTTTCATGAAACTGCATGACGATCTCACCCGTGATCAAGCCGAGGAAGAGTTCAATCTCATGCGTCGTCAGATTGACTATGAGATGAGTCGTGAGATAACTTCACTTAGGGAGGTCTTTATCCGGTTCAGACATCGAGCACTTATGTATGGGTTCTCCCACGTTCGAAACTTCGCTTGGCTTTTTCTAATACCTCGGGTTTGCTAGCGCGATTTCTGTCCAAACCATGACAAGTCTTACCGGCGTCAATGTTATCCAGGTAAATTCCCCAGCTCCGTCCCGAGACCAACAAATTCAATGGCTAATCAGTTTTCTATAGTACTATTCAAGTAATGTTTCATAGCAACTGGGAGTAAGTGGTCCTCACTAACGTCCTACAGCAATCCTTTTTCGCGGTCTTGGTATAAGTGACAAAAACGTGCTTGTTTTGGTTGGAGCGTACGGTGCAATTGCTTTCATTGTAAATGCAATCAGTGCTGTGCTTCTCACTGATCGCTGGGGCCGTCGCAAGTAAGTAACGGTCTTTCCATGGTAGAGGCAATGCGTGGACCTGTTGCCGGACTGACGCTTCATCTCATCACAGGATGCTTCTCACTGGAATGGCAGTTATTGTCCTCGTTGAGATCTACACTGCTATCATGCAAGATCAATTTCAAGCCACGGACAATAGTGTCGGCAAAGCCTTTGCTGTACTGGGTATATTCTTATTTATCATTGGATTCTGTGAGCTTATATCTTTTTACTTGGAATTCAAAATACTTACCATGACGTCGTATTGCAGATGGCTTATTGATAAGCACTTCTTATGTCTATGCGGCTGAAGTGCTTCCTATTGCATTGCGTTCCAGAGTCATGGGGCTGGCGATTGCCTCCCATTTCATTGTCAATGTTGCCAGTAAGTGACACAACTACGGCGGTGCTCCTTTGATTGCTTCATACAGCCACCTCCAAGTTGGAGTCCCCAAATATTTCGATGGCAGTTGAAGCTAATCGTTTTATTTTCAGTCACCGAGGCCGGTCCCACCGCGTTTGCCACTATCAAACAGAACTACTACTATGTTTTCGTTGCATGCACTACATTTTTCTTCGTGGTGGCATATTTCTACTTTCCGTAAGTTCTAATAAACAGTCGAAACATTCCTCCTCACCTGGTTATGTGTCTCCATTGCACCTACGTATTCTTCGATTTGATATTAACTTTCAAAATTCTCTCAGTGAGACTACACAGAAATCACTGGAAGAGATTGCCGCTGCCTTCGGCGACAGAGTGGTCCCTGCAGATGATAACAAGCCCTCCGATAAAGTGACTGCAGAGCAGGATAAAGGAGATGTTATGCATATTGAAATGCGCTAAGCAGGGCTTGGTAATGGGGCTCGAAGTGAACCTAAGCAGGATATGGGACTTGAGATCTCTTGTTGAAGGTGGATTATCTGGGTGCACAAACCAAATTATTTCATGGCTTCCGTGCCGTAGTGACATGGAATCCTGTATATATTCCTAATAGTGAGCTGCAACTGAGCGGATCTTACGGAATACAAGAGGACAAAAGAGAGTGTGTATTGAAACTACCGAGTACTAAGGTTTAAGGTGAGATTCGGAGGTTATATTTTCGATGACACCAGTCAAGACTTTACAGACAATGATTCATTATACATTTGCAAAATTATTTCTATCAGAATAGAAAGGCTAGGGGGACTAGTACTTTTACAGAGTGACCGAGTCATAAAGATGGCTACGGCCAGGGGTCCCGGATGAGTGTCTCTACCCTAAAACATATCAGTTCGCAAAGTATGTGGCAGCCAGGGTTCATCGTCCTGCATCCTTCATGGAAAAATGTCATCTGTTATGCATGGGTAGGTCTGGAAGGTGATGATGAGTTGAATAACGAAGCAAGGGACGTAGTGGCTAAGTTAAGAATCTTGTGAGAGAAGGATGAAATTGATAACATAAACATTTCTCTTCTAGTATATGCCACATTCATGCTACAGTCTCAACACGTACACGCGTCTGATTTACTTGTGTAAGGCCATGTTAATATGAATGGTCTTCGACTGCAGATATTCCTTCAGTCCTTCAGTGCCTCCTTCACGCCCGATACCACTCTCCTTCCAACCGCCGAAGGGCGTGGACTTGTTAGGAACAAAGCCAGTGTTGATACCAATAGTACCAGCTGCAATGCGACCAGCAACACGAAGTGCTCGTGGGATATCGGAAGTGTAAATTGTTGCTATAACCGGGTCAGCCTTGCCACAGCAGCAGTATGTGAGATAAATACTTACATCCTAGTCCAAACCGAGTGTCATTGGCCAAGCTGATCGCCTCTTCCTCGTCTTTGAATGTTCGTACACACAGAACAGGCCCAAAGATCTCATCGGTATAGACTTTGCTCTTAAGGTCGGGGTTCAATAAAACGGTGGGTTGCAGGAATGTGCCCTTGTTGCCGATTCTCTCACCACCAGCCAGAACCTCGATACCTTCGGCCTTGCTGTTCTCCACGAAACTCATCACATGGTCAAAGTGCTTCTTATCAGCCAAGGGGCCAAAGACCGTCTCCACGGATGATGGGTCACCCATCTTAGTGGCTGCTTCCACGAATGCCACCTTAAGAGCTTTGATGAACTGCGAGGCGATGTCCTCTTGGACGAGTACACGAGATGCTGCAACGCAGACTTGGCCAGAATTTCGAAGAAAGGTAGTACTGCTGTGAAAGACTGCGTTGGTCAAGTTGGCATCCTTGAAGATTATAGCAGGAGACTTTCCCCCAAGCTCAAGCGTGACTCGCTTGAGGTTTGATTTTGCTGCTGCGAGCTGGACAGCGCGACCTGTGTTAACAGACCCGGTGAAAGCAATTTTGGCAATATCCATATGGCTTGCGAGAAGTCCGCCAACCTGACCAGCCCCGGCCACAATGTTGAACACACCTGGTGGGAAACCGGCCTCGTTGATAAGGTTCCCATATTGGCAGAGCGCGATAGGAGTTTTCTCGCTTGATTTCAGAACGAATGTGTTTCCAGCAGCTACCGCTGGAGCTGCCTTCCACGAAGTTTGCAAATGAGAGCCATTCCAGGCACAGATTCCGGCACAGACGCCCAGAGGCTCATACTGAACGAGCTTGTACAGATTGTCACCATCTGGTGGGATACATTCTCCTCCAGTCTTGGTAGCTGCGCCAGCATAGTAACGCCAGAGACTGATGGCGAGACCAATGTTCGCACGCGCAATACTGATCGGTTGCCCCATTGCACGGCCTTCAAGAGTTGCCAATTGCTCCACGTTTGACTCGAGGAGGTCTGCAAACTTGTTCATAATCGCCGCTCGTTGAAGGGTAGGGGTCGCCTTCCATCCCGGAAATGCAACCTCTGCGGCCTTGACTGCAGCGTTTACGTCAGCCTCGCTAGCGACTTGAATCTTATCCGTAACAATCGAATCATCGTTGGGGCTGTAAATGGTCAATGTCTCCTTCGTCGACGAAGGAACATACTAAGTTGACAGCGGATTAGCAATATTTTCATTTGTAAGAGACAATTTAATCCACCTACTTTCCCCTTGATGAACAAGTTAGTTTCGTACGACATGATGAGCGGCGTCCAGGAGCTGATTGTTCGATGTCGTGTAGTTATGAATGAGAATCGAGTTAACTTGAAGAGAGTGCGAAAGTACGCTTTTAAATTGCTCATGTAGTCAGCTTGATGCTGACCCAAGCTCCCAAGGTTACTTCTGGCTAACTGCGTGCCATGATGTCGAGCCTGCAATATTTTTGGTTGCCACTAGCCCCCTCATTTCCCTATCAAAACCCCGCATCATTGCCCCCGGAGCACGCCCTGTGAGATGTGGGGATTGGCAAGGATGCGACCTCCCGCCGGGATCTATGATGACCTGCCGATGGGTATTATTGTAATAGTTTCTCGGTTCGGAAGTTCTGTGACCGATGCAATGTCGATGCAAGTCATCTTTGGTTTCCCTCACTAACTTCAGAAACTTGTACGCTCGGGCCTGAAACATATCTCCGAGGTTGACCAGGCGATTCTGCCGGTCTTCCGGTCTGGATGCTTAGGATTAAAGATAAATGTACTTCCACGTGAATACGGCTTTTCACCAGAATGCCGACTAGGTTTACACGCCCTTTACACGCCCTTTCAACCCCCCCCCCCCGGGGGCGTATCCGGCCTATGAACCTACGATACAACCACAATATCGGACAAGTGCAAATTACCGGCGACTGCGGGGAATGGCGGGGATTTGATGTGGGGAACCGGTTTACAAGCTACAAGACCACGAGACGGGATACAAAAGGCAAGACATCTCTGTACTTCGATGAGGACCTTAGAAGGAACCAGCAAATTCAATAAATATTGAAAGCAAACCATGACACGAACTGCAGCAACACAGCACGCTTGGGCTGTCGTCGAGCACGGCAAGCCCCTCCAAAAGATTGAGATTCCAATTCCAGAGCCAGTCGGCACCGAAGTCTTGATCAAGGTGTCGCATTGTGGGGTCTGCCATTCCGATTTGCACTTCTGGGAAGGCTCGTACGATCTGGGTGGTGGGAAGCGCTTGTATGTGAAAGATCGAGGCGCGAAGTTGCCTCGAGCTTTGGGCCACGAGATTCTGGGCGCAGTGGCAAAGCTTGGACCGGATGCTGACCCTGCATCAATCCCCATTGGCGCCAGTCGAGCGGTCTACCCTTGGGTAGGTTGCCAAGATTGCCGCCATTGTGAGAGTGAAGATGACAACCTATGTCTTGGCCAGAAGATCCGCGGTATCTTCTCCAATGGAGGATTTGCCCAGTACATCACAGTGCCTCACCCTCGATACCTGGTTGACTACGGCAGCGTCGACCCTTCTATCGCTTGCACTTTCGGGTGCTCAGGACTTACTGTCTTGAGCTCCATCCAAAAGCTGATGCCTCTTCGGCCCCAAGACCCTGTTTTGTTGATCGGCGCTGGTGGTCTTGGATTGAGTGGTATATCGATGCTCAAAGCTCTGGGTCACGAGCGTATAATCACGACCGATATTGCAGCCGATAAACTCGCGGCAGCCCTTTCCGCTGGCGCAACTGCAGTTGTCAACAGCAAGTCTCAAGATCCAGTCGAGGAGATTATCAAGAATGCCGGTGGACCCATTTCAGGGGTTATCGATTTTGTGGGCAACAAGCAAACAGCCGAGCTTGCAATGGCCAGTATTGTGAAAGGAGGCAAAGTCGTCGTGGTTGGAATCATGGGAGGAGAGATGAATCTGTCACTGGTACCGTTCACCTTCGGTGCCAAATCAATCCTGGGCAACATTACTGGCACACCTAAACACATGCGTGAAGTTGCCAAAATTGCCAACAGCGGCAAGTTGGCTCCGATTCCTATTACCAAAGTGCCATGGGAGCTGGCGAACGACGCGATTCAACGGCTCCATGAAGGAAGAGTGACAGGAAGATTGGTCCTTGTTCATTAGGAACCCTGATATGCGCGCAGCCATTATTGTTTGATGCTGTCTGCCCCGTGCTATGAGCAATCCGTGATTCGGATCATGCATTATCATAGCTGAAGCTGTGCTTTGTGTGTTCGCAGTACATAGATCACCAGTCATACGAAAACAAGGAAAACAAGATAGCCCAGAAGAGTTAATTGCAGTATCCCGCTTCATTCGGTTGCAACCTCATGATATGGTTTAACTTTATACGGTGTGGTAAAGATCGAGAATCCCTCGATCCGTATCTGTCCATCTCGTGTTTTTCTCTCACCCAATCTTTCACGCTACTTGGAAATCATTTTTTTCTGTGGGCTATCTAATAGCTCATAAGCCGTGTTACTAGTCTGTGATACATTCCGCATTTTTAGGCCAAAAACCTCTGCACTAAGCTGGTAGAATCACAGTCCTATATACTTAGTCGATCAGAAGTCTGCATAGCCAAGTACAGTCGAGACTGCATCAGACTCTGAATGAATACACACACATACATATTATAATATATATTATTACCATCATGATCCCTTCGATGGGCGTCGTGCTGCTCGTCTTGAGTTCCGGGTCCGTTGTTACAAAGGAGTGACTTGGTGAATCAAGGCCAGCTATAAGGAGCGCTTTCCGGAGACCGAGCAGCATGTGTTCGACCAAAATCACAGGGAACAAGAAGACCAGTTCGTTTATGAGAGGGAAAAATCAAACCGCAAATTCGTGTGGAGTTGCGCCTAGGGTGGTCTGGGGTGGTCTGGGATTGATTATGAATTGCCGCTACGGGCGTTCTCGGTATCAGTATATCAACGCCGTGATTGGCTATCCCAGATATTATCCCGATTGACCAATGACCTTATTTCCTTGCACCGGAGGAATATGATGAATGATACATCACAACTCCGATTGGGACGCCCGATAAATGGTGGTCAGGTAGCGATATTTACTATCTTTGTCATTGGTGCCGGGCTGTCATATGCCTAGCACCTCGGCTTGGATTGTGATCGTGCTTCTCTAGGATCTCCGCGTTTTTGTGTTTCTGCTCTTTGATAAGCTCTCTGATCACTATATCTGATACTGCGATAGAGCGTTAATGCTAGAACTAGCAGCTCGGTGCTGAGCTAGTTTACGAACAACTTCGATAGATTTATCGTAGAGTTCGGGGGAAGGGGGCTTTTGAACAATGCCCTAGATGATCTTAATATAGATCTTCTTGTTTTCTTTTAGCGCTAAAGCCGATACTGCTATTGCGCAAAGTTGGTCCCCTTTAAGCTTGGGGACGATCTTCGAAATGTCAGATTCGTTCTGACGATCGAAATCGTAGGTGGGCGGTATGTTATTGTCCGGTATGGGTATGTTTTGTGACGGTCGAAAAAGATCGAACGGTTATTGTAGGGAAAGTATCTGGATCGGGGACGAACGGTCTGATGGCGGTCGGTGTGAGAACGGCCTATAAAAGGGCGGTCTTGTTGAACGGCCTCGAGACGGTCGAAAAACGATGTAGAAGTGATGCAAATAGATGCTATTGATGCAATCTAGATGTAGGAGAATGGAGAGTTCTTATTGGTTAAATCAGAAGTGCTCGGGTTGTCGAGGTTCGACGTGATTGGAAAACTCTGCTAGTGGGGCCGTGTTGGGACCACACACAGAGGCTTGGCGTGACGCACAACGCCGGGGAAATGGGGACTGCTGTGAAACAGGGGCCTCGGGGACAGGCGCTCACAACCTGAGAAGAGATGCTACTGAGAAATGTAGGATACTCTTGAAAATAGATAGATGCGTGAAGAAGAGAGAAACTATCTACATGTGAGGCTAGCTAATGTGTGCAGGAGCAGACGAGGTCACGTGACCTCCAACAGTATGTTGTATTTCTATTTTAAAGATGTAATGATTCTAATTTTATGACTATTCAAGGATCACTGTTATCCACTCATGCTCAGCGCGTCCGTACATCATGTCTCCCAACCATCCTTTGATCTTTCCGGTGATTTCTGCAGGGCTACCATCAGGACCAGTTGGGATATTAATGTCCCTTCCACGGTGGTGGATCTGTGAAATAGGGGTAATAAACCACTTCGTGTCATTAGCATCATGCATTTATTACTTTCGGAGCAATAAAACTTACAGCTGTACCAGCAGCAAAAGCCTCAATCAGTCGATTCTCAGCAGCCGCTTCTTGCAGGTCATCAATCGTGAACCTCCGCTCGGTGACCCCGATGTCCAAACGCTCTCTCACCAACTCAATACAACTCCGGCGGGTAACTCCATCCAAGATCAGCTGGTCATCCAACGGAGCAGTAATAAGCTCTTTCTTTCCATCCTTCTTGCGATGCCACAAAACAAAGAAATTGCTACCCCCGGCCTCAGTACAAAAGCCCTCTGGACCATACAACCAAAGAATCTGGTGATATCCCTGACGAATAGCTTCTTGATTAGCCAAGACTGACGGGCCGTAGTTGGCTCCAACTTTGGCATAGCCGAATCCTCCGACCCATGACCGGACCATATCATCCGGGGAAGTCAACAAGCGTTTTCCGCCCACTGGGGTATCCAAACGAGGCGTAAAACCAATGATAATATAAAGCAGAGCTTCTTGTGGTGTTGTCACACCAAGCTGGGAATCGGTACCGATCATTGTTGGACGGACATAAAGAAATTGCCCAGCGCGGTCTTTTGGGAGCCACTTTGAGCCCTCGACCGACACTAGTTTGTGAATGAGCTTCTCTAGCTCATCTGGGTCGAAGTGAGGCAGAGAGATACGCCCAGCGGACATCAAAAAACGACGAGAATTGCGATCGGTACGAAACATCCGAAGCTTTCCATCTTCGCCCCGGTAAGCTTTCAGACCCTCAAAGCATTCGTAGGCGTAATGCAGGCATGATGCGCTTGGCAGAAGACTCAAGGGGCCGTAAGGCTTCAATTCAGGCGCTGACCAACCAGCGCTGACCTTCCAAGAGGCGGTGATCATGTGGTCCGTGCATATGGTTCCGCTCTTGTGGAGTTTTGCTTCGGTTGGAACTTCTCGAGGGTTGGTGGTGTATATGCAAGTCAACTTAGACGCGTCGAGTGGCTGTTGGTCGGTCATATTGAGCATAAACGAGAGATGAAATGAACTGACTAGGCGTAGGCAGCTATAACATTGCGTTTCGGATAGTAGTATATATATCACAGAAGTCCCCGACTCTCGAGCTGTATACTTTTCCTCGTATCCGCAGGCACGCCTTGCAGGTTGGGGAGACACGCCCTAGCAAGTCTGTTTTGTGGGCCCGGCAAAGAGTATATTGTGCCGGCGCCACACATGGACCGAACCGAACGGTTATCATCGGATTGCGCAACTGGTGATAGATTTCGGTATCGTCCCTGAGGTCGTCAGGAGTTAATCAGGGTCATCGATGTTCAGAGCCAAAAGAAATCGCACCACGTCTCCCGAGGTCCTCTCCCCGACCATATTAGTTCATTCTTTGGCTTTTTTGAAGCGGCTCGGTCATTCGATGACAAAACCCGTTGAATCATCTTCACGACGACCAGTTAGCGGCATCCGGAGTAAAGGCAAGCACGCCGAGTACCCAATATAGGATCATGGCGACTCGGGGTTATCTCATCGACACCGGTTGGTAAAGAGCCAGTTTCATTTCTTCCTTTCTTTTGATTTCTTTATTAGCTTTACTGAAGCCCTTTTTTTCTTTCTTTTTTTTTCCCTTTCTATATATAGAAGGATTTCGTTTGTCTAGGAATTGGTATCTTTTTAGCCGAAATACAACCATGGCAGCTCAAGCTAAACAAATTGTTTTAACGAACAAGGCACCCGCACCCAAGCCATTTCTCTCTCAGGCTGTGACTCTGAATGGCCTGGTTTATACATCAGGAGCCGTCGGCATGGATCCTACAACGGAGAAACTAATCCCTGGAACAACTGCAGATCGAACTGTAAGTTATTCGGCTTTTCGATCACGGGAGCTTGTCGCTAAACCACAACAGGAACAATGCCTCAAAAACGTTTCAAATATATTAGAAGCCGCCGGTAGCTCCATTGAGAAAGTTGTAAGTTTTACAGAGCAACCATCTTCAGACAGCCAAGTGGAAAGAAACAAAATCTCACGCAACGAAATTGGAATTGAAGCTCAAGGTCACAATTTTCATCGACGACATGGCTAATTATGCCTCTATGAACGAAGGTTATCTAAAGGTCTTTAACAAGGGAGCCATGCCGGTATGAACTTGTCAATCTAGAATCTGGCAGTCATTCTAGTTTGCTAACTAAACCATTGTCGCTGATTAGGTCCGGACCTGTGTAGCTGTCAAACAGCTGCCCCTTGGCACAGATGTTGAAATTGAAGTCATGGCGCACCAGTAGTGGTCTTAAGACATGACATATTGTGGCAAATGATCTCAGGTTCCATATTTATATTGAGGGCTTTGTCAGGCCATACCGTGAGCCGATTATTATCTTACGTGCATGACATGATTCACGTTTCCATAATGTACGATGATAAGACACTGGCTTCACATATTGACCTAAGCTGGTAGAAAAGTGGATATAGAATTGACGTATTGTATAAGACCAGGGTTGAAGTTCGTCACGCAGCCGTCGTCAAGAATACTTCGTTTGAAAGCCTCAATTGTCGACATGGAACAAACTGTATTCTAATCCTGTAATTCTATGGTTCCATCACATGGACAACTTTATTGTCAACGAGAAAACTGTCTTTTTGAGCCTGAGGATGCCCTGAGTTGATCGGCCAAGTATCAGTGTTCTTACTGGTGATTGCATTGCCTTCCTACTTCAAGCGCTCGCCCCGTTAGTCAAGTGGGTTTTGTATTGATAAATCATGGCTCAAACTATTGGGGGGGAGCTGGCAGCATCTCTACAAATTTAGATAGGCAGTGGCAGAGAAGGAGTAAACGGGCGGGCGGTGGAGAGTCGTCAACAGAGTAATGACAGTGTTAACTCTCAATTAATAAAAAAGTGCTACATGAATATCTTAACATTGACAATAATACAGATATGAGCATTCGTATATTGTTGTGAGGGAGAGAGGTTTACATGGTGGACGTCGAAGTGCATGGTGCAATGTGAGATGAGATTGTTGTTAAAGCTAAGAGCTAGACTAAGAAATCCGACAGTTGTCTTGGTTGAACATCCGATATTGCTGTCTGTAAGTAGGTTACAGGACTGGAGAAGTAGGTTGGGTGGCTAGGAAGGGGTCGCTGAGTGCACGTCCGTGGATGGTTTTGAACAGATTGATTCCACTCTGCTGTAACCTCAGCCTAGTCAACTAATGAAATGCCTCTGTCAACAAGAACACCTCAATCTTAACCCTATACATTGTTTGGCATAAGCTCGCCCAGAGTAAATCCAAGGCTTTTTCCAACATCTTCAAGACTCTTCGTTTGCACAGCAGAGTACCATGCATCAAGGTCCGAAATCTTCGCATCCATGGCCTTCTCCAGGCCCTTTGGGTCTGCCACCGACTGACTCACGCCTAGTGAATATTGTGACGCGGATTTAGAGGAATTGCCCGTCTGCAAATTTGACTGAAAGATTCCTGCAGCAGAGAATGGTAGGAAGTCCTCGTATGTGATAGGTAAAGCTTCCACAGCGTTCATAGAAATTAGCTGTTCAAGAATAGGACCATCCTTCAGATCCAAATCCAGTGACGACATGGTGGCGGCTTGCTTCACGTAGAACTCGCAGTATATGAGACCCTGTAGTCTAAGCTCCCGCCAGGTATCGGGAAACTCCTTGAACACTTTGGTAGCAATGACGGCGGCTTGGATGGCTGTGGCGCCTGCGGAAAGCCTTTTGGACTCCCGGAGTAACCTGTCATAAAGTTCTCGGCCTTTTGGAGTGACTGCTGCACCACGTTCCTCAATTTCCCCAAAACGCGCCTTATGACGGGCCTCAATCATGGCTTTCTGCGACCCAAGGGCAATGCTCTGGCTCTCATTTTGCCTAAATCGAACTGCCTCTTCTAGAGCAAGGAAACTGGTTTGGCGCAACAGGATCGGGCATTCGCGAGCTGGTGGACCTTCAATAGCATCCTTAGCAGCCATGCCAGCTTTTTTCATAGCCAAATGAACTGCCGAAATGTCCAAAGTTCGGGGAGTAAGGTGGTTGATATGTGCGCTTTGAAAGCATGCGATATCGGCTAAAATAGGATGCTCGGCCTTCAGGACCTGATATTGATCAATGGTAGCCGCCGCGACAGACTGCCAGCTGAAGGTGGATAAAGCCTCTTGGATAAAAGCCTCAGTTTGCTCTTCTTTCAGCCTCCCGCCCTGCATTTCCGCTACATCGAGGATATTCAACAAAAGATCGCTGAAAATGTTGCGCTTCTCTAGCAACTTCAATGAGAGCCGACGGGCTTCTTCAGAAGCTAGTAACTCAGGCCGTAGTAAAGTAGTGAACACACGAAAAGGATTGGAGTTGAGGCTTGACACCGTCAGAGGGCGAAAACAGGTTGCATGCATTGGTAGTCCCGCGATTGAGAGATCGTAGTATCCGATTGGGTGCATACCCAAGACTTCAAATATCCTCTTGATTGTTCGGAGCTCGTAAGGGGTACCGAGGCGGATTGCACCATGTCGTTCTTGAGTCAGGCGCTCAATGTTGGCCTTGATGCCTGTAGCGTCACTGGGTTGGGCTTTTGCGTTGACGCTGCTCAGCATCCTCTCATTGGCGTCGTGCACAATGTCGATTAGGTCACTGTAAAGCGGCACCTCGCTGCGGTACATACTGGACATGGCTGCAGCAAAGCGAGTCCGCAAGGCATCCTTATCGACGTACGTCGTCGGAGTTGTAGTTGAAACCATGACTTAAATGGACTCGTCGCTGGGAACTTGAAATGTGGGAAATGATCTGAGTTGATTTCCAGCAGCTGTGCCGCAGGTAGTTCTGTCAATAAATATCTATGCCTGGGAACACGACTTGCTTCTACCCTATGTCTTGGTCGATCACTCATATGGTCACACGTTTCGACGTGTCCATGAATCAAGGCATTCCATTGGTGAGACCATATTCGGGAGGTGGCCACATGTGCCGACGGTTGCGAACAACTTGTGCCGAGAACGTTCTTGAAGGCGGGTTAGGTAGGACCGGAAGCTCGGCTTCATGAGCAAAACTAGTGTTTGACTAAGCTAGTTGCTACCACAAAATAATGGACCCTTAGGCCCCTCTGTCCATATTATCGTGGTCAGAATTGTCAATAGAGAGATAGCATGGGCTTGGCTACACGGGACTTGAATGGACGTCCGGTCTGCTCAGAAGATCACCAAAGAGAGTAACAAAATTATTTAATAATCGCTTTCTACCCAAACAGCTCCTTGTGATATTACACGCCCCACCACTTGCTGGTTCTATTGTCTCTCCTCCCCCAGATAGATCAATAGAGCACCTTTTCTTTCAGCCCAAGAATCTTCCTTCCCTTGTATTCAAAGCTCCTCGCTACTTGCTACCTATAAGTTAATGGCAAATTTTATTGGTCTAGGCTATGAGGACAATGACCATGAGCTTTGTGCTCGATAAGGATGTATACTGTGCCTATGATGCACCAAGTTTCTAACACTTTGACCTTTTGAGGAAGCTTCAAATGTCGCGTGAAGCCGCAATGCGACTTCGACAATATACAAGCAGTTTTGACTCCTGTCTCTAGACCCCAGGATCGAATTTCTTTTCATAGAGCATCACAGCCAAGTAACATATAGTAGCGGAATGAAGTAGAGTTATGCGGATAATTGCTCTTCCGTCCCAGTTGTTTCCCCGCATCGGCCTCGAGTCATGCCGGTTGTGCATCCGCAACGTCCCCTGCGAGCCTTTGAGAACTCTAGGCCTGCAAGGGACATGGCTGCAGAAGGGGAAATACCGTGCGGAAATATGGGCCCAGTGTCCCATCTAAACCGGGCAAAACCAGTCGCGTTCGTCCTCAGTCGTCGCTTTGCTGTTATCGTGTCGCTAAATCCGTTTTCCAGCTGTCGAAAATGCCATGCAAGAAAAGTCAGGTGTCCGGGCGGTCAGCCTTGCCTGAATTGCGTTCAGTTAGAATGTGAAACTTCTTGCACGTACCCCAAACGAGATCGGCAAATCAAAGTTAGCCAGAGGTCGGTTTCCTCGTCCTACCATTGCGAACCAGCACTAACCAAGCCACTAGTTATGTCGAGAGCTTGGTGCGTGAGATTGAGCAATTGAAAGCTCGAAATCTACAACTTGCCCTTGTCCCTGAGCCGACTGCTCAACCAAACAATTCTGTGGTCGACTTTGACCAACACCTTCAAACTACTGATGAGCCGTCCCACAACCCCGTACTGGGTGAAAAACCCTGGTTTCTACCTATTGATTCCTGCAAAGTACCTATTTACATAGGAGAAGTTGCTGATACTGTATTTGCGACCCGTTTGCGGCAACTTATCACAGGTAAAACTCTAAGTCATATGCCTCGTATCGCATACCCTGGTCATGATCAGATCTTAGAGCTTGCGAAGACTGAAATCCCTCGGCCTGGAGCATCCCACGCTCGATTTCTTCTCCGAGTTGCTTTGAAATGCCTAGCGGGATCATTTCATATCGTTCGCAAAAGCCTGGTTTGTGACCTGTTAGAGCAATTTCTCCAAGCATCTCAATCACTTGATTCACTTTCGACATGCAAGATTCTTGCGCTTCTTGCTCTAGGGGAGCTTCACTCTAGCCGTTTCCAAAATCAGGAAACACAGGTACCTGGTCTTGTGTACTATAGTCATGCTAGTCGAGCTCATGGGCTACTCGAAGAACGGCCTTGCGTTGACTCGATCGAAATTTCATTGATCCTGGTGAGTCTGTTGTTCAAAGCCACCAACAATCTTCCTAACCATTTAAAAGTGTCTATACGCTCTTTGTATCAATAGACGTCATTCAGCTTACTTTTTAGCAAGCTCCGCCGTTCGCCGTGGCGTCGTCATGGGGCTGAATTTCGACTTTCCTAATACTCATATGAATGACCCTGAGCTGAAAGAGCACCTCAAACGTGTTTGGTGGGCTTCATATGTGCTGGACCATTTATGCGCATCTATCAGCAGCCAACTAGTGTCGATTTCGGACAAAGATATCTTCGTCGATCTCTCATTGAGCACAAACGTTGCCGGCCAACCGCAGGGCGATTTTCCACATACGGAGTGGATAATTGCAAGGGTCGATCTAGCAAGGCTCGCCAGGAGAACCATAGAGTCCGTCTACGGGCGCGGGCAACAAAAAGTATCATTTTTGCAACGGGTGCAATATTCACTTCGGGACCTCAAGCAATGGTTAAATGATTTGCCAGAAGACATGCAAATGGGCGCAGAATCTTCACATTTGAAACCGCAGCCAATTCAGTCTCTGCACCTTCATTTCAACCAGGTAAATGAATCACCTTTCCTAGATTGTAATAAGTCTAACCAGCCCAGTCCGTTATTCTTGCGACCCGTCCCATTTTACTTCACAAATTGCACATGCACAAAGACTCGAATGGGAATACCCCAGCTAGTGTAGATCAAGCAATCTCAATCAACGTTGAAACCCTGGCAGAAGCATGCATTAGGTGCGCTCGGCACTCATATTCTACCATTGTCGAATCCTGGATTGAAGGAAACTTTGGAACATTTGACTATTTCAACACCCAGCACCTCTTTTCTGCGGCTACCGTTCTGGCTATCTCTTGCCTCATTGGTGGTCCTGGCAGCTCCAAGGACCGTGAGGACTTTGAATTCGCGGGTGAACTCCTCGAAAGGCTGCGCGACTCCGGAAGTTTTGCTGCCATGGAATTCTGTCGTCACTTTGATGAGCTAAAGGCAGATATTCGCTCATTTTGGTCTGGCTTACCAACGACAGAAGCGCAAAGCTTTGAACCTAACATCACAAGCACCACTGCCTACCCGAATCAAGCGCAGCCCTTCCTGCAGCCGGGAAATTCAATGACCTCAGGTATGGCATTAGCAGAGCCATCTGTTGAGGCATTTCTCCAAAGCGAACAGAGCCTGGCTCAGCTGGATGTCTTCTGGGATCATACTGGACAGGCAGGGCTATATTGGCCAGTAGGGGATTTGGTTTGAAGGACTTAAACCGCCATTTGTCACAAAAGAACCAATCAATGTATGTTCTCGAATTACGAAAATCTCAAAAACCCAGACGAGCCTCTGAGCAGACGAGCCCTTTCATTACCACCATGTGAAATGAAGGAGCCAGCAATGCCCCCAGAACCCCCCCCCTAACCCCATAACAATATTGAGGGCTGAGGTTATTGGACTCTGTGGTACTCGACAGGCCAGCCATACCGAAGAGCCACAAAATGAAACTTGCAAAGGCTCAACAATTTGGGGTCTACGTTGCATCAAGCGCATTCGCAAGCTCTCCGATAGCTTCCTATGTCCGATTATAAAACATCGTTCCTCTACCCAGACACCCAAATAGATCTGTAGTGTATCGTCGGGAAGTCCATATCACGGCCATCAAACATTACTCAAGTCGAAAATCTGTTTCTTGCCTGAAGCTTTGAAAGAAAATTGGCTCCTTGTGGTAATACCACGACAGCTTTGCATAAGCAAGACAGATTACAATCTAAATGATAAAGCTCTAGCAATAACAAAGTTTCACTATCAATTAGCAAACCTATACCCTTGAACATCATTTACCCCCGAATCACATTTATATAAGCCACTAAATCCGAGCTACGTAAATTAACACCAAGCCTAGGACTACAAGCTTCATAAGAACACTCAAACGTAACATCTTTTGAAGAGAATTCAAGAAATACTTTATCTTGAGTACGTAGCTTTCCCAACATGAAGGGGCTATGCTTGTCAAGACTATTAAGGGGCATTTGAAATGTCCTCTTGTTCCCATGGAGTGAATCTTTCTTCATTCCTACGTACTAGCGTTATACGAGAAGCGTACGCTAATAGAGACTCCTGGAGTATAGAGAATTGCATTGGTCATGACATCTTGAAAGAAAAATGGCTTTGGTGCAGTGCCCTATCGGTGTGAGCTTATTGTTTCATTTTTCGTCAAGGTCTTCAATCGGGCACTTTGGAGGTGCAGACCTCATACGGGCCCTGTTCCACCACTGTCGGCTCCACCGAAACCCGCCCGTCGGCTCCGCCGGGGGCACCCAATAACCGTCCATCGCACCTAGTGCGTTTCTATCACCGTTTTTCGCACAGGATGTGCAACGCATAACCGCCATAGCCGTCGACAGCAGACCCGTTTCGGTCTCTGCTTTCATAACCGTCTGCTCGTACCTCCCTTGTTATGCGTCATAACCGTCCACCATAACCGTCAGCCATCATGGCTTCGACTTCGAATACAGTCCGGAAGACATGGGGACAGATTCTAGAGAAGACCTGCGTTGAATATCTGTGAGAGAGAGAGTCAGGAAGAAACTACAGAAAGGTGTCTATCTAAATACCTCACGTGGGCGGCAGCCTAAGGCATCCTCAACTTCAATGGCTCGGCGTTTTGAAGATTCTCCGAGGCTCGTACGCAAGGGAATCTAACGTGTCCAACTCTTTTTAGTCTCTCTCAATTTGTTCCACTCTGTGGCCTGTATAACGTATTTCGAATTCTGCGCCAACTTGATACAATGCGCCGAGTGATCAGGATCTTTCCTTGGCAAGGGGCTGGCGTACGCCCACAGGTCTTTTTCCTTTCGCGCTTGCCACCACATCAAATCGACCGTGCTTCATCCACCGTCGAATCGAGTCGAGCGGCAGCGCCTCTTTCACAAAATGGTCAGTTCGACGAAACTTAGATACTACTGCAATTACCCCTTCCGAATCATTGCAATAGGTCAATATCGAATATGTCGATCTTGCTGGACAAATGGCAGCTGTCACAAGCCATGGCTGATATCTGAGCACTCCAGACTATTTGAATAAAACTAAAGCCGAGGGTATACTGCGCCTAATGCCTCTGGGCGGATCAGTTACCCGTGGTGTTGGATCGTCTCACGGGACGGGGTATAGGAAATTCCTGCTGCAAATTCTTCACCACCATGGCATCAATGCCCGCATGGTAGGCTCACGGAAGGATGGAATCATGCCTAATAATGATCATGAGGGCTGGCGTGGCTTCAGAATCGACGAGATCGAGAGGAAAGCCAGGAAGTCAGTCGAAGAGTTGTCCCCTGACATTTTCATGGTCAATGCCGGCTCCAATGACTGTCTCCAGTCCTTCAAAATCGCGGAGGCTGGGAAGCGCATGGGTGATATGCTCGATTACCTTTGGCTTGCTTGCCCGCAGTCCACGATCTTGCTCTCTACTTTACTCGTCAGTGCGGATAGGGAGGTGAATTCGGTGGTCCTGCGCTTTAACGAACAGTACCGCGCTTTAGCCCAAAAACATGCCATGGAGGGGAGGAAGATTGTGTTGGTGGATATGTACACCTCGGATGGACCCGACGTCCGGAGCCTTCACGATGGCATACACCCTGATGATGAGAATTACAACAAGATGAGCAGACTATGGTTTTCTGGCATACAGGAGGCCCAGCAGAAAGGTTTTATTGAAAAGTCAAGACCTAAGATTTAGCGCATGAGAAAGCTCATTTACATATTTTTCATATTTTTGTCTGGTCCAGTTTGTTGCCTTGATCATCTCTCAGCTAGAGGGAAGCCGATATTCATTTACTTCCATTCTTTTATCGACTGCAGGAGCTACCTTATGGTTCAGGAAAAGGGCACATTATCCCAGGAAGCGTTCTTCAAGTACGAGTATGCGCATATCGTTCGGCGTTGCGCGCGTAGGGCCGAGATTACCAGGGCGTGCCGGTTCGCCCCGCCGACGCAGCAATACAGTACAATACAGATTGATCGAAACCCATCAATTGATGTGAGAGAGATGAGTTGTGTCCTCGATATGGAAATGGTATTAGTCCGGGGCTGTTTGGCTATGATACCCCATCATTCAATGTTTTCCATGTCTCAAGTTGACCATAGAGTAATTTCATCGTAGATTCGAAGTAACACACGCATGGCAAAGGGCATGATTGCGTATTGATTTGGTAAATAAAATACCACCGTGAGCTACTTTTCAAAGTTATACAATGCATTTTGCAGACTCCAAATATGAGTCAGTTCTAATGTAACGACAGAGGTCGAGAACCTCACTGTACTGCTGGACAACGCTACGGCATTTGCGCACGCACTGGGCCCACCGAGTTTAACAAGTGGCACACCAGACTAGTAGCGTCGGTGTATCGTGACCGGCTCCGAGCTAAAATACCGTGCCGCGTGGGTTGCTTTACAAGCAGGCCAGTGAGCAGTAAGTACTTGGACGTTTAGTCTTCTTGGCATCTCGGTGTGTTCGTACTCCGTGGTTCGATTCTAAGGTTCACCCGCGTTTTGAACGTCTAAGATATCATAAGCAGTCTCATTCCAACCATCTACCACCTAGTAAGACTCCTTACTCTATTCGGCATCCCGAAGTCCCGAGCGAGAACACTCTGCGGGCCTTGGTTCAGCGATACAATGACATTACCTAGCTAGCTATCATGATGCCCATGTCTATTCTGTTTGAAAGGAAGCAAATCTGCATATTATATTAATAGTTTACAGTTTGAAGCGTCCTTGCGTATTTAATTAGTCCTTCGTACTCTCTTTCAGGGGTAGATACAATATACAGGGCTGCTACGAGTCCGGCGCGCGAAACAGGTAAGAAAGAAAGGATTGAAAATCTAAAGCGGCGGTAAAAGGTATATTCAATAGCTGAAGATACATGTGTATAAAATAGACGCTAGATCGTAGTCTGTCGTGGAGAAAGGTATCAAAACATTAAAGGGTAATAGATGGTCACATATAGGTGGAGTATACATGAGTACATCCGTAAGAAACAACGTCAGAAACACCGGAATTAGTAAATCGACAAGCACGAAGCTCATCAGTTCCACAACAAAAGCCGCCCAAGACAGAAGCGTATACTGATCACTCAGCAAGCTTACGCAAAAGCGCAGGCCAGAGCGAGGAAAGCACCACCGACGGTCCAAACGCTGCCTGCCAGCTGGCCGGCGGCGTTGAAGGGAGTCGAGGAAGCGGCAGGGGCACCGGTTCCGATGACAGCGGAGCTGGTGGGTGCAGCCACCAGAGGGGTGGAGGAAGCCACAGGGGTGGATGAAACGAAAGCCGAGGAGGACATCTTGGGGCTCGAGACGACGAGGGTCGACGAGGATGTGATCGTCGGGGTGGAGGTGGAGGTCACCTCGGTGGTGCTGATGCTGGTGCTAGTGGGGGTCTGCGTTGGGGTAGGGGTCGACGTCGGGGTCGGGGTGGCAGAGATAGTCACAGGCATCCAGTTCAGATCATCTTGGTCCAGGGTGCCCGACGGGGTTACGGTGCCAGCGGAGGCTTGGCACGAGGCATAAGTGGTGCCGGCAACGTTGCAGGAAACGGTTCCAGTGCTGGTTTTTGGTATCAGAATACGGTTCAAACTAGGAAAGTCCGTGCTAGTACTTACGTTCCCTGGAGGTTGATGTTCTGCAGCTGCATGGAGGTGGGGGCGGCAATTGCGGTCATGCCCTCGCCAGCAATACCGCAAGAATCAGCGGTCTTGGGGCAGGTGATCTTGTAGGTGGTCGCATCTCCATTCTGTGGATTGTTAATTTAAATGCTCGGTCAAAACAGCGCGTGATGGCGCAATTTAATTTGGCACTTACGGATTCGATAACGCTAGCCTGGAGATCCTGGCCCTCAAAGCCGGGCAGAAGGAGGGTTGCGGTGTTACCGGCAGCAACGGCAGTAGCGCCAGTCAACATAGCGACGGTGTGGAAACGCATATTGGAAATAGATTGGTGATTAACCGGTGTTTATCTTCGAAAAATCTGCGATAATCAAGTTGTCGAGTCGCACAAAGAATGAGAGTACACAGTACTTGAAGTAGAATCACCAAATGCTCAAAACGAAGGACTGGATTTAACGAAAGACTGTCGAACGACGAAAGAGTGAATGACGGACTGCTTGAGCCTGAAGGTGTAAAAGAAGGAAGTGTCAGAAAGAGAGACATCCGGGGGTAAAGGCGCGTATATTATTGACTTGGCATAGTGTTGTCCATGGGGAGTCGCCAAGACTAGTTTGGCAGAGTGGGATTGGCCCATATTGCGGTCCAAGCGGATCTATAGGGCCGATACGACCAAGAACCGGGCCCCAGGGGTTCGAGTGGTTCGAAGTTCGTATAGGGGCCGGCATACATCCAAGTCCGAGTGCCTTGGAGTGCCTTTCAATGTTGGGGAACAATATTAGGGGCTTAGTGGAAGTTTCCTGTGGAACTAGGCCGATCCGGGACTAGGGGCCGAGCCGACCCCTGGGTCAGCTGCCTGTTTGGGAAAGTTGTTTGATGCTCCTTATATCAATTCGGAGACTAGCGAGATGAGATCAACACGAGTCAGGATTTTCCAAGGTCTAGAGCATATGAAAAGAAAAACTTCAGCTTTGAAGTACAGAATAATATTCATTTTCACTATTCAAAATTGTATAGTAATTGCCGCCATTTTCTTCTCTTATCGCCCGTAATTTCCCCAGGTCAGCCACAAGCCCCTGCCGAGAGAACTAGCGTCCACAAGTTAGTGCACGATTCAAATTACGCCCGGTGAAAAAAGCCCGTGCCTAATTTCATGAACGGGCAACGGCACAGATACCGAATTAATTAATCTTATGAACCACTTTTTCATTCAAATAGTTTGATTTGGTTTACCCGCTTTCACCTGCAACCCACGTGTGTTTAAATTGCAATGGACCTGCTAGCCGAGCAATTCCGAGCAATGCAACGTTTTCCATGCTGAGAATAAAATTATGTTCACAGCCAATCCAACAAGATCCTGCACTACCATGACAATTTTTCATGAAATCGAAACTGGAATTGATCACCAAGTCCTTCCGGCCGAGGACCTGAAGTGGTTGACGCCCCCACACGCGATCCCCATCACAAGCAGCACACCATTAAAGCCCGCCATGATATAGAATGGTGTGCCCGCTGACAGGATGTCAAACAGCAGTCCACCCACTTTGGTCAGCAGCAGAATGCCTGCCCCACCATATAGTGAATAGACCCCTGCGATAGAGCCTTTGAGGTGGGACAGCTGCCCCAATCTCTGATTGACCGACCCGTGAAGAAGAGACTGGCCCTCGTCAGGTTCTGCGTCATTCTCATCCCCACGGACACGTCGTTCCTCGTATATTTTTCTTAATGTCTCATTGTCGATGCTGACCCGCAGGATACCGTTGCTCAGCACAGCCAAGCTACAGACAATTGCCCCAATTTGGCTGATTCCAAGTAGAGCCATCACAACAAACACCCCGGGATTGCCATCAGGTCTCTCGAATAAAGGGTTTGGGAGCATGGCAAAGATAATGTAACCAATGACTCCCACAAATGCTGCGAAAAGGAGTGGGAAATTGTATCGTCGCGATTTGTCTGTCAGGTACCCAAATGCCGGGGCTGCAATCAGTGCCACCAATTGGGATACCCCGGTCAGTATGGATGCGACGATGTATGCACGGGGGCATGCTTTCTTAATATCCCCTAATCCCGACCCAGGAACCGGTTCACGTTCCTCGTCGCAGAGCCCCGACACCCGATAGTAGTGGTTGACGGCGAGGGGAATGAACAATGATATCCCCACAGAAGAGGCTCGAGCCACGAAGCCTCCGATATAGCCCAGTCCAATGCTACGGTTTCGGAATCCTAGTGTAAGGGCAGTTGTCAGCTGCTTCCAGTATGACAGTCTTGGGCCATGGATATATAGATCTTCGTTGTCTTCGTCGTCATCATCTTCGTCATTACACGAGTGACGAGACGTTTTCCACAGTGCACTCCAACTCTTGCCCTTTTCTCCTGGAAGATCACGGAGACCAATGAAGCATACAAGGCAGATAACAAGGGATACGACAGCAACCAGATAATAGCTGCGTTGGATGGCCTGCGATGGCGACAATCCCATCTTCTCAAACCGGGCTGCAAGCGGCAGGAAAATAACCAGTGCCACGAGCGCACCACAGCCAGCGCACATGCCAACAAAACCCGAGAGTCGCGCAGACGGTGATGCCCTGGAAGGACCAAGATCTATGGAATAGCCATTCCTGGCACGCTCTGGTGTGACGGTCAACTCCGAAGACACAGATGCGCGATATTCCTTGGCATTAAATGCTGTGCCGGTAACAGTTGGCAAAACTGCAGTGACCATGGTCGATACCGCTGAACCACCAATACTAAATAGCAACCTTCCCAAGAGAAGCTGAGGATAAACATTTGTGGCTTGCACAAAAACGACTAGCGCGAGTGCTACGATAGCGTAGCCTGCAGTACATACCTATCTAGCGTTAGTATCATTGAATTGCCCTGATATGGGCCAGTAGCAAGCTTACATGGCGGACTCCGATTCTGTCCGAGAGAACACCCCAAAGTGGACAGGCAACTAGGGCGAGCAGTTCATCCGCAAATCCCAGGGTTCCCACTGAATCTCCCACTCCATCCTCGAGCCCAATCAAATCCGTCACGACGAAGGAGATGGATGAATTGATGTAGACTAGGAAGGCAATAGAGAAGGGGCACACCGCCAACAGGTAAGTTAGTGTCTGACTGCGCGAGGCAGTAAACAATGCCGGTGATGAAGCCATCACCAGAAATGATTCATTGAGTGCAGGATTTAGAGATGAGGATATCTCTATTCGATGCAAACTGGTGAGGACAACGATGTGTCACAATGGTTGCTTCTTCAAGGCGGGCAATGTGGGACGTCACATGACGGAGATGATCAGATAAACACCGAGGATCGACGGGCATGCCCCGACATCTAAAGTAGGTCTAAGGGGTTAAATTCCACAAAATAATTATAATAAACTATACACAATTCAAGGAATATTATGCTTTACTACAGATAAATCGAATTTTTCGCCATGTATTAAGTAGGCTGGTATAGATCTGGGTGGCGGCACGTGCTGGTCGCTGACGTAAGATGCGGAGAGGCGTTTATGGGTTATTCTGGAAAGCTGTCCAGATCAAGCTACTTACTCCTCCCAAGTAAACGGCATTCACTTCGTTTTTCCGCCAAATGCTACCTTGAGACGGCCACCTTTCTTATCCTTCCTTCGGTCCATGACCTTCGGCTTGTCCGATCCAGTCGATAGCCATGAGACTGGCCGCGTATACTGGGGTAAGTGATACCGCACCTGGATGGGGAGACAACCCGCTAACCTTGGAACCCCGTTTGCAGGCCTCCGTGGTCCTAGCCACTGGTGTGTTTCTGAAAGCTCTTCATCAGAGGTCCAATTTCTATTCAGCATGCGTCTATCTATCTCAGAGTAGCGCAAATCTTATGGTAAGTTGTCCAGTTTGGGTTATTGCGCTTGGTCATCATAGTCCCTAACTCATTACCCCATCTTCAGATCCTCACGAATTTATGTCTTCTTGTCACCGGCTTCATACTATTTTGGCTCCAGCGACTTCTCTACGGACCCTTGCGACCAATCGAGACCGAGCAACTATACGAGCGGGCCTGGTTCGCCGTCACAGAGACATGTTTGGCCATGACCATCTTCCGAGGCGAACTTGGAGGCTGGTTTCTGGTCATGTTCATTTCGCTGCTGGTCGGGAAGGTCTGGGGCTGGATTGGTGAAGGCCGCGTTGAGTTCCTAGAACAACAACCACCGGCTAATCCCCGATTGTTCCATACTCGGTTGGCGCTATCTCTCGTGTTGACTGTATTATTCGACTCTTTCATGTTGCGCTATTGTGTGCACACTGTAATTACGCAGGCACGTCCGGATATGATGGTGATGTTTGGATTCGAATTCGCCATCTTGGCGATACTTTCGACCTCGACCCTCTTGCGATACGTCATCGCGTTGACCGAAATATCCATAACCCGCCAGCAAATAAAGGCCAAGATGCAGGAACGTCGGGAAGAGATTCGTATTGCGCGCGTCGAGGCGATTCGAGAGCATGCCCGCGCGGGAGCCACCTCTCCTCCTGACAATCTGCCCGACGAAAACGATGTCAACGAAATGGAGATCGATGTGCCCGGGTGGGAGGACAAGGGTCGTTGGGTCTTCTACTTGGATCTTTTGACCGATTTGTTGAAACTCGTGATTTACTTGAGCTTCTTTGGCATTCTGCTCACTTTCTATGGCCTCCCTATCCACATTCTGCGGGACGTGGTTGTGACTATCCGCTCATTTGCCCGTCGTATTATGGACTTCATGCGTTACCGGAATGCGACAAGGGATATGCACCAGAGGTATCCGGATGCAACGGCAGAGGAAGTCTCCCGGGAAGATGTCTGCATCATTTGCCGTGAGGAAATGATTCCACTTCAGCCGGCGCAACCGCAACCACAACCGGCGGCTAATGCTGCTGGAGAACCTGCACCACGGCCGGCCCTGGGACACAGCGTGTTCCTGACCGTCTGCGTCCAAAAAAGCTCCCATGTGGCCATATCTTGCACTTCTCTTGCCTGCGAAGCTGGCTTGAGAGGCAACAAAACTGCCCAACATGCCGGCGTCCTGTTGTAACAACCCAGCGAACTCGTGGAGCTGGCGGGGTAGACAACGCACGCGGAGGTCAGAATGGTGGCATCCAGCCAGGCCAACAAGGTGCAGATGCTCAACCACGTGCCCGAGTCTATCAGTTTGGGCCTTTCCGTATCGGCTTTGGAGCTGTACGTGCGGATCTATTTAACAATCTTCACCCACAGGGTGTCCAAGGTAACGTGCCGCAACCTGGGGCACAACCGCCTGCGAATGGGCCTGGAGGACAAATTGGGTTTGGATTTGGGTTCGGCCGTCGTCCTCAAGCCCCCGCCCCCGCTCCTGCCCCACAAGCTGCGGCTCCAGGGGGTTCTGTCGCTGCCGAGATCAATGCTCAGTTGGTGCAGATTGAGCAACGGCTCAATCAAGAGATTGCCACCCTTCGAGCTGCAACGGAGCATTTAAATCACGTGCGCCAGCTTCGGTTGGAACTGGAACGTTTGCTTGCTCAAGCAAGGGCTGTTAACCAACAAGCTGCTGGCCAACAAGGCGCCAGTCAACCAGGCCCTCCCAATCTGGTCCCAGGGTCTTCAGTCTTCACAACGGGCCAGCAGTATGGCACAAACCCGGCCACTGATGTTCTAAACTCTGGAGATCCTCGCCTACCAGAAGGGCTCACTCTTCCTCCCGGTTGGACTCTCCTCCCTCTCCAACGTGTTGATAATGGTGCCGGTGTGGAACAGACAGTACAGCCCACGCCTACTACTACAGTGGGATCCTCAGCTGCGCCCGCTATGGCCAGTGCTGTACCTTCTCAGACCCCCGGGTTCCCTGCACCTGTTCAGGATCAAACGAGCCTGAACAATGTGCGCAGCACTACCAATGCTGAAACTGCTCCAGTTAATGGAGCCCATAGTTCGCCGGTATTGCAACCGACGACCACCGTCCCTTTGGTGGAACATCGTGCAGAATCCCCGTCTCAAGAATGGACCGACGTTGCCCCTGAGAGGGTCCTTTGAGACCAGGCCAGCTTCCTCTATTCCTACTACATGGGGTAGCAATGGAGAATCTGCAAATATTGCGTCTGGCCAAGCCGAGACTCACTCCGAGTCTACATCCAACGGCAAACGCCGGACCGCATCAGTTGAGACGCCTGATGAAGAAGCTTGATCTCGGACTTCTCTTCTGACAACCCCTGTGTATTTTTTCCCCTCTGTTTCCCGGTTCTTTACACCAGCGTTTCTGCATGGCGTTGTTCGCGAGCAAAAGATCATACCCAGATTTCTTTTCACGATTTTTATACCACCGTTGAATCTCATGGTATTTGCTCTCAATGATTAATTTGTTTAAATGAAAATGTGTGCATTCAATGAGTGTAAAGTTTTAAGAGACTATGCGTAGAGACGCAGATCTACCTACATATGTTGTACTCCGTATGTTGTACTCCGTATGTTGTAGGCATCTCCATGGATGACGTCAACAGGATGACTGAGACAGGCCGCGTGGCTGCATTCAAGGATCAACGTGGAGGTTCCCATGTTGGATAGACTAGTCGAGACAAATTAATATCTTGTGACATTTGTTGCTTTCATTTTGAGTGATATTGGCCGCATTAATTACTCAATGATCTCTTCTATATTCAAACTATATGAAGTTCTTTCTGCAACTCAGGACTATAACACCGAATGCGGTTTGAAAGAAGCTTCGTCATGGCGGCACAGCCCCCACTCCACTTGCATCTGATTTGTCCAGACACCTGTAGCCTCCCGGGGTAGGGTGTCCCTGGTCCCTTGAATCTAGATCGGGATTCTGTTCCTTCATCCCCTTACACCTTACACCCTCGAGGCAATGATATCCTGAACTAAGTAAGCCATTATGTCCCCTCCATTGCTCAATTCCAATTGTACTACCTTATCCCCAGTACTCTCAGCCCTGTGCACGCGACAAGGTGGCATACAGTGTGGCAATTGCAGCTAACCAGTATCTCGTGCGACAGATAATAATCCCGTGTACGATTGTCCAACCCTCCGTCCATGCTTCTCCCACGGCGAGCGGTCATCTTCCTCGGCGTTTGCTTCTTCTTCGTCTTCTTCACATGCCGGAGCCTCTCACGGCCATGGCGTGATGTACCCCAAGTCATCGGCCTGGGTGACCTGGTCTCCTCGTCATCCAACACAACAGGAGCCTGGAACACGACCCGCGGCCACACCAACAACGACCTCTATGCCCCACCACCGGACTTCGTCCCCGGCATCCCCAAGCCCCCGGGCTACAAATACTCCAAAGTGCTCGTGGTGACCCGAACTAAGGGGGAAGACACCAAGTGGATCGCTGAGGAATTGCCAGATTGGGACCACGCCATCTACGTCGCAGATGATCCCACAGCGCCGCTGCACCCGCCCAAGAACAAAGGCCACGAGGTCATGATCTACCTCACCTACATCGTTGACCATTACGATCAGCTCCCAGACGTGGCGGTGTTTATGCACTCGCACCAATTCGCCTGGCACAATGATAACCTCTTCGCCGGAGACGCGGCGCAGCTGCTCCGCCGCCTCAATCTAAACCGTGTCATCCGCGAGGGCTACATGAATACTCGCTGCGGGTTCGGGCCGGGCTGTCCAGCCTGGATGCACCCCGGCGCTCTCGAGGAAGATGAGTCGAAACAGGAGGAGATCATGCTGGCCCGCGCGTGGGGAGAATTATTCCCGACCAGGAGATCCCGTCTGTGCTGGCGCAGCCGTGCTGTGCGCAATTTGCCCTGTCCCGTGATCGCATTCGCTCCATTCCGCGGGCCCGGTTTGTTTTCTATCGCGATTGGCTGCTGTCGACCGATTTGAGTGATTACATCACTGGTCGCATCTGGGAGTACCTGTGGCAGTTTATCTTTACCGGGGAGGCTGTTCTCTGCGTTGACGAGAATGTGTGTCTGTGTGATGGATATGGGTTTTGCTTTGGCGGAAACGAGGAATGGAATAATTACCGAGAAGCAGAAACGAAGAAGAATGAGATCCAACAGGAACTGGATAATTGGATGTGGTTGTCCGATCTTGGGTTTGCTGACCCTGCTGAATCGGATGATCCTGAGGGTGACAAAGGCAATGACCTTGTTAACCAACTTCAGGAGAAGCAGCAGGAGCTCATCGACACTCTGCATGCTGCTATGGAGCGTGGCAAGAACCCCCAGTACCGTGCCCAGGAGGCCGGTCGTCCTTGGAAAGAGGGTGATGGGTTCTGAGCTGTCTTGACTGGATCAAGTGTTTCGCCTGGATCACCTTTTTATGCTGCCACTGCAAAGTTTTATATGGGCCAATGATCTATATGCCATCTATTTCCATTTCCTCATCCCGCAGGTGGCCTGCTTTTGGACACATGCTTTTCATCTGTCAACAATCTCACGCTTTTAATTCATACCGTGATGGACTGCACCGTTTTGATGTATTTCTTCTTTGACTGATTTCCTGATTTGGATGTACTTATAGTTGCTGTTGCGAGTCGGGCTTGTTATGAAAGGGCTATATCGAAAATATAAATGGATAGGAATGATCATTAAACACTTCAATTTGCGCCCATAAGATCAGATAATCAAATTCAAGTCAGTCATATAATATAGAGTTGACGTAAAAAGATAGTGTCCATCCATAGATGGACGCTATGCTCATATAAAAAATTTGTGATCACGTGATATTCTCGAAGTTTTCAGTTTGCACTGTCTGCTGTTCCTTCAAACTACACAAACATCAACCGTCGCGCCTCTTATCAGCCAAGCACAACTAAAGCTGTCGAGGCTTTTTTTTTATATTGTTTCGCCTCGGCCTTCTTTCCGCTGTGACGCGCTTTTCACCCTCTTGGGTGTGGCGCGCTCGGAGAACTGTGTTCTGACCAAGCTGCATTGCCAATGAGTGAAGCTATTCATTAGGTCCTCTACAACAGCTGGATAAGAGCTTCAACTTGAAGGAGCTACCTACCCTTCTAGAGATAAAACCGAGATCTCGAACGCGGTTCGATCCTTCTCTCAGATTCGCTCTAGTCGGGTAAAATTCATTGTCAATCTTCTCTATCTCACTCGTCGCCACCTTCCGACACTACCAGCTTACCGATTCGAGTGTCTCGAGGCATCTAGCCCTCAATCGGCACCATGAGCTCTTCCACCAACCAACATCTCCCCACAACCTCCTCCGACCTACCCTCCCAGCAGACCGCGACCGCCCCCCACCTTGACCCGAACGCGCAATTGGCCAACAACGGATATGCACCTAACGACAACCAACTCGCGGGATTAGTCGAGGCAGCCACTGCCGCCGCAGACCAAGATGTCTCGCAATGGGCTGCCGCCGCAGCAGTCGCCGCCGCAGCCGGTGCGGCGGGCCATCACCACCAACTGGATTCATACACAGACATGGACCTCTCCGAGAACGGGTTCGGCGACGCGAACTTCGGAACTGGCATGAGCAGCGGAAGACATATGCGAGTACCCAGTCACACGGACCATTCCCAATCCTCAGGGCTCACGCGCACGGCAACCAAAAAGCGCAAGCGAAATGACGATAATCTCGACCCCGCCTTGGCTGGCGCGGGTCTCTCTGCCGCGCAGCACCAGTCGCATCCCGCACAGCAAACGCCCCATGGCTATACCGGAGAGGGTATTGACATTCGCCCCGAGCAGCAGCAGTCCCTGTCGGATGCTCGTGCAGTGGGTATTCATTCTGCGGCGGCGCTGTTCCGCCAGCCTTCTAGCAATAAGAAGTACACACGACCTCCCATCTCGAAGATGTTTTCGTCCCTTGAGATCTCACCGGAGAACTTTTTGCATCTCCAGGCTGCTGCCAAGAATTACATGCTGGACGATGAACACCCTGAAAGACGGGATTGTGTTGGTCAGCGTGGAAAGGGAGATACGGAAATGGTCAAGCTTCGCCTTTGGAACTGTGTTCGTCAGTTCCTCGAGGCTGAGGGGAACGGTGAACGGTTTTTCGGAGAGAATGTCGTTAATGAGGGCATGGGCCCGAGAGCCTACATCTGGCCGCGTGACCAACACAAGATCATCTCATTGGTCATTCCTCTGCTCAGGCGAATGGTCACCAACGAAAGACAACGCCAATACGCAATCGAGACCCGCAAAGGAGGTGGTGCTGAAGAACGCCGCCGCCGTAAAACGGAAGAATTCTCAAATTTGAATAGCCCGCGCTTCTCTCCGGAGCAGCATCTCCAAATGCAAAATCAGACGTCCCATCGCGATGATCTGTCGCAGTCAATGCCCCCTCCTCCACAGCCGATGCAGCAATCAGCAATGGATCCGTCTCAGCCTGTGCAGCTTGGTCTGACCGACCTCCTTCTGGATGGATACACAGTCGACTGGGAACAGATCGCCCGATCCTATAATACGTACAACGAGAACTTCGAACTCGACAACCTATGGTCTCTCTCGGGTCTCCAGCAACCCGATTGGCGTGGGCTCGTCGCTGCAGTTGACAGCCATTACCACGTCATCCACAACGGAGACTACAACTGCCCGACGAATTGTGAAGACGAAAACATCAACCGCATCATCCACGCGGACACTACCTCAGGTCTCCAATGGCGCATCGGCGGAGGCCGCAACCTCCCAGCCCGAGACGAATTGTAAGCCATTCATCCTTTCAAAAACCAGTGTGGAATATCAACTAACAATCCCATAGCGCAAGCAGCATCACCCGCGACGTGTCTCGCATTATTCGCGAGAACATCGCCTCCCGACACGGCCACCCGGCCCAAGCACCCGACCCCCACTTCCATCAGCCTTTTACTCCACTCCCGGAATCAACGCCAACAACCAACGCAGCCACCTCGTCTCAGGGCCAAGGCCAAACCTCCCTTCGCGTCAATATCCTACACAACGGAAAGCGCATCCTCCCCAGATTCGACCTGCCTGCGGGCCAGTGCCCCGACATTGGTACGGTCAAGCAGGCGATTCTCCGTCGCTACCCGGGCCAAATCCCCGGTTTGCCGGCATTCCAAGGTGCCCACGCTGCTACACATGAAGCTCGCGAGTCCGCTGTTGTGGATGGGTGGAAGGTCAAGGTCTGGTTGCCGGATGGACTGTTACCTGTGCAGAGCCAGAAGGATTGGACCATTGCATTACTTTCGACTGATGCTATTGATTGGATGGATGGGGAATTAAAGGTTCTTGTTGAGGTTGATGAAGGGAATGGGCAGTAGTCTGATCTTTTGTTTTTCTTCTACTATATCCCTGTTTTTCTATGTTGGATAAGTTGTATCGTTATACCCTCAATCTCAAGAACCATTCCAAATTATTTATATTGAAAATGTCTTGTACAATGCATATCCTCGGTCAACATAACCTTTTCGTCAACGGTCCAAGGTTGCACGCAAATCATAAAAAGTGGAGACAAACGGAAAGGTGGGTCGGGCTCTACACTAGTCCTAATTGGGAAGCATATATTCATTATAAAATTAACAATCAAACAAAATATGTCAATGTCTCGCCCTGGTAACCGAGTGGGAACCACATAAGGGCTTGTGCCTGTAATTCCTGTTTAGGCTTTGCCTAGGTGGGATTTACCGTGCAAGTGACCGGAAGCCTGTGGTTCAACCCTCGCCGTTGAAATTGATCCCTTTAACGGCGACACACGATCCCTTTCCTGGGATCAGGGGGCTTGTAAGTCATTGGCCGATGTGACCGCCCATCACACCCCGTTGGCAGCAGCGTCCCCAGGTTGTAGAGACGCCCCTATGTGGGGCATTTTTTTCCTTTCTTGATGTATGTTTTGTCTCTATCTTCGCATCTTGTTGATGGTGTTCTGGCGGTTTGACGCAGAGTCACATGCAACATCCATGTTAGCACCTTCTCTGTTATAGTCTCTAGATATTTCTCTTTCCATGTTTCTTTCAAGATATGATTGATCTCTTTTCTTGCTTCTGGTGAGGATGATGCTATTTCTTAGCACCTTCTCTGTTATAGTCTCTAGATATTTCTCTTTCCATGTTTCTTTTAGGACATGATTGATCTCTTTTCTTGCTTCTGGTGAGGACGATGCTATTTACCTCCCACGCTTCTGCTACTTCCTCTCTTGAACCGAAGCATCAGCTCCCCCACATGTCACCACCTTGACGTGAGCAATATATGTATGTACCAGGTTCATAGCGAGTATAACCTTATGAAGCAAGAGCCAAAAGAGTCAAAAGCCTTAGTTGGTATATACTCCAGCTTCTTCCAATAAATATCTATGGGGACTCAAAATATATTTAGCCTGTTAAGTCACTTCATTGCAACATGACATGAAGCGAATTATGTTCTGAGAAGAGAATGTAAATCATCCAAAGACTCGATACTCAACTATACTCAACCATCCATGCTAGCACGTTCGAGGCATGTTTGAGTTGGCAAGTCTATATATTGCGAATTACACAAGTCTCACATATTCAAGTCTTCAAGGTTTATATTGTAATCAAAAATATGCGAAAGGGAATCCCATGCCTCATAATACAGGATAAAAAGGTAAAGATGAGCAGGGCCTGGAATCATGCACATCTTGAATGCGTCTTGCCAAAACAGCAACAAAATAACAACCGCTCTATACGCCATAACGCACCCCAAAGCTAAGAGAACCGGGCCCGCTGAGACCTCATTTGTTGTGTACAAGCAGAGTACGGAGGGAATCCCAGTGGTCTGAGTCGCCGTAACTGTGGTTGAGAAGAAGGTCAGCATCGGGAAAGCAAATCCGAACGCCCGAATAACAGGAAGTGAGGTAGAATCATATGTATTGGAAGCAAAACATACATGTACACCATGCTACTCCGCAGGCTGGACGCCAGCGTCTCCGGGTGCCACCGGAAAATATACATGACCATTGCCCAGGTCATACCCGCGAAAACGGGGTAGGCATTATTCGTGATCTTAGTGCGTGCATCGGATGTGATGAGGGAGGAGAGGGGGTGCATGTTGGGTTGGACGGCGAGCTTGGCGAGAGCGAGCATCACACGCGCGAAGACGTAAATAACAATCTATATTAAAGTTAGCTCTGCAGTAGAGGCGGAATTTATTCCGGAGTCGAAGTTTGAACGTTTCCACAGTCAGTGGGAAGTTCAAATCACATACCTGCTGGCTAATACTGCCCGGCTGTCGTCCGAAAACTGCATACCCGCCCAGCAGGCCTGCAAAGAAGCTATCATATCGGCCTTCTTTCCCGGCGCCACCTGGTATATTCCGGAGAAGAATCATAGAGGCCTTGTAAATCATGGCGAATGTGGCGAGGTTCCGCGCATGCTGGCGGGTTGCTTTCAAAACGAGCTTCGTCTTTTCGCGTATTCTAGATAACGAAGCGATCAGTTTCGTTCTGCGTAGAGGTAAGGTCGGGCGTGCGGAGTGACATACGTCCCAGATCTGAACAAAAATATCATTCTAGAAGCAGTCGGTATCGGTCAGCTATGCCTTGTAGCGGGGTTTTCGGCTGTCCGAGGTCCAACATACACCAGCGCATGCGGAAAGCGGACTTTTGATCCATAGACGATTCCATTGCGTGCGCCCTTCACTAATGACAATAGCGGGGCGAGCTCGGGTTTGAGAACGAGCGCATCGAGTTGGGACTGCGGAGAGACCTGTCAATACGGTTGTGTATGGTCGGAGACGCTGTGGGACTCACGAGCAGTGTATCCATGGCGTCTCTAGACCTCGGTAAGAGGTCGGGCTCGTTTCGGGGTGGTTACAGGGGCGATAGACGACGAGAAGAGACCAAGAAATCGTCACGGATCATGAGGAGGAAATAGAGTAAAAAATAATGAGTTCCTGCGGCTGGAGATGTTAGGGGAGGGGACGGCACTTTAGTCGGTTCCCGCATCGAGAAGGGCCTCGGCATGTGAGAATACAGCCGACGTCATGGTCACGTGGCTGTATATAAAACCTCAGCTACGAGCATACGGGCAAATCTTGTTGATTTTAGTACAAATAATGGATGGAGGAAATGTCTCTATTAGAGGTAGAGGTTTTTAAAATAACTTTTCATATGCCGTAAGACTGCTCATACAGGCGCAGAAAACGAAATCCCGTCCGGCCCAAACTCCTTAGCGAAAAGAATCATGCAAATCAATCGATCTTAGTTTTTCCGTGCCTTCTTGTGGCTCTCAATCTCCTCATCGGAAGAGACCTCATCCACTTCCATCATATCCGCAGTTGGTTCATCCTCCTCGTCCGATGATTCCATACCCGCCCGACGCTTGAGACCCTTCATCTTACGGGTCTGCAGTTCAGACAGATCCTGCTTGCCGAGGTGAACACGACCAATCTTGTCACCCATAGAGTCCATGGTGACGTTCTTCTTGGTTCGGGCTTCCTCGTTGGGACGCTTGCCCTGCTTCATGGACTCCTTCTGAACCTCAGGAGCAGCCTGGCGTGTGCGACCGACCTTGAAGTCAAACTTGGGACCGACCTCCTGCAACTCCACGCGGGGCAGCTTGTGGCCACTGCGCTTGGTGACGACTCTGTACCAGCGCATGTGGATGATGGGCGAGAGGCCATCTTGGGGCTCCTCCGCACCAACCATCATCACGTACTGCAGACCCTCGACATCAACCTGGTTCGTCTCTTCACCCTTGAACATGTCGAGAAGGGCGCTCTTGAGGATGATGTGCGCAGTCAATGTAGGATCGTCCCAGGGGCTACCAGAGAACAGCATCATAGGTCGCAGGCCGAGACCGACGTCCATGACAAGTTCTTTGAAGGGCGGGATGGTCTCACCATCTCTGGGGGGAGCAGCATGAGCTCGACGAGATCGAGTAACTCTGAGTTGTAAATCCGAGCCAATGTAACGCAGTTGGGTCGCTTCTTGTTGTGGCTTCCGAATGCTACGAGTCCACACTCGTTCTTGTTCGCCAAGAATTCCAGGCTCTCTGAGTTCTCATATGGGTGCAAGTTCTCGTTCTTCTTGTGGAAAAGAACGTTGTGGGGCTTCGTCAAAGCATGGAAGGTCTTCAGCACGGTGTCCAGCGGTTGGGGGCATTTTGCGCCGTGGAAAATCAGGGTCTTCTTGGGGGGGTTCGATGAGTTGCGGCTCCCGGGCTTTGAGGATACGCGCAGTGCGCGGGTTTTTGGCTTTCCTAAAGGGTGGAGTATTAGAATTGGATGGCAACCTCGATGAATTGCCATAACTTACACTTCTCTCAGCATTTTGTAGTGAACGATCGGCAGAATGACTTGGGGTAAAAATATCAAATGAGCGGAAAAGTTTTGGATTGCTGATGTCTTGGCACTCTTATCGATAAGCCAATTACGGAACTGGTCACGTGCTTTGATGTTCTCTGATTGGCCACTTCAAACTACATCCACTACCACGCAAGGCATATCTGTCTAATAGTTACCTTTGCATATAAGTACGGAGTTGTCTGAAAGCACATATCGTCCTTTTTGAGAAGTCGAATTGAACAGCTGAGAGTTTGTCTAGAATACCTTGGTTTCTGTCCTGAATATCCATTCTACAATGTATATATATATATCAGCTTCCAACTTAAACGTAATATTATTTTAAGCCTTGCTTTACACACATTTATTTTCCTACGGACTTGCGCTTCTGTAAGGCTAAATTTGTAACTACAATAACAGCCAGATAAGAAGATCACTTGATTGATTATTACGATCCAGAACAAAATCAAAAAGCAAAAAACATACAACAGTGAGGATTCGCTGGTGGTCACCCACCCAACTACTAACTCACCGGCGTGTGGCTTAAGTACGGCTGAGCGGACGGGAAGCCCTGTTTTCCACACCCTATGGTCGTATGTATCAGGTTATGTGTTAGAATACCTCATGTCGTGGAATGTGGTCTTCCAGTGTGGTTAAATAGGTAGAGATAATTGCTCTCTCCACCAAATAAATACGAGGTACATATCCAATTGCAAATAATATAGATTCAGATCAGCTCGATAAGACCAAAATAAAGAAAAATTATCACGCTTCGTATATTACATAGGATACATGAGGAAGTACATATATTTTATCAAGGCAGAGAGGCTTTAACCGGGCCACGACTATACACCTCCAACCTCATTCCAAAAAATGTCCAGATGATCAAAGAGCAGCAAGAGCCAATGCAGCTGCAACACCACCCGGCAGCCCAGCGCGCGTTTCCAGTAATCATAGGCATAGCAGCGTTGCCAGATTCAGTCTGGCTGGTGGCAGCAGCGCTACTGCTATCCGAGGACTCGCTAGTGCTAGTACCAATGCTAGTACCACCGGTAGTCGAGGCAGCGGTAGGAGCCGATACGAAGGCACCAGTAGTGGCGACAGCCTTCTCCGTTCCAGTTCCGGTGATAGTGACAGGCATCAAAGCGCCGCCACCGGGAATTTCGGTGAGGGCGACGGCAGAGGAGAAGGTAGTGGTTATGCCTTCCTCGTCGAGGCTTACGGTGCAGGTCACGCTTTTGGAATCATACTGGCAGTTCTCAGCGATGGACCTGTTTCAGGAAATGATCAGCTATGACTTGTGGGGTAGAAGTGGGTTCTTTATAGGGCTGGATATACTCACATACGTCCCGTGGCGTATGCCATGCTAACCGTTGAAGGGCCTTGGGCCACAGTCATACCATCATAGGGAAGGCCGCATTCGGTGGAGTCAACGCCAGCAGCACACTTGATGAGATATTTGGTCATGGAACCGGTCTAGGATAATATTAGTTAGGATTTTATAGTAGATTGATAGAGGGATGGTTATACTTACAGTGCCAATGACCTTGCCCTCAAGTGGTTGCTCATCGATGCCAATTAGGAAAAGAGAGACTGTGTCGGTAGCGATGGCGGCAGTGGCACCGGCCAAAAGGACGAAAGATTGGATACGCATGTCGTATTGATTTAACGAATGTCGGGGTATATAGTCAAACGAGCGACAGGAATGGAAATTGTGAAAAGATGATTAGAGGAAAAGATAGAGCGGCCAGCGCCTTCATATACGACAAGAATTTATTTCAGGGTCTCTGCAGGTTTGGGCCAGAGCCCAGTCGAAAGCCATTTCGGATAATGCATGTATCGCGTTGAAACTGAAGCATCCTATTGGCTCTTTCTTTGTATTCTTAAGGACTAAGCGATGGCCTCTAGCCTGTTTAGGTGCTAGCGTGATGCTAGTGTCGGGCGAAAGTTATACCGCTATATCTAATTAGGCCATTTCAACCCCTTGGCTGCCAAAATAGCTCTATTGCCCCCCCTAAAAAGTCGGATCGATGAAACTCCGGGTTTTCGACCAATTTTACACGGGATAAGGTTTCTTTGTGAGGATCTGGATTTTGTGATTTTGGCCATATTTGCCTGATATTTGCCGGTTACTATATACATGGTCTGGTTTACTTCGTATCTCCTCAAAAACATTGCCGTGTGAAGATGTTCTAATATGCTGAAATACGATAACCCGAGATGTGCCCAAGTAGACTTATAGTGCTCAAGTCAGCAACAAAGGCAACCTTACGGAGTAGAACCTTAGAAGTTTTCACGCTAGTCCTTTAGTGGACCGCCTACCCGGGACTGCTTTGGTCAAGGGTGTTGCCCAGGCACCTGACATCGCTAGGATATTAAGGTCATGTTTGACACCAATTTGTTGCAGAACGGCGCTCATCACGACGCTGTTAATGAATTGAACTTGACGGGAAGAATGAATGGAGCAGGCGATCTTGCCAAATAGACAATTTCTTTAGCGATCTGAGAGAAAGATATGTTTTTCTACACTGTTAATTACCCTGTTTACTTGAAAATACCAGTGTTCCCATGAATTAATCCGCGCATATACGGTCGAGTATCCTGTTGGCTTTGTTCAGCTTCGTGAAAATGAAGAAAATTAAGGTTAGAATGGGGCTACGGGGCTGCAGGGCTCTATTAAGCTAAATCTACTTTCGTATACAACATACATGGTGATTTGTGAATGGCTTTATATTTGTAGATGCAGATCAGATGAAAAAGGGGGGGGGATCAACGTGGGGTTGATCATACCCCACGTTGATCATAGAAGTACCATGTGGCTAGGGAGGTTCGGCTGTGTTTTTTTACTAAGGCAATACCATAGAAAATGGCACTCGTATTGAAGACTGACTGCCAAGAGTGACCCTTCCGAAAGGTGTTAAGCTGCTGTGCCAATAGCGTTTACCAGAAAGAAAACCGAACAATCCCGCAAATTCAAGGGGACCAGAAGAGCTCGATATCTCTCGCCTTGGTCATTTCCTTAATGTCATCGAGCAAATGATCGGCTTGAGTGAAGAGGGTGATTTCTCCCTTCTCGAAACCCGCAAAAACCATCCCAATAATAACACGCTTAGTGCCTGTTGGTGTTCTTCTTTTACAGCTAACCATTGCTCCGGAATCCCCTCGCACAGAGAAAGCCTCTCCTTTAAGACCAGTAATGGAATACCCAAGGGTGGTGACCGTGGTAACAACCCCATCTTCCATTTCGGCTTCAATGTTGGCAACCCGAAGTCCATTGTAAACCCCAATCCTATTCCCAGAGCAATAACTACGATATCCGTGCATGAAAACTTCATCCCCATGCATCTCTAGGCTTTGTAGAATCGAACGCGGGCGAAACTCTCGGGGATACCACGGGTTATTTGGTCGAAGAACTACAAGGATAGAATAATAGTTGGCGGATAGAAGTCGAAGGGAGGAGGTGAAAGAGTAGAAGAGAGGGTAGGAATAATCTAATTACAGTCACATACCTCGTTGGATGGCTGGCGAGCAGGAATTAAGTGAACAAGGGCCCAGTCAAGATTGGTAGAATAATTTTCACCATCTTTTCCAAGGCCAAAGTTCTTCCGCTTGAAACCAGAGGCAGAAAAAACGTGTCCAAGCAGTTGATGGCCATTTTTAAAACGATCATGGAGGGTCTGAAGCTCGTCTTTTTGCTGGTTGATATCAGACTTGATCTTTTCATAGCCCCGGCGATGGTTGCTACTGAGCATGTCGAGTGCATCATCTCGTTCAAGTTGTTGCCACATCCGATACTGCTCCTCGGCTTCAGTTTCTTCAATTACCTCCTCCATCATCGATACGCCTTCTCTGTAAGCAAGTCGAGTTGGGTGATCGACGCCAAGCAGGCGGTTAATATCCGTGTTGGCGATGGTTGGGGTTGGTTGGATACCATTTTTGTTCCAGTTCTCGATTACTTGGTGGCCATGTCAGTATTACCAGGGCTCCAAATATAAGTAAGAGGTACTTACGCTCTTTATCCCGTTGGGAGAGACCAGCGAAAGGGGGGACCACCACATGCCAGCAAGTCAAAGCAAAGGTCCTCCACTCATCAGAGGATGGGTGTTTGAGATTCAGGAAACACCCCAGAGTGCCACTACTGTCATGGTTTCGAGATGAAGCAATGGACTCGGTTGCCATGGTTCGGCCATCATTCTTCAGAAGTCCTTCGAGAAGGCCAGTGCTGATCCCTTTGCGGCCCGCCTGATACACCGGCCTATCCATAACAATTTCAACAGCCAGCATTTGGAGACGCCGCTTCTTCAGAATAGAAACCACTTTCTCCCGGGTTTCAGTCCAGTCTTGGCTGCGATCGACCAGTATTAACAGGGTTGGTGAACAATCCAGGAGCGTGGGGCCTCTGCCACGTCGGAAGCATCCAATGAATCGAATTGAAGTTAGGTCCAATCGAACTAAAAGTTCCTTCAGGAGAGGCTCCCATTCCCAGAATACTTTGTCTTTTTGGAGAACAGGGTAGGTATTCATCGGCGTGAAAACTATGGGGTCTACAATTTCTACCGAGCAAGAAGCAAGGTTATTGCTAATCAAGAGACCTCGTAGCTCTCTTACGCATTGGAGACAAGTGTCGTCCACTGTCCCTCTCTTTGCCGGGATGTAAAGAGTCAAGCAGGGCTGTGGCTCGGGGTCGATAATAGACTGCCTACCGAAGAAAGAAAACCTAAGACTGACACCGTGTTGGTTGATATGGTACTTGTCGATGATGTTGAGGATTTTCTGCCCAAGTTCCCAACCTTCATCCGTTTCGAGACACGTCGACCGGAATTTAACATGATTTATGGGGACGGGTATGTTCGCTGTAGGAAGGGAGCACAAATATGGCCCCCCGACGCGAAGATCCTCATTGTGTAGGTTGTCATGGGTCAATCGGCCTTCATCGTCGCTACTTCCCCAAGAGCGACGCTTGCGTCCATCATCCCCAAGTTTGCCTTCCTCATCGTTGAAATCCCCACTTCGGCGCTTACCGTCATGTCTCTCGAGAGATTCTCTGTCCGGTAGCTCTCCACGCATTTGGATGACCAGAGGAGATGCATATGAGAGCTCATGCTTAGAGCCACGTGAAGCAGATGGCGCGAGTGCAGGTAGTGTCGCCATGATTTGATGAGAAATTTTGGTATCTGAAATAGATGATTTGGGGGTCGGGGGCGGGGGGGGGGAAGGGTGAAGGTGAAGGTGAAGGGGTGAAATGTGAGAAGTAAATAAAAAGTGAGAGAAGAGTGAGGATTACTGGTAGGGCCGTACCAGAATGGGATGCGGATGCGTTCCATACGTAAGCCGCTCCAATATTTGACAAACTATAAATTAACCTTAACTATACAAAACACTTTTGACAGGTCTTGTCCATCTGTCCCTCTTCAACTACTATCTCACAAAGGCCTTGTCAACATCATTTCTGAGGTTTGTCTGAGGTGGTCACTCCACATTCCTTTTTATTTGGGGTTAGTGCCATGCCCCATCACCTTCATCCCTTTCTATATTCCTCCAACCATATACGGATACACAGCATGCCGCTCGAGCTAAGACAAAGTCTTCATGTGTGGATCCTGCTAGGCACCCTTGCTAACTGGCATTGGGTAAACTTCGAGAACAACCGGATGGTAGAAACCAGCTTCTCCAACAGGAACTCAACGCTACGTTGGTCCATGGTCTCCTCAGTAGCTGTGACCATAAGCTCAAGCTGCGATCCGCGTTCCACAGAAATGATACCCAGCTGACCGTGCGCCAACTTGGAGCTAGCCCAATCGCGACCAGATGACGAGCGAACACCACCCATTTCGAAGGGCTCCGCGGCTTCTTCGCTCTGGTGGTGAACAAGACAAGCCATTTTCGAGCCAGGTTGCCACTCTGTGCAACATTCTGCGATGGCGTCGAACGATGCCTCGTCATGAGCAGTGATTTCTAGCTGCTGTGCCTGAACATGATGCAAGAAGGTTTCCACAGTCGAGTCAGGTTCAATCTTGATTCGAACAGGCAGGTGATTCAAGCAGGGCCCAATAGCTGTATTCGCGTCCAAGAAGGAACTTCCACGTCCGTGAACAACCTGACCTAAAATAATATCGGATTGCGCGGTTTTCTCAAACAGGACCCATGAGAAAGCCGCTTTCACCAGCGTTGACACGGTCATGTCCGGTGGAGGAGAGGGCATTTCCGTTTGGCGCTTTTCGACAATGTCATTATATGAAATCTGTGCCTTTCCAGTTTGACCAAGGGGATCGAGAGCAGCGGACGGAGCGCCCTGAAGGTATCGTTGCCAGAATGAAATCTCGGCCTTGTTCAGATCGCTCATTCTCTTATAAGCGATATCCTTGAATTGCGCAGCCGGTGTGAGAGGCTCGTTCTGATATGCCTTTTTGATTGTCGCCCACAGCAACGGTATGGAGGCCCCATCATACTGCGCGTGCGATATGTGAAGAATCAATGCAGTGCACTGTTTGGTGCGGCTAGTCACGAGAGTAAAGCTCACTGGCATTGTACCCTGGGCTGTGGAGGGTGGAGCCTTTCGTTCGGACTCTCGCGCAACATATGCCTCTGGATCATCACAGTAAACAATATTCAGCACAGGCTCAACATCCCGGAGGATCACCTGGAAAAATCGGCCATTGGACTCCACAAATACTGTGCGTAAGATGCTGTGGTGCGCCACAACCTGCCTGCACATGCTTTGCAGTCTGTTGATGTCGAGGGCCGCTGGGAATACTTGTGCCATCGAGACTGGGGATGCGTGGGTTATGTAGAAAATTTGGAATGGGAGTGCCGGGATGATATCTTCCACATTATCTCTAACCAAAGGATGTCCCGATGTGGAGTGAGAAGCAAGAAGCTCTGCACGTTCGTGATCCGTAATCAGGGAGTATGGTGTATGGGACCGCAAGGAAGATGCAGTCTGTGCCCCATCTATGATATCGGCGGAGTTGACGATGGTAGCATGTTCGGCAACGCGGGTTATTGTTTTCCACTGGAACAGACTCTCCACTGTATACTGGATCCCAGCTGCCCGAGCCCTCGATGCAGCTTTGAGAGCTGAGATGGAATCACCCCCCAATTGGAAGAAGCTGTCCTCAGCGCCAATCTCGTCCGCTGCGATATCGAGTACTTTCGCCCAGATGTGCTGCAATTCCCGTTCCGTCCCGCTGGCGGGCACTCGCTTATCTGAAGGCGCTTCAGCGAACAATGACTCTAGCTGCACTCGCGTTGCGCTCGCCGCCGAGTCCCTCAATAACTTTCGGTCTACTTTGCCACTGGTGCTATGAGGTATCCGCCGAAGCGGCACGAATGCAGATGGTACCATATAATCTGGCAGAATGTCACAGAGTTGGCGTTTGAGGCTTGCAACCTGGGCGGCAAAGTTGGTCGGGACAACAATTTCCAGGGAAGGGATCGCGGTGGACACCAGTGCAGCCGACCCAGTCGATTTTGAAGCGACAAAGACAACCAAGCATTTTGAATTCATCGAAGCCTTCGGTGTCACAATCTCAGCCACGATGTCCGTCAGGTCTTCGGGCCAGATTTCCTGCAGTCGCTTCTCAACTTCAGCAAGCTCAAAGCGTTGACCTCGTAGCTTGACCTGGAGGTCCTTTCGTCCTACAAACGTGAGGGATCCGTCCTCTTCATAACGAACAAGGTCGCCTGTTCGATAGACCCGGCCACCGCCAGTGGAGCCAACACGTCGCATCCATGTTGGAGATGAGATGAAGTTCATCGCTGTTTGGTCCGGACTGTTCAAGTATCCGCGACCCACCAGAGGTCCTTGAAGAAGCAGCTCGCCCACAGCCCCAATAGGAGCAATTCGGTTAGGATTTTGTGGGTCGGTTACCCAGCAGGCGCCAGCAATCGGGAAACCGATATTCCCGCCTTGCGAGGTAGAGTCAATTGCGGACTGCACAGTAAATGTGGCCGTGCATTCTGCTGGACCGTAACCAGCTACTATATGTGCATGTGGCATCCACTGCTTAATGTCGCTTGACCGAAGGGCTTCCCCACCGAACATGATTGTCCGGAGTGATCCCAACTCGTTTGGCAGTATTGCGCGCGACACACTGGGGGTTAAATAGGCATGAGATGGCTCTAGCCCTTGCAATGCCTCAGTTAATCGGCCCCTGCGCTCAGACTCCGTCAGAACGCAGATGCAAGCGCCCGCAAGCAATGAACCAAGTATTTCCGTAATGCTGATGTCGAAAGCATAGGAGGAGAAGTTCAGGACGCGGGCACCTGGGCCAATACCCATCAAATGGGAAACTTCATTGATCATTGTCATGAAGGAACCATCCTCAATCACAACTCCCTTGGGTTTACCCGTTGAACCAGACGTGAAGACCGCATAAAGAGCACGGTCTAGACCCGAACGGGTCATCTTATGACCTGATATAGATGCACACTCGCGGTCGATGCTCTGGGGCATGATCACAACATTGTGGAACAGCGCCTTGGCTTCATGACGATGCTCGGGCGATGTAAGAATGAAAGGAGGCTTTACTTGTTCGCATATGTCCCGAAGCCGCTCTTGTGGATGTGAGGTGTCCAGAAGGACGAAGGCTGCGCCTGCTTTGAGCACGGCCAACACCGCTACCACAGTCCAGCATGACCGATCCAAGTATATTGGAACAAAGACCTCTGATGATGCTCTCTGCAATTGCAGAAGGCTGGCCACGTTGCTAGAAAGAATGTCTAGTTCTTTATAGGATAGACAGAAGTTCGACGACGAGACGGCTAGACTCAACGGTTGTCTCTCACAATGCTGAGAAATCACATCGGTGACCGACACCGGACATCGTGCCGGAAATCCAATGTTCCAGGCTTGCAGCAGCTGAATATCCTTGTCATTCAGTGTAGCAATTTCGTGCACCAGCTTTGCTGGATGACGGTGCACCTGCTGCAGAATGTGGCTGAATTGGTCCAGCATATGTTCTACTTGCCATGCTGGAATGACAGTTTCATCAGTGGACACTGCAATAGTCACCATATTTGGCTTGAGCATAACGGCTATTTGGATGGCGTAGGTGTTCGACGCAGCATCCCCCGATGATGTTCCCATGGGTTCCATAGGACCGTTTGCGGTGCCCAAGTTTTCAACCTCTCCTCTCCCTTCCACAATTAGGGTTTGGAACAGACAAGCTTGCTTTGCCTCCGGTCCTATGGCCGCAATCTCAGGTAGTCCCACCTGTTCGAATGGAATGAGCTGTATTGTCCGCTCTTGCAGATCTCTGAGGGCGTGTGAGACGGTCGCATTATCATCGATCTGCACGCGCAAAGGAAGCGTGGCAATTGTTGGACCAGCCATGCCCTCGATACCATTGACGGACGCTGCTCGGCCAGGGGACACAATGCCAAATACCACATCGTCATTACTCTGGTAATGAGACTGAACAAGGGCCCATGCGAAACGAATGACGGTGGTTCGACTGACACATTCATCCATCACCGGACCGGTCTCAATCGTTCGTACCGTTTGTTTCGACGCCTGAGGCCGATATGATGTGGAAGGAAGTGTGGGAAATGGCTCGGCGGTAAGTTCGTGGAATTCACGACGCCAGTGTTCGACTGCGTCCTTCTGTTGCGACATAGAATACTTGATGAATTCTTTGAATGGAGTCATATCGGAGGGATCCAATAGCTGGCCTTGGTAGGCCGCTTGTGCGCGGTGCACAAGCAGAGGCAGTGACCAGGAGTCATAAAGAGCATGATGAATGGTGATAATCAGGTCCAGTTGCTGATCTATGCTGGAATCCTCGTTCGGCACCGGGATGACTTCGAACTGCACTAGTGGCTGGCCTAAAAGAACGTCCCATTGTAACTTTTTCTCTCCCTTCGTGTCCCCCGAAATCCAGTGAAGCTCGGTGTTCTGTACCAGGACTTGCATGAAGCCAAACTCCGAATGAATGAATCGGGTGCGCAGAATTCCGTTGTGCTTCGCTACCGTCTCCCAAGCTGTCTTCAATAAGGACAGATCAATATCCGTCCTAGGCGGAAACGATGATATGCGATATATGACCCGGGGCGCTCCGCTGTCAAAGCTACCATACCGGCCTGCAATGCGGTACAGGGGTATATGTCTGCGATCTGCTCTCTCGAGAGGCTGCATTGTTCCATTGCTTGGGTTTTCAATTCTTCGCGGTGATTTGGCGAGAGCATTGAAAACGGGGGCACGGAATCATCCACTTCATTTGGTTCGGAGTTCGCCCGCTCCTTCAGCTCTGGATCTGGAAGTGAGCAATTCAGTGCGAGATCGCTAAGCTTAGGATGCAAGAAAATATCCGAGACTCCCAGTTGTATGCCTTGCTCGCTAGCTGCGGCAGCCAGCTTCATTGCTGCGATCGAGTCTCCGCCCAAGCGGAAGAAGTTGTCGTCAGGTCCGACAGTTTCCACAGGGCGAGCCAGAACTTCAGCCCAGCAATTTTGCAAAGCAAGTTCGCCTTTAGTCATTTCTCTTAACTGTCGCAGGTGGTGGGTGGTCGCCTGTTTACCAATCTGTGCTCGTAGCGCTTGAGATGCTGCATGCCGGAGTTGTTTTCGGTCAATCTTTCCATTCACCAATCGTGGTACCTGATAGACAGGAATAAATGCAGATGGAATAAGAGAAGCTGGAACATCTGCCCGAAGACGCGATTGCATCTGCTCCACGGCCGCCTCGAAATCATTAGAATCGCAACTGTCTGCTGGTTGGATAATGGAGGCCACCAAGTGTGCATCTTTGGCATCGCCTGGTGAGATCAAGTCTGCAAAGACTTCAGGGTCGCTGATAGGGAAGCACTGCTGAACGTGGTGCTCAACTTCGGCAAGTTCTATACGCTGCCCACGCAGCTTGACTTGACGGTCTTTCCGCCCGATGTATTGTATAGAGCCATCCACAAGACGCCTCACAAGGTCACCTGTTCGGTACAAGATGCCCTTTCGGGAACCACGGATCTTGCGTAGCCAAGTGGAGTATGGAATGAATGCCGTTGCCATTGCCTCCGGGCGATTAACGTAACCGCGACCGACAATAGGACCATCGATGAGCAGTTCTCCCACAGCACCCACAGGTAAGAGTTTCTCTGCTCCGTTTGGATGCGCCACCCATGCGGCACAACCAGCAGGGTGTCCAATATTTGATTCATCTTGTGAGAGGTATTGCGGCGATGGCTGGGCCGCGGCAATGACAGAGCATTCTGAAGGACCGTAGGCATTCATTAAGCGTACATGCGATGACCAGCGACGGACATCGTCCCTAGTCATGCCCTCTCCACCGAGCACAAGTGTTTCCAACGTCGAAACGTGCTGCGGATTTAGGATTCGTGCAACAGAAGGGGTCAGCAGCGCCCAGTTTACTCGCATCTCGCGGATTGCATGACCCAGTCTCTGGTTTCGGTCTCCGTCGGAGGGAATACAGATACAGCCACCGACCAGAAGAGTGTCGATCATTTCCACAATGCTAGCATCAAAAGCATACGAGGCGAATTGTATGACCCGGGCATTTCTATCAAGACGAAGTACCTGGGTATGCGCAGCTGATGCTGACAGGAACGACTGGTGCTCGATGACGCTTGCCTTGGGCCTACCGGTCGAGCCAGACGTAAAAACAGCATACGCAGCGGACTTCGGACTAGTGACCGATGGGGCACTGTCTTTCAGAATGCGTGACTGCGACATTTCGCTGAGGTCCTCCACGATGATGGGGTTCGGCGCTAGACTGGCTGCAAGCTCAAGGTACTTCGATGACGTGATGATAACTGGACACTGGAAGTCCACTTGCACCATCTCTTGCAGTCTCTCTGCTGGATGCGACGGGTCAAGCAAGATGAATGCTCCACCTGCCTTCATGATGGCAATTATTGCGACAACTGTCCATAGGGATCGTTCACGGCATACTGGCACAAATACCTCCGGACCGACACCAAGGCAGACCAGGTCTGTAGCCAATAGAGAAGAAAGAAGGTCGAGAGTCTCATATGTCAATTGACCATCCCAGGAATCGACTGCAGGAGATGTCGGTTGCGCCGCCGTAATTCGTTGTATGTCTGTGTGAATACAAGATCGCACAGTTTGCGGTAGGTTGTAATTGAAATCAAGCATCTGAATCTCATTCTTCCCCATTGACAGATTGATGTCGCTTAGGTTGCTGATTGTGGGATCAATAAGCTGCAGAACGACATGAGAAAATGTGTCGGCCACCAGTTCAGCCTGAGCTTCAGCCACAGCGTGTGTCCAGTATGTAAGATCACAATCGATGGTCGCTTCACGCGAAGTGATATTGATAGTCAAGTCATACTGTGCTTTGGTAAGCGATTGCTTCTCTGCTCTAAATGGATGCTGCTGGGGTAAAAACATCGCAGACACTATTCACACATACCTCAGTTGAGTCGATTCCATCTTCTGGTTGCAATTTAATCCTTTCAGATTTTTCAGGAAACAGACTGCCCGCGTCATTTTGTAACGACATCGCGGTATTGAACAAAGGTTGGCCGGAGCGGTTTAAAGAATGCATGACCTCTGCCAAAGAGCAATGTTGGTGATCAAGGCTTCGCGCGTAGGCCGCATGGTTTCCGGCAAGGGTTGACAGAACAGATGATTCATCCGCTAAAGATAGTCGACAAATCAAAAGATTGATCAAAGGCCCGGAGATATTGTGCGCGTCTTGCACCGGAATATCACGGCAAGCATTCAGATACCCGAAGCATACAGACTCGTTTCCTGTGTACACACGGAGAACAATACCCCAAGCGACTTGGAGCAGACTGGAAATGGTGATGCTATGATGCTGGCAGAATGAGCGGAGATCTTGTGCAATATCCATGGAGAACGGTAATGACTTCAGAGAGCTTGCGTCGGTCCCATGGTCTTTCAACCCAAGAGATGGGAAAACACATGGATGAACATCAGTCAAGTATTCCTTCCAATACGACTCCGAGGCCTTATGGTCCCGACTTTGCAGATAACCGAGGTACCTGCTATAGCTGCCCGCAGACTCGGCGTCTAGTGCTCCATTGCATGCTTGGTGGAATTCTGACAACAGCCTTTGCTCTGTGATACCGTCAACAAGAATGTGGTGGATAGCTAGTTGGCAATAAGCTCCGCCATGAGGCTCAATTGCGACGGTAAGCTGATGTGGTGGGCGACCCTTTGTGTTTGATGATTTTGGATTCAGCAGGAACTCATCCGAAAGAGACGGGACTTTGCCCTCCGCACGCAATTCTGAACTCGACAACACCTTGATGTTTGCCTCGCAAGATCTCAGAACTACTTGGACAGGATGACCGTGCCCTTTGACGCCATCGGCGAAGACGGTGCGCAAGATGGGTTGACGGTCAACAACCTGCTGCCATGCTTGCTTCACCTCAGTGATATCGATTGGGGAGTTGGCGGACGTTGGGGACAGAGACCACCGGATATGCGACCAGTATACTTGAGGGTTTCTCAATTGGCTCAGCCACATGCCGAGTTGAATGGGTGAACAAGGGAACATATCCTCTATTCCAGACGGAGAAACATCGAATCGACCTGATACCTGATGGAGTAGACTGTGGAGATGGTCTTCGCTTGCAAATGATAGCAGTGGGAAGTCGACAGCGGCTAGTCGCTGCTCCTGCTGCAGCTCCATGGGGAGTTCCTCAAGGGTTTGTAGGCAATTGCTGATCCATTGCTCAAGTCGATCCTGATGCTGCAATCGTTGGTTATATATAAAGGACAAGTTGAGAGAGCCGTTCATGACGGTTGCGTTCACATCAATGAGAGCCATGCGCGGCAAGTCAGCCGCCATGGGGAGAAGAGAATCATCTTGGACTGACGTCATCTGAAGGAGGGCACCCGGTCGTTCAAATTGTTGGAAAAGGCCGGTGTAGTTGAAAAGAATCTCCATTGGGGAATGAGTCTTGAATTTTTCCGGTCCATCGGGGTGGAGGAATCGCGACGCAAAGTACGCCCATCCGTTGGTGGATATGCTACGCCGGCCGTCTTTCGTCAGCTGCAAGATCCTCCTGACGTTGTCCTCTCTCTTGACATCCAAAAACAAAGGTGCAATAGTGGTGAACCACCCAACTGTGCGGGATATATCAATTTCCGGATCCCAAGGCTCTCTCCCGTGTCCTTCGCTGAACATGGTGGGTGCAGGTCGGTTGTCAAAGGCCTGAACAAAGGCGTAAAGTACGGCTGCCTGAATGATTTCCACTGGCTGGGTGTGGAATGCGCCATTTGCAGCACCAATTATTGCCTCCGTTGTTTCCTGCGATACTGTTATGGTTCGTCGCGTTGCATCCGCCCAGGTGTTCTCACTCAGGATAGCCTCTGAGCCCCAGTACTCCATTGATGGACGTGGGATTTCTGTCTTCAGCGTTTCACTTGGGTTAAGGAGGCGCTGGCATAGCCTTTTTGCAGTCGGGACCATTGCTGGAATGATATGGAAAGAGGTTGAATTGTACGGCCCGTGCTGAGGATATCTTCCAGGTCTTGCAGAACGATGCGCCATGATACTAGGTCAATCACAAGATGATGAGCCATCAACCCCAAGAACTGCTCTCCGGCATCTGTAGTGATAATGTCAACAACGATCATCACTCCCTGGACGATATCAAGTGTGCTCTGGCTGGTTGACAAAATCCTCTGCAAGGCTGCACGGTCGTTGATAGATGGCACCCGGTGCTCTCTAAACCGAAGGCTTCTAGACACATCAGGGCCAATAACCTGTCCCCATTGACCGTCTGCTCGTTGTTCAAAACGGGCGCGGAGCATTGAATGAGTGGAAACAATCTTCTCGATCGCTCGTTTAATCTCAGGAGGTGGAAGGGGCTTGCCGAGCCGAAGAATGAACTCGAGGGTGAACTTGTTGTGACCATTGGGCACTCGTTCAAAGAAGAGCTTCTGGATTGGGGAGAGCTCAAACCACACATCTGTTTGATCGTCCACTCCGGCTGTGGCCAAAGAAACGGATCCGGAATCTTGGATCTTTTCAGCCAGTTGCCTGATGCTTGGAAACCGGAAGATATCAGCAACAGCTACTTTGAGGCCGACGGTGCGACAGCCTGCAGCAACTTGCATCGCGCTGACAGAATCTCCTCCCAGGCGGAAAAAGCTTTCCGTGGTTCCGATTTCTTCAACAGTTCGGTTTAGCGTCTTGGCCCAGATCTCTTGAAGCTTCTCCTCGCGGGAGGTCGACGGCGCCTCCGGTTGCATTTTTACAGCTCGATAAGCCTTCATCTGCTCCAAGGACAGCTTATTGGCCTGCTCCTGGATAGAACGTCGATTGGTCTTTCCAGATGGCGTCAGAGGTACATGGGATAGAGGTAGGTAAAACCGCGGGATCATGAAAGATGGTAGAACATCCGACATGGTGGCCTCTGCCGCAGCACAAGCTTCACGAAACTCGTCGGTTGGAGGAAGGAACTGGGCTTGAGGATTGCCATCATCTTCCGAAGACGCAGGGAGACATATGAATGCTACCAGCAAAGCCTCCGGTCGATGATCATTGATGCTGTTCTGAGGAGATGACCGAAGAACGTCTGCAAGGGTCTGGCGGGCTTTCGGAAATGCTTTGTGAAGATGGTACTCAATGTCCGCCAGTTCCAAACGCTGTCCGTGTAGCTTGACCTGAGTATCCTTCCGTCCGAAGTATCGGAAACTACCATCCCCAGTGGCTTGCACCAAATCTCCGCTTTTGTACAATTTTCCGGATGGAGGGGAGCCAAGTTGTAGGCGCCAGGGGGGTGCTTCGACGAAGACCCGAACCGTCTGCTCGGGATTCGATAGATAACCCTTGCCAACGATTGGTCCTTCTATTAATAATTCTCCAGTGCATCCCTGTGGCATGAGCACACGATGATCTTCCGGATGAACGACCCATCCAGATCCACCTGTGCTGAACCCTATGTTCGCTGGATCGTTGCTCTTGAGATTTGGTTGCACGCTGAACACTGCTGAGCACTCCGCTGGGCCGTAGGCATTTCCAACGTGCACAAAAGGCTCCCAGCGGACAACATCGCTAGCGAGAACTGCCTCTCCGACGAACATCAATACCTTCAAGGTCTGAACGCTGTCCGGACTAATGATCCGGGTGACACTGGGCGTCAGGCACGCAACGTCTACAGCAAAGCGGTTCATAGCTTCCACAAGATGACTGTGGCAGTCATCCGTTGATGGAATGCAAACACATCCTCCGTTGATAAGCGTACTCAGGTGCTCGATAATGCAGGAGTCGAAGGCAGGAGAGGCAAATTGTAACACACGCGACCCCGGAGTGAAGTGGTATGGTTTGCCATGAGCTACGGAGCTTGAAGCATAGCCTTCGTGATGAACTATTACACCTTTGGGGGTTCCTGTGGATCCAGAGGTAAACGTGAGATACATGGGGTCCTGCGGACTGACGGAGGACTTCTTAGATGAGGTATGGGAATGCGGTTGCTCCGGGTCGAAGGTTTCCACGTTGAACAACGTTTGAATCCCAAGCTTGGCCGCCAGGTCAATATGACAGCCGCAAGTCAATACGAGAGGAGCTGCAACAGCTTCGCACATATTCCGTAACCGGGACTGTGGATGTGATGGCTCTAGCAGCACAAATGCAGCACCAGATTTCATGACAGCAAGCATAGCGACCGCCATCCACTTAGTCTTTCCCAAGAGAAGAGGTACAAATGACCCAGGGCCAACACCATGCCAAGCAAGATGGCCAGCCAATACTGAAGACAATTCATCAAGGGCTAAGTATGAATAACTGCCATCCCAGCTACTGATTGCCGGGGCAAGAGGCTGTTGTCGCACGCGTCTTTCAATTAGAGAATGAACACACGGCATGGCATCAGGGCGCTTTGTCAAGATGTTCTGGCGGCGGAGATCGCTCAAATCTTCGGGGCTTACGAGACTGATTTCGGAAATTGTGAGGCCCGGTTTAGTGTCGATCTGCTCGTATATATGGATGAATTGGGAGAGAATTCGCTCCATTTGAATGGGCTCCGTTACCGCCGGGTCAAAAGAAGCCTCAATCCACATTGTCATGGTCGAGGGGCGACATCTTAGGATCAACGGATACATATCATATGTCAATTGTGTCGATCGACTCTGAGAGAATATATCGGGAAGTTGATGGCCATCCCGAGGCTCGACCGAGAGCAGAGTCTGGAAATGACACGCTGCTGCTGGACCAGGTCCAAGGCGAAGCAGATTTTGCAATCCAACATGTTCGAACCCCATAGATGCCGCCCATTCGTCCTGTACTGCAACCAACGCATCTGAAACAGTACTCTTCCCGCACAGCTTGATGCGCACCGGTACGCTAGCGAGTGCAGGTCCGCTCAAGTCCTGGACTCCCTCAACGGACACTGCACGACCAGCGTTGACTGCTCCAAATAAGGTATCGTCAGAGTCAGTATAGACCGATTGCAGAATCGCCCACGCCAACCGGAACTTGGTGCCGACCGTGCTTGAGGAACCATTTCCGGATTGGATGTTAAAGGACCTCTCTAGCCGCTCGGTTGGTCTGGCAGAATGACCCACTGTGGGTAGTTGAGGAAACGCCCTCATTGTGGCCTCGTGTGCATCACGGAACATGGACCCCCAGAAATCATTGGCTTTGTCTTGGGTCCGCTGTACATGATCCACTAGCGGCCGAAAGGGGTGGAAAGACAGTTCTTCGCCTCTGTAGGCAGCATCGGCCTGGCGCAACAACAATGCCATAGACCAATGGTCGCAGATGGAATGGTGGATTGTCACTTTCAGCTTATGTTCGGTGATGTTGAAGAAGAAATACGCCAGCGGGGCGCCTGCTCGCCAGGACGGGCTGGTAATTTCGCCATTTATGCCGTCGTCGGTCTCCTGCACCTGCCATGGAATTGATCCCCGCACCACTGCCTGCACACATCCGCGCTGACTAGTTGGAATCATGCGAGTCCTCAAGATCGGGTTGGCTTGGGCCGTCGTAATCCAAGCCTCTTGGAGCTTATGGTGGTCAATTTCTCGTGGCAGACGGTATTCGTGTTCGATGGTGTATGCTCTTGGGTCTTTGAACGTGAGGGCTATCATGGCTTCCTGGAGGGCAGTGCAGGCATATACATCTTCAATCTCTTCCAAGGAGCAATGGCATTGATCGGCCACTTGCTGCCAAATCCCATCTATCTCATTTTCCTTCTCAGTCGATGGAGATGGAGTAAGAGGTTCTTTGTTGAGCGACATCAATGTTTCCTCCACCGAATCCCCCGGCGGGGTGATGGCCCCTGTGGCAGGGAGGTCTTTTGATGGTCTCATGCTGTATTCGGGTTGCTGAGGTACCATGATCTCAAATTCCTTCTCCATTCGGTTAGAATATATACCTCTACTATTGAGGTCCATATTGACATATTGACATACCTGTGTCACTCAATCGTGGCTGTCTTGTGTGATTCTGACTTTATTTAACTCACAACCTCGTGGGCATTGTTCCTGATATGAGAATCGAGAGTTAGAATAAGAGTTCCTGGCAGCCAAGAGGCGAGTTGAAATGAGCCTTATACGACAATATCGGCGATGTCCGTAGTACCTAGAGCTACACCTTCGAATAATAATCACGCTATGGCTCCATAGAGGGCGGGATAAACATTATGCGCCCTGATCCAGAGGTATAGAGACATTGTCAATGTAACATGATAGCTTCCTTGACGTACGCCGTAAACTCTACATCTGAAACAGAGATCTTTTCCGGCGATTTCCACTTCTTCTCGTGCATTCTGTCGAGCGCTCACATTGTATATTCATCATCGATCGAGCTCGTTCCAGGTTTTTCACAATATATTTCCTAATTTGGTAGTATGGAAGACCCACGTGAGCCAACGTCTAAATAAAAGTTTGGGTTACATCCGAAATCTTTAATTCCACCTTTGGTTGACATCACCGGTCCACTGATAATGCCATTTTGGCCAATGTGAGATATCAAAGACATTGTGATGATTTTAAGACTATGAGAGATTATGTTGTTGCCTTTTAAGGGTCCGTGCCTTGAATGGTTCGTGTTCGCATTCGTGTTCTGGAGCGCTAAGGATCCCCCTGATTTCTTGAAAGATGACAGGTTTCTTGATTTTCTTGACAATATTCATCCCAAGAACACCGAAATGGTGCAGGTGTCCTTCGACAAACAACTTTTCTTTCACTAAACTGCTGTGTTGACCGGGTGAAAAAAAAAAAATGCCTTCGCCGTCAGCTTCCCCGCATCGTATCGGAACGCCGGAGGTACCAACATCACCAGATAACAACTCCATTGCCAGTGCAGACATTGTCGCTCGTTCGAAGTCAAAAGATGAGACAGCCAAACCAGCAAGTCTCGGTAGCTATGCGGTAGGTCCTTATTTATTGATGGAGGCTTGGTCTACTATCGCTCACATCTCCTCCAGAGGATCCTATCATATGGTGCCTCCCATGGGGGTATTTATATTATGATTCTAGGGCTGATTTGTGCCATGGCTTCGGGAATTGTAAGGGCAAATTTCGAGCTGTACTCAACATCAACTAATGAAACTCCAGGCTCTTCCGTTGATGAACATTGTCTTTGGCCAGCTGGTCGGCACCTTCAATGAGTACTTTATTCCGGGATCGGGTATCACAGAGGGGTCATTCAAGTCCTCAGTCAACCAAAATAGGTAAATGTCGCAGTGTATCTCTCATGGCAGCGAACTAACCGTCTCCTTTTAGCTTGTATATTGTGTATTTATTTATCGGAAAGTTCTGTCTGACTTACATATCCATGGTATGGTTTTCTACCCTGCATACCTCCTTTATTACTCACACCAGACAGATTTGTTTTCGATTGATCAGCCTCCGTGCCTCGGGAGCCTTGCGCCTGGAGTACACCCAGGCTCTCTTTTCACTTCCTATGAGCAAGCTGGACGAGATGTCAGTCGGAACTGTCACACATGCGATTACGGCGCTGTCAAATACGATCCAGCAAAGTGTTTCCGATCGACTCGCCATTCTGTTTCAGTCACTCGCCTTGCTCATTTCGGCTTACGCAATCGCATTCCGTTATTCTTGGGCATTGACGCTTGTTGTCAGTTCGGCCATTGTATTTGTGATCCTTGGCTTTAGCCTGACACTGCCATTTTTGGTCAAGGCCCAGCAGAGTGTGGACAAGGCAGATGAGAAGCATGCCGCGCTCGCCGCAGAAGTATTCGGTTCTATTCGGACAGTGTTCGCCCTGGGTGCTGAGCAACCACTCTTCAAAAAGTATACCCGGTGGGTCGAGGAAGCACGAAAACGTGGCCTGCGTATGTCTTTAGTCAGTGGCCTTCACCTTGGAATGCTCTTCTTTGCGATGTATGTCAGCTTCGCTCTGGCCTTCTGGTTTGGGTTGAAGCTGTATCGCGAAGGTCACATTGCTAACATTAACACCGTGATCACGTATGCTTATCCCACCTTCTGAATACCTGTGATGCCGTTCTCTGACAATCCATTAGGGTATTCTTTTCCGTGCTCCTCGTGGTCACTATTTTGGGAGGCATTGCAGGGCCATTGATGGCTATCTCGAAGGCCATAAGTGCATCAGGCGCCTTTTTTGGTGTTATTGATTCCAAGAGGGACGATCCACCGGGAATCCGAGAGCCAGAGGTATCCAGCCATGCTGATATCGTGTTTCAGAACGCGACGTTTTCGTATCCCACAAGACCAGAAATGACTGTGCTTAAGGGATTTAATGCACGGTTTGAGCGAAATAAAACCACAGCTCTGGTCGGACCATCCGGTTCGGGGAAAAGTACTATTGTCGCTATGATCGAGCGATGGTACCAACTTCAGTCCGAGGAAGATGAAGAGGCCACATCGGGTCAAATCCATGTGGGAGATCACAATATCAATGACTTGGATGTGAAGTGGTGGCGATCGCAGATCGGACTTGTTCAGCAAGAGCCATTCTTATTCAACGATTCAATATACAACAATGTTGCTTTTGGTCTGATCGGATCACAGTGGGAGAATGATACAGAGTCTGTGAAGATGGAACTCATCACCGCAGCTTGCAAGCAAGCCTTTGCAGATGAATTTATCGACCGCCTCCCCATGGTATTATTACACCCTCGCTACGTTTTCTTTAGTTTTCATTTGTCTGATTATTCCAATTCTAGGGTTACTCGACCACTGTCGGGGAAGGTGGAATCACATTGAGTGGCGGACAGCGCCAAAGAATTGCCATCGCGCGGAGTATCGTCAGCCAACCCCAAATTCTCATTCTTGATGAAGCGACCAGTTCGATCGATATTCAAGGAGAAAGGATTGTGCAAGCAGCCCTCGATCGTGTATCCAAAGATCGCACTACAATCATGATCGCTCATCGTTTGTCCACCGTCCGCCGCGCGGACAAGATCATCGTCATGAAAGACGGCCGGAATTCAGAAGAAGGTTCCCACCAAGAGTTAATGCTCAAGGAAGGGATATACCATAGCTTGGTTCATGCGCAACAGCTGGAGCCACTGACAGATTTGATGGATGCCGATGTGCCAGATTCGATTCTTTCGCAGAAAGAAGAAGTCAAGCCTCAAGTTCACACCACTAAAGAAGGCGGTGATCAACAACCCCAGGAAAGTCCCGTGCCCGAAAGAGGCTTTGGCTTTTTCCACAGCTTTGGGGTGCTCATTTATGAAAATCGTAGCCATTGGCTCTTATATGCACTGACGCTAATCGGGGCTGTAGGGGCAGGTTGTAAGTATTCACCGTACTCTCCGCGAATTTCCAGATATAGGCTAACAGAGTCCAACAGCCGGATTCTCCCTACAAAGTTGGCTTTTTGCCAGACTTGTGGAAGTTTTCCAGTTCACTGGCCAGAAGCTCGTGGACGCCGCGAACTTCTGGGCATTGATGTTTTTCATCCTCGCCCTTGCCATGGCGACCTTCTACTTTATGCTAGGATTTTCGTCCAATTCCATCTCAATGGTGAGTTTATATACGTCCTCGGAGCTGGAGCAAAGCTAACTGTTCAGTTTGTCGTGTCCAATGCTCGGCTGGACTATTTCTACAACCTATTGTCCAAACCCGTGTGGTTCTATGACCGCGAGGAGAATTCCTCAGGTAGTCTGATTTCCAGGCTCTCCACCGATTCAAAACAGTTACAGGAGATGTTTGGTCCCACTGGTGTTTTTCCTCTCATTTCGATCTTCAACGTCATCGGTTGTGTTGCAATCTCGTTCGCCTTTGGATGGAAACTGGCGGCTGTCACCTTTTTCGCCGCCATGCCATTCTTATTTCTCTCTGCCTTCATGCGCATTCGATATGAGATCAAATTCGAAAGCCTAAACGCCGAAGTCTATGCCGATAGCTCCAAGTTCGCAACGGAGGCGGTCCGGGCCTTTAGGACGGTCACTGCTCTGACCATGGAAGATTCAATTTTGCAAAGATATTCAAGGCTGCTGAAAGAACAGCGTCAGAAGGCCACCCGGAAGGCGTGGTACGCAACGTTGGTATTTGCGTTTTCCGACAGTGTCGAGCTATGTGCCATGGCACTCGCCTTCTGGTACGGCGGCCAGCTCCTCGCGTCTCGCGAATACGACCCGGTTGCATTTTTCGTGGTCTACATTGCTATTATTCAAGGCGGCCAATCAGCTGGGCAGTTCTTCAGTTTTGGTCCAAATATTGCCCAGGCTAAGGCTTCTGCCAATCGCATATTGGCTGCACGACTACCTACTGCGGGGCAACTTCAGCATGTCCCGGTTGGACCGCTGTCTTCTTCGGAGCACACTCCCAGTCCCTCTGTTGAAATTCAAAACGTCTCTTTTCAATATCCTTCTCGCGAGGTACCGACATTTGTTGATCTAAATCTCTCCATTGAGAGTGGTCAATTCGTAGCATTTGTCGGACCTTCAGGCTGCGGAAAATCTACGCTTGTCTCCCTACTGGAGCGCTTCTATGACTGCACTCAGGGAGCCATCCTGTTTGGTGGCCGAGACATTCGTTCCATTGAACTGTCCTCTTACAGAAGTGCCTTGTCGCTCGTGGCCCAGGAGCCGAAACTCTTCGAAGGCACCATCCGTGAGAATCTCCTTCTCGGTCTGGAAGCCCCCAATAATCCGACTACCGAGGACCAAATGATTCAAGCATGCAAGGACGCCGAAATTCATGACTTCATCGTATCTCTGCCAGATGGCTTCTTGACAGAACTTGGCGTCAACGCTCAGGCCTCACTGAGTGGTGGGCAAAAACAGCGTCTTTGTATTGCGCGATCCTTGATCCGAAAACCGCTACTTCTCCTTCTCGATGAGGCCACATCCAGTTTGGACTCTCAGTCGGAAAGTCTTGTACAAGGCGCTATGGAGAGATTGGCAAGCAAGCGAAACATGACTATTATTGCGGTCGCGCACAGACTAGCAACCATTCAAAAAGCCGATGCAATTTTTGTCTTCGGAGAAGGGGCGTCGGGACAGGGATCGAGCATTCTTGAGTCCGGAACACATCATGAATTGTTGCGCAGAAAGGGGGCTTATTGGCAGATGGTATGTTCCCCGCTCAGCCGCATCTACTTATAACTAACGTGATTATAGTGTCAAGCGCAAGCTCTAGACCGATGATGGGATGAGCCTTTCAAGCAAGGCCGTTTCATTTATTCTCTTCTCCTATCTCATACTTCTGTATCTCATAAACCAATACACAACGTTTAACAGACTGCATGTGTCAGCACATCAATTTCACTTGAAGAACTCGGAAACACTTACTGCCTATCACCCCGTTTACTGGAATATCAATAGAGGTAGTGTAGCTGGCAGCCTCACTTAGAAGGTACACGTAGGCACCGCCGAGCTCCTGTACCTCGGCCAACCTAGGGAATCCACCATAATACTTCAGCTGCTGTTCCCAGTCCGGCTGCTGAGGGACCCAGTATGTCATGGCGGTCTTGACTAGACCAGGCGATACACTGTTGACACGGATACCGTACTGCGCCCATTCCATTGCCAAAGTGTGGGTCATGTTTCGTACGCCTGCCTTCGAGGCACCGTAGGGAGTGGAAGGGACGCGCTGAAATGCAATGTCAGTGATCATCCGGAAAGAAATCGAAGGTAGGTTTACCTTGTTGGGACGGTAAGAGGCCATTGATGCTGTGAAGACAATAGATCCCTTTATTCCAATCTTGATGAATGCACGAGCAGCGGCGCGTGCGGTGTAGAAAGCCCCGAAGAGATTAACATTGAACAAGGTCTCAATATCCTCCTGGGTGAAGTCCAGAGCAGCTTTGTGGTTTGTTCGTCCAGCGTTAACCACCATTCCGTGCAGAGCGCCAGCTTCCTCGATGATCCTATCGATTGCCGCGGTGATAGTCGATTCCTCGGTCACATTGGCGGTGACAGCAAAGAGCTGACCGGGATAGTGCTTGGAGAGAGTAGCAAAATCTTCTCCAGTCTCCCCAATGTCAATCGAGTAGACCTTGGTCGCGCCGTTGGAAAGGCAGCACTCGGCGATACCGAGACCAATACCGCGATTGGCACCGGTGACTAACGAAATTAGCACAATTGTAGATCTTAATATTCCGTACATACTAGCAATAACCTTTCCACCGAGGGTGACTTGAGTCTGAGGTGTGCTTTCTGGGGCCATAGCCGGGTGGTCGGTCACAGAGGAAGCCATTATGAAATGTGATTAATGGATACAGAAGATTGACTGGGAGACAAGAGTAAAGTTAAGAGAAGACACATTCCTTTTTATAAATCACACTTACTCCCATTGAAACACACAGCATTCCCCCCGCGTATCTCGAGTCGAGGTACGTCCGAGACAGGAAAGATATTGGACAAGGGCTCCCCGAGACGAGACGACACGATGCAGGCCCACTATGGCGATTCGGGAGATTGGAGCATAAAGAGATGGAAAGAGTCAGGTCCCTAGATAGAAATGAAGCATTAGAATCGAGAGATATTTCCACCTGGGCACCTTCCGGAGCCATTAATAAGAAATTTTGAACTTTCTATGGAATAATAAGGACGATCAGATAAAACGGCAAATACGACCCAACAGTACTTGTATGTAGATATTCCCTGTTAACTTCAAAAGTGTTCAGATCACCATATTGGCACAATTTCCCTTCCTTCATGCCTTGCCCGCCGAACCGCAGATCTCCATCCATTTGATGGTCAGGTCCGTCACCTTCTGAATGCCCTCCTCGATAAGTTGGGTGTGCGGCATCTTTCCCACATTTTCCCGAAGATGGTCGTAGTAATCGTCCAAGACCAGTCGGTTTACATTGATCTTGGTGACACCAGCAGCCACACAGCGTTTGATCAGCTCCGGGGCAAACCCATTGGTGCCATGTATAGCCAAATTGATTCTACCATTTGCACGAGCTCGCACCATCTCAAATCTGACCATATAGTTAGTGATGTATCTCCCCCGAGGCACTGATACTCACCTTTCGAAATCAAGATGCGGGCCTCGCGGGCCATATTCACCATGGACATTGCCAAAAGCGGGGGCAAGGACATCCACACCCGTGCCGATGAACTCGTCTACTTCCTCAGAGGTCGTCAAACATGCTTCCAATCCCGCAGTATCCATGACTCCATCCTCTCCCCCCTCGATACGACCCGGCTCGGCTTCCGTGGCCTTCTCGCGCTCGTTGCAATATTGTACCAACTCACGCGTCTTTTTCAAGTTTGTTTCCTTGTCGTAGTGCGACATGTCCACCATGATACTATTGAATGGAAGCTCTGCTGCGCGCTTGATAATAGCTTCGGATTGAGCGTGGTCGAGGTGAACACTGATAGGTACGCTTGCATGCTTGGCGGCGTCGGCTGCGGCACGAACTAGCAAACCATCTGTGACCTCGATGGCCCAAGGGAATAGTTGAATAATTAGTGGTGAGCGTGCGGTCTCTGCGGCTCGGACGAAGCCCAGGATTTGTTCGAGGTTGTAAGCGATGACGGCGATGACCCCGTAGTGGCCGATCTCGGCCGCGTGGAGAATGCGCTTATAGCGGTTGGAGTCTTTCCAGGACATTATGATAGAGAAGTGCAATAGATAAAATTTGAATTGTATTCATTGAGGGTGTCCAGCCAACTTATTATTAAGTGCTGACCGACTCCAGGGCTAGGGATGCCGTTAAGTGAGAGTTGACCCCGAGACGGGGTACTATTTGTCCCGAGGCCTCAAAGCTTTAATCCCAAGGCTTTTTGGTTATTAAAATCCACCTTATAGGCTTATTTAAATAAAATGGAAAATACAAAGGATACATGCCCAAAACCTCAGTCAATTCCTTATGGAATAGATCGCGCCAAGTTCGCGGCAGCTGCCTCTTTTGTCGGCTCGTGGTCTGCCCAAAAATGCTGGAGCTCTTCACCTAAAGATCTAACTGGCCAGCCACTACGTTCGCGACAGGATTCCAGCAGTTCCAAGATAGCCTCTCGGGTATCGTGTTCTTGAGTAAATAGTCCGGCTATTTTCCTGTTGGTATTGTTTCTTAAATAAGGTGCATTGAAAGACTTACCGATATATAGAGCTTGCGATGACATTATGCTGGATGGGTTGTCTTTTAGTGTCACAGCAATACCGCAGATATTCTCCACGCAGTGCTTGATTACACTTTGTCGCTCGGTATACTGCTCAATGCCTCCTAGCCTAGGCTCATGAGCAAGTAGTAAGATATGCGACACGCTAAATAATTGAATCGCGACGGCTATATCTGGTGTTAGTTGTTTCCAGGGATTGCAGTGCACTGTCTTTTCATCCATACCAAATGCATGTGGGCGGATCCAGATAGGTCGAAAATATGACTGGTGGCGTGAGCCGAGCGGCAAGGGAGAGAACTCAATGGTCAGGTGTTGTTGCCAGTCATCTAACATCTTGCGAAGATGGTTTGCCTCATCGACCCGACGTCCGATATCTGCTTCGGTCACCGCATCGGCGCAATAGCTGATCACCTTCGCAGTATTGTATATTGAGCGTCTGGCAAGTTCGTGTGGTGATAATTCGGAAAGGGGCTTTTGCGGAACCCAAAATGTAAGAGTTTTGCGTTTCTCCCGGAAAGCCGCCCAGATGTCTTGACAAAGCCATGCCCACCAAACGGCCGAACGCAATCCTCCAGACTCGCCATGAATGGTTTGGGATCTCTGTATCAAAAACACACCCTCGAGATGCCTCTCCCAATCATTCGTAGAATTGTCAAGCATCTCGTAAGCGGAAATGATCAACGTTGTTGCGAGCAGCTCGAGGCTTCTTTTGTAACCAGAGTACTGCATAGCCTTTTGCACATAGTGTAGAGTCTGGTAATAATATTGAAGAGCTGCTTCCTGCTTGTTTGGCACGTTACGATCGCTCAGATGGGGATTCAAGGCCAGGTGTCGATATGCAAGAGCGAGTATAGCATTCATCAGCCCCGCATTGTATATCTGCAGATACCAGGTCAGTATTCCAATTGCAGAATCTTGTTTGCAAGGCTGAAATTAGCTTACGGCCAAGTGCGCAACGAACGTAGAAAATTGGGCTGTGGGATCGAAGAGATCAATCTGTTAAAGAGCGTTGTAAGCCAAGCATTTCCAAGTCTTAAGCATGGCAAATTGTGCATACCCATGGGCTCACTCGAGTTACGAAATGTTCAAACAATGTCTCCTCGCCCGGCAGAAGCTCAATTTGCTCTCGTGACTGCCATATCTGCTCATCTCCCAGCGTATTGCCCCCTGCAGTACCAGCTTGCGTTGGGTCGTGACTTGCATAAATGGAAGAAGGGCCGTCTAATACCAGCGTCGCGCATTGCAACGAGCTGAGTTGGGTTTGGCCATCTGGATTAGAGTGGCCCTGCAGCGAGAAACCTTGATTCACCCAGGAATTATGGGTCGTAGACACCTGTGAACTGTCCTTAGCAGCATCATTAGCTAGCAGCCCAAACCACCGAACTGCCGCAAGGGATGAATTAGAGGGTGACAAAGAGGCATCTGTCGAAGCCACCAGATTCTGGTTCGAATCGGATTGACTCCCTCTCAGTTGATCAAGTTGGGCAGGTTGAGAGATGTTGGGATCGACCGCAAAACTGGGCCAGCCTGGGACAATAGCTTCGCGCAGTCCCGAGAGCGCGGAGTTTGTCTGAGCTGTACTCGATTCTCGTTCGTTGTCCTCCACTGCGACCGCACCTTGCTGGGCGCTCAAATCAGGAACAGCGTCTGTAACGGCCCCGTCCGAGGCTGGAAGGTTGACGCTGCGACGACCCGAGCTAGCGAATTCGCAGATCTTGTTATTTTTGGCACAAGCGCCGCATATCGGCTTTGCCTCGTCACATTTCAAGTGTCGTTTCCGGCATGTTATGCTATATCTCGTTATGTGAGCACAAGCTGAAGCCTTTGAGAGGCAAATGACCCACCATCCATTCGTCGTCCGCAGGCCGCGGCCGCGGGACTTTCGTACGCGTGGCCGTCTGTAAGGTGATCGCGAATGCATTGCGGCATCAGAGCATGCGCTACCATCGTAGTGGTCAAGAGCCGAATCCATCAGCAATTTCCCGTTTTCCTCGTCTCGGGTCGCAAAACTCTTATCCACTTTAAGTTCCTTGCCCGAGTGCCTTTCTCGTCTCGAGGGTGCGGGGAACCCCAGATTCGTCTCCACAAATATAAACAGTCACACGCGAGTGGCCACAAAAATGCGTTGATTCAACCCCTTCTTCTTTGTCCATGCCATTCGCTCTCAATCCTCTAAAATTCAGACAGGGCGATACCTTATTAACTAACTGGGCTGTTGAAGTGGTGTGTTATCACCTCTCTCTTTCTCTTCCTCTCTCTCTATATATACATATCACACCCCACACCCACCTTTAATGTCCCACGTATGAATAACTCCCTGCCGCTGAATTAATAGTATATAATCTGAAATGCAGTGCAGCAAGTTACAAGAAGACTGAATCCGGCTTGCCTCTTACCATTTATATTTTCACTTGCTTCTAGCAATTATCTCTACCTATTATTCAACTATACTGGAAGACTGCAGTTCCATGACATGATGCATTCTAACATGTAACCTAATACATACGACCATAGGGTGTGGAAAACAGGGCTTCCCGTCCGCTCAGCCGTACTTAAGCCACACGCCGGTGAGTTAGTAGTTGGGTGGGTGACCACCAGCGAATCCTCACTGTTGTATGTTTTTGTTCTTTTTTTGTTCTCCTTTAAAGTTCATTAGGACAGAGTTGACACTCAAATACAAGCTACCGACAAAGCCACGAGAACGCTTTAGTCACGGCTAAGGATATAGACTACCTTTTACGATCCACATCATCAGAGGGAGGTCTCGGTGTGTGCCGAGCTGGACTGAGCGGGCCGCTACCCCAGCTGCTGGGTCGTCACGATAAAAAAAGAAACCTGCTCGGGGATGTCGCAAAGGGATCATAACCTGATGGAGAGGCTACGCAAAGAGGAGTGGAGAAAGACAGTGATACATTCTGAGCGAAGCCCTCACTGAGAGAGAGAGGAAGGAAGAAAGGTAGAGAGAGAGAAAACCAGCTATCTGGCTCGTCCTGTCACCCGTGGTGGCCTCATCCATCCAACGCAAAGCCCTCTCTTTAGTACTATCAGTACTACTCTTTTCTGGAGCGCACCTCCAGTCTTTGCAAGGGCTTGTTGGTCTACTTGTCTATCAAGAATAGCTTCTCATTAAGCTGTTTCTTGCTCTTTATCTCTTGCTTACAGCATCTTGCTAAGATTTCTTGAGATACCTCTCACTTTGGAGCTATTTTCTCCTGTTGACAAGTGAGCTCTATCTCCCCTTTGCAGCATCTCTTTGTTGGAGTGCTGTGCTTTGTTGAGAAGCTTTGTCTAGCTCTCAGCTGTCTCTCACTTCACTTGAGTGAGCTCTATCTGCTTCGTTGGGCCAGGAAACCACTATTGCTGACGTCTCGTTGGATATCGGCATTTTTGAATCGTGGTTCAATGCTCTAAAGGAGTCGAATTTCAGTCCATCGCAGCCACTCCCTTACTTTTACTTACGCCATCCCGTTTGGTCTTATTGGCGCGTAAGGGCCACCTCAGCACAACCGTCGGATTTAGCGCACTGCCAATCATCCTTTGACCACTCTGTGCCGCGATACAGGAAATGTCCTGGCCGGTTACAACAACGAGCCAATCACTATCGGCGGTGATATCCCTACCCTCGCTGTCACGACCGCCGAGATCCGATACCCTCTCATCGTCCAGCAGGAGCATGATCGGAAATATCATTCACACAAGCTGTACAGCCCCCCCCAGCGCACAGCCCAAGCCTCAACCGCCTAGCAGGGCTCGGATCAATCAGCTCACATGAACTGGTCGACATACCGTCAACTCTGTCACTGACATCATCCCCCAGCGGAGCCGTTACGCAAAGTGGCCGGCCGACTTTAATTCAGATGGGGACATCTATCCCGACCGATGGCCCATGGGGGACCCTGTCGTTGTCTGGGCATTTGATTTACCGTTTATCGCCGTCTACCGGGATTACTACGCTATGGTCGGATCACATTTGCGAAAATATATTTGGCTGGTGACGAAGAAGACTAGTGGAGACGCTCTGACACATAAGGGATTTCACTTCGGAGAGATCGTGGCGCGACCTGACAAATTGCCGCAGGCCGTCAATCCCAAGACAACCCTACATATCGACGCCGAGGACTACGACTGGACGCACTTCAAGGATGCCCCAAGTATGCGTTGCGTCGCTAACAATCTTATCCTTACATACTACCACGGCGATCTCACCTTGACGCGCCCGACTAACATTGCCGGTGTCGGCGCCCTGGCCCGGATCATCCAATTATCCTGGCTTGGACGGTGTTCCGTGGCAGAAACCAGGAGTATAAGAACCTGGCCCTTCCCCACCGTCACCGAGCCAGTTAGTTGTCCTCAATCCAGTCCTTAGTCTTCAGTTGTGTGTGTTCAGTAGGCCTGTGTGGCCATCTTAGTTCGTATGTGTTTGTGCCTTGCCAACGGCTCAGATATCAGTCAGCCACATCGGGTGAAAATTGTAAGCACTGAAAGGTGAGGGGAAGATGTATTCCTTCTAACTACGGCAGCCTATCTGAAGGGTGACGGTCCGGTCAGGTGACTGTCACCGTCACATCCCCGCTTGGCTGAATTTATGAACCGGTCCAAGAGCCGCATGTTGTCTGCTGATATTTCGGCCTTCTCCGAAATGGGCCCTGATCATGGCTTTGGTGTGTTTTGGCACGAATCGCGACAACGCAGCCTCCCTGCCCACAACGCGTGTTGCCGTCTACGGCAGTGTATAGCCGCCAGTGCGCCATATCGTATTTTTCCATGTTGGCTCGGACTAAAACTGCGTTTACCTGACGGGCGAGAAGTAATCACTGTTCCGACGCACGCTTTTGTGAAATTGAGACATATCAAAACGCCGTCCTCAAGTACCTCACATACGAGTGTATCGGCTGAAGTTCCTATTCCACATACTGTGGACAGAAGGAACACTAGCTGGTTCTGGCGCACAGCCTCGGGTGATGGTTTATACTTTACCCGATGGCTGGTGGAAATGTTCAAATGTTCCTGTCCGCCTTAGCGATTGACTTCGTCGTCACCAAAGCTGGGATACCATCGGAGGCCCGCTCGTCTGCGGTCGCACAGTTCACAGAAAGCGAGTCTAGTACTGTTAGGCTACGATACTGGAGATACGCTAGTGAATAGCACTAGCATGGGGGAAAATCGGGGAAGAAGATAGGTATCATGAATCTATGGAAAGCAGGCTGTATGTGAAGCCTGTACTAACAAAGAAATGGCAAAATGGCAAACTAGCAAACAGCTCAGTCTGCACAAAGAGACAAAGACATCCCATGTATGTCAACAAGTACACGCGTTCTGGTGACTACCTATACTTGCGGGGCACTGGGTCTGAATATGCATCCTTTTGCAGCCGCATCGTCCTTCTGGAAGCAGCTCAGAACTACAACAGACTATTCCAATCGATTGGCCGTCTTCATCGCTTGGGGCAGACCGTCGAGCAAAAAGCGTGGTATTTATTCAGAACCACACTATCCAGCGCTTACATGTGTTCAACTGCACTAAAAAGCTGCTAACTCAAGTGGCAGCGCAGTTCCAACCAGAGCTCCAGGACGAGATGGAGGATCGGGATGAGACGACAGGTCCCAAAGATGCTGACCCCGACGTGTCTCAGCCTTCCCTGATGGATCGCCTTGCATCTGAGCTTTTTGGTGACCAGGTGGTGTTGTGTATGCCTGGGTGCCTTAGGCATCACCACTCAGTAGTTGGATAGTTGTTGGGAGCTTGCTTCCTTCTCTCCCAATATGACTCTCTCCTCTCTGCTTCTTTGGTCCCTACACCGTAGAGCCCAACAGGTTGGCATCAACCCTGAGTAGTTCTCGTCCCGCTCGACTATGAATGACGTTCAGGATCTTGTGGATAATCGTCTTAAACGCAAGCGAGCCAGTGAGACCAATTAGTTTCGGCGTAGAGGAAGACATTATCATTCTTTTCATTTGCGATGTCTTGAAGCAATTTAACCCTAACTAGGCTCACTATACTACTAGAACATGAGGCATTCTGATATATAATTCAGTACATACGACCATAGGGTGTGGAAACAGGGCTTCCCGTCCGCTCAGCCGTACTTAAGCCACATATTCTGCACGGCCAATACTCAATGTGCCCTCAGCACCTAAGCGGCACTCTAGATCAAAAGTACTTTGAGCCACCTAAACAATACAAATCACTGTGGCTAGTCTAGCTATGATGTCACGGTTGAGGAGACGAAGAGACATACACCCAACCTACCAGCCGGTTTTTGTCAACACTCATTTTTAGGCAACCAGGTACCATGAGTAAAATCATTATATACTTAAGTCCCATCAACAGCCATCCTTAGTAGTAGCACCTATATTAACTCTATCATATCGACGAGTGATTACCAATCCTAGCTCTAGATAACTAAAGACCCTAAATACCCCACTACACGCCCTTATATAAAAGTCCTATAGCAACTATTCTTAAATAAAATAGATTTAACCACCGTAATCAAAGAACTAAGCTTACTTAATTTTAAGAATAATAATACACTATAGGCTCTCTAGAAGCTAATCTATAAGGCCGCTACCGACTTTCCTTCGAACTATTCCTTATTACTAGCCCTTTTAGTTAAAGCCGAAAAGCTCGATTTATAGCTATCTAAACTAGAACCTAAAGATATACTATAGAAATAGTTAGGCTACTTTAGGAGCATATAGCGCGATAAGTAGGATAGGATCTCACCCTATATATCATTAAGATAAATAGTGTCCGTATCTAAGTTATCTACTAGATAGATTAATATAAATACCTTCTTAGTAAGGCTACTAGCTATAACTTCTTTTAGTTAAGGGATAAAACTTCGTACTTTAGGCTTAAGCTTATTAAAGAAGTGTTTAGAGGTAGACCCGACGAAATATAAAGAGGGAAGACGTTAGGTATAGTCCGCTCTTTAGAGATAGTTACTATAGTATAAGATAGATATATTAGAACTACTAGTAGCTAATATATACGCCGCTATATAATAGATAATCTATACTAGAGGGTTAATATAGAAAGATGATCGACCCGATAGTCCCGAGTACATTTAACAAGTTCTACTTAGTAAAATAGACCTTTAGGATAGAAGATATAGATTTATAAAGGGGCGATAGTAGCTATAGAAGGAACGGTTCTTATTTATAGCAGAATATAAGGATATTAGCCTAGATACCTAGCAAGTTACATGAAAGGTAGGGCAGATAATAGGCGAATTTCTTTAATATAAATACCATATATTTTGAAAGAACTTAGCAGAATCTATCTACCCTCGTTTATAAAATTGTCTAGGATCAGAAGTCCCAAATTACCATCCGGCCGTCGCTCTATAACATAGCAATATAAGTCGATAATTTGAATTGTGAAAAACCAGGCAATCCAAAGCTATAAAATCAAATCCTAAGAAACCGCCGCAGGACCGTTTCTATTTCCCCATCCGTTAAGAGAAAGTCTCCATCTACGAATTGTTAACAGCATCCCGTCAACTACAATAAAACAACTTGAGTTATTGCACAAGTTGTACATGGCAGTTTTCAATAGCCCATTAGAACTCAAAGCATACATTCTTCTGACCTCTAAACTAGATATCTAGATCAAATTCGAGGCAAAACATTGAAGATCGGCTGGCCAAGGATACAGCAAACCCAGGCATGCATGTCTTCCTCCTTCTAATCCTGTCTTCAATTAGAGGTATTTTTCAATAGCGAGATGATAATATGAAACTAGTCAATCTATATGTGACCATCATCGCTCTAACCCCACAGGCGGTCTATACCATTGTTCTCAGTCCAGGCTCCGGCGCCCTTTCCTCCTATCTCGCACTTGGGATGGGGTGTCGAAGGGCGATAAGGAGATGTTTTCCTCCTCTTCGGCAACAGGCAAATGTGGGGTTGGAAATTTAATCCCTGGGCGACACAGATCACCTAGATTTTTCCGTTCCTCACTTTTCAGAACCCACTTTTCTTCGCCATCTTTCATATGTTTCTCATATGGCAGTGTGGCCATCCAATCCGACCACTTGCGGACAACTCCTATTGCAATATCCTTAGAAGTTTCAAACCATTCCACGTGTGATTTGAAGCAACCGGGGCACTTTTTCTCGATTCTTCTATAGTGCATCAATTCCAGATGCACCAGAGCTTCAACCCGCGATATATGTGGAATTTTTTGTAAATCAGGCATACTCGCGGCCCCTTTTTCCTCCGGAAAGAAAACCTGCATAAACTTTTTGCACTGTTTATTCCATTGTTCTAGACGGCGGGGTACGTTTTGAGATCGTCCAATTTTCAAGTGCCCAAAGTTTGGACGTTGCCAGAAAATGTACATCGAGCCCTGATATTTGATATCGCTTTTTTGGAGAGGCTTGGTAAGAAGCTTTGCAAGCTCTTCAGCTGTTGTTCCCGAGAAGGCTTTACCGACGTAAGGTTTGAACTCTTGGATCGGATTGACCACAGGCGGCTCTACTTGGACAATTTTGTGCCCTGTAGATTTCAAAGAAGAGGACGGAGATGTTTGAGACAGTGCTGCCCGGCCTAGGAGATAAATCCAGTGAAAAACAGCACATAAACGCTCATTCTCTACTGGGAAAATATATCCACAGTCTGAGATCTTTGAGAGCTCCTGTAACTCCTTTCTCCAGCCTTGAAGTTCTCGAGATGCGACCTTCCGATGTGATGCGCAGAATAGCGCTTCTATCAGCTGTTGAATGACTAGCAGAAGCACGCTAGGTTTGAAGGTGACTAGGCTTTGGAGTTGCGCTGAAATAAGTCTGACAGTACGATGAACTTTGCATCTCCTGTCCTGGGTTGTCCAAGCCGGGCATATCCCGCTATTTTCCCCTAAGTGCTGGAGAAATTCAAGCGGTATAATTTTGAGAAGCGATTTTGGAGTCGGATCCACTTCTTTTGGGCTTCGATGCGAAAGTATGGATTCAAGTATAACCGACGATAAAGAACCTTGATCGCCTTCTAGATTCGTTCTTATCTGCAGGGGAAATGTACTTGAGGCCCAAAAAGGATTGTTTCGGGGTCTGAGAACTCCGTGTTGATCTCACTAACGGTTGGCAATTTCCATACCGCAGAGGTTGTCTGCCGAAAGCGCTTGGTCTTGCTTGACCTGAGGAAAACAGAAAGCAAGCTAATATCCTCCGGCGATCGAGGCGTCAGAACTATAATTTCGCTCGTTTCACCAGAGGTCTTGCTGAGGAGTACTTCATTTTGTTTCCGCTTGATTGTCGACGAAGAGATATCCAGGTTTAGATGCATGGGGCGCGTTTCAATTTTGAGAGCATTGACGCCAGCTTTATTTCTGCATCTAGAAATCGAAGTAGGTGGGGTCTGCGCGGATTCTGTGGCAAGTAAGCCAGCGTTTTCCGTAATGACTTGATTTGTTGTGTTCAGTCTGGCGGGGGAAGCCTTTTGTAATATGGTCGATATCTGGTTTTCAGGCACTGTCTTGCAATCATTGCGATGTTTTAAATCGCTGGTGCTCGACGGCAGAATGCCGACAATGTGGCTTGTTGGACCAGATGGAGCGGGCATTTGTGGAACGCAATACCAATATACACGCAGGAATGAGCAAAGTCTCGACGGGACTCTGATTGGTGGTACTTTGGATAGTATTTTGTATTCCTTCCAAGCCAATATAAGGGAATAGTGTGGTTATAACTTCATTATGGAAAGAACTCCGGAAATCGGGCGATATATCTATTTTTGGTTCGAAGGAACGGCATGTATGTTGGTTTCTAGTTCGCATTATTGGCCCTCCAGTGGACGAATGGGGGTGGTGGAAGATGGACTCGCCCCATTCCTCGGAGTTGATCGCTCTTGATGTGGTACGCGCGCAAAACTCGGCTCGTGCCGCACCGTAAATCCCCCGCTCACAAACCAATTCGGGGCATTATTTTCTCCCCAGAGCTCAGAAAATAGGCAACCCAACCAATGCATAAGAATCTACTATGTATTGGTATTCTTTTAAGGTATAGGCTCTTAAGAAATAGTGGTGACCACGCACGGATTAGCTCTAACTGTTCGGAGGTACCTTCGCTCGATCCCTGTCGACGTTACAGATGCTAAGGTAGCCAGTGTTTTAGCTCGCGGGGTCAATGCGGTTATCTCGTGACTCATCCTTCTCAGTCCAGTCGCGCGACGATAAAGCGGTGCTCAATCATTATCACGTAGTTCGTGAGGATCGAGCATTATAGGATATAACCAGCAATATTGTGACCACTCTCCAATATGGCGTGGTATTTTTAAAGTATAGTAGAAACCTCCACTTCAATCAATAATTTTCGTGTCATCGTGATGCTCCACTGTGTGATTTATTGAGACGGACGGCGTTGGAAGATGGAGCACCTCGAGAATAGGGGTGCAATGAAAGATAAGGCCAATAAAAATTAGCTCGTCGCAAAAAGAGTGGGGCATAAGTCCTCCGTTGAACTTGGACTGAATGTGGACTAAATGCTAAATAGATTCCTCTGATAAGTCTCTAAGTAATCAGCGATGGGCAGTGTATTCTTTCCTAAACGACGTTCATATAACGCTCACCAGTGTGTGGGGTGTACAGGCCAGTTGATTTTGTACATGGCATTTGTAAGTTGAGCTTGCCTATGAATCGTGCTGGAGATGTTTACCTTCCGTACTGCAGTATGACCTTGTATGACTTCCCGTCGTTTGCTTTTTGTCTTCTCATCTATTTCTTGCTTCTGAATGGCTCAACCAGTATGTCCATATTTTATTGTGGGACTAACGCTCTTGTTTGTGATTGCTAAGCAAACGCGCACTCAGAAGTATATCCCGTCTCCCACCAGCCGAGTCTGAGAGTTCTTGGCCCCTTGACAATCTTCCCTAACTCAACAATCCCTATCTCATCGGAAGTAAGATCACGATAGTTATCGGCTTTGATATGACGCCAGCGATCAGATACCACTGGCTTCCATTGGGTCTGTCGCTCCACCCCTGCTTGATAGTTACTGAGGGAAAGAAATAGGTGGTTGGTTTCTGCTAGCGCTAAGAGTCGGTAGTAATAGTTAATAGCGTAAACAAAATATTGGCGAATTTCACAATTCGACAATCTCAGACAGTATAGAAGCCGGTAAATATGTAATCCTAGATCTAGATTCTACATAATACAATCAAGCTAAATAAGATTTCCTTAACTTAATATATAAATCTCGCCAGGAACTGCCATGCTAGACCTTGCAAACCAAAACAGTTATAAACAAGTGTTGAATTGGTATCAGTTAGCACTTTTATGCGTCTTAGCATAGCCTAGATTAGTTCTGTATTTGCGGTTTCTCTTCGTTGACCGCGGTCTAACCATGCGGTTTTGCGGTGCGATGCGGTTGGAATTCTGCCTAACTATATTTAGCGCGGTTGGGGGGCGCGGTTGGCCTTTGCCTACCTATGCTCCGGTTGTGACGATGCCTAGCTGTACGGATGAAAAGCGTGGAATGGTCGACCATTCCCGAGGGAACAGGACAGTAGGCTTGCCCTATGAACTAATAGAAGCCAGAAAATATGGCCTGCCATATCTAGATGACCCGGTGCAGACAACTAACTTAATGAAACAACAACCAAAACAACTACTACTACTACTACAACTACGACTACGTAGCAATTTTGGGGGTAAAGTAGGGATGAGATTAATTAGAAGAAACTGTGACAGAGATGTCGGTGGCGTTCTTGATGCTAGTGGATGTGAACAAGGCCAGGGTACGTTTGTCGAGTGCGTACTGCAGCAAACTGCCGCCGGGTGAGACTTGGACTCTATATCCGTTAGGGAAGGTGGATGGGGGCAGAATGATTTCCGTGGGGGCGTCAATATTGGGATCAGACGTAAACTGCAGCTTGAAAGTGGTCGAGTCCTCAGAAAAGCCGAAGCTGATGGGAGTGCCAGCGATGGCGGCGGGGTATGCACGGCTGTAGTGCTTCGCCAGTTCAGGATAAGGCTGTCCAGATGTACCATTGTACAGGTTCTCGTACGCCCAGCCAATCCAGGAAACCATATTTGCGTCGGTCGCTGCCATGGCATCTGCCAGGCCCTGCATCTGCTTATCATCACCCATCCAGAACGTAAGCTCTGTCAGCACACCAGCGGTCTTAAGGCGCTCGTTGTCCTTGTGGCGGTTGTTGAGAGTGGTGGAAATAGAGCCCAGCTGCGGCGGGCTGTAGTAGTGGAATGAATGCACTGACTTCGAGCCGTCCCCGAGAGGGACGTTGTTGAAACCCGATGAGACGTCCAGGGTGGCGCCTTCGAACCAAATGAGCGTGTCATTGTCCACGGTACGGATCTGCCAAGTCGCACGGTTCCAGAGCTCTTCCAGGACCTTGTGGTCGGCAACACCTGGCACTAGCAATGTTGGATCTGCCCACGTGTCGCCCACCCACGGCTCATTCAACAAGTTATATCCGACCACGTTGGTCGTCTCGGCATACTCTGACGCCAGAGTTTTCCAGTACGCCGCAAACGCATCGCCAAGCCCGTTGTAGTTGTTGTATAGCCGGCCGAATGCATTGCCCACTGCCACCGACGTGTAACTCAGAGACCAGTCAACAGTATCACAAAGCGACTGCGGCGATGGGAAGCCGTTTTCATCCACAGGAAACGGTGTCAGCTTAAGGGGGAACGGATACATCTTGCTGCTAGATACCCAGTCCTCCTTAACAAACCACTAAAAAACCGGGTGAGTATCAACGGTGCCAAGATGGGATTATCTCTACTTACATCAGGTACGCCATGGCCGCAAAACTGCCGCGACAGGCAGTCCTGATGCGCGTCCACCAAAACATAGAGGCCATGGTCCTCGGCCATCTTGGTCTGCTTCTTCATGATATCGAGAAATGTCTGGTTGTACGACCCACGCACAGGTTCTGCACCGGCCCAGCTGTGGCCCAATCGCACGATGTTCAGACCTAAGTCGTGCAGATTTTGGACATCTTGTTTGCCAAACGACGAGATACCTGGCACCCACTCCAACTGCCGATGCCACGGCGGCTCCTTCATAACGACATTGGTTCCGTGGAAGAACCGCGTACGGTTGAATTCATCGACGATCTGATGCGTATCTTGGTTCACCTGGCTGATACGAGCCATTCCTGGATGAGACTTGTACCAACCCTCGGCATCCTGAGCTAACACGTCCGCCAGTAGTGTGCCGAGAACCGCTAGCAGCGATGCAGCAGCAATGGGAGTGAACAGCATTGCAATGAAAGGACCAACCAAGTCAGTCCCAGGTGAGAAACGGGAAAAGAGACGGAGGGAAGGAGCGTTCAGACGATAAAAAGAACTAAGGGAACACAGGGAGAGTATTTGCTCTTTACATAAAGCAGGGTTACATCTTGTCGGTCAAAGTGGAGCCGAAACCTTACTAGTGTCAATGGTGTATTCAAACCCACATCCCACTAATCCCTAACTAAAGAGGTTTTGGCTAGTAGAGTTGGTGAAGTACAGCGTACTCCAACTGTAGACAATCTTGAAGAGTCATCTGGATTTCTGGCTTGATGAAACAAATTGTCGTCGTTAGAATCTGTTCCTGTTGTAACTAAGACCTGTCTACCACCGGTTGAGGCTTCAGGGATTATGGCATCCTGGTAAGTTTTCGAGATATTTGCGTCTTCTAGGTATTGCAAGCCAAATATGTGCAGATTCGCCGTGGATACATTGTGAAGACTCTGCGGATGTTGCACGCCAGTCCACCATTTGATGATTATTGGGACGAGCCCATACTCGCGCTTCGAGCCAGCAGAAATTACGGTCTCACGGAATTTTGCGCAGGCATAGTTCTTGTTGGTGTCAATCGAAACCCAGTGGAATGACAATATTACGCTTATCATCGATGCCGCTATGCATAGAAGGGTAATTATGCCGCTGGTCTACAGTCTATGGATCATTCAGTGCAGTATAATGTACTCGACCCAACGCACGGCCCAACTCCCGGTGGGAATTGGACCGCACGGGTTGAGAGCAAAACCTCACCCACCATTTTTAACCTCCATTTAATATCACCAAAAATGCCTTTTTCATCCCAAATATTGGAAGATCGGATCTGTAGTACTTTGCAAGCCTGCTATGAAAATTGATAAACCTGCAATTTCAGTATTGGCGCGGGAATTGGACATTCTATACCACACCCTGAGGGGTAGAATCAACGGTCGTAAATCTAAAACTGGCCACGCTAGTGATAATAAAGCCTAAAACCTAACTAAGAGTAGGCATTAACTTATTAGATTGATATATTGAATACTGCAAACGCTCCCCTAACTATAGATATAATCTAGAAGTGTGCACGTTAAATTCTTCATCGATATGATCTAGATCTAGGCCTCGGTATAAACTAGGTCTACCGTTTTATCAAACGCCTGTCTGATAAATACACCTATATTAAGCAAAAGCTAGTAGAAAAGAGCCGCCTAGAAGTAGTTATACCTAGTTATCTTATTACCTAGTATACTCGCCTAGATAATACTATTTAGCGGTTAAAGATCGGATCGAAGAATAGAATATCTATAACTTTGATAAAAGCGGCTAGACTACGGCAGAATCCGCAATATCCGCGGATATCTATAATTCATATCCCCAAAGTACGGATTTGGATATTTTTTGATATCCAATATCTGTAGTCGCATAGATTTAGATATAGACCTTATATCTATTAGATATTTATAGATAACTAATAGATATTAAATAATATAAATATACCTAGATTTATAACCTTAAGGGGTATATATTATTATTATATTTTCCCCTATATTTTTTATATAGTAGTATTATTATTAATAATAATTAAAGTCTTGATTTTTTATAGTTATATAAACTTAAATCTTCTTATTTATATATACTATTTATAGATCTAACTAGAAGCTATCTAGT